CATTGTCTTTAATCAGTCTTCAACTCACACCAACCAATTAGCTATCATATTCCTTTTTCAATTATAATGGACCTAAAATTTAAGTAATTTATATATTTTTAAATATATATTATTTAACAATTTTGTTTTTTAATTATTGGGACTCTATATAAATACACTTTTGAATTTTTAACACTATCCATCACTATTCAATAGTAACTTTAAAAAAAATAAAAAATAAAAATAATAATAGGAATTGTTTTTTTTTTTTAATGTGAGTTACATACTTCTACTAACTTATAAAATACTATTCTCTTCGTCCACAAACTAATGTCCTACTTTTTTATTTGGGACGCTCAACAATTATTGTCCTATTTTCTTTTTTAAATACAAATTTTACATTTTTACCCTTCATTCATTTATTACTTTTAAACTCTACTATACAATTAAGGGCAAATTTGTCGATTCATAATAAAAAAAATCACCTAAAAAACTGTGCAAATAGAAATTGAACGGAAAGAGTATTATTTTTTAATTTACTACATCGGGACAGATGAAGTATAAAAGTAATGAATGTGTATAGTATAGTATATTATATTTTTTGAAAACAAAATGTATTGAAAAAGTTTTATAAAAGAAACAACGTGAAAAAAAAAAAAAAAAAAAAAAAAGGAAGAAAGAAAGAAATAAAGAAAAAAAGAATCTTTCTAACGGGAGCTTTTATTTCCTTATCTAAAAATTTCAATAAATATATTTTTCATTGTACTTATGCAATTTTAAATAGCTAATATCTTTATAATTTAAAATTTGAATGATAACAAACTACTCAAATTTTATAAAATGTGAATAAAAAAGTTTTTTGTTTGAAAAAATATAAAGAAAAAAAAAAAAGAAAAACGGTTCCAAACTAGTTGGGTGTATTAGTTTTGTATTTTTAGATGAACAAATTTCTTATACGAACTACCGTAATATAAAGAAGGAATAGTAATTTTTATTAAATTATTAATTTTTTATGACTGAGTAGAGTATATTTTTTATATATTATATTAAAATATATCTTATACTTTCTTAATATTTATGAAAGGATATTGTAGCACTAAAAGAATATTTTAGATAGAACAAACCATAGGTTTCTTCAATATGCTAATAACAAAATTTTTACTTGATTAATATTTTAAACATAAAATATAAAAAATTCGTGTTGATAATATAATATTATATATTTTTATTGAATATTATTAATTGAATATAATATAATAAAATATATTTATAAAAAAATATGTGAAACAAAATTTTTATTTCTTATTACTTTTATTTGTCCCCTATGCAATTTATAATAATATATAATTTTAATGAATATCTTATAATAACTATTTTTAAAAAAAAGACATTATATGTAGAATTATTTTTTCATTCAACAAATAAATTTAAACAAATAACACTAATGTGCTTTTTTTTTTTTATGGGTTTTGAAAAAATTTTATTTAGGTTTTGTATTAAATAATATATAATGGAATTTTTTGTAAATAAAAAAAACCGTATAGCTCAAGTAGTAAAAAATTGAAGTTTGAAATGTAAAGAAATACACGTTTTTTGTTTTCAATTGTTTTGATAAGTTTAAAATATTTTTCGCTATTAGTATTATATTAGTACAAAATAATAATATTTGTATATTATATTGTAAATTATATATGTATCTTTAATATTATATAGATAGTATGGTTATTAATAAATAAATAAAGATTTTATTACCAAACGGATTAAAATAAAAAAATTGAATAATTTATTAAGGGTGTGTTTGTTTGGGAGATTGAATTGGATTTATACTATTCATCCAATTTTTTTCCTCAAAAAACATCGAATCAAACACCTATTTTTTATTTTTTATATTATACTAAAAATCAATTTACATTCAAAACATCACATCAATACTTATTTATATCACATTATACAACTATTCAAATTCAAAATTTTTACTATTCAAATCCTAACTCAAAATCCAAACCCCAAAACAAACACACCCTTAATAATAAACAATATTCATCTCTCCAAGCTAATTTATCTCATTTAGTTTAAGTATAGAGTTTTAGGTATTTTATAATTACTAAGTAATTAAAAAGTATATTAGTGAAAATAATTATAATTAAATACAAATATTTATAAATTAACATGACTAAATACTTTAATTAAAATAAAATAATTATAAATTATGAAGTTTAAAATCTTATTAAAGTGTATAATTATATTTCCAAATAATAATGAAACAAAATATGTGAGACGGATAAATATATAAAGAATAGACAAATTAATTGGCAGAGATATTAAAGTAAGTTTAATGGAAAAATAGATACTCTCTCCGTCCGCCTCTAATAGTCACATTTATACTTTGCGTTATTGTACTTAATATTAAAAATATTTTTATATTTATACAATTTTTTGTACAAATGTCATTCTATTAGTATTATAAGACACTAATAGAAGTATTTTTATATATTTTTTTTAACTTTGTACTATATTTTGATATAATAATTAATATTCAAATATCAACATATAAAAAGTAAATGAAACTCTTAGACCCGGACGAAAGTACTCCCTCCGTCCTTTAACAATCTATCCATTTTTTTATTTTGGTCCGTCTAATAACAAAATATCTATTTCTTTTTTTTTTTAGTAATTGTACTGCCTAACTAACATTACAAATACCCTTCCAATTTACAATATATTACACAAATGTCATTATTTTTATATATCATACAATACCAATAGAATTAATTTAATTTTTTTATATTTATTTTTAATTTATTTTTAATATAATATTAATATTTTTAAAATTTTATGAAAAAAATAAATGAATATATAGATTTGTGAGAGAGTAGTATATAAAATAAAAGTAAGATGTACAAATCACCTGGTTGACTTGTGAGTGTCACGTCCGTCAGGTTGAGTTTAATTACTTACATTGCAGAAGATGGTAGCTGTAAATGTGGGGTTTTTTTTCTGACACTCTTTCATTTCAACCATTAAATCATCAATCTCTCTCACTCTCTAAGATAATGCAAAATTAAATAAATAAAATCTAGAAGTACTTTAACAAATGAATTGATTAAGATTCGAAAATATTCATCTGCATTTCATTTGATATTAAAATAATATTTTATATAATATTTTATAAAAATTATATATATTTAAAAAAATACAGAATTTAAATAGTAAAGTTAAAGAAAAAAAAAACAAAATTGTTTAAGAAATATACAGTAAATAAAAATCTCTAAGATAATGCTATAGCTAGATACCTCTATCGAAACTTTATTTTTATGAGTATTTTATTTATTTTTATTTTGGTTCTTTGCTTGAAATCATCATACCAAATATATATCCACAAGGGCAATTTTGTCATTCCACCTCTCTCGCCAGTATTTCGGCATTGTCCTAAGAATAAAATGAAAGAAAATTTCATGTACAGAATATGTAGAGATAATTAAGAGCCACGAGGATGTTGAATCAAATAGTATTTGTAACATCTTGCTAATCGCAACAAAAACTGATACCCAATACTATTGAATTTGAAGAACTCTCTAAAAAATTGATAATAAATAAATAGAGAAATAATATATATATATATATATGTGTGTGTGTGTGTGTGTGTGTGTGGATTTTAATTAATTAGGATGGAAAGAAAATGAAGTTGAGAAAAGGATCACATCATGGGTATTAATTGTTTCTAAAAAGCAAAAGTCATTGTCGTTTGTCAATAACAAATAATTTTTAAGTATTGTGTTTTGCTTTGATTAAATAATACTCCTCCATAAGCTTAGTTTAGATGTAAATGTTGAGAAACAATACAAAGTTAAATATTAGAGGCATTGTTTTGTAAATATATATAAGTATTTAGCTTCATTAAAAATAATTTGATATAAATAAATATTAGTAGGAGTATTACCTGATATAGTGTGTATTGAAATGGAAATGGAAATGCAGGTGGAAGGCATAGAGAATAATTAATCATAAGTGATGATTGCGTCACGTCACCTCACGTCTTCATCAGCATCCTTTGTTGCATTACCAGTGTTGGACAAATCCTCAGGTGTACTGCCCCCATATCTCCCGTCAATAAATCCCTCCCTATATACATACTTATCCATAATTTAATTTAATAAATATATTTATATGTGTGTGTAACAGTGTAACGGAACACAACTGGACGTATAATACTGATAATACACTCTCGAGGCTTTATTTAATTTATATTCCATATAACTAATAATATCAACTTTTCTTTCTGTATAAATAATGATAACAGGGTTTGTAAAAGGGGAATCTTCCTAGATCTCAATTTGGTACCTTACGTAACCTTTTATTACCATTACTATTATTGATCAATTAATTGTAATAACAGAGGTGCAGTGCAGATAGAAAGATAGATATACACAAGAGAGATTTGGGACTATTTGAGTGATGACGTCACCTCATGACATCAGTCACAGTCCTCGTCTTATCCGTCTCAGTCTCAGACACTGCGCCGCCTGATGCTATCCTAATTTTTAAAATAAAACAATAGTGAAACTATTTAGTTATTTAATTTTATTAATATATATTTTTTTATTATATATTTTAATTATAGTTTATAGTTTATTTTTAATTAAATTATTTTTTTACTAATATATTTATTAATTATATACTAATTAATAGACAAATAAGTTGAAATGGAAGGGAAGAGAGTATTATTTAAAAATAAAAACCATATATATATATATAAATAATTGAGCATCGATCCCACTCCCTGAAATGATAAGATATGATGGTAATTGAAAACATCATATATCAAAATTAATTAATGAGATCAAAATTATTTTTACTATTTATTAATATATATATGGATTCGAGAAAAATGGCTGCACTGCGATGACGACAGGCAATCATAAAAAATGAATTGATAAATTCCCATCTCATCCAATCCAATCATATCGAATCTATGTATTCAATTCAATGCCATCGTCGTCTATAAATTGGGTGTCCACAAATGCTACTGTTAATAATTATACACAGCTTTAAACTTGCAGAGCATAATACCTTCATACATCAATGGCGAAACCTGCTGCTGTACCATTCCTGCTCCCCATCCTCCTCCTCCTCTCAGTTATTTCCATTTCTGCTGCTGCTTCTGGTTACCTCTCTCTCTCTATTTCTCTCTCTCTCTCTATATATATATATGAAATTGTAAGTATTGAAATGTTAGGGTTTTATGACTATGATTTGGCAGAATGCGGTTGCAGAAAGAAGGAAGCTTCAATAATGGAAAGTACTCTTCACAGAAAGGTTTTTGTTAATTATATTTGTATTATTTATTTATTTATTTATTTATTTTGATTTTGATTTTGATTTTGTGGGTGCAGTTATTATTGGAGAAAATGGTGATTGGTGATTTTGGGAAGAACAAGAAGAAGATGACTATTAGGGCAAAAGATCAGCAGCAAGAGGATTGGGAGCTCCGGAGGGTCCCGGCGGGTCCCGACCCTTTGCACCATAACGGTCAGGACCCCCACAAGCCCACCACTCCATAGTCCATAATCAAAACCCTACCCTACCCTACACTACCCCTACCCTATTATATATCCGTATCTATGTGTATCTATATATGCAATGCATATATATTAATCCTCGTACTTAATATATATATATATATATATTTGTGTTTAATTTTGTTTGTAATGTTGTGGTGGTGAATTGAACATATAACTAACGGGTGTTACAAACAAATTAATATTTTTGTATGTGTACATAATGTTGCTATACGCTAATTTGGATATATACACGAATTGAAATCAATTATCAAGAACGAACAAAAATAAATAAACATTTGTCGAAAAAAGAAAATATTTGAATACTTGATTATACAATTTCATAATTTTTTAACATTGGTATACAGTAGTAACTTTTTTACTTTAAATAAAAAAGGAAAATCCCAAAATCATAAAGATTAATGGGCTTGGGCCAGGTAACTTTCCCTCAGCATGTTCAACTATATTGTGTAAGTGATGAACGAACCTAAAGAATTTAAATATGATGCTTTAGATATTATTTTAAATTTACATTTAAATTAGTAGTACTAATATATTTTTAAAATAAAATTATAGTACATTTTTACAAAACAAACACACCCTTTGTTTTTTCAGCAAGCAATGATCTCATTCATCAATCTTTAAATCTCAAATAACACGTATGGGTTTGTTTGCTTATGGATTTGATTGTTGCGTTTGGATTTATTTGAAGAGTAAAATTTTAAGATAAAATTGTCCATAATTCTCTTTTAATTTTGAATTAATTTTAAAACTCAACGTAAATTCGTTGTATTTTAAAAATTGTATAGCATCCTTATATTTTGAAACAACGTGGCATAAAATTTCTTTTTATATACTATCTTTCGTCCGGCTGTCTCATTTACTTTTTTTTCGTATTGATATTTGAATATTATTTATTATATCAAAACATACTACAAATTAAAAAAAATTACAAAAATACTTTCATTGTCTTATAATAGTATTAGAAAGATATAATAAATATTTGTACAAAAAAAAATTATATAAATATAAAATATTTTTAATATTAAATATAATAAAAATAAATATGACTTTTGAAAATATATTCTTTTATAAGAAAATAATAAAAATATAAATGAACGCCATGAAATATTTAAAATATAATAGAAATTTATGCTTAATTATATGTGGATAATTTTCCAAATTTTAAATTTAAAAAATTATTTGGTACGATTGAAAAAACACTCAGTTGGATATAACCTTATTTATTTTCTAATAATATACATACACATAACAAATACGTTTTCCGTTCGTACGGACAGCCAAAGGCCCTGAAAATTGTCCGTACACTACCAAGTGACCTACGGTATGGTAACAAACAACGTTAGGTCACGTAAAAGTAAAATTACTCGACTGTAATGGTAAAACTATGTGACCCTATGCTCGTACTTCTCGCTGCTCTTTCACGGCTCGTTTGTTTCGCCATTTTATTCTCCGGCGGGGCCTTGAATTTCGACTTCGACGAAAGCTCGTGGACGGAGTCCGTTATCTTGACGGTGCATGACACGATGTCGATCAGCAGAGACGCGTCCGTGAGCAACGGGATTACGTCGAGGAGATCCATGTCGGGCCAGAGGCTGCTTTTGGTTTTCAGACAGGATTTGAGTTTTTGGGCCGCGGTCTTGGCGTTGACAACGTGGGAGTCGACTGTCGATGGCCTTGTCATTGTGTTGATCGCCGTTGCGAGCTCCCGAAGGGCGAGGCTGCACTCTGAGCACATTTTTGAACATAGTTCTTGAATTCTTGCGCGCGCTTCCATTGGCGCCTGCTTATGTTAGGACATGAATTTAGTAAGTACAATGTCAATTTGGTCCTAAATAATTCGATTTGACTACTTATGTTAGGATATGAGTTTAGTAAGTACAAGGTCGATCTAGAGCTAAATAATTCGATTCGACTACTAATGTTAGGACACATTTAGTAAGTAAGTACAAGATCGATTTGGTGCTAATAATTCGATTCGACTACTTATGTTAGGACACGAGTTTAGTAAATAATTGGATTCAACATCTTAAGAGATTTTCTATATTTTGTTATAACTATTCAGAATTAGGACACAAGTTTAGTAAGTACAACATCGATTTGGTCGATTTGGTGCTAAATAATTCATTTTGACTACTTATGTTAAGTACAAGATTGATTTGGTGCGAAATAATTCGATTCGACTACTTATGTTATGACACATTTAATACGTTCAAGATCAATTTAGTGCTACATATGTTAGGACACGATTTTAGTAAATAATTGAATTCAACATCTTAAGAGATTTTCTATATTTTGTTATAATTATTCACATTTAGGACACAATTTTCATCAAGTACAACATTGATTTGGTGCTAGATAATTCGATTAGACATCTTCAAAGATTTTCTATATATTGTTATATTTTATTTCAATTTATATTATATTTTATATATAGGTCTCTAATTTCAGTACTCTTAGAGTTGAAAATAAGACTATAAATCCTAACATGACAAAAGTAAGTAGTAACAATTCGAAAAACTTGTTGTATGGATAAGTGAATTTTAATTTTGTTCAATGATACAATCCTAAATTTACATATAACGTGTGCGTTAGGACAAAGCATGTAATGAATTTTACCTGCACAGACGAGTTGAGACGGGCATTCAACGCATCGATCTTGTACGCGCACTCTCTTGTAAGAGATCCAACCTTGAGATATTGGTTCCAAGGTTGTCGGTACCTAAATTTACCATGTCGAGGCTCCCATTTCGCAAAATTCACCTAATCAAAAAAAAAAAAAAATCAACATTTCAAAATCTAACAAGTTAGAACAAAATATGGTTAAAATTCTCACAACCCTTAAAAATACATGTTTATTTCAAATTCCACAACTCACCAATGAGTCCTCGATCCCTTTCGAGTTTAGGACACTCTTGTATTGAGACAAAGACGCCGTCTTGTCCTGACTTCCCTTCTTTGATCCGTGAAAGTACTCTCGCTCGAAACCTAATCAATTCAATTCATTTGCATACATTACTCAAATCGATCATTGCATATTGCAGCTTGGTGATCATAATTATTACAACAATTGACATTACCTTCCAAGAAAATCCCAAGCTTGTCGACATTGGCTGCAGTTAGTTTGTGAAAATCCTCACCCGCCCAGACCGGACACACGAACACACAAATGAAAACAGTGGCAGCGCCGCCTATGAGGATCGTGGACAGCCTCTTATAGGCCATGTCGATAACCTCATCGTCCCGGTAGCCGGAAACCGAGATCAAACTAAATGTAAGGATGAATATAAGAAGCCCGTAATCGAACCTCGCCTTCACCTTAGGAAAGAATCGAACATACGTCGCCACAGAGGCTGCAAGAAAATCAACAACCATCAATCAAACTACCGAAAAATACCGCTTGCGGGAATATCGCGCATACCGATAAGAAAAATTAAATATACCGAAAATTCAATATTTCCATTTTTTATTTCAATACATACCTAAAATACTACTATATTGTTTTGATAATTTGTATTTTATCTATTATTCAATTTTATGTTCATTTGATTGTCATCAACAAATATTATCATTTTCTACTATAAAAAAACACTATATTTTTATTTATTATTTTAAAATTTTCAACAAAAGGAATATATATTTTTTTTGTTAAAATTATAAAATTACTTTTGATATATATATCGATATCATAGGAATAATTTGATACAAGAATGACTATATCCAAAATCTAAATTGAACCCAGATTATACCTAGATCCAATTATACCCGGATTCGATTCAAATAATATTCGATGATGATGGACCCAATAGACCCAAAAATTTTAACTCAAAATTAGATTTGACCCAGATCCGATATATATTAATTTATGTATATTATTAAAAAAATATTGTAATAATTAATTAATTAAACTTAAATATATTTTTAATATAATTCAACCCAGACCCAATAAGGATACATAATACCCGATCTGAATCGGACTCAATACACAAATAATTGGACTCAACTTCAAATAAATAGGTCATGTGTGAACAAGGTCTCGAGTTTAGCCAAACTCATTATCATTTCTAATTTGATGTATCAAATCATCCATATAATACAATATATATATATATATAATTCACTATGTATAGGATATAATTGAATATTTTGGATATACTGTACCGAATTATTACTAAGATTAAGGTTAAAATGTAATTACCAATCAAGAAAACAGATATCCCAAGAATTACACACTCGATCTTTTCCCCTGCAAAGCTTGCCAATCTGTGCAACGCCACGCCCAATGCTCCACCCAGCAACGTAGCAATCGCTCGATTGATTCCTTTCCCAAGCGTCGCCCCTGAAATTCGATCCAAACATTATAAATTAACTCGAAGATTCGAAGGGTTTTGTAAGGAAAACGAAGAAGTTAAACTTACCTACGGAAAACTCGAAGACTACAACGACAGTCATTACAGCCCACATTGCAGACACGCCGAAGCCTTCATAGGAGAAATCGAAATAGTAGAACAAGGAAACTAAGGATATGGCTAATCCAACTTTCAGTGAATGCACGATTCTCCGAGGATCTTCCTTTCCTAATTTTTGGGCATCCTTTGCAGTTCCAATGATTCGACCAATTAGGTTTCCGAAGCACCCCTTTTCTTCTTGAGACGACGCCATTGGAATTGCAGTTTTGTAATTTGAAAAAAAAGCCCTAATTGTAAAGTAACTGCCTGTTTTTTGGTTCAGGCATTTCGTCGAACGCTTGATGGACGCATGTATTTATAAGGATGTGTTGTGTGTATGTCTTCCTGATGGTTCCACGAATCTTCTCCACACACCAACATGGGTGTGTGTGTGTGTGTTGTATGGCATTATTATTATTGCATTCACGGATTCACCTGTTCCAGCGGTGACTCACCTGTGAAACAGCTGTCGTAAAAACACACGGTTTCGGTTCCAATCTTTTAGTACAATTGGTTTGTTCATTTTTAATTTTTTAATGAATATAGGTTTTGTTCTTGCTATATATTTTCTTTTAACACCATTTTCAATACATGTAATATATATTTTATTATTTTATAAAAGTTATCCTTCAAAATAAAATAATATTATTATATTCTTTTTAGCGTTTTTTATATTTCAAATATATATATACATTAAACTAAAATATTAAACAAAAACAACCATACTTTTTATATTAAATATAAAAATTGTATCACTAAAATAAAAAATAATACTACATTTTATATTATATTTTTGTTTTTTATAATAAAAATATATTACCTCTGTCCGGCTTTAATGATCTCTTTTATTTTTCACCGTGTTGATCTTTAATATTAATTATTATATTAAACCATAGTACAAATTAAGAAAAAATTAAAAAAATACTTTTATTAGTGTCTTGTAATACTAATAGAAGATCATTTGTAAAAAAAAAATTATACAAATATAAAAATATTTTTAATATGAAGTACAATAATGCAAAAAGCAAATGTCATCCATAGAGGCGAACTAAAAGAATATATTATAAATATTTACGAAGAATCATATTCAAAATATACAAAATGAACAAATTCAATTTATTTTAACAAATAATAATCAATTTATTACTATTTAATATACTCACCGAATTATTTTCTGTAATATTTTTTTTATTTATCTCATTTTAATATTAAAATATGAAAATGAAAGTGTAGTCTAATGGCAAAGCCCTTAACTCTTTGTTTAGTATTTTAATTCAAAAAAAATTTCTTGTAAAATATGAGTAATGGTATTAGTAACATAAAAATTCGTATTTTATGTTGATATTAATTTTTCTAATAAATATTATATATAATGATAATTGTGTAAAATGAATAATTCAGTGAGCAAACTTTATAACTTTTAAGCTTACATAATTTGATCGTACCTAGAGCATACTAATTTCTACGGTTTTGGGTCATTATTAATTTATTTTTTGGGAGGGTTTTATGTAATTAATCGATCTGTGCTGGCAATAAATTCCCCTTACGTTACTACGTCCGTACATATTCTGCCTCCTAACATTTATTTATTTAATTGTTTATTGGCCTCACAAGAGTTGGTGTTTTGAATGTCTCAAAGTTGCCTTAATAATACAAGTTTTAATTTAATAAATACTATTTCAGTTCCAACTTTCTCAAAATATTTTTGATAAATACAATATTTTGTTATATATATATATTTTTATGGAGAAATCAAACATAAGATTGGACAAAGAAATAATAAATTGTGGGAGTCAGATTTAGGCTCTAAAATAATTTCATTGAGAAATTAAAATACAAATATGAAGTTTAGAATGTACTGTATTTATTTGGATTTAGTTTGAAATTTTTTTATTTGAGTCTCATATCAAAAACAATATTTGATAAGATTAAATCAAGACATTGACTTTAGTATTATTATCTGCATTTTAATTTATAATTAGTTTTTTATTAACCATGTTGTTTTTATTGATTATTTAATGAATCTATCATAATACTTATTATTTATTTTTATACTAACATATTATAAGTTTTTAGTATATATTTAGAAAAAAAGGCACAAAAAATTAAGAATAAAAAATTATTTTTATTTAAAATTAAATAATAAAATAACATAAAAGGACGCACCCCCCAAGCCCCATATATAATTTATTTATTTATTTATTTATTTATTGATTGCAGTTTATATGGGCAGTCGTTTAGCTAACTACAAGTGGGCGACTTGACCAGGGGCGGACGCATCAGGTCCAAAAGAATTCCTTTTTTTGGTTAAAATATTAAAAATATATAATTACATTAATTGAACTCCTAATTCAAGTTAATTTTCCTGTTTAGCTTTCATTTTATTATTTTTATTTATAATTGTACTTATTGGGAAATTTTGGGTCTAGGTTTAAAAACTAAGCCTTAATTCAAAGTTTTTTTTTTTTTTTTTTTTTTTTTTTATTTCGTTAACTTTTGCTAAATAAAATCTTCTTTTTGATAACAATAACAATATATGATTATTTTAAATTATAAATGTATTATACTAATAAAAGATACTCTTTCCATCTCACTTATCATATTCATCTTTTTATTTTCGTCTGTCAATTTATTCTGTTATTTTTCTTTTTAAAAAGAAGTATACACTTTAATCACATATTAAATTTTAATTAGACTGATTAGTTATGTTAATTTTAAATTTAAAATTATTTTTATTATATAATAATTATTTTTACTAATAAATTCTTAATTATTTATTAATTATATCTCTCATAAATTCTTATGGTAAACGAGACACAATAACCGGACGGATGGAACAATATATAACTATTTAGTAATGACTTTCATTCGCCTTTGGTGCAACATCTTCTTCCCATTGTTTACTCTTCTTTTTTTACCTCGTTGTTGTTGTGTCATCTTTTTTCTATTGTGTTAAAAAGGAATAAAAAAATGACAACATCGAATTGGTGGGGGGTGAATCTCATCGAATTGGTGGGAGTGAATCTCGATGGATCATGCACATGTTCTTATAATCTTTTGAATCTATTACCAAAAGACAAGTTTAATTGACTTGTCCAAGTATATTATAACTGAATAACCGTTGTCATCTAAAAGTTAAAATTGTTAAAAATATGACATCAAACATGCTCCATCTCGTACAAGAGGAATAAAGGTCATTAAATAAATTTTGTATGTAAACAACAACAAATTGAAGATAGTAAGACTTGAACTCAATACCTAAGATTTAATTTTTTTTTTGGTGAAACAGTCATTTAAATTATCTTAATAATAAACTTTAAAAAAATCAAATCAGGACTTACTAGCTCTGCCTTTTGGATTGGTTATGACGAACTATGTAAATTTTGTCTAATTTTAAAATAAAAATTATTTTTAGGATTCTATAACTATTAGTTTTTATGTTTATGTTTACATAATTAATTTTCACTTATTAGTATTATTCTTTTTTTTAAAAAAATAAAAATTATATGAAATACACATTTTTTTCTCCTAAAATATTAAATCAACTATTAATTTTTTATTTTCTTTTTAAATTTACAAAATTCCAATTTTATTTTTATTTTATTTTTATTTTATTTTTTTTAAAATCTACAAAATTCCAAAAATCTTTGGAAACTTAGATGTAAACGGAACTATGATTCTAAGGTTGAGGTCAATGAGGTGGACTTTTGTCAATTGGTAAGTAAACAACATAGTGTGAATAATTGAAAATCTTGTTTTATCGTCGGAGAGTGTCATGATTAATTGTCCTAATAAATTATTATTATTATTATTATTATTATTATTATTATTATTATTATTATTATTATTATTATTATTATTTTATTTTATTTTATTTTAAAAAAGATTCCTGAATATGTGTAAGGTTGTATTAAATTAGTCTCACAAACTTGACAAATTTGTTAGGTCTTTACAGCAGACCGACGGCGACTTGTAAGAAAGCGGTGGATGTGCTTGGAAGCTTGCGGGAGCACCGGATTTTGATCAATCTATACCGTCGATTTCTGTCTTGGTCTATAATATCAATGGATTTGATTGATCGGGTTCTGAGATCCGGGATCTTCTGGGAATAAGCTGTGTGAATGAAGACGTGGTGTGCGTACCACCTTTTTATATTTTGTTTTATCTCATGTTTATTTTGATGTGATGACGTGTACTCAATTATTTCAAAATTTGTGAAAAAAAAAGAGCAAAGTTAGCTTATTAAAATGGATTTGTTTGGTAGGGTGTTTGGATTTTTTTTTTTTTTAATTTGAATAATAAAATAATTAAAATAGTTATGTGATATAAATAAATATTAAATTGACATTTTTAATATAAAAAATTTAAACTAAAATTTAATATTTAATATTTTTAGAAAAAAAATTACATGAATATGAAAAATTATTCAAATAAACATACTTTTAATATTTTTTGGTCCAAATGTGAGTATTTATTTAAGTTTTCCTAATATATTAAAAAATAATATTTTATTTGTCTCACAATAAAGTATACAATTTTTATTTTAGATGTTTCATAACAAATATTGTATTTTTGTATTTAGTAAAATTGACTAATTTTAAAATATATTTAATTAATATAAATTAATTTAATTCATTTCACACCATATAAAATCATAAATCACATATGATCCACTCAAAATCTTTATTTATGTATTTCCTTAATAATAAAAAATTTTATTTAGGTCTAAAACTTTCTATATTTTACTCCCCCGTTCCAATATTTTAGATTTATTACTGTAGATACGAAAATTTAGGTAAAATATAATTATTAGTAATTAAGAAGTATATTAGTAAAAAGAATTATTAATTAATAAAAATAATTATAAATTAAAATTAAAATTAAAATAAGAAAATAGTTTAATTAAAATTGAGAAAATTATAAAATTTAAAATTTAAATGTGATTAAAGTGCATAATTATATTTCCAAAAATAGAAAGAACAAGATATGTAGGACGGACGAAAATAGAAAATAAGGACAAATTATGTGGGACGGAAGGAAGTATAAAATTATTATATATTATCTTCTATAGACACTAGATTTTAGGAGAAATATAATTAATGAATAATTAACAAATATATTAATAAAAATAATTATAAAATAAAATTAAGATAACTAAATAATTTAATCAAATTAAAAAAATTATAAATTATAAAATAGAAAAATTGATCAAAAGTGTAATCCTTTTCCTAAAATTAAAAAAGACAAATTATGTAAACGGACGAAAATAAAAAAAAAAAAAATATTTCATGCGCGACGAAGGAAGTTAATTATTGTGTCGAATTTGTATTAATCCGCATATATAATTGGGATCAAAATCATTGATCCAAAAGTTTATTTCGTATCGAATTTATATCAAATTATTGTGGCGTATCTATTTTTGTCACGTCCAATTAAAATTAATAAAATAGTGTTGTACGTAGCTCATGCAAATTGAAAAGTAAATCGGCCCAAAACTGGCATCAGCCCAATATGATGAACCAATAATGCAAGCAGATGCATAAAACTTAGGGTATGTTTTGATTTTTCAAAAAAATTTTAAATTTTACTATTTCACTCTTATTTTTTTGAAAAAAAAAAATATATTCCATCAAATTCAAATTAATTTTTTTTTTAATTTATCGAAAGAAACAACCCTTAATAGTATGAGGATTATGGGAAATTAAGGGTGAATTATAAAAAATTATATTTTATCTATTTTTTAAAAAATCAAGTTCATCAAATTAAATATAAATTTCAATACTAGAAATAATAGTATTTAAATTCAAATTCAAATAAAAATTAAAACCCGTAAAAACCAAACAAATCAAAAATATCTGCTATTATGCCTAAACTGACCCTGAGCTCAAAAATCGAATTAGAGTTATTTTTGGAGTATATCGAAGAGTCAAGTGTAAGTGACGGCAGATTTTAATCATTACAAACGCTGACGATGCGTCTGTGTTAATTTCCATGTTACATTTTTTTTTTTTTTTAAACAGTACTACTATTATTTTCGAATGACGAGAGTAATTTTTTTCTTTAAATTTTTTTTTTTTAATATTCTTTAGTTTATATTAAATGATATTCTTTCATTCCATTTTAATTATCTCTATTTTCCTTTTTCCTGTCTTACTTCAATTAGCATATTTTTTTTTTTGGTAATAAATATATATAAATTTAATAAATTTTAGGAGAAAAATCAATTTTAATCCAAATATAATCAAAATTTATCAATTTTGATCAAAATATAAAAAACTCATCAATTTTGGTCCCAATATAACCAAAATTTATCAATTTTGGTCCAAATATAAACAATTTCAATCAACTTTTGTCCGATTATAAATAATTTTAATCAATTTTGGTCCTACCATTAAAAAACTAATGGAGATTGCTGACGTTGACGTGATGGATGTGACGTGGCAGTTGACCTGGAAAATACACGGCCATATATACACGGCCATATTGTTACATGACCATGTATATTTCATTGTATAATTATGCACGACCATGTTGTTACAGGGTCATGTATATTTCAGTGTATAATTATACATGGTCATGTTGTTACACGGCCATATACAATTATACACGGCTATGTACATTTTTATTTTAGTTTAAAATTTTACTTTTTTTGTTATATTTTTTTTTAAAAAAATTATTTTGAATTTAAGATAGTTAATATAGTTAAAATTGACAAAATCAATAGTAATTATAATATAATTAAAATTTGTCAATTTTAATTCAAATATATAAATTTATAAGATATATTTTTTTGAAATATTTTGTCTAAAATTTTATTATTCACAAAAAAAATTTCTCTTACAAACATTCAATTACACAACTATTTTTTTAATTTTATATATTATAGTAGTATTAAAAATTAATTTATTATTTCAATACATTAATTGGATGTTTGTAAGAGAATTTTTTTTGCTAAATAGTAGAATTTTAGACAAAATCTTCCAAAAGAACATACTCGATAAATACTCATATTTGAACTAAAATTTATATATTTTAATTATATTATGATTATTGTTGATTTTTTTTCATTTTAACTATATCAACTATTCTAAATTCAAAAAGAAAAAATTAAAAATATAACAACAAATTAAAATTTTAAACCGAAACAGAAAAGTATACGACCGTGTAAAATTATATATGGTCGTGTAACAACATGGTCATGTATAATTATACACTGAAATATACATAGTCATGTAATAACATGGCCGTGTATAATTGTACATGGCTGTGTAATTATACATTATATACTGAAATATACATGACCCAGTAACAACATGGCCGTGTATAATTGTACATGACCGTGTAATAGCATGATCATATATAATTATACACTAAAATATACCATATAACAACATGGCCGTGTATTTTCCAGGTCAACTGCCACGTCACCTCCGTCACGTCCACGTCAGCAATTTCCATTAGTTTTTTAACGGTAGGATCAAAATTGATTAAAATTATTTATAATGGGACCAAATTTATTGAAATTGTTTATATTATGACTAAAATTGATGAGTTTTTTTATATTGGGACCAAAATTGATGAGTTTTTTATATTGAGACCACAATTGATAAATTTTGATTATATTGGGACCAAAATTAATTTTTTCTCTTAATTTTATAATATATAACATCACATGTAATTATAATCCACTTAAAATCATTTTAATTTTAGTATTTTTTTAAAATAAATATTTTTATTTATATTTAAAATTCACATTTTTTACAAATTTAATTTTCTTAATTATAAATAACTAAATATATTTTTTATATTTTTTATTATTTAAAATTTTATTTTCTACGAAATGATACCCATGTTACATATACTCCTCTCGTCTCATAATTACATATCCGTATGTTTTTTTGCACGAAGTTTTAAAAATATTAATTATACTACTCCCTCCGTCCCACGTACCATGTCCACGTTGCTATTTCTATCCGTCCCACATTCATGTCACTTTCATTTTTTATAAATGATTACACACTTTAATCTAATTTTAAAATTTTTAATTAATTTATTTTTTTAATTTTAATTAAACTAATTAGTTATTTTAATTTTAATTTATAATTATTAATATTATAAGATAATTATTTTCACTAATATATTCTTAATTATCTATTAATTACATCCCTGCTAAAATTCCGTGTCTACAGTGTAGCAGATACAGTGTGAGAGACGGAGGGAGTATAATAAGTAGGAATAAAATAAAAATGACTAAAATAATATTATTTGTATTGTGTGATATAAAAATAATCACATTTGTATAATATACTGTAAATTATAAGAGTATTTGTAATATATGTACAATTATTAAAAAAATTAATACTTTATTATGAGATAAATTAAAATAAAAAATAAATATTTTATTATAGGATAAGAAGGATAATTATTTTTCGTAATTAGTGTTATTTTCATTTCAAAATAAAAAATAATATAAAATTTAAAATTTGTTATCTTTTATAAAGTTTGAAAAAATAATTTAAATTTAATATTTAAATAATATATAATATAATATTTTATTTAAAAAAAATGTATATTTTCTTTCGAAACATAAAATTCAAATAGAGTTTGATACGTAAACAAACGCACCCTAAATAAGTCTTTTTTTTCTTTTTTTCTAATAAAAACAATGATTAGGCAGATAATTCACTGTTGAGAGATCCGAGGACTTCAGCACCGCGAAATAAAATCCAACCACGCACCAAACCAATCAACGGCCAGATTTTCATCAGGTCTCCAAGTCCTAGGATCCTACAAATATTTTCTTTCTTTCAACCTCCTCCTGACAGCATATATGACTGCACTCCACTTTGGAACTCTTGAAGAAATCATTTCTAGCGTCGGAACCGTCGTTGTAGAAAGTACGCAGACAGACAGACGGCGGCGTTCGGACAGCACCACCGACGAAGAAGAGAAGAAAGAAGAATTCGGACATGGGCGTGCCTTCCTTCTACAGATGGTTAGTAAACAAGTACCCCAAAGTTGTATCAGACGCTGAAGAAGATCGACGAAGTTCCGACAATGGAGGCCTGGAGTTCGATAATCTCTACCTCGACATGAACGGGATCATCCACCCCTGCTTTCATCCCGAAGATGATGTAATAATTTCTTCCTTCAATGACCTAATTTTCGAAATTAATTAGGATTTGGTTTTAGGGACACAGCTGTTTGTGGATTACTGTTAGAATTTTGAAAACCCTAATTTTAACGTTTAGTTTTCTGTAAATTTCGTCGGTTCGACTGGATCTCGATCGAGAGCTTGTGGCTGAGGATTTCTTTTTTTTTTTTTCTTTTTGGTGATTTTAAGGTTTTCCCTCCGACGTCGTTTGAGGAAGTGTTCAGGCGTGTCTTCGATTACGTTGATCGTCTCTTCGCCATTGTTAAGCCACGGAAGCTTCTGGTCATGGCCATCGGTATTAACGCCCTCTCTCTCTCTCCTCTTTCTCTCTCTATATATGCACACATATATATATATATACTGTTGTCCTAACATATCATGGGATAGATTATATGATGGCCTAAAATGGATCTAAAAGAATTGGGTAAGTAGGGTTTCAAGATCGACAATGTATTTATGTAAAAGGTCTATCTTTTTTATTTATTTATTTTTTAAAATTTTGATTTGGTTTGAAGGTTTGGATTTGTAATTTAAATAATATTTTTGTTGGAGAAAATTTTTATGGAGAATTTATATATATATATATATATTTTGAAAAATATGAAGCAGGTAGTAAAGAATTATTTTCTTTCGTAATTCTGATGTATTTCAAATTTTCAAAGCTTCGATTTTTATCATTTCAAATGCTCTATAAAGATCTTAATGAGATCCATTGTTTTATAAACTTCAATGTAAAATCTAATTTCAAATAGACATCCATCATATTATTTATTAGTTAGATTTCGAATGTAATGAATCGTACTCATATAAAGATATTACATGTTGTAGACGGAGTTGCTCCTCGAGCCAAGATGAATCAACAAAGAGCGCGACGATTTCATACTTCGAAGGACAATCAAATGGCGGTACGAATTATATACGAGCAAACACTTATCCACATTTGTCTCTAAATCAATCTTTGATGTGTTTAATGTAGGAAGAAATTGAACAAAAATTAAGACAAGAGTTTGAGAAGCAGGGGAAAATGTTGTCACTTAAAAAACAATCCGACGTTTCTGATTCAAATATCATCACTCCCGGGACTGAATTTATGCACATGTTGTCCAAGAAGCTTCAAGAGTACATCAAGTCTCGAATATTCGGCGGTGATCGAGCTTGGGCAAACATTAAGGTTGTCTGAGATTAAGAAGCTTCTTTATTCTTGTGATACAAAAGATTGCTCGAAAAAGTTAACCAATGATGTTTTTAATTTCATTTGAAATGTAATGTTTTTTACATATGTAGGTTATTTTATCGGATGACAATGTTCCCGGCGAGGGGGAACACAAAATAATGTCCTTCATACGCGCACAACGGTCGTCGCCGGGTTACGATCCCAATACACGACATTGCCTTTATGGTTTGGTAGGCGATATTAATTATACACAATCAACTTTGGAATTTGTAATGTTTTTTGTTGTTTTTGATCTTTTTCGGTTGCTAGTTTTGTATAGAACTTTCCGTTATCGCAGTTGAATCTTGCACGTATACTAAAGTTGTCGATTTGTCTTGTCTAACCGCTTTAAGGGTTTCATATATATATATATAAGTCAAGATAATATTTTTGAATTGTGAATTTACGAGATTATATTGTGACGATTGTTGAAGTATTACTAATTGCAATTTTTTTTTTTTTTTTAAATTGATGATTGTGAATGATTGATTGTTCATTCATGTGTAAGAAATTTTGCTTCTCATTTTGCTCAATAATGTTTCTAATAATGTAGGATGCGGACTTGATCATGCTTGGATTGGCGACACACGAACTCCATTTTTCTATCCTTAGAGAGGTTAGATAATTCCGTTGCCGCGATATACATTTCGTATCGAAATTAAAGTATTGTTTTTAAATTTATATATTACCAAATCAAGTGGTTCGATTGTTTGTCCATAGGAAGTATTGTCCGCTGATTATCAACACCATCGAGCACTTGCGTCTGTGAATCCTCCGCAAGAATCCGACAAGATAGCATGTATTAAAAAGCAACCTTATCAGGTATGTCTTGCCACCAAAAGATCGCTTGATGTAGTTGGTTTTAAAAATTTGTATGCATGTTAATAAATTTTAGGCGAATTTTATGTTCGGCATTTGCAGTTCATCAACTTATGGGTGCTCCGAGAATATTTGGCGTTGGAATTTTGTGAAATATGTGGCGATAATATCGCCAACGTCGATAGAATGATTGATGATTTCATCTTCATGTGTTTCTTAGTCGGAAATGATTTCCTTCCTCATTTGCCGAGTCTTGAAATTCGAGAGGTTCGTGCTTTTGTAATATTTCCAAAAATTCACAACATGCGTGTTTGTCATCGTATTTGGTTCTTTAAAACGATAACTATTTCTTTTGCACTATAGGGTTGTATTGATTTGATGATGAAAGTTTACAAGGATAATTTCGAGAGTTTCGGTGGTTACTTGGTCGACATGCAACGGGTAAGGGCTATGAACTTTTTCGGGCATTTTGATAATGCAATTATTAATCGAAGCATTTTGAAAATCGTAGGTCGATGACAAGAAAGGTGGATATATAAAGCTAAAACGTGTCGAAAGGTTCATACTCCTAATCGGTGAGTACGAGGAAAAGATTTTCAACAGAAGATTGGAGAGTAGGGATCGATTGCTAAAACGAATCATTTCCGAATACAGTGATTCCGTAAGTGTGTCGAATCTAAATCTTTGCTAACCCTTCTATCTATGTCCTTTTCTTACCTTGTCTTATTGTCCCGATCGACACTTTTCGAAATCTCGTTTTATTTAGAAAGAGGAGGAGAGCATTGCACTAGATGAGGGATGGTCGTCGGATATCGTTTGTGCTATCACGGTTTGATAAATCTAATTATTTTGTAAATTTTCGAAAAATTGAAGTGCCGTTGATTTTTATTTTGTATTATATTTTGGTAGGATCCGATTGCTCTAGCAGCTTCGGTAATCACCGATGATGATGAGGTAGCTTCCATAGACCATACAGCTTCTTTACTTGTGTTTTGATGCTTTCTTGCTTTCATTTGATTCTATCGATCATGTCTTGATGTGTTTTGATTTAGATTAAAAACATGAAGGAGCTAAAGCAAGCAATACAAGATATTCGGAAGAAACAATCCGATTTGTTCAAAGATGGATTCATTGGAACTGATAAGGTATCTAATTCTTACACACTTTATATCTCGACTTTTGGTTTATTTTATATGTGAGAGATGTGCCTTCTTACAACCTCGGGTGCAGGTGAAATTCGGGAAAGAAGGATGGAAAGAACGATACTACCGGGTCAAATTCAGCGCTCAAGACTCAGCCGAGGCTGAAACCATTCGAAAATCTGTGGTTTGTTGTCTTACTACATTTGTAGTCTGATCAAACCTTTGTCTGATCATTAAACATTTTGACATGTTTTTAACGTTCTTTCGATTGTTAGGTGGCAAAGTTTGGAGAGGGTCTTTGCTGGTCACTTCTTTACTATTTTTCCGGAGTCCCTTCGTGGACTTGGTACGTATGTATACAAAAAATATCGCAACATATCTTTCCTAGTTTTGTTCTTTTTAAGGATTTTGTCATAAACTATTTCCTTATAATTTCGATGGCAGGTTCTATCCATATCATTATAGTCCATTACCGTCCGATTTCAAGGGTCTTTCGCAAACAAAGGTGAAGTTTGAGAAAGGATTGCCATTTAAGCCCTTTGACCAACTGATGGGTGTCCTCCCGCCTTCAAGGTATTGCTGCCGTATATATATTGGTGTGTTTCTTACATAACTTTTTGCTGCTATTAATGTTGACCCGATGTTTTTACAATTCACGGCGCGCCCACTAGCTCCCATGCATTACCGGTAGCATACAAAGGGCTTATGACCGATCCAAATTCTAGCATTATCGATTTTTATCCTACTGGTAAGTCTTCCAACTATAGTTAGTTTTATACACAATTGAATATATCTTTGAAAGAACCTTATGTATCTGACAACTATTTATTATTACACAAGATTTCGAGACGGACTTGGATGGGAAGAGGTTCACTTGGCAGGTATGAATTGCTGTTTTTGTAATAAGAATGTTGAATCCTTGGTTGTCCGATTTCTATCGTATATAATGTTGTTGCTTCTTGTTGTGGTAAGGGTGTAAGTAAGCTTCCGTTTATTGATGAAACACGTCTACTGGCAGAGACGAGCAAACTCGAGAAGGAGCTTGAGGTGTAATATTAAACATTATGTTGTCCTAATTACTCTATCCTCGAACATTAGACATTGTCGACACAATTGTTGTTTGAACACTTGTAGGACAAGGAGAAACTTAGAAATTCGGAGAGCATAAATAAGTTGTTCTTGAGGAAATGTAGTTTGGGCAACTCCGGAAGAACACCGTCCGAGAAAATTAAGGATGCGATAAAGATGGAGTGTACAATGTAAGTGAATAGTTTTATCTGTACTATGATATAGGGAAAATTGCAAATTTAGTCACTTACGATTAATTATCACTTTTTTTCTCATAATTTTGGTCAGGTGTGTTTTAATCTTGCGCTTTACAAAAAAATGATTTTGGACAAAATACAAGACGAAAACATAGCCAAGGAAATATATAGGACAAAATCAATAATTGACTATATAGGATTAAATTTGCTATTTTTACATGTATCTATGGTGTCGCATCTTTTCATTAATCGATGCACGACTTATTTCTTTCAGCGAAGGACTAAAAGGATTTGTACATGTGATGCCCCACGACTTGCTTAAAGCTGATGATGAATGTTCTGGCTGGGATGTAATGTAAGAAAATTACTATGTAATAAGTTTTTGCGCGCTTCGTTCTTACATGTTCATTGTCTTTCTTTTGGATGTTTAGGTGTTCTTTCATGCCCCACAACTTGGTTAAAGCTGACGATGAATATTCGGGCCGGGATGTAATGTAAGAAAATTAGTATGTAATAAGTTTTTGCACGCATCATTCTTACATGTTCATTGTCTTTCTTTTGGATGTTTAGGTGTTCTTACATGCCCCACGACTTGATTAAAGCTGATGATGAATATTCCGGCCGGGATATAATGTAAGAAAATTAGTATGTAATAAGTTTTTGTGCCCTTTGTTCTTACATGCTCATTGTCTTTCTTTTGGATGTTTAGGTGTTTGTACCATGAGGTCCGGGAAGAATCCCAACACATTCCTAGGCTTCTCGAAGGTGTAACAATTCCGGGCCAGGTAAGTAGTAGTAACCTACATTCTAATTCATTCGGAACCTATGTTAAAACATTAATCCTCGACACACTTGTAAGGTACATTTTTGCATTTTACAGACCGTTCGACCGGAGGACATAGAAGAAACGACACTATGGCACGAGAGGTATGGAAGATACCTGAATAACTGGTTCCGTTCCGTAGCTTATTCGGCAACAATTCTTAAAAATCTACACAAATAAATATGCGTGATAAAGTACATTTTTTGTTCCTCTTATTTATCTTTGTGTCAATTTCGGTCTCTCTATTTTTATATTAAAACTTTTGATCCATCATCTATCAAATTAAATCAATTTTAGTCCCTAATTACCATTTTTTTTTAAATTTTAACAAATGACTAAAATTACACTTTAACAATGATTATATTTGCTAATATTTCAATATAATTAGGGACTAAAATTAAATTAATTTGATAGATGATGGATCAAAAGTATTAATTTAAGAATAAGATTGAAATTGACACAAAAACAATAAGAGAAACAAAAAAAGAGAAAGTATTTTCTCCTGCATCTAATTTCGTTTTCGTACTTTTGACTTTTTTTATTATAAAAATTTTTATGTTAAAAAAATAAAAGAGAATATCTAGACTATAGATATTCCCAAATTTTCATTATTCACAATTTTTTTTTCACAAAAACATAATTTTTACATTCAAAATATTATATCATCCTATTATTTCAATTCAAAATTTTTATTACTTAATTCTTAACTCAAAATTCAAACTTCTAAACAAACACACCCAAGAGTTCATAACTTTTTGTAACTGTAAGATTATGACACAAAACAGAGTTCATCCTCAAATTCCGACGAGACAAAACAGTAACGTCAAAGCAAGATTGCCGCCACTCGGAAACTTTAAAGCTCCGGGAGGAGGCCGAGGAAGAGCAGGTTTCGATAGAGCAAATCATGTCCCGGGACCCGGCATTGGACATCAGCAAAGATTTGCCCCGAACTGGGGATCGGGGCATGGTTCAGTGCGGCGCAATTTAAATTTTGATCATCTTAGTATATCCGGTGGAAATAGATACGTTCCGGCCGGCGCCGCTGCAGCTGCCATGCCGGACAGTTTCTCAGGGTTCCGCGGGAACAACTGGAATGGTGCGGCGGCGAACAATTTCCGGCAGTCCGGTGGGCGTGGACGAGGACGAGGACGCGGCGGTGTTCCGACGCCTAACAAACAGTGGAGGCCCCGAAATCAGTTCTAGAGGATGATGATGGTATGTATGTTTTGCAAGAACACAGGATCTGTGTTATTTTGTGTTGTTTTCTGAATTTTGATTGTGGTATGTGTGTTTTGCAAGAACTGCCTGTTTCGTAAAAGCTTTGAACAGAGCTGTGTTGTGCTTGTATTTTGATTATGGATGTTAAGTTGTTTTGGAATGATTTTGGATTTTGGACTTCTTGTTGTCTGTCTTATTTTATACTTTAGTTTGAATGGAAATTAATTGTGTTTGGACTAATTTTGCAGTGGAATGATCAGGGTGTTTTTATATGTTCTTGGAAGTGTGTTGTTATTTTATTGACAGTTTTGGGAAAGGAATATAAGGGCTTTATATCTTGAACTGAGCCCGCCAAGTCAAAAATCAGTATTATAAGATAGTATTTTCTCGGGGTCCCAGATCCCACAACTATAGTCTTGACCGTGATATGATTATTTGTAAAAATAAGATAAAAACAAGACTGTTGTTTTATAAACAAAATTATTAGTATAGTCTGAGCAATATTTTAAAAATTATTGTATTGTTTTTTTATATGGAAACGAGAGATATTATAAATTATTGTAGTTCTTGTGCGCAATTTAAAAATTCAATAAAGTAAATACAACAAAATACATATAAACATGATAAATATATAATCAAATAGAAGTATTTGTATTAAATATTAAAGTTTACAATTATTAAAAAGAGAAATATATACTTCAAAAATATAATTTTTATAAATGGAGAAGCTACCATCCATTACAAGGCAATAAGAACCCTCTGTCGAAAATGAAACCAAAACAAACAACCATAATTCCTGTCCTGCTTCATACAATCAGAATTCAGAACAGGGCCGAAACTTAGTACCCAAAAACACAACTGACTTAACTGATTATAGATTTATAAAAACCACAAATCTTTCTTCAAAATACCTTCAAATCTTGGCTTTCTTTCGCGCCAAGTACCGAGCCTTCGCTGCCGCCACTGCATCGTCACTTCTTTTATGATGATCCTTCTCCACAACCTCTGTATCCTCGCTGCTTTTCAGTTCGTTGGGTGCCGATTGGTTGCTGCCGGATGGCTTGTCTTTGGCTTGATCGTCGGATGAATTATTGGAAACGGGCTTTTCATTGGGAGGAAGATCCTCGGCATCCTCGTCTTGGTGACTCTTAAATGTTCTAGATGATTCTAAACCAGTGTTTGTCGATTCAGGAGAAAGTTGAGCCGGTGGGGGAGCCACCTCTTCTTCGGATTGCTTCTTTCGTTTCTGTGAGGCCGCCTCGTTAGATCCGAATGCCACATTTTTCGACAGGTTGAAGTAGAAATCACTGAGGTCTGTTTTCTTGGTAACCTACAAAATGGAAAAAGACTCGTCAATATTCCTCGACAAACAAAATTCTTAGTATGTTAATATCTCACTCACTAACAGTAACAAGAATAGTTTCGAACCAAAATAAATAAATAAATAAATGAAGGATGAAGAAAGTCTGAGAATTTGTAGCTTACGTCCTCTTTCTCCTCTTTTAATTCGCGTATCCGCTCTTCCTCCAGCCACTTTGCCTGCTCTGCTAGCTTCTTCTTGTATGCGCTCGTGACGAACTTATCTTTATCTGCATAGAGATGTTCATCCTGACTTCTCTCTTTAGCAAGTTTTCTCTCATAAATGATCTCGTGTTCTCTTTCTCGTTTTTTTGCTTTCTCCATCAGTGCTTGAATATATTTAGGCTGCAAATATAGATAGTCGCTCTATCAATCTAAATTTAAAATTGGAAGCTCTGTTTACTTATCGTTTGATTTCAATTTTTTTACTATGCAACAATTGCGATTCCCTCTAAAAATGCACTATTGTCTTCTCACAAAACATCACATTCAAACCACTATTTAAACAAAAAGAAAACCCTAAACAAACCCTTAGTTTCTATTGATTAGAAACTCATTTTTTCAATAAATTGTGGGAAGTTGAATCAAAAGTAAGATTAATCATAAAAGGAGTTAACAAAAGACCAAGTAATCGCTTATATCACAATGGCTAAAAGCATATGCAAGCAAGAACTCAAGACACTATTCGCGTAAGGAAAGTCCTTTGTTAATATTTATGTTTACACCATCAAAACCACCATCCTATCTTGAGAAGATATTAATCATCAATCAGAATAATTGGGTAAGTTCTACACATCCACCAAGTGGCTCCCCATTCTTAGCAGCATTTCTTTTTCCATCCAAATAACAAATCATTCAAGAAATGAAAGAATATATCCAACCGATAGAACAAATTTACCGAGTACATAACAACACTTTTGAAATTTATATGAACAAGAATGAATATACGAATGTACTAAGTTTACTCGCTTATATATATATAACAGGGGTCTTGACTTATCTGTTCGCTCATTAGTTACAATATGAAGTTCTCTCACACTAACCTACCAACAAATGTTTCCGGTAAAAAAATTATACTACAAATCAATCAGAGTATTCGTACCTTTTTATCCTGACGGTCCTGCACTTTGGGAAGAATTTGCTTCTCCTTCATGTCATCGTATACCCCATCATAGTCGAAAGCTGAAGGATCCTCTTCAAGGGCCTTCTTATGCTGCTCTTCAACCTTAAAATCAATGGGAGAACAAATAAGTAATTACTAAAAATCATGCCGACGCAGCAAATACAATTCAAAGTTATAACAACAGAAAGTAGCTATTCGATTTCTTCTGGTCGAGAGAGAGAACTAACATCTTTGTTTGTTTTGTTTTTGTGGGCGAGGCGCAAAATGTCTCTCTCAACACTATCATCATCCTCTTCGGTAAAGCCAAGTGGCTTAGGAAGTGGCGGTTTCGTAGCCTGTTTTTTCTGTTGCGGCTTAACTCTAAGCTGCAAACCATACTTCTTCCCTTCCATTTCTTCTTTTTCTAAATTCCTCGAACCAACCTGAAGGTACCGGAAATATGAACTTTGAATTGACATAAAAGTATCATACCGAATAAATAATTAAACATTAGGCATTTTTTCATGGTAAAAGTAAACCAATCTATGAACCCTAAGTAACAATCAGAGATAAATTACCAAACCCCTATCGAAAAACCCGAGCTTTGCCAACCATTTTGACATCATTAATCTATAACAGTTGATCAGATATTCCATAACGCAAAGCAACCCTAATCAATCAATGTATAAGTCCAAGAAACCAAGCAGAAATGCAGAAAGAAACCCTCTACCGTCTACGTGCAGAAGGGGCAAAATTTGAGTTGAGAATTCGAATGAATGAGTTAACGTTGAAATTGGAAAGGAAATTACACGAGATATAGGAACTCCTAAACAATCAATCAATTGAAGAAATATCATCTATGAACCAGACCAGCAGCAGATTTTGAACCGATTGAATTCAGAGCTAGCAATATGCCATAATTCTAAACCGTACTCGAACCCTAATTTACCGAACCAAAACCGAAGCCAACAAATTAACAAGCATATGGACGAACAAAAACCTTGCCTAAGGAATTTCACGAAAAATTGCACAAACAAAGCAACGAAAACACTAAATCAACATACCGGAACGTCCGAGACCCGCCCGTTTCCGCCTTGCAAGTTAGTTGGCCTTTCGTCAAACACTTTGTGGGCAACTTCGGAATCACGCCCCAAAATTGCTCCTGCAATTGGTTGAAGGATTCTCAGTTGCCTCCTTTTAGGATAAAAGAGGAGACCGAAGGGACTGACGCTGTTGCGACGACGAAGAAGAGAGCCGAGCCGAGCCGAGCCGCGGTGATCTGAGTGCCTGAAGGATAGGATTAAAGAGAAATTTTTATGGTTTTGTTTATATTATTTGGTTTTAGGATTTGTTTTCTTAAATTAAATTTTATATTCACTTTAAATGTAAGCTTTTATTGGAAAAATATTTGTTTTTAAATAATTTTGAAAATTAAAAAATAATAATAGTGAAAAAAAATTAGTGTTAAAAGAGTATATTCTCTACAATGAATATTATACATTATAACTTAACAATATATACATAAAAATTAAAAATAATTTATAAATTAGTATATCTTATATTCAACTAATAATAATTATTGTTTCATGTGTTTGAATTTTTCCGAAATGTTTTTCTTTTGGTACTCTTTTTTTTTTAAAAAAAAAAAATATATATATATATATATATATAACATTAAAAGAAAATGTTTAAATTGAACTAAATGGCACTCTTGGGGAATCTTACTTGGACCTGTATTTGGGCTCGGCCCAATATTTTTATTGGGCTTGGCCCACTTAATTAGTGAAACCTTAATCTCAATTTCAATTTGTTTCAAATTCGACTATGTCCCGAATCCAATTGAATTAATAATTTTTTTAAAAAAAAATAATATTATATATATTTATGATTATTCGTATAGGTTGAATCTATAATTTTATACCCTTCTTATTTTTATTATTTTTTATTTTTCAAAATTTTATAATTTTCAACATATTTATCTTTCGAATCACAATTCTTTCATTGTTCCGTCAGAAAAAATTATGAGTGAATTTTAAAAAAAATCATATATTCCAAATTAAAAATAATTGGAAATGATATAAAACAATGAAATATATATATATATATATATAATTAATTGATTAGGAAACATTTTAGAAAGGTGAAGACAAGGTTGACAGCATGTCTCCACAACAATCACACCTAATCTATTCATGTCCACCTTTGCATCATTCTCCAAATAATGTGTACATCTTAAATACTTTCATATTTCCTCTAAATTTTTTTACCTCTATTTAGATTTTTAAAATGATAATAAATTTAAATACTAGTATTTTAAATTGAGATATATATATATATATTTTGATATGAGGTATAAAGAATCATATGGCTAACATATTCTGTATCGAATGCCAATTTTTTTTGTAAAGAAAATAAAATACCAGTATTTTATATATACTATTTTTGTAATATTGTAATTGTAATCTAGATGAAAAAATCTTCAATTTTTATTTTTATTTTACTATTTTTTCTAATTTTTGAAAACTTCAATAATAATAATAATAACACTCGTGATGTGATGTAATTTTCTTTAGGTATAATATGTGGGTGTTTTGTGGACATTCTTGATATTGTGATTAAAAATAAAATAAAATCCCTATTGATCTTTGCCACAATTTTTTTAATGGCCCATCACCACACCCCCCCCCCCCCTTGTTTTTAATTCATGCATGTATGTTACACACACAATATATATGTATGTATGTATATATATACACACATATGGGGTTGTTTGTGTGTATTAACAAATTATTGAAAAATAATGTAGTGTGCAATTATTGCCCCTCAATTCCATTCTTGTTTCTGTATTTTACCCTTTGTATTTGTTTCACAACGTTTTTCTTTCGTCAAGGTCATTGACTTAATATTAATTTGGATAAGTGTGTTCATTTACATGGTTTTTTTTTTTTTTTTTCATAATAAATAATTATCATATTTGTTTAAAACTTATAATGGTTTTTTTTTGAAAAAAAAAATATTGAATTTATTATTATAGTGAATTAGCATTCTAGGCATGTCAAAGTTAGAATCGAATTAGAGCTTTTATTTATTACTTTAAAAAGTTCTGATAAAGTATTCCAATTTCCAATATCTCAAATAATATAATAATAATACTAATAATAATAATAGGAATTAAATTGAAATTTAAGGAAATAAATAGTAGAAGACATTAGAAGAAAAAAATTGTGGTGTGTTCTTTTTTCTTTTCTTTTCTTTTTATAATTTGTTTCATATTTTTTAATTAAAATAATTGTTAAATATAAAATCCTTTTAAAAAATAAAGAATATATCGTACATAGTTTTCTAAAAAAAACAAAATAGATTGACGAATAAAAAATGAAAATAAATGGTTTGTTCATTTTGTATACCGGGATAAATGTGTTTTTTTTTTTTATGTTAAGTAAAATTGTATTAGTAATATAAAAAAATAATATTATATATTGAATTATTTGACTTTTTGTGAACAAAAAATATATATTATACATATTTCAGCATATTTATGATATTATAACACAATATGTTGTTGTATTATAACATATTAAATGTTATATTATGTAGAAATTAGCACTATGGAATCCATATTCTAAAAAACAAAATACATTAAATTGGAACATAAAGAGTATATTATTTTTTTTTTTTAATACAAAACATCATATTCAAATATTATTTTTTTAAAAAAATACACTAATTTATCACAACCTACAAGTTTAATTATTTAACAACATATTATACTTTATTTATATTTTAAAATAAATATAGTGTGTGTCTGTTTTAAATTTTTTGTTTAATATCTTTTTTTACACGAGACATAAGGAACTGTATCGTTAATATTAAAGATAATTTTTAAATAGTAATATATATTCTGTGTAAATATATTTATATATGTATATATATTCGTTTTTTATATAATATTAATATAGAATTGTGTCAAATAATTTTTGGTATATAGGTGAGCAAATTAATAGTGAAATACACGTAATTATCATTGATATAATCATAATTAATTTTTTAATAATCAATGTGACACAAGGAAAATGTCGAATATATAATTCCATATTTCAAGATTTGTCGTGTGGTATTTCTTGAAAGCATAAATCACATGTAAATGCAGTGTACCTAGTCCAAATTATATCATCAACTTTTAGTTATATCAAAATAATTTATATTTAAATTATTGATTATGTATAATAATATTAATTAGGTTGTGGAATTTAGCTTACAATTTAATCTTGATTGCAACAAACAATAGACAATAATTTTGAACTGATAAGATTCGCCTAAGTAAATTATTATTATTATTATTATTATTATTATTATTATTATTATTATTATCAAATCCAAGAAATTATTAATTGTCTATGATTGAATCATCATAATTAAGGTCTTGTTCATTTTTTTTTGTTTGGTAAACTATATACTATCTCATTGTATTTTAATTTAAATGTACAAAAAATACTTTATATTTTATTCACTACGTGAAATATTTTTGTGTTAAATTAAAATATACATAAATATTTTTTTCCGTCCAAAGATGATGTTTAGTTGTAAAAAAATACTTAATTATGCAAAATTATACCGATGAAATATCTTAAATAACATAAATAAATGATTGATTAATAATTCATTTCATAATTTTTATTTTTATTTTTTTGTAAAAATTAGATAACATAGTTTTCATAATTATTTTTTCTTATCATATTATTTTCCTCCCAATAATTAATATTAAAATATAAATATAGATAAAATAAAAACGTATGCATATATATATAGCACAAACAATTAATATATAATGTAGTTGTATCATGAATTTAGAAAAAGTGTGTATTTTCGCTTAGTTTCGAAATCATAAAAAAATGTTGTACAATGTTTTTCAAAACATAACATTGTGTAATTTTTAAGGTAAATGGGACATCATGTAATTTTGCCTTAATTATTTGGAAAAATGTGTGTTATATTTACAAAAGGAACATACTCTACAAAAAATTAAATTTTTGTATATAATTAATAAATAATTAAAAAATATATTAACAAAAATAATTATTATATAATAGAAGTAATTATAAATTAAAATTAAAATAACTAAATTGTTTAATTAAAATTTAAAAACTAAAAATTTTAAATTTGAAAAATAATTAAAATACTCCCTCCGTGGCCACGAATTTTTAGGTGGACAGTATTAAGTATGATAATTAAAAAATTAGGTGACGTAGCAGAGAGAAATGTATATTTTATTTTTTTTATTTGGATAATATGATAAAATAAAGTGTGAAATAGAGATCAAATTTATTTTCTATTTTAAAAATATTGCAGGGTGTTTAACATATAAGAAAAAAATAAAAATATTGCGTATTTTTTTAAAAAACAAAGTAAAAAAAAATAGACAAATTATATAGAAATAACTTTATTAAAAAATACTATATTTTATATAAGAGGAAGGAATAATTATTTGGGAAAAATAAACAAGTATTTATTGAATTAAACGAGGGTATTAAATAGAGCGATCACGTGGATGACACGTGTGATCTCCCTCGTCTTTATAAAGGTCGCCATCTCTCTTTCTCTTCCACTTCCACTGTCTCTCTCATCATATCTTCACAGAAACACATCACTGTTCACTGTCTTCTATAGTATTTATTTAGTATTTCCTTTTCCTTTTCCAATCAAAAAGTTGTGCGCTGAAGCTGAATGAATCAATGCTAATGCTGCTGCTGAGCTGATCATCGATTCACTGCCATGAAAGCTCCCCTCCTCTCCTTCTCCTTCTTCTCTCTCCCACATTGTGGCCTCACCTTTCCAACTGTATGCTTCCAGATGAAGCTTTGACAGTTATATCCTTCCTTTCCTTTGCAACCGCTACTTTCCCTTCCTTTTCCTTTTCCCATAATCAGCAAATAAAGGAAAACGCCCAATTTTGCATGAGAAATTCGATAACTCAGCCTCAGGGTATGTATGTATGTATGTTCGATACAATCTTCCTTTTTGACTGATTTTGAACTGTGTTTTTCGATTTTTCTTTCGTTATTGGAAAGGAGGATGTGTGGGGGTTTGATTGACGAAAGGTGTTCGGAGATTAGTTGATTTTCGCCTTTAGATTTATCGAATTTGATGATTGGTTATGCTCCTCTTTTATATACATCTGTGTTGTGTTGATTGGAGTGATTCTAGGGATTTGATTGTTGGGGAATTTTTCCGTGCCCTAATTTTCTGTTCCTGATTTGACAATAATAGCAAATACTAGCATATACACATTGCCGTGTACGTGTTCGGAGAAATGCCAAGGCAGACTTTCAATGTGGATGTGAGGATTGGGGGAAGGAAGAATTGCAAAGTGAGGAAGAGAGGCTGTTCTTCATCGTCGTCTTCGTCGTCATTAATGGCGAATTACGGGTTGAAGCGTGCCTTGTTGATGGGTAAAAGAGTTGGATCAACTACTCCAGTGCCTGTGTGGAAGACAACAAGTGGTTTTCCCAATCCGGCAATTCTGGAGAAAGATGATCCATTACAGTATGCATCAGCTGCAAGTGATGTTGATAATAAGGCGAAGGAGTTGGCGTCATTGTCGGCTCGAAAATTGGCTGCCACTTTATGGGAGATCGACGGGATATCTTCGCCAAGGGCAAATAGAGAGAATGTAGAAGAGAAAATAATGAGAGGAGAAGAAGGGGTGGTTCGTAGTCCTGTTTCTGAGGTGGGATTGTGTACAAAACTTGTCGAGAAAAGAGTCATGTAGATCGTAGAATTGATCTGTGAATGTGTCTATTCTTTCTTTGCATCTATGGCTGTAATTTTATGTTTGAAATGGTTGCAGGTGATGGATCAGCTGAAACCGGGATCCCGTAGGAGAAGGGGATCGGCAGGGTCTCAAAAGCTTCTGCAGGGTGATCGCGAATCGGGTGGTGCAAAATCACACCATAATTGCTTGGTGGAGGTATTCTTTTTTTGCTAACACACTGTTGATAAGCTTTGCAAACTATAGTTTCTGTTAGTTTGACTCGATATATATATATATCAGTGTAGTTATACTTTATGAAATCGAAGGTTTTGGTTATTTGGATCGTTATGTGTTGTTATTTCAAATTAGTATTATTGATGATCATCCTCATGTTTCTTTAAAATGTTTGTAATTAGCAACCGTGTTCTGAAATCGGATGTTGAATAACTACGTATGCCCTTGTGTCTTATGCGATTCAAAGGCATTAGTCTTCCTTCGAAAGATTAAAATTTTTCGTAAAGAATGATTTCGTTGGAATTGTGTGGCATTTCATGTTTCAATGTCATATACTACCTCCTATGCACGTAATTTTTTTAATATTAATATTATATTAATTTGTTATAAAAATGACAAAAATGTTCGTATTTAGTAATGAAATTTGTATAATATATTGTAAGTTGTAAAAATATTTATTATATTAAGTAGACACTACTATTACTAAATTAAAAAAATGGATAGATAAAAATAAAAAATGATATCTTTTTTATGGGACGAAGGGAGTATCATGTTTTCGGAAGTGAAAAGCACATGTGAATAGTGTAGTTTTTGTTTTCGGGTGTTACGATAATTACATAAATTTGCAAGGCGGGTAGACTAATCGACACCTCTAGTAATCTCGATGTTTGGTTGTTTTCGATTCCTACTAGAGATTATTAAGAAATGGACAAATCTTGAAAGGATCCAAGAACATGGTTTGTACTTTTTTGTTGGACATGTGTTGTAAGGTTTGTCCCCATACTTTTCGGGTATGGTTTTCACATGTTGTGCGATAATTGCTTCATCAAATGCTGAATGTCCTGAAAATGTATTCCTTCGAATCTCGTTTCAGACACAGAACGATCCTCGGAGTCCCTGCAGACACATAATCGGATCAAAAAATCGTCTCAAAGATGTCTGCAACAGCCTCATAACTTCGAAAGAGCTTCTCAAAGTGATGACTCGTGTCTGTCGTTTCGACCAACACAGCAACTCCACGAGCTCATCCCTTTCCATGGCCCTGAAATTCGAGCTCGACCGGGCTTGCAACCACGTTGGCAAACTAATCCAAGAACAAAGATCGGAGCCAGACAACCTCGACATTTTGATAAAAAGGTTCGAGGAGGAAAAGGTTGTCTGGAAAATGAAAGAACAGGAAAGAATCCATACCGCCATTGCAGCTATAGCCGAAGAGCTCGGAACTGAGAAGAAACTGAGGCGACAAACCGAGAGACTGAACAAGAAACTCGGGAGAGAATTAGCCGAGACTAAGGCTTGTCTGTTTCAGACATCGAAAGAGCTAGAAAATGAAAGAAAGGCGCAAAAGGCACTCGAGCAAGCTTGCGATGATTTGGCTAAAGGAATCGGCGAAGATCAGGCTGTCGTCGAGGAATTGAAGAGGCAGTCCGCTAAGGTTCGGGAAGAAGTCGAAAAGGAGAGGGAAATGCTTCAATTAGCCGACGTATTACGCGAGGAACGAGTGCAGATGAAGCTTACGGAGGCGAAGTATCAGTTCGAGGAGAAAAATGCGCTTTTGGAGAAACTAAGAAACGAACTCGAGTCGTATTTGAAATACAAGACGACGATGACGACAGGTGACAACGAAGATGAAAACCCACCTGGGTCTCCGAGCTTCGACAAAATTACGGAGCTCAAGAAATTTCTACGGGAGACATTGCCGCCGGGTTCGTGCCAACACAACGATGAAACAAAAGAGATCGATGAACGAGAAGTCGAAGACGATGACGATGATTCGTCGGGTGGTAGTGACCTCCGTTCTATCGAACTGGACATTAACGACGTCAGGAAGAGTTTTGGGTCGAAGAGGAATTCCGTCGATAAAAGTCGAGGTAGGAAACCCATTTCCGAGAAAATCAAGAAACCGAATGTACCCCCGGAGGAGGAGACGAAATTCGCGAATGGAATACGATGCGAGAATGCGAAACAAGAATCTCTAGACGCGTTCGATAAGCGAGGGTTGTTCGAATTCTCGTCGAGGTCGTGGAAAAACGACTCCGAGGATGAGATGGAGAGGTACAACGCGATTAAGGGTCTCCGAGACCACATTGTATCGAGTGTTCGAATGGGATCGTCGACGAGCCCGAGCAAGAACTTCGGACAGAGCTTTCGTGGATAGCGATCGTGCTCGGGTCTGAAATCTTACGGAGGAGGCGTAAGTAAGCGAGTAAGTATTGTCGAAGATCGATCGATGGATCGTCGAGCCATCGGGTGTAAAGAGAATTTTGGTATGTCCGATCGTTACATTTATAGTGTAGAAGGTACGCTATTATACTTTGCGCAAAATGTATATGTTCTTCGTGTCCTATACATATATATGTATGTAATGTGTTGTTCGATTCATATGCATAATATATATAGAGATTGATATATAGATAGTCATAGGTAGATAGAGAGAGTTGCAATGTTGTGTAATAATTTTATCTCCTCAACTATGTATCATTTATTTTTTTCATAAAATGTTCCATTAAACATTATTTAAATATAAATTTAAATAAAATTTTCTCAAATCAAAAGCTAAGAAAATAAATAAATAAATAAAATTGTATTTTTGAAATATTTTACCAAATTTTTATTATTCATAATTTATTTTTAAAAAAATGTTTAAATTCAATATTTATTTTTTTTAAATTTATTTTATATTTAAAATATAACATTAAATAATTATTTAAATTAAAAAAATCTAAAATTCCTAAGAAACACTCCAACCTGACAGTAGAGACAGTGAGACAGACTTATATAGATGTTGCTGTAGCCAACAAACCTCACTTTGCATGTCTTCCATTGTATAGACCGCACCATAATAATTGCTCCAGCTGTCTCCTCTCTCTCTCGTACAAGGTTATTTATGGAATTTCACCTTGTCTCCTCAATGGCAATTAGAATTATTAAACGAATTCGTTTGCCAACATAAATGAATCAAATCGACCAATATAGAAAAAATAATTTTGTTAATGAACAATAAATTCAAAATTATTTATCGATGAACAGCACTAAAAATTATAACTTCTCATTTCCACTAAATTTATCTATATTATACTCATTCGTTCCAATACTACTCGTTCGTTCAAATACAATAGTCTTGTTTACCATTTTTGTCCGTTCTAAAACAATAATTTTGTTTCCATAAATAGTCATGTCACCATAAAACTATCCCTATTTTTTTATTTTATTACATAATTGTCACTACTTTTTACACTAATACACTAACAAAAGTAAAAAAATATTTTATTCATACTTTTTACAACTACCAATATAATATTCCGTGTCCAACCCAATTAAGATTATATTTATGGAACGGAGGGATTATTGCCGTATCTAATTTAGAAAAATATTTAGTAAATAATTAAAAAATACTACTCCCTCCGTCCCACATACCGTGTCTGCTACATTGTAGACACAATATTTTAGAATAGGTGTAATTAGTAGATAATTTAAAAAGTATTAGTAAAAATAATTATCTTATAATATAAATAATTATAAATTAAGATTAAGATAACTAATTAGTTTAATTAAAATTAAAAATAAAATAAAATGAAAAAGTTTAAAATGAGATTAAAATGTATAATCATTTTTTTTTTTTTAAAAAAAAGTGATTTCATACGTGGGACGGACATAAACGGCAACGTTGACATGATATGTGGGACGGAGGGAGTATTATATTAATAAAAATAACTACTGTATAATTAAAATTAAAATAACTAAATAATTTGATTAAAATTACAAAATTTAAAATATAATTAAAATATATAATATTTTTTAAATAAATAAATTATATAAAACGAACAAAAAAAAATAATTGTAAACATGCTACGGAGGGAGTAAAAGAAAAAGAATTCGTGAAAGCAAAACTTTAGTTTGAGTCGACTATTTATTTATTTATTTATGTTGAAATCAATTTTTTAATAAGTTGAATTTGCTTGATTCAGTAAAATGAGCTCGAGCTTTTGAATATGCTTAGACTCAAATTCAATCTCGGTCCAAACCCTTATCAAGTACTCTCATTACTATCTAAAAATCTTTACCATATTTGAGTATTTTATATTTTCCTCCCGTCGTCATCAAAATCAAGCACGGATTTGGATGACGAAAGTAGTATTTATTTAGCCAAATCCAATCTATTTTAGTAAAATATTCACATACATATATTTTTTCGACAAGATTGCTTAAAACTCATATATGATTTGTTAGACTGCACCATACTTCGTTACAGTTTAGAAATTGTACGAAAATATTGCACAGAAACTTTAAAAGATGTAAATTCTGCACAAGTTTACAAGCCATATGTGATTTAAAAGTTTTGTACAATGCTTTTGAAAATACAATAAATTCTCATAATCCTCACTAATATCAATGACAATCTACAATATCATAATTCACTTGCTATCGAAATATGGTCACATTCACATATACCAACAAGGTTCATTGAACATTTCAGCAAACAAACATGCATTAATTCATGCATCTATTGTTCCCTTACCCAACAAACAAACATTCACACACACTACATACATATGTGTAAATGTAATGTCTGTGTGAGGACAAAGCACAAGCACATGTACCAAATCTTCAAGTAGAGACGAGAAGTTTTGGACGTATCGATGAAATTTTGATGCACTTCTAACTCATAATTCAGATGTACAAAGACACATTTTAATTTATTTGCTATAGAAGGTTACCTGTCACCGGCTTGTGGGAGGTTTCAGCCTTTTGGGACACTGATGTGAATGAAACCGGGGGCATCGGGTGGTCCTTCACAATAAGGCTTAGGATTTCCGGCCGCGAATAATGTCCGACCACATCAAAGTCGAATTTTGCACGTGCCACTTCTCCAAGATCTGCCATTGCCAACCAGATAATGGAAGCTTTCTTAAAAAAATGTTATAAAAAAAAAATTAACAGGTGCGAGACTGGTAATGGATTGTGTTTCGAGCTGTGCATTTTTTTCGACTTTCCAAAAGTTTTACAAGAAATTGACCTATAACTGCAATCAGCATTGATTAATAGGACCAGAATTAGACTCTACTACATAATGGAACTAAAATAAGATGACAAAAAAGAATGTAACTTTGTCGAAGAAACTAGTTCGAAATATGCAAACTAGCAATAATCACAACTAAAAGGCAATACGCGTCGTAGGGAATAGTAAAGGCAAGTAAAAATTCAAACAATTTATTTTATACGGCAGGGGGAAAAATGACGGCATCGAGCAAAACACTCAAGAAACTTTTAACTGAGATGGCATACCTAAATCAGCAGATATAATTGCCTCGCCTTCGTAATTAGGACCAGCCAGGACAGTTCCGGAAGGTGAAATAATCACACTGCCACCAGGGCAAACAACAGAATCAGAGCCAAGGGTATCTTCAGTTCCAGAGAATACATATTCCGGTGGAGGTGGATAATCTTTTCTCCGGCAGAACTGGTTCGCGGACAGAACAAAACATCCGCCCTCGAGAGCAATGTGCGTCATCGATGCTTGCCACACCTCCCGGGAATCAGCTGTGGGTGCACAATATATTTCAACACCTGTAGACATGGTTGTTCGAAATTGATTATATATAATATGATTGTCGAAACTTATTGGGATCAGAGGTAACGGAAAAACCAACCTTTAGCATACATTGCTGTTCTTAAAAGTGGCATTCTATTTTCCCAACAAATTGCAGCCCCGATTTTTCCAATTGGTGTGTCGAAAACAGGAATTGTTGATCCATCTCCAAATCCCCATATTATGCGCTCGAGTGCTGTTGGCATGACTTTTCTATGCTTTCCAAGGTACTGCCCTTGAGAATCGAAAAACAGAACTGTACAGTATAAGGTATAGCCATCTCTCTCGATGACGCCCATGACTAAATACACCTTATATTTTCCTGCCATTCCAGCCAAGCGATCGACCTCAGGACCTGAGAAAAAGCAAATTAAATCAATGGGACAGCATCATAACATCACTAAACTACAATGGATTGTCTGTTAGTAAGGACCTTACAGATGGATTAATAAAAGAATTCAAAATGGTCCTGAACCAGCCACGGAAACTTGGGAATTGCTTCTCAGTTATCAGAACTTTAGCTGCAGAAAGATAATCTTTTCTATTCAAACCAAGTTTTTTATGTGTTCACTATTTGGTTTATAATGCTTAAGTCTAAATTGCCTCTTTATCGAGAGATAATAAATGTGACACTCCAGCCCGCAAGCGGGCATGTCGGGATTAGACTGGCCCCACAAGTCAATATGATGCCTAACACCAACCCAACTCCGAGAATTACATCCTCTCTACTTAAGAATACAACGTCCACGTTGCTCCCAATTATTCATCAATTGCTAGGCCCTTCAACAGTCGGATCAACGACAGTGTACCAACTTTGACACTCCAGCTCGCAAGTCAGCGAGACCAAGCGTGTCGGGATTAGATTGGCTCTATAAGTCAACACAAGTCCTTCTAGATCACCATCCTCAGATTACTCAGCAAGCACACGCTTAACTAGTTCTTTCAATAGGCAAATAAAATATGCACATTATTGACATAAGTAATCTATTCAATCAATTTATTCTCTATTCACTCTTGGATGGCCTAACACCGACTCATTCATACACGGGAGTTAGGCCTAGCACCGGCCCAACTCCGGAGAATTACAATAACATCATTAAAGTACAATGGCTTTCAGTAACAATAAAGAATGAACAAAATTTTCTAGCACTATGAACAAAATGCTATTTCAAGCTCTATATTGATTCCATTTCAAGCACTAGGAACAAAATGTTTTTCATGCTACCAAAATAAGGAAACCACTCAAAGTATCTCCTAACAAACACAAAATTAAATCATTTACACGAGGAAACTTAGCTCCACAACAAACATGTGGTCCATCGAGCCTCTACATTCATAGGATCAGAAAAAGCCCTTCGGAACAATCTATGGCCAATTTAATAGCTTGATGATATACCAACTATAGTGAGCTAGGTACCAGCGACTATAGAAACATTGGAATGAACCAGCAGCCACAATCCACAATCTTGCATTTGTGATGTGAATCAGAGAAGTGCTCCCAAACTAAAAAGAGGTCAAATTCATATGACTCCAATGAGCAAAGTGCACCAACTGCAGATGTCACAGGTGCAAGACAACTAAAAGAATGAAAGCCGTGGAAAGAAACTAGATCTGGGAACACTGTAAGGCAAAGGTTACTTCAATGAGACTGGTTTTGAGTTGCATGGTATCTCACCACGGTACAAAGAAATGCAGGAGTCTCCTATATTCTGGAATTCGTATACTGTTGTGACGGATAAGGATTAATCATCAAATAATAAACAAAAATATAAAGAAGACACAAATTTATGTGGTTCACCAACGACGTATTGGCTACACGGGCAGAAATGGAAAACAAATTTATTAAAGACGACTACGTTACATATTACAAAGTTCATTAAACAATGCAAAATGCCACTTGCTCAAGCAGCACAATCATCACACTTAAAGAAAGCATAAAGTAGCCTACACATGACCATGGGTTCCTTTATAACTAAGCCTTATCAGATCAAAGCAAACATATAAAGAACTGTGTGTCTCGGTTTCAGTTCCCATTCCAAAGATGATGTATAATGGTTCCAGATTCCATTACGAATATATTAAAGGACAAAAATAGAACTATAAAAGAACCATGTCACAGATGCAATTAGAATTTAAATCTGCAATTTGGAATTTAAACTAAAACTTGAGCCATTTATAGACTGTTTGGTTTTGGTTCCACATTCTTATGGAACTCGATCTGTGGTGAAGTGGTTATTCTGTTAGTCTTAACCCAACAGTAATATAACCATGACATTCTAATAAATAACCTAAAGAAGTTGTCGGTATATAGCACAAGCAAAGACACAAACCACATGATGCTTCTAAATCAACTCCATAATGAAACTTAAAAGCTGCATTTTATGAAAAACTTAGCATCCAGTGTGCAGCTTGAAACCATAGTAAAGATTCTCACCAGGAACATCAATGGCTGAAGCATGATATTTCCTAAACTCTTCTCTCCCCTTGGCCGAGCGACTGCCTATAGTAACACCAAAAGTTGATCCGCGTGGATAACCTCCGATAAATGCTTCAGGAAATACAACCAACTGAGAACCGTATGAGGCGGCCTCAGCCAGCAATCTTTCAGCTTTATCTGATAGCATAGTGGTGAAAAAAAAGTAATGCATTATTTAAAGTGTATAAAAATGCAAGGCCAGTGACAAAATCAGAGCCTTATTTTATGCTAAGTGATAGGTAGAAATCGCAACCCAAAAAACAAAAGCATTGCCTTCCTGTCTAGTGTTACTCCAAAGCTTTCTCGAAATTAGATCCCTTTAGTTTTCACAACTTGAAATATACAAAATTTTGCATTGGTAATAATCCCTTTACAAATTTGAAACCTCCCATAATCTCAGAAGCAGAACATCACATGAAGATGCACAAGTTATGGCATCAAAATGGAAATCTTATGAGTAAAAAGGCCACAGGACAAATACAACATGTTCTAACTTGTCTGGAGCTTTCAGGAGTTTTAATCAAAGGGTGTATAGTGATCATCGTATGGACATGATAGACTAATCGAAGCATGGAGTTACATGCTGGACAGGTACATCAGAAGCTAAAGAAGATCATAAACTGTATCTATTTTGAATTATCTCATTTTTCACATGGGTTTTGGTACTTGATGTGAACGTGAAAAATATTACAAGCAAGACATCTCCCTGACAAGCTTTGACATGACTAGAAATGGCTACACTATACATTATTTTCTATGGAAAATATTCACATATTTTGAAGAGATCCGAATCTCCCAAACAGCTACGACATCCTTACATCAATGTGCATTGAATTGAAAAAAATTGAACAGCATCGCACCAAAGTATAATACAATTTACATGAATCTAAAGATCCACAGACGATTCTTAGACAACACAATCTGTGACACCCCAATCGGCAAGCCACGTAAAGTCGGACGTGTCGGGATTGTAAACTGGCCCAACAGATTAACACGAGTCATTGCGCTTTGTTCTCACTTAGGCGCACCAGCGCACCCTAGAGGCTTCTCAGAGGTCACCCATCATCAAATTACTTTAGGAAAAACATACTTCACTCTATATTTCTTTCCGTAGGGCTCGCGAAAGAAATATGTACATTTTTTTACATGAGTAGTCTATTCAATTCATTTAATCTCTAGTTAACTTTGGATGGCCTAATACAGCTCATTTACACACGGAAATTGGCCAAGCAACGGCTTGACTCTGGGATATCAACTGTGACACCCGGCCGATGTGATGCCCCGAAGTTGGCCATTGCTTGGCCACCTTATGTGTGTGGATGAGCCGGTACTAGGCCATCCAAAATTGATTTAAAATTAAATGGATTGAATAGTCTACATATGTTAACAATGTGCACATTATTTATGCGTGCTTGCCCTAAATTAATTTAAGGATGGTGGCTGGCTTGCGGAGTGACCCTGGAAAGCCACCCAGGGCTGAGGGCGTGCGTGAGTGAGAACAAAGCCCACTGAAAAGTATGGTGAACTCTGAAACGAGCTCAACTTAGCGTGGCTTGCGGCCTGGGTGGCACACAATCATTCAAAAAGTATTTGAAATTTATATGGCAATCCAACTCGGTACCAACAAGCAATGCATCTCTACTGTTTTTTCACTTTAGTTACAAAACCTTTGCCCTAAATTTAACTTGAGAAATAAATTCAGCTCCTCGAAATTGCAATTCAACTGGAAACAGCTTCAAAATTCTCAACAAACAGCAGAATCTCAAACAGGAAGCAGACAATCGGTATACAAAAAAAAAAAAAAATCAATCAGAAAATGGAAGCAAAACGAACCTAGAGTAGCTGGAGTATCGTAGAAGACTGTGGATGCCTGGACGACGGTGGCTCGGACAGTAGGGGTGGGAGCAGAGGCATCGGCGCCCATATCGACCTCGGCAAACAATGGAGGATCGTTGACGTTAGAGGTGGGAGTGGGGACCAACGCCATGGCCCTTAGCTTCTCCTCCAGCTCCTGCTCCAGTCCAGTAGTGTGCGATGGAGATTGTGAAATTAAAAGGGATTGCAGACAGCTAGGGGCGTCGGGGTGTGCGGTTGTGGTGAATGGCGATATCCTCCTCAGTCCTCACTGCAACGAAACTCAGCTGACTGTATCTGGGGCGCTTCTAGAAGGTTGGTGAATGTTTTTGGGCCGATTGCTGCTGCGAATTTGGAGTGTTTTAGTGAAAAAAATTATTTACTATAATTTAATAAAAAATAATTAAAAAATATATTTTAAATTATAATTTAATGAAAAGTAATTAAAAATATAATTTAATAAAATTAATTATAACTATATTTAAATTTTAAATTTTAAAATGTGATTAAAATGTATAATTATATTTTTAAAAAATAAAAGAAAAAATTATATGGGAAAAAGAGTAATAAATATAAATGATTGTGTTTTAATATTTTTTTGGGTAAACTGTGTTTTTTTAGTTCCGTAACTGGACCTCTTTATCATTTTAGTCCCGTAAGTGGAGCATGTCGCAAACTAGTCTCATAAGTGAAAAATTTTCGTTGTTTTAGTCCTCCGGCGCCGGAGATGCCCGCGTGGCTCGCCGGAGGTGATGTGTCTGCCAGGTGTCGCTGACCTGGCGGACACGTGAATTTTATTTTATTTTTTAATTTTTAAATTTTTTTTAAAAACTTATTTTTAAATTTATTTGTATTTTTTTATTTTTTTTATTTGGTCCAATTAAAAAAAATATATAAAAAAATTAAAAAAATCCACATGGACACCTGGCTGGCGGACATGTGGATTTTTTTTTAAATTTTTTTTAAAACTTATTTTTAAATTTTTTTTTTATTTTTTTACTTTTTTATTTGGTCCAATTAAAAAATATATATATAAAAAAATAAAAAAAAATCCACGTGGACACTTGGCGGCGGACACGTCACCTCCGGCGAGCCACGCGGGCGTCTCTGGCGCCGGAGGACTAAGACAACGAAAATTTTTCACTTATGGAACTAGTTTGCGACAGACTTACAGGACTAAAATAATAAAATGGTCCAGTTACGGGACTAAAAAAATAGGACCCTATTTTTTTATACAAAAAATTGTGTGGCTAATATAAAATAAATAGAGTTCATAATATATTAATTTTTTGAAAAAATGTGTTTGAAAGAACAATAGGATTATACTAATATATTGCAATATAAAATAATGACTTTTTTTACCAGCTTATTTAGATGGACTGATTTTTGTATATGAGATAAAAAACTGTGTTATTAAAAATATAAAATATGTTATTTTTTAAAGTTAAATATTTAATTTTTTGTAATGAGTCTGAATTTATTTTACTTTTTAACTTTTTTTTTTAAAAAAATATATTATGTATTATTTTGGAGAGTTGTTCATCTATGCTCCACATCTTCATATGCACTCCGATCACTCTTCTCTTATTGTTTGGATTTCTTATGCTCCGGTATCCTTTTTAGGAAATACTGGGAGGGAGGGAGATCTACGTGTATAGCGATAAACTTCGAGTTTCGGTATCCTTCGTCAAGCCATCGTCCTCCAATCCTATCCTTGTGTGATTTAAGTTCAACATAGATGGAACATCAATCAGAAATCCTGGGCCTGCAGGTGCCACCGGTATCACTTGAGACGTTGCATGGGCGGCGGTAGCGCCCCAATCAAAAGAGCGACAAACACTTTTTCCGAGCTCTATGCGATTTGCACGAGTGTGGACTTAGCGGTGGGTCGAAACTATTTATTGTTGTGGATTGAGACAGACTCTACTGTTTGCATCTCCCTGGTATTTTCATTCAACCGGATATTGGACGCTTCAGCCCCTTGTTCTTCGGCTTTGCTTGCAGCTTCGGAACATCACATGAAAAATTACACAGGTTTTTTGAAAAGACAATCAAATTGCGGACTCATTAGCAGGAATGGTGAGCACATCGTGCGGACTCTCTTTTCGGAGGACATTTCCCTGGCGGCTCGAGGATTTTATACCGCAGACCAGAGTGAACTTCCGAGTGTCAAGTTCCTGTAGATTCCTCTTGTTACTTGATATTGAGAATTATATGCCTTACTGATTTTGCTAGTTAACTTTTGCTATTGTTTAGGTTTAGGCTTATGGGTTGAGACATTGATTATGTTGTAATTTTTTAATTAGAATTACGTGTAATTTGATCAGAGTCTTTTTATTGAGTGCATAGGCATAGGCATAGGGACAGGCAGTTCCTTTGAGTACGACAAAAGAAATCTCTCTCTCTATATTTAACTATGAAGAGAGACGAAGTAGGGAGAATAACAATATAATAAAATCTATATATATAACGTGTAAATATATAGATTTTATAAACCAATGAAAATATTCACTAAAACATGCATACATTGTGCCTCCATTGAAAATATTCACTAAAACATGCATACATTGTGCCTCCATAAGTACTACGTGTATGGTACGCTAGTACATTTATGTTTATAATATTTTTATATTTTTTATGAAAAAAAAAAAAAAAAGGAACTGATTGAACAGTGGTAATTGTAAATTAAATAAAACAAAAAACACTAAAGTCAGCACCGAATACGGTGGCGGCTGGCAGCATAATACGACGTCGTTCGACAAAGGCAGTGCATGCAAAACAGGTAGCAGCAGGACGACGAACCAGTGGACACGTGCAATCCCCGCAGCGGTCACGTGACCATCACCCGCTATTGCGCAAAAGCTTCGCGGCAACAATAATGGATGACGGAAGCTTCAATTCTCAGTCTCCCTCACTTCCGAATCTGTTCCTTCCCCTAGTGTGCCCATCACACAAACTCCTCTGTGAGAATCGTCGGGAGCAAGGGTTTAGGGTTTAATTTGGGTTGTTTAAATTTGTAAGAAAAATGGAGGATGGAAGCGCGAAGAAATCAGATAGCAATAGCAATAGCAATAGTATTAAAATCCCCATGGAAATTTCGATTGCTGAAGCGTCTGCTACGTTTCCTGGTTTCCGATTCTCGCCAACCGACAATGAATTGATTCAGTACTACTTGAAGAAGAAGCTTCAGGGATCGGACGAGGGCGTTGCTGTGATTCCTGAGATTGATATCTGTGGATACGAGCCTTGGGATTTGCCAGGTTTGGAGCTTTTTACATCCGAATCGTAATTTTTGTTTGCTCTGACTGAGGTGATTAGGTTTAATTTGTGCCTCTGTTCGTAACTCTAAATCGATACTGAAATTTTTTTTCCTTCTGCTGTGGTGTGATTTTCTGATAGAAATTGTTGCTTTGAGTCTGCAAGGATTATTGTGTTCTTCGAGTGTGCTTTGGTTGAAAGATTCGATGTTTGAATTGTTCAAATTTGAATCAGGATTGTAGCTATCAACGAAATTTGCCATCAATATCTTGCTAACCTTCACAAACTTTGATTTATTTTTTATTTTTCTTGGTTTACTATTGTGATTGTTCACTAGAAATGAAGCAATTTCTTGTATTGGTTTGTAGAGATGTGAAATTCAGTTGTTGAAGAGCTTTGTAAAGATAAAAACTCGAATAGATTATAAGTTTGGTTTTGATCGAAAATGCCATAATCTTGAAAAAGAATGTTTACTTTATAGATACCTTGATTAAAAGATGTAGATGAAACAGTTCATATATACATATTTCCTAAACTGTATGGAACAGGAAGATCTTGCTTTTGTGTTGGAATCTGCTGTCCTGTTCTTAAATGTGTTCTTGAAATTTGTTGTAATTACTTGTAGCTTGTAAATAAAAGGTACTATTTTGGATCAAAATCAACCCGAAACTTTTCTTCGAGGGAAAGAAAACTGTAGAGTAGATGTTATGGGTGCAGAATTCAACGACTTGGCTCGGTGTTTGGCTTAATATGATCATGAGAATTCAGTTTTAGCAGCCGGAATTAATTCTTCGATGCCTTGAAATATGAGGTTGAGTATGACTTTTATCGATTATCCCATGGGACTCATCAGAAAACAGTTTCCATGACATTTATAATCTGTTTAGAAAGTGAACCTTGTCACAAGACTTGGTAATGGTTCTCCAATCATAGTGTGCTCGATGCATCTTTGCAAATAATGTGAGTTATAGAAGAAGGCTCGGGTATCTAGTGAATAATGGAAATAGGTTTGATTGGATGCTGTTTTGCGGCCTTCTTGTTCATTTCTAGTTCACGAGATTCATTGAGGTACTTAGACGAGACAAAAGGCGCCACAAGTGAAATTTTTAGTACAGGAGCAACTGGAAATAGCGTAGACGGGATTTTCGATGCTTTGAATTCATGTCCCTATAGATAGATGTTCCATACATCAATTTTCCACATTCTAATGTCTTTTTATTTTTTTCGGATTGCAACCAAGTAGCTAAAGTCGGGTAGTAAATGACTTTCTCTCCCAAGTTCTACTCGGGAGTTCTATGTTAAAAGCCCCCACGTAAACCTTAGTACCGAATAAGAGTTGGACCAAAGAAAAAACCTTCTTCGATTCCCCACTTTATGTGTGGTGAGAATAGAGATTAACATTTTTGGGAATGCATTTGTGGTTGCTTATGTAATTAACTTATCATTTTACTCTTCTTTTTATCCATCTCGAACGATTTATATGCTCATGCTTTATTGAAGTACATACAAGTTTCTTATTGAGCTCAAGGACTTAGTAACTTGTTTTCACTTTAAATGAATTCAGCACAATCCATTATTCAATCAGAGAACGAGTGGTTTTTCTTTTCTCCTCGTGGAAGGAAGTATCCGAACGGCTCTCAGAGTAAACGAGCAACTGAGTCAGGGTACTGGAAGGCAACGGGGAAAGAACGCAGCGTAAAGTCAGGATCGAAGCTGATTGGCACGAAGAGGACTTTAGTCTTCCACACAGGCCGGGCACCGAAAGGGCAGAGGACAGAGTGGTTAATGCATGAATATTGTACGACTGAGAAATCGCAGGTTAGTAATATCATTTCTAGAGCAAGCATGAGATGAAACAATGGATAGTATAATATATGATCGATGATTTGTAGCAAGAGCTGATTATGTAACGTTTCCATGAGTAATTGAAGGATGCAATGGTCGTCTGCCGCCTTCGAAAGAACGGTGATTTCCGTTTAACCGACAACCCTAGAAGTCCTATGAACGAACGGGATTTGCCAGCGGCAAACGACAGTACAACCACAGTTGCTTTATCTGACATCGAACAGCCGGGAGTGCAGGATGGAGTCGGAAAGGTAGCAGAGAGCTGTTCAAAAGAGTGTAGCAGCAGCTACTATTCCCATTCCGTCGATTCCGAATCCGACGATAAACGGACAAGCACATTCTCTCACACTGAATGTTCTAGCGTCGAGAAGGTAATGCGACATTCGGTTCTTCACTAACACATCTATATGATGTTTATACACATAATTTTTTGTTTGCAGTGTAATCCCGAGGAAGAGGATTGTTACGCCGACATAATTAAGGATGATATAATCAAGCTGGACGATTCTTCGTTAAATTCGAATCCCGTCGTAAAAACCGAGTCGAAAATGAAGTCGCCGCAGACTGACGAGGCTACGCCTTCTTCCCATCCTATACAAGGAACTGCCAACCGGAGGCTCCGGCTTAAAAGGCAGAGTATAAAACGTAATAAGTCGAACAGAAACGGTAATGGTATTCCTTCGACTTGTCCGGATTTGGTCTCTGTGAAGGCGGCCGGAAATTTCGGAATCAGAAGGGTCAAATTCCAGTCCATATTCATGTTTGTGGTAATGCTAATCTTGCTAATACTGTTTGTATTGTCCTTGGAGAGATTCATGGAGTCCGACGAGGTCGGAGATGCTTCCAAGCTTGCGACATCCCCCGGGGAATCCTCGATTTAGTATAAGGTATGCTTGCTATTGTTCTAATGTGTTGTAAATTTATGGCACGATTAGTTTTGATGCTGAAAATGTGTCGGAATTTGAGTTGCGAATGCATATATATATATGTGATATGATGTGTATATAGGCCGGAGGAGAGTTTAGTTTATGAACGCGCTAACGGTTAGCATGCGAGTATGGTAGGTAAATAGTAAAGTGTGTTGTGTTTGCGATGGATTGGAGAGTTATGTGTAGATATGTGTTTGCGATGGATATGGATAGATTACTCGGACTACATTTATGTGTTTTTGTATGCAAAATAGTAGTTGAATGTTATATTTTTCCATGAAATCGAAAAATATAAAATAAAATAGAAATATAAATATTAACCTATATAAATAGAAGGTTAGATTGTACAAAATTTATTTGTAAGAAACTGCTCTAAATTTTCATATTTTTAAAATTGGTTCAGATTTTTTCATAATTTTATAAACTCTACCTTTAGCAGGGATGTTTGGATGTCTCAGTAGGGATGTCAAATAAGGGTGGGTTAGCCCCGGATCCGCTTCGGACCCGATCTTAATGGAGCATGTTCAGATCTAAAATATTTTATTCGGGGTGGGTTGTGGATTTTGAGTTTTAGACCCAGCCGGGTTCGGGGCGAGTTACGAGTTTTATTATAAACTCGCCCAATCTTGAACCTGAACTCAAATATTTTAATAATTATTATAATTTATTTATAGTTTTATACAATATAAATTATAATATTATTTATTTATTTAACAAAATTAAATATAAAATAGAACTTTAATTATAAATCAACTTATTTTTGCATTTGTTTTTCTACAATTCTTTTTATAATCCAGACTGCTGTTGACCGTCATCGGACTATTGTCAATATTGATTGTTTTTATTTTTAGTACTATAATTTTTTGGCACTTTGATGCATGTTTTTTTTTTAATATTAAATTATTTTAAAAAATTTTATTTTATTCATTCTTTTAGAAAAATGGGTTAACAAACCTGGAGGGTTCGGCGCGGGACGGGTCCTCAGGCAGGGTTGAAGCTAGGCGGGTCTTGGGTTCTAATATTTTCTAGCAGGGCGGGTCCCGGGGTCTTCAAAATCGGTCCTGAATCTGCCCGTTGATATCCCTAACGTTTAGCTCCATCAATTGTTCTTATTTAATGGTATAAGATCTAAATGCGATTAAATTGCGAATAAATTTCATAATCTATATATCTAAATTGTTGAAATTACAAATATATTAAAATTCATGGAACTAGAAGATATAATTATTTCCGAGTATATTTATTGTTTATGGGCTAAATATAAATAAATATATTTGTAATTTTAAAATTTAAAATTTGAAAATTTGAAATTAATTCGACATGTGTAACGGTTAAAGGGATTAGAGGCAAAGTTTTGTTGGCGTAATTTCTTGTTTAGAAATATTTAGATTTGATTATATAAATATATTTTTGTATTGAAACTCAATAATGTCACGTGCTATACAACAAAATTTTGTGTGTATAAGAATTATATTTATTGTATTATATTTAATGGTATAATATTCCTTCCGTCTATTAACAATCTATCAATTTTTTATATTTTGGTCCTTCTTATAACAAAGTATGTATTTTATTTTTTTAGTAACTGTACTATCTAACTAACCTTACAAATACCCTTCCAATTTACAATATATTACACAAATATCATTATATTTATATCATATAATACGAATAATGTTAATTTAATCTTTTTATCTTTATTTCTATTTTATCTCAATATAATATTAATATTTCTGGAATTTCATGAAAAACCAAATGAATATATAAATATTGGACGAATGGGCATACATATAATTTTTTTGGTTAAAGAAAAAGGAAATAGGTATGTAAGTTAGTTATATATGTATATAATGTGGTCCTAAGCGCAACAAATGATTTCCTTAAATTTGACAGCAACCTGTCAAAAATAAATAAATAAATTGTATGGTACATACCTTAAATTTCTCAAACAGAAAATATGTCACCAATAAAGGAAATATATATATCATTAATATGAATTAGTTGGAATTCATTATGACTCTATTAATGCTAAAATAAATGTTGTAGAATTATAATTTAAAGAAACCCCTTTCAACGCATAGATTGGCTTTGAAATTTCAACTTTTATTTTATTCAATTTAATTATTATTTTTTCATAGTATATCATCATAATTTTTTTTATAAAAATTTATATATTTAATGGTCAGTATTTTTAAATAAATTGATTTTTTCTACTAGAATTTTATTGATAATATAAAAATAATATTTTGTATTGAATGAATGACTTTTTGAGTAGATAATGTATATATTATATTAATATGTGTATTTGTATCTTTTTAATACTTTCTCCGTCCCATGTACCGTGTCCAAATTACTGTAGACACGAGAATTTAGAATAAATATAATTAGTAGATAATTAAAAATTTATTAGAAAAAAATAATTATCCTATAATATAAATAATTATAAATTAAGATTAAGATAACTAATTAGTCTAATTAAAATTTAAAAAATTATAAAATAAAAAAATTTAAAATGAGATTAAAGTATATAATTATTTTCAAAAAAAAAAAAATGTGACATGAGATGTGAGACGGACAAAAACGGCAACGTGGATACTGTAAGTGGGACGGAGGGAGTAATATTTATGAAAAATTGTTCCATAGCAAACAGACTGTAAATTTCCATAGGAAATATTATACTCCATCAGTCTCGCGACAGATGACCCTTTTCTTTTTTTGTACGTCCCATTAAATATGACCCATTTTTATTTTTAGTAAATTTATTCATTTTAAACATATTTAATAAATATAAATCAATTTAATCAGGTTTCATATCCCAACAATCTCCTACTTGAAGACTAATTTCATCTTTCACTTCAACGTACCTCATCCAATCTCCACTCTCCACCATTCGGTATTCTGATTCGAATCATTCCTTTACCTACAATTTTTTCAGTGTCTCATCATCTACAAGATAGAAAACACCAAAATTACCTGTGGTATAGGATTTCATGATTCCCGAATCACTGAATGAGTAGAATGACGCTCCTGAGACCAAAATCCATGACATAATTGTAAATATCTGGATCAGTATAATAAAATTTATCTGGTTCCTGCCCGTGGACGTAGGTTCACACACCGTCACCGAACCACGTCAAATATCTGTGTTATTTATTTGCTTTCTTTCTCGTTTTATTGTAACAAGTGGTATCCCACTCAAAACCCCTTTATTTCTATCTCTCTCCTCGATAAATAAATATTTTTATCTATATTTAAAACTTATTATTTTTAATAAAATTAGTTTTAAGTTAAATATAAATAAATAAATTATTTTTTTATTTATTTGTATTATATAAAATTTTATTCTCTACAAAAATGATATTCATATTGTATATATTTAATATATAATGCTAAAAATATTTAAAATGTCAACAACATTACTCGTATAAAAATAATAAAATAATATCATAAGTTATTATTAATAACTTACTAATCTACGCTACATTAAATACCGTGTTCTTAAGCAAATGGGTCATTTCGACCGGGACGGAGGGAGTATTTAATAATAAATTCACTAAAAATAAATGAATAACCAAGTAAACAAACTTTGTAATTTGTCATTGTAAGTTTGTTTGGTTTTAATTTGAGTTTAAAATTTTGTCTGAGTTTTTATTTGAAAAGTATTTTGATGTAATGTTTTATAAAAATAAATAATACTACATTTTTAATAATAATCATCATGACCGAAAACTATTAAATTGAAATGGAAATGGAAATCCAACACACTCGAATTTGAAATTTACTACAAAAAATTTATTTATATATTTTATGAATTTTATTTTAAAATTGGGTCCATGAGGTTGTTTATTCATTTGATGATTTTTTTAGTATTCAACGCTTAAATTTTTTTATAAATAATATTATTCTCATTCATAAAATATACATTAAAAACATTATTCAAATCAAAACAAAAAATAAAAATACTACTCTATCCGTCCCAGTAAAATAGTTTTGTTTATCATTTTTGTCTGTCCCAAAACAATGGTCTCATTTTCATAAATAACCATATCACTATAAAACTACTGTTACATTTTCATTATTATTACACAATTATTACTGCTTTTCAAACTAATACACTCACAATGGCAAAAAAGTCTTTTACCCGTACTTTTTACCCAATACCAATATAATATCAATATTCCTTAAATGCCGTGTCAACCACAACCCAGACAGAGGGAGTATTAAAATCTCAATTCATCTATTTATTTTTTTAAAAAAAATCTGAATCCAAGTGAACAAATTCAATGTTAATAAACTAAATAATTTATAAGGTGCATATGTTTTAAATTAATGTCGAAGCTATTTATTCATAATTATTTTTTCAAAATTATCAGAAATGAAAAAAAAAAAAGACACAATAGATTCATATATTTATACAAAAATATAATATATATATTCAATAGATTCAAATAAAAAAATTAACAATTCAATATAAAATATTATTATTTATATTACCGACAATTATTTCTATACAACTTTCAAACTCAAAACACAAGCAAATACATTCAACTTTTTCTTATTCATTTTTTACTTTTTTTTTTTTTCAAAATTTTAAAATACTTTTAAAACATACTTAAATACAAATCAAATTTAGTGAAGATAAAGAGCAACATTTCTTCTTTAAAAAAAAAAAATCCCAAAATTGGGATTAATTGTGGTGATGTTTTTAGAATTGGTTTATTTTGAAGTGAATGTTAACAAATTATTATTATTATTTTTTTAATTTTTTATTTTATTTTATTTTTTTAATGAGATTGAAATATAGTTTTAAATTGAAACATTAAATCTTTTGTAGTATTCTTAAAATCTATTTTTTCGCAAATAAATTGCATTTACATGTAGGGTGTGTTTGTTGGGAGTTTGGATTTTGAGTTGGAATTTGAATATTAAAAATTTTGAATTTGAATAGTTGCATCATGATATAAATAGATGTTGATGTGATGTTTTAAATGTAAAATTGATTTTTAATATAATATAAAAAATGAAAATAAGTGTTTGATTTGATGTTTTTTAGGAAGAAAAATAGGATGGATAGTGTATTTAAAATCCAATCCCCAGAACGAACACACCCCTAATGAATAATTTCACCTACTTATAAGGACCACTTGCTATTTAAAGTATCAACAACAATGCATCGATAAGACTAGTCAAACAATTTAAATTTTCAGTCTTACCATACGTTGTATATGTTGGAGTTTTGGTATTATAAATAGTATAATTTTCTTTCTTAATTAACTATTTTTTTTTTCATTTTGTTTCGTCTCATAATAAATTATTTATTTATATTTTTTTAGTAACTATTCTATCTACTCAATATTACAAATACTCTTTTAATTTACAATATATTACACAAATGACATTACCTTGTATCATACAATAATAAGGTTAGTGTAATTTATTTTTTATCTTTATTCCTAATATGTCCCAATATAATACTAATATTTTTAAAATTTTATAAAAATAACAAACAGATAGATAGATAGATAGATAGATATGAGACGAAAGAAATATTACATATGGTTTGCTATTGAACCGCGTATTTGGACCCAAAAAAGAAAAGTTCTCAACTAGAACGGTACATTTTTATTCGGTGAAAATATAGTTATTATTCATTTGAAAAACACACCAAATTGAGAATAAAAAAACAATTGTCGAATATTTCAAAAGTATTGTATAAACGGAGTCTTGATCATTGGCTAATCTAGAGAGTTATTCGCCATTAGTAAGGATCAACGAATTTTATCTCTATAATTTTATGATTATATATACATATATCAATTAATATATATTCTTTCATCCATCAAATTTATCTAGCTTGTCTGCTAAATTTAATAATTACTAATTTTGACAAAGTAAAGAAATCAATATTTAACCATTATCCTTCAATATTCTAACTATCTTTTTATTTTTATCATTTTTTTCAATAAAAATATCTATTTTTTTTAATCTCCGTGTCCGGACACAGATGCTCTAATTTTACCGGAGGAAAGGGAGTATAATTTTATCTCTATTATCTCTAAACAAAATCGTCTTTTTTGTTTTCTTTTTTGCAATTTTAGAAATATGTAAATGAATATTATTGTATTACTTTCGTGAAAGAGGGTACAAGACTATAAATGCCTATGTTCAAATCATTTAATGCGAGCCAATATTCTTATCAAATCATCTTTAGGCCGAATATAATAGCTTGCAAATTATGTCAATTTGACAAGTTCTGTATAACAACATGGGCTAAAAAAGCATTTGTAGAATTCGAATCAATAAACTTGCAATTACCGGTCATTCATACAACATTGAGTCGATCACATTTTTAAAATTTTGGTTTTGATTTTAATCTGAATAATAGAAAAAAAATTAATATAGTATTATTATTATTATCATAAATCATGATAATTATTCAGGGCACGCTTCAAGTAGCGGTTGCGGATTCTCGCGTGATAAAAAATTTGAAGATATACATACAGGTGTATGTGTATGTATATATTTTATTTTGGGGCAGTTGGCATTGAAGTGTTCTAATTTTCTATGAATTAAAAATTTCTACTTTCATTGATAGGAATAATACACATATATGTAAAATTAAAAGTTTTTTTTTTTTTAAAAAAAAAATCTATATAATTTGTAATCAGCTAGTTTAAATACTAGTTGCTCTCTTGTTATTAATTTTACATTTAAATACTTTTTTCATTATTTTTTATTTTTTCCATTATTTTCCCCCCTCAATTTACTTTATTATGATCTCTCTCTTGTTTTTGAGTGTGATTTAATTTAAGGATGTAAAATCCTATCTATCCCAAGCTTTTGTTATTATTATTATTATGGCTATAAATATCAGCAATTAATGGGATACCTAACACAAAAATATTTATTAGAAATTCATTCTGCCAGCAAATTTCTTGTGATATATTTCCTAGCAATAATGATTCCCTCTTACTACCCTATAATTAAAGATTTATGTAATTTACAGATGTATATATAAATTTAAATATTCAATTCAGTTCTTTTTTATTTATTTAATATTTTCAAATCCAAGCATACCTTTAATTACTCATATGCATATATATATATATATAACACATTCATGTTCTTAATTTATATATATATATATATATATTTAAAAATACAAAAGTTTATGTAATGGCTTGGTGATAAGAAAATTGATTAGACTACTATGCAGACAAAACATGCACATTTCTTTTTCAAAACTCATGTGATAGAATCAAAGCAAAACGAACTGAAATAATCTACTCCCTCCGTCCCACATAATTTGTCCATATTTTCTATTTTCGTCCGTCCCATATAATTTGTCCATTCTTTTTTTGGAAATATTATTATACACTTTAATCTCATTTTAAATTTTAAATTTTATAATTTTTTTAATTTTAATTAAACTATTTAGTTATCTTAATCTTAATCCACAATTATTTTTATTATACGATAATTATTTTTACTAATACACTTCTTAATTACTTACTAATTACACTTTACCTAAATTTCCGTATCTAATACATGGGACGGAGGGAGTATTATGTAAAATCAACCTACGATCATATAACATATTTGATTCACTTGGAGCGTGAGAACATACTAGAATAGACTCGATTTGATGCTTTCACAACCATGGCCAATTACTACTTCTACCTTGCATGCTCACCCTTACCCCATCCATTACATCATATTTATTACATCCCATGGAATTTAAAGCACAACCAATGTATACATACATGTGTGTGCAATAATTTTGATTCTCTATATATAGCCCTTTTAAGGCATGAAAAAAATTTAAGGGAAAAAAAACGTAGCGCACATATAATTCTCTCGATCCGTATTTTTCTTCTCAATTCTTCACCGGCATATAAAGGTATCAAGCTTTCGTATTATGTGGTACTAATTTATCGTTCTGAGTATGGCTTAAAAAGTTATAATATTATAAAAAAGAAATTAAAATAGATATTTTCTCCGTCCACTATAATTATATATTTAATAATATTTGTAAACAAAAGCTTGCATAGTTTAGTGAAAAAGAAAAATAAAAATGGTCGATTAAAAAAATAATAATAAAAAAGCAAACTCATTCTATTTTTAATTATACTATTATAGCACATCTTTACAATTTTGATCAAATGGATTGTTTATCTGTGCTTTTAAATTCCTTTTATTTTTAATGTTCAATATGTTATTTTTCTCCATAAAATATATATTATATCTAATATATATTTCCATTTATGTTTTTATTTTTAGAAAACAAATCTAAATCTAAAACGCTAAAGTAAAATGTATATATGTTTATTTGCATTTATATTTTGATTTTTTGTTTTAATATAGCACAAATTTGATTTGACTCCAACAATTGTTGTTCGCTTTAGAATGAACTACAAAGTTGAAGATGACGAAATCCCCGACACCAAGCTCGAACTTGACCTATTCCCGGCAAGGGAAGAAGATCACGGGCAAGTTCAAATCCAAGACCAAGACCAAGGCCAATTGTTGATTTATTCGTCGACGGACATGTCGCCGCAAGGGTCTTGTGTGTCGGTTTCTCGGGAAACGAGCCCCGAGAAGGAGCCAATGATGGTGGTGGGGTGCCCCGGGTGTTTGATGTATATTATGGTGAGGGAGAATGAGAATGAGGTTCCTAAGTGCCCCAAATGTAAGAGCACGACAATTTTTGTTGGATTTTAGATATAATAATGTGATTGATATATAATAAAAATAGACAGTATATATTATATATAGTATAGCATATTTGTAGAACCGCATATGATGTGTTATAACAAAATATGTGTTGTACTATATCGAAACATATGCTGTCTACGTTTATTATATATGTTGATTGTGTTGAATCACTAAAATATCCACCTAGTTTCCCTATGGGATGAGATCACCGATCCCTTACATTCAAGTCTTTCCACGCCCTCTCTAATACACTGTGTATATATAATAATATATATATGATATATAGATACACATAATATATGCATATATATATATATCACATTTGTGAGTGGGGCGGGAAAGAGGGGGACCGGTGATCCCGTGCCGTTTCTCTATTGTCCCTCAAGTTGAGTATGATCGACCAAATTTTTTGATTTGCTTGTGTTCCTAATAAGGCAATAGATTTGAAAGTTGCTTTCTTATTTCAAACATTGTATTCGATAAATTTCCAAGTGTGTTTGATATTGTATTTTGATTTTAAATTTTAGCTTAAATAATGATCTTTGCGAAAGAGAATTGTAGATTTATTTAAGGAATTATAAAGATTGCAAGGTAAAAAAAACACTCAAAGCTAATGGAATTTTCGGTTCTATTTACATGAAATTTGATACGGAGAAGGAAATTGCAGAGAAATGAAAATAGAGAATGGAATCAGAGAGAAATTGAATTGAATAGAGAATTACAATTCATTCTCTTGTTTGGTAAAACAGAAAATTCAGTTAAAAAAAATACAACTATATGAATGATCAAACAAAAATAAATGATTAATCAGATAAAAAAAAGTTTTAATCCAATGATAATTCATTAAAAAAAAAAATTGGTGACTTTTTAAAAAAAATTATAAAAATTAAATAGTAAAAAAAAAATACTACAACATCATTTCTCTCTATTTCTCTGCATATAGAAAAGAAATAAAAATATTTCTAAAAATGATTTATTTCTACTCAAACAAATAAGAAAAATTATACCATTTCTATTTCTCTGGTTTCATTTCTTTGTACCAAACACAACCTTATCATTTTTATTATACAACCTTCGCCCTCCCTAAAAACATGCGTTTGATGTGTTCAATTGGTAGTTTTTTGTTTTTTGTTTTTTTGAATTTTAATTTTACTAAGTTTTTGTTTGAATAGTAATTTAGATTTTTTTAAAAAAAAATTATAAAAATAAAAATTATATTTTTATAAAAAAGAAAGTAAAAATTGAATTGTAAAATTATAAAAATATTTATCAAATGAAGAAGAAGCCATTATTTTTTCTCAGAAAAAAAAAAAAAAAACATCACTAAAACTTAAGACCAAAACACAACACCAAATCTCAAATAAATAAACCCATCAGAGAATATGAACAAATAATCATTATATTAAAATATTTAAATATAAAATAAAATAACAAGCGCAAAGAGAACCCGCCCCAACTTTTAGGTTTATTGACTTGATTTTTATGTATTTTTGTTTATGTAGTTTTTTAATAAAATAATTGATTAATATAATATTAAAAAAAAGTTATGAAATTAAACAGTTAAAAAAAATGTAAAAACCAATCAAGTTAATAAAAACACAATGTAAGTTACACACACACACACACAAAATCGAACTATTACAACCAAGATAGTAAACATACAAATATGAGCATTCAGGTAACGGCAATTATCATACAAACATGAGATATTTCAGATTTATCATTCCCCTCAAGTCAATTCATAATAATGCACTTAAAGGTCTGCAATATTATTGAAGAATAAATATCAAAGAAAGATTATAATATGGCATATGGCATATTGAAGAAGCTCAGAAGTAAAATAGAATTCACCTACAAGAAATGATTCGAGAATTCGAAATGGTGAGAAGGAGAATGGCACACCTTATTGATAGATGAAGATGAAATAACCGCATGAGTAGAAAATAAGGCATCCGATAAAAGTTGATTCAGAAAACACATCGAAAATGAGCACATATATGAGGCTTTAAACATCAGACAGCAACCTGGCCAAATAGGCTCCTCCGAATCTGCAATATAATACAAAATACGAATCGCTGTTAACAAACCTAATACAAATCCGAAGATACTTTGGGTGTGTTTATTCGTATATTTTTATCATTTTACCTTAAACAAATAATGCATACAACACTATTTTCACCTCTAAAACATAAATAAGAAATGCTAAAATAAGATGATAATCAAGACATATTGGAAAAGTAAAACCGAAAAATGTAATGAAAAGAGAACCAAAAATGGCACCTCTGGCAGTTTTTTACGGAACACAACATCCAGTCTAGCATCAAGAGTGTTCTCAAACACAATCTTCCCGTCCCTCGAAGCCAAAACCACACCTCCAGAGCTAAAAAAAATTGGGAAACCAGGAAGAATTATATAAGATGGTAGCAGATTCAAGGTTTCACAGCTGCTAATTTTCAATCTCAAAAAATGTAATTGTGACGAATTAAGGAAATTAAGGAAAAACGATATATGCTATTCATAGAATGGTTGTTTGTCAATGCCCATCAAGTTACTATTTAGCTTAGTTTTTCCAATCAGTTCATAAAATGAAACACACAAGCAGCCAAAGGCCTAGATTTACCAGGAAGGGCCGTGTTCATTGTGATGAGATGGAGCAGGCGGTAAGTGGACATGATCAATAATGATCTCAGGCTCATGAACTTTCTCCTTCTGTGCATACTCATGTTTTGCTGAATCCAAGACTGATTCCACCAAGTGGGTGTCCTCTCTGCGACAGCGTAATAGCACAGATGGCTCTTTCAGGCGTAGTAAACCCTGAAATGTGAAAAGAAAAAGTATTTTAAGAAATTGTCCTCAGATGGGAATCAGTTTAAAATGAATGAATTAGTAAAAACATGAACTTAATAGCAACAAGCTTTAGTTTGCAAAGAACCTGATACATTATTAAGATATAAAAGGATAAACTTTGAGGGCAAATATATTGAAATATATTTAGGAAAAACAGACACATTTAAATGGGCATTCCTTGTTTTCAATCCTTCAAACGACATGAAAGCTTAATAGGTAGCACTAAGCTTCTAAATTTACACCTCATTAGTTATTAGCCCCACCTTAGGAAAAAGGGTAACACACAAGTTGTAATAGACTATGAAGAAAGTAATTCGAAGGGAGATAACATAATCTTCAAATCAAAGAAATAAAAGTATAGCAGGAGATTAAAATTTCGAAAGGAGATGACATAATCTTCAAATCAAAAGAAATGAAAGAATAGCCGGAGATAAACATTTTGAAGGGAGATAACATAATCTTCAAATCAAAGAAATGAAGGTATCACCAGAGATTAACTTTTCAAAGGGAGATAACATAATCGTCAAATCAAAGAGATTAACATTCACACTCAAACTAGTTCTCATTTTAATTTCCTATTTAAAAATTCAGAGAAATGATTGTATGTCACATCTAAATCAAGAATGTGTTAAATGAGTCAGGAAATTTTGCTGAACCTGAACAATGAGATCCTTTAAAAGATGTTTATAATGGTGATGGTCATGGCTAACTTTAAGAAGCTGTTTTGAAGCATCTTCTTTCATGGCGTTGACCAAATCATCTTGAGCTTGAAGAACCTTGAGGCGAGAAGCATTCAGCTGCATCGAGTACTCACTGAAGAATCCAAACGACAGAAATGATCATAACAATACAAATATCAATAAATCGAAGTACACATGCTTCAAAGATTATTAGTTTCAATATGAAGGGGATAATCCACGATGCACTTTTTTGCAACAGAATTAGAGAATTCAAACGTAATGGCAGAACAAAAACAACCACTTCCTAAATCAGCATTCATGTTCCTATCCTATTAAATGATTAATTTATTTTTCCTCCACAATAAAACCGCCAATACATTCTAATCAAATACGTGATGCAATACTCGTTTCTTCTACTTACAACGCACGAAAAAAGTTCTAACAGTCAACGAAAAAAGATACAGAAAGCATGGAATCGAACAGATTTACATTTTTCTGCGAATCTGAACTTGCTTCTCTTTCCGCTCATACTCTTGCTTGATCTTCTTCTTCTCAGCTTCCACTAACTGCAGCTTCTCAATGTTGAATTCCTACACCAACAAAATTGAATGAGACTCAAACTTGCCAACATACATACCAATCAAATTGCCTAAACTAGCCTATTCATAGCTTCCAACAAGTAACAAAAATCCATACTTCTTCTGCAGACACGGAGATCTCGTTTGCCTTCTCCTCAGCTTCTTGCCGGATGAACCGGACCATCTGCTGGATCTGCTTCGATACATCGGCGTCATTCATCTTCGGATGCGAATCGGAATAGAGACGTTCTCCCGGAGCAAAATCACAGCTAAATCGAAGGGCAGAATGCCTTTGATCTGCTAGAGAATCCGAAGCTGATAAGGGCAATAGTAAACTGAATCTGTGAAAAAGCAGACCTCTTTCACGAAATCTAAATTCATAAATCGCGTTTTCAAAGTTCTAAATTCGCGTTTCAAGGTTCTAAATCGCGTTTTCGCCTCGCGCTTTCATACCATGTGTTTTTCAAAAATATTATAATATCTTATTTAATTATTTTTTTTTCCGTCCGATGACTTTTTTTAGTTAATGACACAATATTAGTATAAATTAATAAATTATTAATAATGAGTTATAATATTATTTTATTATTTTTTATATTAATAATTTTGTTGGTATTTTAAATATTTTTAACATTATATTTTAATCAAATTTATATAATATGTAGATCATTTTGTAGATAATAACTCATTTATTTATATTTTTCTTCAATAAACAAAATTTTCATATATATTTAAAACTCCCCAATTTTTATAAAATTAATTTTAAGTTAATTATAAATAAATAAATAAATATTTTTTTATATATAAAATTTTATTATCTACAAAAATGATGTTCATATTTATATATTTTATTGAAATATAATACTAAAAATATTTAAAATACTAACAAAACTACTCATATAATAAATAATAAAATAATATCATAATTTATTATTAATAATTTACTAATTTACACGATGTAAAATATCCTATCACTAACCAAATTGATCATGTGACCCGGTACCAATAATGTATTTTTTAAGTATGAAAAAATAACACATGCTCATATTTCACATGACACGTGCTACTTTCACCAACACCGTAACTAAATGTTGTACATATAGGATATGATACTCTCTGTCTCATATACGATAAAATATTTCTTTTCAATACAATAACTTAAGTGAATAGTATTAAGTAAAATGAACGAAAAGTTAATCAATATGATAGAAATATAAATGTATATATTTATTTTAGTAGAATAATAGGATAAAATTTAATTCATTACTTTTTATTTTAAAAATATTATATTTGTTGGGATATGAAGCCTGATTATATCCTAAAATCTAGGGATATGATTTGAATATTATATTTTAGATTTTAGAGATATGATTTGGATATTATCGTCAAAGGCTTAGGCTATAAATATACATGTATTTTCACTTTAACACGTGCCTGCGTACTTTATAGTAAAATTCCTGGCTTGGCAGCGCCCCCAGACGTAGATCATCGTGATCGAAATGGGTTACTAAATTCTTGTGTTCTTTTGTCCTTGTTATTTCATCTTGATTTCCTGGGAATTTCCGTAACAAGTGGTATCAGAGCCTAGTTCTTTGATAGGGTGGATTGAGAGGAATCGGACGTTGGATCGTTGTGGGAATCCCTTGTGACCTGCGGAGGTGCCTTGTGTCGAAAGTCTCCTGGCGGTGTTGGGTCGGTCCCGACTGGTAGGTCAGGCAGCGAGTCCCTTTGTGATAGGCGGTGCAAGGTTGGTAGGGAAGGATAAGGGTTTCGGCAAACGCAGCGGAATATCCGATGTGCTCTCATATCAAGTGAACCTTAGGTTTGTTTGTGGGAGTCAAGATGGGTGATCGTCATATTGTCAAGGTATTCGATGGTATGAACTTCGATTTCTGAAATATGCAGATAGAAGATTACATGTATGGTAAAGATCTAGATGCGGTATTGAAGGAGAAATTCGAAGACATGGATGAAGCCGAATACAAGAAGATCGACAGGAAGACGATGAGTACGGTTCGACTAACCCTTTGGGAGAATGTCTCGACTGAATTTAGATTTGAGGCAAAAGGAAAGGGTGAACATCAAGAATGGTCAAAGTTGAAGTCGAAGAATAAGAACAAGGAAGATGCAAGTCAGGTGGTATATTGGAACTGCAAGGGGCATTTGAAACGACAGTGCAGGGCGCCGGAGAAGGATCAGGGTGCAGCAAACGCAACGGAGGAGATATCCGATGCGCTGATTCTGAGCGTCAGCAGTCCAATGGAGTCATGGATTTTGGTCGAGCGTCATTCCACTCATGCAGTGATTTGAGAATCATGGAATCCTATCTTGGAGATGATGAGACACTGAAAATTGTAGGTAAAGGAATGATTCGAATCAGAACGCCGAATGGTGGGGAGTGGAGATTGGATGAGGTATGTTGAAGTGGAAAATGAAATCAGTCTTCAAGTGGGAGATTGTTGGGATATGAAGCCTGATTATATCCTAAAATCTAGGGATATGATTTGGATATTATATTTTAGATTTTAGAGATATGATTTGGATATTATTGTCAAAGGTTTAGGCTATAAATATCCATGTATTCTCACTTTAACATGTGCCTGCGTACTTTATAGTAAAATTCCTGGCTTAGCAGCGCCCCCAGACGTAGATCATCGTGATCGAACTGGGTTACTAAATTCTTGTGTTCTTTTGTCTTGTTATTTCATCTTGATTTCCTGGAATTTCCGTAACAATATTGTACATATCAAAATAAAAATTACTCCTATTACATATATCGTGAGAAAAAGGAAGGAGTTTTGTTTATATATTTACAGTAATTTTCTGGATCCAAAAGGTTTTTTCAAGAAAAAGGAAACAAATACATAATAAATACAATACTATTTATTTACAACTTCACTACACTACAGCTAATAATATATAACTATTTTTGGAAGTTAATTTCGCCTTTGCATTCAATCTCAAGCCCTAAATTTTCCTCCCTAATTAATTATACTGTAATTTTCACAATTTAATGTCCTCACATGCAATTCCCAATTCCGCCCCACGCGTCGCCATCCACGTCACCGTCGCCGTCGCCGTCACGCGCCGCTCTCGGCGGCGACACCTCCGTTCCATATCTCCATGAACGCTCGGATAATTATCTCGTGGTGCTGCGCCGAATTGAGCTGCAGAAAACAGTGGAGAAGCTGCCGGAGACTGTTTCTCGAGTAGATTCTGTTCTCCAAGATCATTTGGAGCATCGATTGCCGGAAATCATTGTACGGATCGTCGGAATCCTTGACGACGGCGAGGCTGCCGTGGATTTTCCGGTAGGAGTGGATGATTGTTTCGGCGTGGTCGTCGACGTGCTCCGGCGTGCAGCGGTGGCCGCCGCCGCCGCCGGAAGTGACGGAGAAGGTCGTGGAGGAGGAGTAGTCCTCATCGTCGACGGCGGAATCCTTGCCGCCGTTTCTCATCCAGGAGCTTTCCGATGAGGATGGACCGTTTGCGGCGGCGACAAGATTCCGATCGGAGAAGTTTCTGGACTTAGGCGTTGGTTCGATTATGTCTGTCGCCGCCGTGGAATCGCATCCGCATCCGCCGTTTCCGGCGAATACGCCTTTGAATTTCACTATCGTTCTCGGCGTCATATGGTGGTGGTGGTGGCGGAGCTGCGGCGGTTATGGCGAAGAGGATTTGTATCTCTGAAAGAAGTTCAGAAAACGATAAGCCAAAAAGGCGTGTATATAAATACGCATATACGATGCTGATCTGGCTTTTCTATTTAAATGATTTTTAAAAATTAATATAATATAGAAGGTAAATTTAAATACTAAAGTAATATACAAATGATAAAGTATATGACAACAAAGTTCGTACACATATACTTAGGTACTATATATTGATCCATGTTACAATTAGTATAATTACAAAACGAAATCGAAACATTGCCGGAGAGAGAGATCAGCGCCGTACACGTGGCAGATATACAATCGACGCCATCCAATTTTTTTAAATATTAAATAAATTAAAGCCCCAGCCTGTAAGGCACACCCGTCTGCGGAATCCACCGGGATCCGGCGAGAAACTCCCCCGGAGCAAATTTTCCGGCCTCGTCGGCGGTGAGCACCTTGAAATTCTTAAAACTCCTGCTCCTCAGCCGCGTCCCGGCGCCGGGCCCACGGTTTCCGTACTCGAGCATGTGACAGGTCACGTGATTCGGCGAGTCGTCCCACGCCTTCCACCCCTCCGGCCGGATAAAATCCCCCAGCTCGCTCTGCATCACCACCGTCGTCGCCTCCGCCGTCGACGGCCGCCCCAAAAACGTCTGGATCTCGAACCTCGCCGGAAACAGCGCCTTCTCCGGCACAATCCGGCAGTTCTGCAGCACCAGGCCGTTGCTGCCCTTCAAAATCTCCTTCCCGTCGGCGGTCACTGTGTTAACCTGATTCGGCATCGGTTTTCTGACGATGATCTCGCTGTCCTGAATCAAAGCCTCGCCTTTTCCGAAGATGAAATCGACGGTGCCGTAGATTAAGCAATTCCGGTAGAAATGGCGGTAGAGCTGGTAGTAGAGCGTGCTCTGAAAGCCCTCGATGCTGCAATCGAAGACGGCGGTTTTGTCGCCGGAGCTCCGGAACGCAACCGCCTGTAGCCCCTGGGGGCCGGCCTTGTTGCGGAACGTCATCCCTCTGGCGATGAAACCCGTCGCCTCGTTGGCGAACGTCGCCGTGTGCATCGTCCCCGTCTTCATCGCGCCGGCGGCGCTTTTCCGGCCGGTCACGATCGTCTTCCCGATTCCGTCGCCGTACATCAGAATGTTCGGCTTGTTGTTAGTGATTGTCACCTGTGTTAGAAATTAAATATATTTTAATTAAATAAATTTAAAGTAAAATTGTTTATAACTTTATTATGATTTTAAAATTCATGCATAAAATGTTAGTGTATTTTACAAATTGTACGACGGCTAATATTTTAAAAAAAAATGTTGCATAAAACTTCACTACTAATATGATTTTATATCTATATTTTCTAAATTGATGGATATTTCATGCAATATTTTTTTTTTTAAGTATAAGGAAGCATTATACTATTTTGTAATATAAAGAGATGATTTATATTAAATTTTGAAACTACTGAGGGATTGCATGCAATTTTTAGAGTAAACGAGAGATTTACGATGAATTTCAAAACTATATAGGAGTTATAGGCAACATTTCTATTAAATTGTCCGTAACTTCTTTAGGATTTTAAAAATTAGAGTAAATTTATCATTTACTCTAAAAATTGCATTATGTCCTGTTATACTTTAAAAATATTAAAATACCGTTTAAATTCTCACTATACTTTGTAAATTTTCACTGTACTTAAAAAAAATATTGCATAAAATTATCGGTATACTAAAAATATAGATAACAAATCATCTTGGGGTTTTATGCCATTTTTTAAGTATAAGATATTTTACTTTTAATAGTTTAATTTCGAAACCATATTGTGAGCAATTTTATTTATAATTTAATTTAAATATAATTATTTATAATCAATAACCTGCTCATTGTAGTCGCCAGCCTTCACGTAGATCACGAACCTGCCGGTGTGGTTCGGCGGATACGCCGCCACGGCGTCGGTTATGGTTTTGAATTGGCCGCTGCCGTCCGCCGCCACCACCACATCCGGCTTCGGCGGAATAGTCTCCAGAAGTTTCCGATCGCCGGAGTTTAACCACGCCGGGTAATTATTATTATTATTACTGCTGCTATTTTCTGTAAGGCTTCGAGGATGGTTATCGGAGGTAGCCGTCGCGATTTTTTTTACGGCGTCGGAATTATTATTGTTATTTTCGCCGAAGAGTTTAAGGATTTGGGGGATTTCGGCAATGATGTTGACGGCGTTGTGGCTGAGCTCGGTGGAATTTTGGATGGCGATTTGGACGGCGGTTTTGGGGACAGGATCTTCGATTTGGTCGACGCAGTAGGTGTGGAGGGCGTAGACGGCGGTGGTCCACGTGTGAAGCTCGTGGGTCTGGTCGCGGTCGAGGGCGCTAAGGTTGCCGGCCTGGTTGACGGCGTCAATGGATTTGCGGAGGCGGTAGCCGGCGAGGTTGAGGAATTGACGGCAGTCCTGACGGAGAGGAGATGGTAAAATAAATCAAATACTTTCGAAAAAAAATAGTAAATAATATTATTAAAAAGAAAAAATTATAAAATACCACAGTCTCCTTTGTATTATATTAAAATTTACATAAAATATTGATATTTAATTGTAAATATCTATACAAATTTTATACCAAAGAAGTGAAAGATTTTAAATAAAATAAATAAATAAATAATTTATCCGTTTTTAATAAATTATTTATTTTATTTATAAAAGAATGTTTAATATATTTATTTATTTTATTTATATAAAACTTAGATAATTAGATTCATTTTTACACAAAAAATAAATAAATAAATAAAATATCAGATTTAGACTAAAATTATATTTTGAACAAACTGTAATATGTATAACACAATGATTTTACTCAACAAATAAAACAAATTTTATATATTTTTATTAAAATACCAAATTATGTGATATAATTTTCCTTTTTAAAAATTATTTCTAAATAAATTGAATAGTCGAATAATTCAATTCAATTTAGTTCAATTTTAACACAACCGTACCTGTACGGCAACAACGCTATTCTTGTCACGGCTGTCGACGGCGACCTGGGCGGCGGCGGCGGCGGAGCGGTTGACGTCGGTGGCGGCGGCGTCGAGGACGGCAAGGATGTAGTCCTTGGAGGTGGCGGCAGGGTTCTTGGCCGCCGGCTCAAGGCTCCTGGCGCAGGGTCCTTTGTATTTGGTGAGCTCACAAATTGAGGTCACCATCTTCATGGGCCCTCCCATGGCAGCGCTGTGCCCTAACTGCTTCGACGAGGGGTCGTCGCCGCCCTTGACCATGACGGAGACGCCGATGATGACGCCCAGCACCACCATAATGGACACAACCAGCAACGCTATTTTGCTGATCATTTTTGGTTCTTGATTATTATTATTATTATTTTGATTTTATTTTTTTTTGGTTTTTTATTTTCAGGTGGTGGCTGGCCCAAGACGATCTTCAAGGGCCAGGGAAAGAAGGGAGAATTGTAATAAAAGTGGGTTGAACAATATAGGTGATGGGGGAGACCGGGGAATGGGTAACCTAGTTAGAGAGAGAAAGGGGGGAGAGAGAGAGGAGATTGGGTCGACGACAATAACGGTCAACTTCCCTATGAATAGATGGGTTTTTGTTGTGTGTTGGGTGGATGGTAATTTGATGTCTAAGTTTAGTCAATTGTATTTGTATGTTTGAGTGTTTGTTGTTTTTTTTAATAATAATCAAAATATACTGAATCAATTCAATACATAAAAGGTGTTTTTTTTTTTAAATCATGTGTGAATCGCACACTATTTGAAAACTCTTCCGCGGATTTGAAAGTTTGAATCCATAATTTCACGGTTATAAATTTATTTTTATATCATTAAGTCATTTTTTACTAATTATATAAAGGGTGTCTTTTGTTTGATGGGTTGATCAATTGAGTTTTGGATTAAGATTTGAATAATAAAAGAATTTTTTGAATTTGAATAACAGTATAACGTGATATAAATATATATTAATATGATATTTTAAATTAATTTTTTTTTAGTATAATACTCATTTAATTCACTTTAAAAATTTAGATTTTTATTTTTTTATATTATATTTTAATATTGACTATTATTTCGAAATGTAATATAAATAAAAATAATAATAAAAATATTATCTTAAAATATAAATATAATAATATTTGTATAAAAATTTAGACAAATATAACAATATTTGTAACTTAGAAGTAAATTTTCAGTGGTCCTATATTTTTGATAAAAAACACGTGTTTTTTAGGTATAAATTGAGATTTTTTAAAAGCGCTAAAATTTTCCCTCCGAGTCTCTGACCCTATCATTTTAGGCGCTAAGGTGAGCGCGGCTCGGCTCAGCTTGGCACCCTTCTTCTTCGTCGTCGTCGTCACTGCGTCAGTCCCTCCCGTCCCTCTTGTATTGCCTAAAAGGAAGCAACTGTGAGAATCATTCAACCAATTGCAGGGGCAATTTTTAGGCGTGACTCGAAAGTTGCCCACCAAATGTTCGACGAAATGCGCAACTAACGCAGTTATCGTACGACATTGCAAGGGGAAGTGTCCGCAGCGACGGCAAGATGATGGCGTTGTCGAGCAGCTGTCTACCTCACTTCAAGCAACATCCGAGTGTTGTAGCGACGAATTTTAGCTGCAGCCTTCGCTATCCTATCGCAATAAATTGCAATTCTAATGGAAGGATTTGCAATCCTGTTCGTCTCAAAATTGATTGTTTGAAAATTAAGGGAGAGTTCGAAGGTACGTGGGAAGAGCCGGACGATGGAAGCGATGATAGCGAGTTCGAGTCTGATGAAGATGAGAGTATGGAAGACAACGACTTGGACTATGAAAGTGATTGGGAAGGTAATGAAAGTGCGAAAACCGTTCGTGATGGTAATGAATTGGCTGCAAGAGAGTACGAGGACGATCTTGTTAGAGGTATGCATTGTTCTGTACTATATTGTTCCATTGATTTATGGAGGATTTACTATGAAGTTTAATGAAGAAAGTCTTCATCTCGTTAGTTTGTATGAACCGAACTGAACCTAAAAATGGTGTCTTTTTTTTTTTGGTGAAATGGAGTAAGTAAAAATTGCTCATAACCCACAAATGGTTTGGAAAGTGGAAAGTCTACACCATATTCTTTCTTACTTAGAAACTAAATGAAGCTCTTGTATTTTACAAAACATCGCTCAAAATACCTAAACGTTGGGTGAGGATTTCTTGTGTTTTACGAAAATATTTAATAGAATCACCTAGAAAGGAGAATGGTTTGGTTGTAGTCTGAAATTGAATGGAAATGGGTGATGATTTGATTTTTTGTTCAAATAATATTTTAATGTGTTATTTTGTTAAAGAAAATAATATATATTTATTGGAAATCATGTCAAAATAAAAGGCAATTGTGTTGAATATGTCCTAGACCACTCCACCTAGTACCAATTGATCTTAGATTCAAAGCCCGGATCCCTAGTATCAAAGTCATGATGTCCATATTAGGTATTAATCATATTTGTATTTTTGAGATTATCGTATCGAGAGGGAAGTATTGTCTCTTTGACTTTAACATAGGGTAAAAAAGGAATATGTGAACTACTTGCTTATAGGGGTGAATGTCACTCAACCTAGTACCAATTAATTTTAGGTTAGATGTGAAGCCCAGATCCCTTCTTTAAGAAATTGTGTGTAGGTTGTAGGTGAATTGGGGAATATTGGAATAGAGGATCAAAGGAAATATTATTACAGGATAATCAAGTGGATCATGTAATAAACACTGTCTAGAAGTTAGAAACTGTTCCTATTCTAAGTTATCACGAATTAACTTTGAAATAATGTAACGACACACTGAAAATTTATAATCTGAATATTGAATCTAAAATCAAGATTTTGTCTCGTTACCTGTTTTGTAAATGGTTACACCTATATTTAAATGGATACACATTTTCGTTCAAAGTGTGTTCTAATGAATCCGTTTAGCTTCCAAGGCATTGTTCTTATGAAGAATTAGTTTAATTTTCCATTTGTGCTGTGGTAAACATGTTATTGTTACATGAAAATTTATATATGTAATGTAAGCATTGTGTCCATCTTCACGTATGACTACGTCTGCTTATTTTTGTCCAATTTGTAATCCTCTATCGTCTATGGCTATGTGATTCCATCGTTTGTAGGTTTTCCCATGTTTAACTCTTTCGTTGTTTACACACTTTTGTGTTGTTCCTTACTTCCTCGTTATAATCATATTTCTGCTAGAGCATTCATTGTCGTATTGCCCACAGATGTTGAGCAGATGCTGTCACCGGAAGAATTAGCCATTTTGAAGCAAAATGAAGCTCCTAATCTGGAGAAATTATCTACTGTAAGTTGAATAATTTTGAAGATATGTTAAATGCTTGAGCTGTTGTCTGATCAAACTTTCAAATCGGCTTTGTGAGGAATTTAGGGTCTCGGGTTTAGAATATTTGAGAATTTCATTTCAGTTTTTCTGTCTTGTAGTGTCAAAAGTGATTTGAAAACATACGTAAATAGAATTCGAAATCACCCATCTCAGGGAAAATGGAAGCTGCTTCACACATATGCTTTATCAGGACAAATAAAATTCATGGACGGGATACTTGAGAGAGGCCATGATATCGATTTAGTTGACAAGGTGCCGTCACGATTATTAAGCAATATAAATATTCACGTTCAATTCGTGTTACTTAGTGTTAAAATCATGACTGGTTTTTGTTAGCACAGGATGGCTTGACTCCCCTGCATTTAGCGGTTATCGGTAAAAGAGAGGCAGTCATTAGTCATCTCTTGAGGAAAGGAGCAAATCCAAAAGCAAAAGATCAGGTATAGCTCATTCGAAAATTCTGAGATGTTTTTTGGGGAAATTCTCGATCTTTGAGTTCTGTGATGATCGAAAATTGTGTGTTTAACAGGATGGCGCTACGCCTCTGCATTACGCCGCGCAAGTAGGTGCTTTGCAAACAGTCAAATTGTTGATAAAATACAAAGCTAACGTCAATGCTGCTGATAATGTGAGCTACGATTTTAGTTGTTAATGCGCGCTATTTCATCTTTCGAACGTTATTCTGATCCGTGTTTTGTAGGAAGGATGGACACCATTGCACGTGGCTATGCAGACAAGAAACCGGGATATAGTTAAAGTTTTGCTCGTCAATGGCGCTGACAGGATACTAAGAAACCAGGTAACCTTTGTTCGCTTTTCCGATATATGTTGTTTGAGAAATTTTCAAAAGTCTGAAGCTGGACTGCTTGTTGATTTGTTCTTAGATCAATTCTTCTTGAAATATGGGTGCGTTTGTTTGGGGGATTGGATTTTCAATCTACTATTCATCCCATTTTTTCCCCCAAAAAATATCAAATCAAACACCTATTTTTTATTTTTTATATTATACTAAAAATCAATTTTACATTTAAAATATCATATTTAACACCTATTTATATCACATCATGCAACTATTCAAATTCAAAATTTTTACTATTCAAATCTCAAGTCAAAATCCAAACCTTCAAACAAACACACTAGTAGTTTGTGAATCTTTAGGTTTACAATGCAATTACCATTTTTCCTTTTCTGTTCGCCTATAGGGATGAATAAAGATACCGAATTCTCAAAATATTGTACCGAAAAATACCAGAAGGTATACTGAAAATGTTGATACTGTATGATACCAAACTTTTTTGAACGTATATAGTTTGATATTTTTGATATATTGAAATACCAAAATTGTTTCAGTGTTTCGGTATATATTTGAAAATACTGTATACAGTCTTGATACAATATTTTATTTAAAATATTATTGTTGAGGAATAATGGCAAACGTTTTAAATGTGTCTATATAAACAGAGTCATTTGATTAGAATTATTGCAAACACTATTATTCGGATGTGATGTTACGGTTACTTTGATGAGTGATTTAATCGGCGAAATTGTGATACAGGCTGGGAATACAGCGCTCGATTTAGCCATGTGTTACGGAAAAGAGTTTAGATCGTACGAACTTGCTAAGTTAGTGAAGCAAGTTCCGGCAAGAGACTTTTAAGCTTGATGCACACGATACTTACAACTGTCTTAGCCGGACGAGTTTAAAGATGAAGCAAGAATCGCGCCAATCGGATTTTCTCCGGAGAGTAAGCTGCAACTTATGCACAACTTATGTGTGTACTTGTTCTGTTTCTCAAATTTGTGCTCAACTTATAAGGTTTTGGTTGATACTTTTGCCTTTTACAGTAAAAAAAAAAAAAAAAAAATTATTGATAAATTTTTAGAAATGAAAAATATTTTTAAGAGAATAAAAAATGGAAAGCATGTACAATTTTAGAAGGCAGGGAATTACAACTTATTGTTTCATTTGGTTGCTAGAAATGTTAGTTATTTTATTTTCATTGATTTTTGGTCGTTCCTTTTTTTACATAACTTTAGTATTTTTATCCGTAATATAACATATGTTATTGTCTAACAAAGGTACTATTTAATTTTTTGATTATTTTATTTAATATTAAAATACCTTTATGTCTGTATAATTTATTTCACAAATCTTTATATCTGCATAATTTATTTCATAAATATCGTTCTATTTGAATTATAAGAGATTAATAAAAATATTTATATCTTTTTATTTTGATTTGTACTAAGTATATAATAATTAATATTAAAAAAATTATATTGAAAAATTCATATGATATTCTTTTTTGAGGCATAAGGAGTATAATAAATATTTCATCTTAAAACATCCAAAATACAGAAGGAATACAAACAAATGTTATCGTGTACACCGAGTGAATACAACATTTCTTATGATATGAATGAAATATAACATAAATTTTTTATTAAGATTAAAAATGATAAAATATAAAATTTAAAAAGTGTAATTATTTTACAAAATAAAAAGAGAGAAATTATATGAGATGAATTGAAATGAAAAATATGAACAATTTAAGCTGGACATACAAAGTATTTTATATGAAAAAAAAAATGACAATAATTTTATTAGAAATATGAAATTTCTTATTATGGGTGTGTTTAGCTATAATATTTTTTTGGTTTTAGATAGTAAAATTTTAATTCTTTTCGGACGATCAGCCACACTGGGACTGAGACACGGCCCGGACTCCCCTTAACAGTAGAGGGCAGATGCAATTACTCTTTGAGTTGAAGTCTCTTCCGGGGTTTTGCTCCAGCCTGTCCCTTACAGATCTAGTAGTTGTAGTTCCCCCTTTTCTGTCGTCGGAAAGAGGCTCTAACAAGACCTCGAAATCAAAATAATTATTTAATGTTATATAAATTGATGTAATATTTTGAATAATATGTTTTTCTACATTGATTTTTATCTCTAGGGTGTGTTTTTTACCATATTTTCTATATTTTTTATTTTTTATAATTTTTTTATTATACTAAAAATTAATTTTTTATTAAAAAAATCACATAAACATAGTATTCTAATTCAAAATTTTTACTATTTAAATCTCAATAATATATATATATATAAAAATTTAAACCCCCTAAACAAAAACACCCACTCTTATTCCAAAAATAGATTAAAATTTGTGTACGTAAACAGAAAATTTAGAGTAATCTTTTTTATACAGAATAATACCTACAATTATTTTCGTATTATTTATTTATATATTTATTTATTAAAATAATATAGTGAGCGGTAGATATCAGTATATTTACGACTGAATTGGTGTTGGGCAGTCATTTATAGATCGAAGCTCCAGAGCTCCTCTCCAATGGCGAAATCTCAAGCTTCGGCGTTGGTGGAGCCGTTCTGCACTTCCGCTATTGCTCTGCTCCTTATACTGGTCACCTGCGTCGACCTCTGCGACGCCGTCGCCGTCGTCGATGTCTACCGCCTCGTGCAGTACGATCTAGCCGGCGTGCCCTTTGGATCCCGACTGGCCGCCCTCAATCATCACGCAGGCTCTTCCTTCTTCTCCTCCTCCTCCTCCGCCGCCGCCGATCTTTCTCGCACTGTTCTTATCCTCCCTGTCCGCGAATTGAATCTCACCTTCATTAAAGGTCCCTGCTTTTACTTCTTATTTTCTGTTTGAAAGGCTTGCGTTTAGTTGATTTATGATTATTTCAGAATTGTTGTTTAGGTATTTATTGGGCTCTTTACATGGTAGTGTTTTGTGTTTGAAGATTTCACCCCAAAATTGGGAAGTTTTTTGGAAGTGAAGTTCAAGAATACTATCTCAGAACTTGATTTTATTTTGTTATGAATTTAGTTTCCAATTTGTATTATTCACATAAGTGGTTTATCAGTATCTTGAGATTGCTCTATTATTGGATGTGTTCACATAAAGAGTGTGTTTGTTCTGGGTTTTTGGTTTTGAGTAGTAAATGTTGAATTGAAATAGTTTTTTTTGATGTAATATAAATATGTTTTTTTGCGTGTTTTGAATTAAATTTGATTTTTAGTATAATATGAAAAATTAAAAAGTAAATAGGGTTTGATTTGATGTAAAAGTTTCTAAGGATAAGTAAAGATTCCTCAAAGTCCCCCAAAGAAGATATCCTAGACATCGAAGTTTAGTTTTGAATTTTTTGTGGCACTTGCTTCATCCTGACTTCGCAGTACAATTTCTTTGTTCGAATCTTATGGCAGAATATATTGGTCAGAGGAAGCCACTGGGTGGGTTGTTACTTCTACTTCCCTCAATCTTTAATCCCCACAATTGGGATCACAATAGTGATAATGAGGTCGATTCTGCAAACGGCGTAACCAAGAGTATGTTGACTGAGCTGGAGCAGTTGCTTATACATGCAAACATCCCTGTGAGCGAAGCACTCCACTTCATCTTTTTGTTTGCCATCGATTGTTGCTTTGGCGATCCTTTTGATTTCCTTTTATGTTGTGAATAGCAAAGTTCATATATTGTTTGATATACTTTTTTCTCAGTCAGTTTTCTTTATTTGTTCATTGACTTATCTGTTAGGAAAAGGTAATGAATCTTTTGCTTTGATAAGTGCAATAGCTTTGTGATTCCTAGATTTAAGATAATATGCTTAACGGTATTTGAAAGTATTTCTTTTTCCGCAATATGGTTTATATAGTTTACAATCTTATACTGTTATCTCGTGTTACAGTATCCTGTGTACTTCGGTTTTGAGGATCCCAATGTTATTTCCGTTCTTGCTGATGTTAAGAAGAATGATGTCACTGGTCAACCAGCTACTGCCACAACTGGCGGGTTAGTTATTGTGCTGCAGCAATATTTAAGAAATTATAGATGTCAGAAGTACTCTTTTTTCGCATTTATTCTGCCTGTCATTGTTGTTTATTTCTCCTTTGATTTCACTTTTGGTTTCTCCCTTTCAAATTGGTATTGCAAGCGTGTTCGTGAGTATGTTTGTTACTTTGTTGGTATGTCCAACGACTTTTGCAGTATATTGTTGCTACACTACCAATGTGTGATTTTTTTCTATATTTATCTATAATTCTGCGTGTTTGTCTAACTATTCATGTAATCCAATATTGTTTACATTTTATTTGCGCCATTCCTTGTGAGTCATCGAGTTTCACCTCTGAGATTAATGTTGTGTACTGTTCTTGATTTTTTAATATTTAATGCTTACCTCATGTTAAATAAATAGCTTGATATGGCAACAACAAAAATGTTAAAAAATGGATTGCATGCGGACCTCCTGGCCTTTGCCAAATTAAGTGTATGCTATAAAAGTTTACTTTTGTTAATGTATGTATATATATGTGTTTGTGTAAATGCATAATTTTCGCACTTGTTGGTTAACACTCTTGATTACATTTCTGTTTTCCTTTCCTTTCCTTTATTTATTTAATTTATGTTTTTATATTCATGCTGTTTGAATGGAACACATTTTAAGAAAGATCATTCTGTGCAATATTATAATCATCAATGCCTCAATAGGTACAAGCTTGTTGTCGCTACGCCAGAACCCAAGAAAATTGCTTCTCCAACTATCACAAACATTCAGGTTTTACTTATAAAGTCCTTAATACAATGAATAGAGAATTTACTTTTTGGAATTTTCTTTATCTCTCTATCAGCACTCTTAAATAATCCATAACTTGTCTTGTTTTAGGGGTGGTTACCGGGATTGAAAGCTGATGGGGATTCGAGTCAGCTTCCCACCATAGCTATTGTAGCATCATATGATACTTTTGGGGCTGCACCGGTTAATATCTTTCTTTTCTTATATTCATTTTGTAGCTTAGAGCCTTGTCTTATGTCATGTTGATTCTAACAGGCATTATCTGTGGGAAGTGATAGCAATGGAAGTGGTGTTGTTTCACTTCTAGAAATAGCAAGGTTGTTTTCGATTTTATATTCAAGCCCTAAGACAAGAGGAAAGTATAACTTGCTCTTTGCGCTGACCTCTGGAGGACCTTATAATTACAATGGAACTCATAAGGTTGTCATCCCTTATTAAATTCATTATTATATATATTATTTTAAATAATTGCATTGTAGTTGTTGTTCGAAGAACTAAAGTTTCTTTATTCATTTTCCAGTGGCTTCGTAGCTTGGACCAACGATTGCGTGAGACCATCGATTATGCTATTTGCCTGAATAGCATTGGCTCGGCTCGCAATGAGTTATGGATGCACGTGTCTAAGCCTCCAGACAATGTTTACATAAAACAAATTTTTGAGGTCAGCCCTGATAGGCATTTTGCCATGAACATTGTGCTTCTTGTTGAACTGGTGATATCAGCTCCTATGCTTGCTGCCTTATTTAGATGTGAAATTCTGCAGGGTTTCACCAGTGTGTCCGAAGAATTGGGACTTAAAGTTGGATTAAAGCACAAGAAGATCAACATTTCTAATCCTCGAGTAAGTAACATTTGCTCTTAAACACTGGGGCTTAAATTTATTGATCTGTCTTTTGGCCTTCGCCTTTCTAATAATTTGAAAATAAACAAGCGCATAGCTGTATCTATTCAATTGTGCAATGTTACAAATTTCCTATGACGTGATTTTTCTTTAAGATATTTTTGGTTGGTGCTGCTGTATTAGATTACTGAAATTGTTGTAATCTGCTAACACATGGTTTCTTTATCCAGTTTCTATATTTTTCTCTTTATCAAGATATTTTCATGCCTGTGTTATATTGCTAATATGTTAAATACACTAGGTGGCATGGGAGCACGAGCAATTTTCAAGGCTGAGAGTTACAGCAGCAACATTGTCTGAGCTTTCTAGTGCGCCTGATTTCCTGGAAAGTACCGGAGGTTTGTCAGATAGCAGGTTGTGACTTAAGGAACAGATGGAACTTTCGATAGTTATTTGAATTTCCTTGTCTTTCTTGTTTGGAGTATTTACTCTCAACACTGGTGTGCAGACATGAAGTTGATGAAGCTTCAATTCGTCAAAATGTCAAACTAGTTGCCGAAAGTCTTGCAGTGAGTTTTCCTAGCTCCTTATGTTCTAGTCTGCATATAATTATCACTGTTCATCAATATTATGATTAAGTTTTTCTTTGTATAACAGAGGCACATTTATGGCCTTGAGGGAAAAAATGTAGATATATTCGCAGATGGTACTAGTCTATCTGTAAATCCTTATTATATTCACTCGTGGTTACAATATTTGTCGAGAACGCCTAGAGTGGCTCCGTTTCTCTCCAAGAACGATCCTCTTATCATGGCACTGAAAAAGGTTTGTTTTGCGATCCTTGATGTTGTTCTCAGCCCTTTTTATGCACTTTAAATATCCGCAGGTTTTGCGACTTGATTGGAATGTTTGTAGCTTTTGCTTTTCTCAATAACTGCTCGACTATGCTATTACATAATTGCACCACTGATTTATAAGTCAATGCTATCTATTGTATTTCTTCTTTATGCATTCCAAACCTTTTTGATAAATAAAGTCTACAAGCATTCGTGGGTTATGAAGTGCAATATAAATGAAAATTTATGTTGCGCGGGGAATGTATAAATAGCTTTTTGTGCTGCTTCAATCCTTACAAATTGAATTAGTATACTGGGAAGTTGCATGCTGTGGAAAATATGATATTGCTTCTTTCTCAACTAGAAAGTTTTTCGAAATCCTTGATGACAGGGAGATGCTTTTTTAAATTTAACACTTCGTATTCTTATATATGTTGTTATATTATTTTCATTAACGGGTGCGTCTATTTATTGCTAGGAATTAGCCGAACACACAATGGATGTGACTGTACAACAGGAAGTTCTCGAAGGCCTGCTAACTTTTTATGATTCAACAAGCAGCAGATTGCATATATATCAGGTTTGATTATAATTCTCACCTTGTCTTGTCCCATAGCATTGCAAAAGATATAATGCATACATGCAAGTACACGAAACTTTACACCAAATGTGCATATGAAATACTTTGGTTGCTTTATAGTTTGTGTAGATAGAAAAGTTTGTCACCAATAAATCAGTGAAAAAATTGATGTTAACAGATTATGCAAAGATTAAATACTTCTTAAATTTCCTTTTTTTAAAAAAAAATTACAATCGAACATACTGTCATTGGAGGTGGCTTTTTTACTACGAATCTGTTGAAGAAATGACATTTACGAAATGTTATTGCAGGTTGCTAGCGTGACATTCGATTTGCTTTTGCTACTTGTTCTCGGATCCTACCTCATCACTCTCTTCAGTTTTCTGGTTATCACAACAAGAGTAAGTTTCATTCAAGCTTCCGAGTACTGTTAATCTTAATCAGCACATGGTAAAAATACATAAAAACACACGTCATAATTGATCGATCTCTGTACAAGATTGTATGTAAGACATCCTAGAATGTAAATGTTGACAGTCCACATAATAATTAATTGTGTTCATATATCTGATATTTTTCGACAGGGTCTTGATGATCTGATTAGCCTGTTTCGCCGTCCCACTTCCCGGAAACTAAAAACTGCTTGATTATCGACCTGGATATCGTCCAGTGAGACTATTTATCGACCTTGAGTAGCCGAATGCAGGATTACTTGTTGGATTAAGCTTCGGACGAGCAGATGAACTGGTAGGCTTAATATTTAACAGTTTTCATGTTTAACATAACATAGTTTCTTTCTTCGGATAAATTAATGCTATAAAACAATTTTGTTTAGACCCTGTCTCTTTATCTTTCTGCTATTTCTTGGTTCTAAAATTTCTTAATTTTGCAATAATCGTGAATAAGATTTTTGCCAAACAAGAATCTAGCGATATGGATTTCGATTGATAAGGGTGTGTTCGTTTGCAAGATTTTGCAAAATTCTTACTATTCATCCAATTTTTTTTCCCCAAAAACATCAAATCAAACACCTATTTTTCATTTTTTATATTATACTAAAAATTAATTTTACATTCAAAATATCACATCAACCCCTATTTATATCACATCATACAACTATTCAAATTCAAAATTTTTACTATTCAAATCCCAACTCAAAATCCAAACTCCCAAACAAATACACCCTAAATGTATTATGAAGTCTCTTATAATAAGTAGAGATTTCAATGAATTATCATAATGTATATATATATATTATTAATTTATCATTTTGTTCTATCAAAATATGCTAAATTTTATTTTTAAAATGATAAATATGGGCATAAAATGTTCGCATAAGGGCACGATTTATGCTTAGAATAGGATAATGATTACATTCAATTCTTATTAGCTATTATAAGAGTATAACTGATTTATTTTAATATGAATAACATCAAAATTGATAAAATAAAATTAATAAGATCAAAATTGATAATTATAATACTCATTATGTCCTAATTCAAATTATTTTTTTACTATTTTTATTCATTTCATTTCAAAATATATATTTCCCAATATAAAAAAATACTCATATTTATTTAATTTACAAATATACTGATACACATATAATTATTTTATACAGTATAAAATATAAAAAATTATTATACATTTTCACTGATTAACAAAATACTAATTTTATCTTTTAATTAAGTACGAAACTCCAATGGCTCTTTTAATTTGACAAAAATAATTTTTCCCAAAATTTAATATTTTAACACAAATTGCAATTTAGCCCCTCCCTCCTATTTTCAATCTTTCCCCGTTTCTTTTTCCCCCTTCTATCCGAGAGTCCGCCCGCCCAGCCGCTAACGCTGCCGACGCCACCGCCGACAAAACCCCTCGCGCTCCCGACGCCCGACCCAGCCCCTCCCCCCGACGCCGCCGCCTACCCGGGAGGTAGGGTTTCCATCCAAAATTTTCTCATTTTGTTTTTTTAATTTTCTAACCAAAACCTAATTTATCTTCCAACATATTATGTTTGATGTGAATCTTGTTTCTGAGGTTTTCATTCCAAGGAAGACTTTCATAATTTGGTTGTTTTTGGCCTCACCGATCTATCACTTGTTTGAGGAATTTACTGGATTAGTTTTAGATTCATTTCTGTGTGTTTATGTGGATGTGGAATTGAGTTTTTTAACGATTAGTTGTTTGAATAGCTTTAGCACAATTGGATTTTGAAGCTTCATCGAGCGTTCAAATGCACCCTAGTTGTTATAATAAGAGTTGGAAAAGATGGTATTTGTTGATGCAAGGGCTGTTACTGTAAGAAATCATATAAAAGTGGAAAAATATGGAACTTCTAGATCGAGGAAACGTGCAAGATGTTGAAATTTCATGATATAGGGTAGATCTTTGTTGATGCAAATGAATTCATGTGTAAGTTTTGTTACTTCAGAAATTTATTACTTCAACTGAATCCTCAATCACATTTTTTTTTTTTTTTTTTTTTTTAGATGTTGCCTATTGAAGTATCTGTATCAGATCTCCTCTCTTAATAAGTTCATGGTTATGAATTCGAAAGATAAAATGGCTTTACAGTTTCTGGATGATCATGAATGTAATTGCTGATTTGGGGTTTTTATTTCACTCTTTGCACATTCAATCAGGGTTTTACCATAACAATAATATCCCATCCTCGTGTTTTCTGCTTTCTTTAGGACTGAATAAATAGCTAAGCTTTGAAGATTATTATGGCTGAAAAGCAACAGCACGAGCCGCAGCATGCCTCTGATCCACAACTGCAGTCTTCTCCTGCTTCGAAGGAGGACATGATTTCCTATGTGATGGCCTTGGAAGCTGCTTTGTTGCCTTGCCTGCCTGCAAGGGAACTTCAAGCCATCGATCGATCTCCCCATCCTTCACATCAAAGTGAGCAAGCAATTCCATTTCAGCTTAGGATTGCAGAAAGAAATAAAATTTGCAGAAATTGGTGAAGCTTTTGGGTGTTGTATTTTTACCTAAACTTTCACCCCAACTGTAGGAATGTGATTCGATAAAGAAATGTTTTTAGTAGCTATTTATTCGTCCATACGCACACCCCTCTTTACCTGATTCGTTACTGTTTTTTTTTTTCAGTTGATGTTGAGAGGCATGCTAGAGATTTCATGGAGGCAGCCAAAAGGATTCAGCTATATTTCATTAGTTTGCAACGCGAAGATCAACCAACCCGAGTAGAAAATCTTCGGAAGGTAGTATTCTGATCCAAAACCCCCCATCACACATACATGGTGCTTATTCTAGATTCTTTTTGCTGACTCTATTTAATATACTTTGTTCTGATTATTCAATTTATGTAGTTCTTATTCGGTTTGTATCACACCTATAAACAGACTCTTGATGTTGTTATGATTTTATTATTAATAATTGCTTCTGTTAGGGCCCTGATTAGGGCTAATCAAGACTCCCAATCAGCCCCCCTTGCTGATTTAATCAGTTCTAATCAAGAATGTAACACTTGTCGTCTTCTTCGCACATTAAATTGTTGTTGTAGGAGATAGGTGTGTTGGAGGAAGAGTTGAGAGTGAAGGGTGAACTAATCAAGAAGCAAGAGAGGTTAATTCAAGGATGGAGGGCAGAGTTGAAGAACCAATTAGACAAACACAATACGGAGCTGGAGAGAGTGTAATACATTTCTGTACTAATAGTTTGCAACACGTTTATGCATTTCTGTAATTCTAAATTTAGGGATATTGCTGAATTCATTTTTGTAAACATTGAGGATGGCTAATGTTGAAATGACATTAGAATTCTAAATCAAGGATTTGCGTAGTGCTAATGGAATGTTATATATTTGTATTATTATATTCACATATGTTTTATGTTGTCCTTGTATTTTCAATGTCGTACTGATTGTAACTATATGATTGAATTATATAAATTTTTCTATCAACTTTTGGCTTATATATGTCTGTTCGAATATATATTTTATTGCTCAATTTTATTTAGTTATTTATTTTTTACTGTGAGCCTTATTTTTATTATTTTCAAAATTCTCTAAAACCTCAAAATACTTGCAATTGATATCTAATCACAACCTTATAATACTTCATTTTCAAATATATAATTTTCTCTAAGCTTGAACAAAATTAAATTAACAAATAGATCTTCTGTTTTCCAACTCCAATTGATGAAATTGCACATAATCAGAACATCCGTGAGGTGAAACTTCAACAATGCCTCAGAAGCTGCCTCAGTCCTGTAACTCTTTTCTTCTTCGACAATGCCGGCAAACCCTCGAAAGAAGATGTTTCACCCTACTCGAAAAATACCAATTCTTGCTGTGCTGCAAAGAGTTCGAAAGAATGAACGAAACGAGTACCTAGTCGTTGCATTTGTAATCCACCATTTCATCGTTTAGTTGGCTTTTGCAGCAGGAGTCCTGCCAAACTGGATAACTATAGGTTTCCCTTTAAATACGTATCCGTTGACAACATTCTGCAATATTCCCCGTTATTCAGAACTTACAAAAAAAGGAAAGCTTTCTAAAGTATAGAAAGATTGTGTGATAGCTTTCCTTGCCGTACATACCAAAGCATTACGAGCAAGTTCAACTGTAGGGAATGTAACAAAAGCTTGGCCCCTCATTCGTCCTTCCTGGAAAAAGGTAAGCGGAAAGTTATACGTACATAGCAAATGAATGAAAAATGATAATGGGGTTGCTATTTGAGAGAAAGCTTCAAACAAGAGCTTCGTGCAAATTTATTGCCAACATCGATTAGAGCATAAGACTGTTCGCAATAAATTCCTGCAACTTTACTACTTCCTCATACAAATCGCAGGTGAGTATACTCATATGTTGGTAATATTTGATTCGATGGTAAAACTAAAGTTAACAGGGGAAAATACCACAAGCAAATTATGACCATAATGATTAATTTTAATATAGACTGCATAAACAATGAGTAGCATGACAAAATATTTTACCTGCATTAGTTTGACACTAAGATTGGATTTGGCTGCATCAAAGCTCCCGAATAGTGATCCTGCAACAAGTGATACAAATATAATCTAGATCACGTAGTTATGTACAATTATGAAGTACTTGATCAAGAAAAACAAACTTGATATCTAAACACTACACACACAGGTTTATCCCACTGTACTTTTTCCAATTATGTGCGGGTGCCATATAGCAGTTGCCACCAGATTCATGTTCACTACTAAACAGACCTAAACTCACCAAATATGAAGTAGAAGTCATCAACAACGACATCCTTCGCCAAGTTCTTAACATACAACACAGATGTAGGATCTCCAGCAGTGTAGTTCTGTTAAATACAATTGCACTCTCAGACCCAAAAAGTGAAGTATTCATCCGCACACAAACATTTCAACAAAAAAAGTATTGGGGTTATGGTAACTGCATTACAAGGTGCAACGAACTTCATATGTTAATTGGCAGTTAGAATGAGAAACTTTACTTGATATTAGTAAATATGGTATTTCACCATTTTAACAGACTATGATACTTGAGCAAAAGTTATTTAGGTACCTTAAATCTAGGGAGCGATAGAATTTCCTCTGGAGGCAATCTCCCACTATTTAGCTCCTCTAGAGTTGCATAAGGTTTGTTATCAGATATTTCTACATTTTCCCGTTGCAAGTCCTCAGTGGAATCATCTTCAGTTTGATTGGTTTGAACTGGCTTAGGTGCTATTCTTATCTGCAAGCACGTCATAGACAATGTAGATATGTCGTCCAAAAATAATAATAATGATGTCTAAATATCACACCAGGGGGCATAATGAATTACCTGTAGCACAGGATTATTCTTTTTTATTATAGGCTTTTCTTTAGGAACCAATGCAGCTTGTTTCAATCCAACAGCCTCATGCTTTACATCCTTGTCGACAGCTGGACCAACAATTGCTTGCCTCTTTGCTTTTTTTCTCATTGGCCCAACATCTTCTTGAACATCCTGAAATCGAAGAAGAAAAAGAAAAACAACAAAAGAATGAATTTGATAAAAGCCAATATGGGGAAATAGTAGGCTGAATAGACAACATAATTAGAAGGATAGAATGATGAGATCAAATAAGCAACTTTCGGAAAAAATTTATTCTGCACCTCACTGGAAGTTTAAGTGATCTTAGAGAATTCCTCTGGAAGTAAAGTGTTTGACAAACTGGTGCAAATTGGAAATAAATCAAATTGTTATTTAAAACTGAAACAAAATTACATCTTTATGCAAAAGCCATATCAGGAAATATGCAACCGAGATGAAATTGGAACCAAGAAAAACTCCAAACACTAATCTGTCTTAAAGTCGAACATTATAAGTTGTTTATGAAAGTGGTCCTTCAGCTCACTGCTCCTACTTGGGAACCAATTCAAACCAAAATAAGCAAATCGTATAATATTAAAGGCAGCGCTTTTTTTTTTTTTTTTTTTTTGAGAAAGCCATAGCAAGAAGTATACAACTGAAAGTAAAAATGCAACCAATAAAAACTTTTGTGGTAACCTGTGTTCAAATTGGCCATTGATAAAATAGTTTATGAAAATGGCCCTGGTCATCACTTTTAGTTAGGAACCAATCCGAACAAAATAAGCAAAGGCTATAATAGCAAAGAACAGAGAATTACCTCATCTGAAGTCTCTGTTTCGGACTCATTGCTAAGCAGATTGTCCATTTTACTCTCCCCGGTTTGTGGAGGAGGTGGAGTTGTAGGTAGTTGTGAAGGAACAGGAACTGGTGCCGGTAGAGGCGGAGTAGGTAGAGCCTTGCGAAATGGAGCAGGGATATTCATTTTGTTCATCAAATGTAAAACCTGAAAATAAACTATTCAAAATTACAATCACTGAAATCGCTGAAAAATCGGTAGCCTATGATACAAGATAATCAAATTTCTAAGGAACCAGAAAACAACAAAGCACTAAAATGCTGTGACCTGTGTATAAAAGCGCGGAACTGCAATAAGGGCATTTACAATGTTGGTCAGAATGTGTCCATCTGGTGGTGGATACGCATATCTGTATTAGAAATTTTGTACTTGAATTTTCAAAGGTAAACGTATATAAAAAATCAAAATAGTTAACAAAATAGTTTGATTGGTATTTATAATGTATGAGTAGTAATGACATACTCGAGATGGGGAGGAAATGGATAGTCGATTCCAAGTTTTGAAGCAATGGGTTCGCTACTATATTGCCTGCTGACCCTGAGAGAAGGATCTTTCATCATTGAGCTGGACTGGTTTGTGGATTGTGTTTCCCTTTCTTGATTATGATTTTTATTGTTGCCTTTAGTAGCTCTCTCGACTGACAAGACTTTACCAAAAAACCGTAACCTAAAACACATTAAATAGCGAGTCAAAACCTTGTAGCCAGCATACTGAATGATGGATTCAATGAGTTATATTGACAAGTGAGAACTCATGGAAAAATACAAGAGGAAGAAAAGATGATTGTGGAAAATGGGGTACCCATGCAGTTGTCTTTGAGCTTCGGCTGCTGATATTTCGTTCTTAAAATCAACAAATGCACAATTTTTCACCCTAAACATAAGCACCTTGCAAGCATCAGCTCCACGAAATGAAGAATAAAATAAATAAACACTTAGACATGAGGGAAAATTCACAAGAAAAGAACAGCCGACACGTTTCATCACAAACCAACAAAGCAGAAAAATGTATCAGGGTGTGCTTGGTTAGAACAATCCCCCCCCCCCCCACCCCTCTCCCAAAAAACATCAAATCGAAGATCGATTCTTATTTTTTATATTATACTAAAAATCAATGTACATTTAAAACATTACATCACTTATTTATATGACATCAAACAACAATTCAAATTCAAAATTTTTATTATTTAAAACCTAAACCCAAACTCCAAACACACAAATACACTCTATACCACAAAATTCAGAAATAAGAGGATGGGGAGTGGTGGTGTTTTGTGAGACCTTCCAAAAGAACACGGTCGGACAGAAGAGGCACCGTAGTACGAGAAGAGCCTAGCAACTGTATCATGTGTAATTGCCTCCGGGAGATGGCGAACCAACAACGTGTATGATGTTTCTTCAGGAACTACTTGGTGATAAACAGGATTATGGCTCGGTTGCTGTGATGGAGAAGCCATGGCCATAGCTGAAAATTTGCACTAGGACCACTCGAATTCAATTCGGGAAAAAAAAACAAATATCAATCCTGCAAAACATGTGTTAGCCCACAATTATGAAATCAAATGCAAAGTACATTGTCTCTTCAAGAAAGGGGCAGAAAATGGAAGAATCAATTGAAACTGCAAATGAAGTGAAAAGCATAAATGAATTGCAATTCACAATTGATAATTTTCAGATTTTTGCTACAACATAAGTAATTCAATCAGCACGCGAATTCAAAAACAAGCACAACCACATAATCGAATTTCTAAATAACATGCAGCCCAATCTTTTCGGTTTCCTTCACGAAATTCCTTAAATGCACAGCACTTTCGCCATAGCCATTCTCTTCGGATTAACAAACCAGTACTATTTCAAGAACACCCTCAGCTCCCAACTAGATAGCTACCCAAAACCGACGGGTTAAATCAAAGTAAATACTCAATATTCTACTCAATCAATGAAATTACAGAAAATCGGTAACTTACTCACGTTTATTTCAATCCCTAATTTACGAACGCTGCAATGCCTGAGAAATTGGTGAAGATAAATCCTGAAGGCCTGGGTTTGTCTAGAATTTGAAGGTGGTTATGATATATTCAAGCCGATTACACGATGCATTTCTTGACGGAGAATTCAGTAAACCTTCCGTAAACCCTATGTCAAATGTCACACACGACACACCAATCAGCCATAGCATTTGCAATTTTGCATCTAATGATTTTCCTTTTTCTTTTTTTTCTTTTTTTAACAAAAAAGGGGCTCACATGCGTCATAAAAAAAAAAATAATAAAAAAAATTATTATTAGTATTATTTTTTAGTATGTTTGTTTTGTATTTTTGCTTAATAAAATATTTTTTTATGAAATATAAAAAAATTAGGTAAATATATAAACATAATAAATATAAATATGTATAGTATATTAATTTAAAAAAAAAGAGCGTTCTAAAATTTTAGGTAAATTTATAGGTTGTTTATTGTTAATAAATTTATTTATTTTTATCTATTTGTAATATTATACTCACTCCGTCCCGTAACAAGGGTTTGCTTATTGCACGTAAATTTTTTAATATTAGTATTATATTGGATTGAAGTAAAAAAGATACGCTTTGTTTGTTAGTGTGGTGTTATATAAAAGTAAGCGTATATTTTAAATTGAAAAAATATTTATTAAGTACAGTTACTAGAAAATGATAACCTTCTTCGTTTAGGACGACTAAAATGGAAAATGGTAACCTTTCAATGAACAGATGAAGTAATTGTTTTATCGTCGAAGGAGTAATATTTTTTCACTGTTAATGAATTTATTTTATATTGAAATAATATTAATTTTAATATTTTATATCTATATATATTATATAACAAATAAATTTCATAAAATAAAAATATATATATATTATTTTTAATATATATTTTATCCGTCCATGTAAAATCTATTCAATTTTAAAGTATCTTTTTTCAATTAAAAAAAAAAAATCATACGTTCATACTAAAATATTTTTAATTTTCACATACTACAAACATACCATTACACATATAATTATTTAAAACAAAAATTCAAAACCAAAAATATCAAAATCTTTTAAATACTTCCACTAAATTAACATAATATTTTTTATTAATTTACTACAAAATTCTAAATAGCCTATTTCAAAAGGAACAGATGAGTATTTGTATTTTAATTATTTTATTTGGTAAAATAAATTTAAAAAAAATGTTAACAACTTGATCTACAAAAATCTTAGACATACAAATACTACAATATTCTTACATTGGTATTTCGCAAATCAATTGTATAACTTAACAACACTCATTTAGCCTCTTGAAGATCAAATGGTTTCAAGTACAATATTACCCGCCATTCTTACCAAAGGCGGAGGGCACTTTGTGAGCATGTCCACCCGAGACGGCATCGACGCATGGCCGAAAAGGGACACCCCCAACTTAACAAGTTCCCCAACCGAGAGCCTCGACGACAAGAATCCATGCCAATAGTAAGGATCAAGATCGAAGAATGCATCGAAAAATCTCCTCGTACCCTCCAAATCAAGCTTCAACAACGTCTCCATCCCAAAATTGTAGAATTCTCGAGCACTCCTTCTTTCAAACGGCCACAAACCATCCCACACTCGACGATGGAGATGTTTGCCCCGTATCATTCTACTAGAGCCAAGACACTCGACTATCACACTTGCAACCATGGGAGCGAGCTCCATTGTCCGAGCCACCGTGTACCTATTCAAGAATTAGAAATTAATAAAGATCAAAATCAAAAAGTACCCGTAAGCTACAACAACCGTATCACCCATAAATTCATGTAAATATACTGATATAATGATTGTTTACGTAATTTGATTTCAATTTTTTTACTATGCAATTCTCATGTATCCCTGCAAAAGTACAATAGTTTATCTTACTGTACATCACATTCAAACCACTGTTCAAGCTAAACTTAAAAGCCAAACTTTCCCATTTGAAATCTTCGTTTCATGAAAAAAAATATATATATTTTTTCTTCTCTCAAACATCTCATCAAACATTATTCTATTGTCAAACTCAAACCAAAACTAAAGAAACACACGCAAAATTGTAATTGTGACAAAATAAAGCTTTCATACATCTAAGTACTATTCTATCATCCGCTTACTTATGTTTTCAACTTCATTCCCGTATTATTTATAAAATATATATATATATACTTCTATATCATATCAAAATACTTGTTTATATCACATTAAATACTTACATTCTATGGAAAAATTTACTATTCTCAAAATAACTCAAACATCAAACATATCTAAACACAACAAAAACAAATCTTAATCACAACTCTTATCAAACATATCTAAACACAACAAAAACAAATCTTAATCACAACTCTTATAATCATAGTTTATAACATAAAAAAGCTTTAATTAGACAAAAATTTTAGAGTTTTGAAAATTTTCGAAACCAGTAACAAGTTTGGATATTTGATACAATATTTTGTTAGATGAAAAAAAGAAAGTACTTTATGTAACTGATAAATAGTATCAGAAGTTTCAAAAGTATTTAAACAATCCTTGAAACTAAGCAAATCCCCAGGTTTCGAAAACTATAACAAGGTTAATGATATGCTCAATTAATCGAACTTACCCGGTGGCGGGATGAACGATTCCCGCGTTCCCACCCATCGCCATCACGCTTTGCGGGGAGCGGGGGAGCGGCCCGCCCATCGGTATCACACACTTCTCATCCTCGACAATGGCCCTCACCCGTATCCCTAAATGCCTCAACCTCGCCTCCATCCTTTTCTTCACCTCGACATAGTTTAACATCGGGCGACTAACAAGCGATGTCTCCTCAAGAAACACCAAATTCGAATCAAACGCCATTGCATATAAAAAAGTCGGCAACCTCGAATTGTCCACGCGCAAATACGGCTCATTCCCTAAATGAGAATCCCTCCAATCCATTAGAACCATCTTGTCCAAATCAAAGGGGTGATCGTCGACTTCGGCTAATATCCCGTGAGCGATTTGATACCCGGGATTCCTTGGCTTATCGTACTCCACGAAAGTGGTTGTGAATCCGCTTGCGTCGACTACCAAATTCGCCGTCAATTTGGTGCCGTCGTCGCAAGCTACGGTGGAATTTAACTCCTCATGCTTTACATTCCAGGCTCTCCCCTTATAGAACTTGACGCCATTGTTAGAACATTCGGATAAAAGTTTAGATTTCAGCAAGCTTCGATTAACTCTGCCGTAGGCACGATCTAAATGCTTCGTTTTATGATCGTTGATGTAAACACAGGCCGTCGGCCAGGTCTTGTCCAGGCAATCATCAAGTTGTAAAGTATGGAATTCATCTACCCAAACGCCGTAATTGTTAGGCCACATGGAAAGTGGGGAGGGGTCGAGGCAGCATACCTTGATTCCGTGCGACGACACCTGCTCCGCCAGGCGGAGGCCGGCGGGGCCGGCGCCGATGACCACCACGTCGAAACGTGAGCCGTCGGATGGAGCGTGCCAGGGGAGGTCGAGATCCAACGGCTGTGGTTTGCTCTCCGGCTCCAGATCGAGGAAGCTGCCGAATTTGCCGATTCGAAGAATTTGAGTGCGGTTTCGGATGGGGATTGTCTTCCTGGTCGGAATTGAAATGGGGAATCGGCAAGGGGTTGATGTGGAAAGCAGAGGCGGCGGAGAAACCTTGGCGATGGAAGCCATGGGAGAGAGGGATTGGGAATTGGAGGAGCTGATGATTTTTTAGGGTTTGGAAATTTGGGGAAATTGGTCAGGGTTTTAGCGAAGCGCCATCACTGATTTGGATTCCATCAGCATCAGGAGCTCCTTCTCCTTCAATGGCGGATTTGGCGGAAGGATAGTGGGCAGTGAAGGGAATTTGATGATTGGGGGAAATGCAAAAAACCTGAAACATATTCCATAGCAGACTGCTGACAGTGGTGGGTCGGCGCCACTTTCGATTATGAATTTGATCGGATGCTAAATATTAAAAATATTCAGAAAAATAGATTATTTATTCAAAAATGAATGAAATAGAATTTAAATACATAAAATAATCTCTTTTCTTTTTAAAATTTTTTAATGTATTATGTATATATTTTTTTATAAACTTATTAATATATATCACAAAATATTATATAAATACCAAAAAGAAAAAGCATTATTCACACAAACACAAAAACTATCCATTCTAAACTAAATTTAAATTTATTAAATGGTTACCAGAATTTTTTATATTATTTGAATTTCATATATTACTTTTACTTTTTATAAAATATAATGAAATTAAAAGTTTTATTATTATCAATATAAGATCTGTTTATATGAACATTTGGAATTTTTTTGTAGATTTTTTTAAAAAAAATATATATAACATAAATTAGCTATTTTTTTCGTACAATATAATACTATCAAATACTCTCTCGGGATCTTTTTTTTTTCATGTTGATATTTGAATATTAACTATTATATCAAAATATATTACAAATTATTAGAAAATGACAAAAATATTTTTATTAATATCTTATTATATTAATATAATGACATTTGTATAATAAATTATACAAATATAAATTTATTTTTTTTTATGTTAATTACAATAATGAAAAAGTAAATATAACCCGAAAACGAACGGAGGAAGTACTAAACTTTTTAATATTATAAAAAAAAAAATCAAATTTCAAAGCCTCTATATAAAATAAAATATCATTCAAATAGAAAGGAACACAAAATTTTAAATTCAAATCAAACTAAATACAGTTTCTCAAACCTCTTCAAAACAAACCCACCCTAAACCATTATCAAGCAAAACCTTAAAAATATTTTTTTGTTTCTCATTATATGGAATCATTGACGGCAGATTCTCTTCGTGTTTTATTTGGATGCATTGATTTCTTCATAAAAAAACGACAATAATAATTTGTCATGTTCATGCTATCGTGTTACATTAATGTTTTGTTTATATATTCAATTTTTTTTTTACAATTTTAATACTCCAACTATTATATTTATCAACAATAATGAAAATAACCCAATTTTATAATCAGATTTAAAATATCACTATGGGTATAATTGTGTTATATGGATTGAGCCCGATCCAATTCATTAAATCTTGTCTTGACTCTGTTTATAAATATAGACCAACCAAACTTGAATTTGACAAAGTTATTTGCATTCAAAGTAAATTTTAAATATTTGATTATAAAAAATTGGGTATAAAATAAGATTCACAAATAAAAATAAAAATGCAATTATTATCAATAAAACACTATACTACATATAACTTTCCACTCCAAATAATATAAATGACGTCATGATATAGGCCATCAATTTACAATCAATTGATATAAATCGTCAATTTACTATAAATAACATATAAAAATACATATATTATAGTATATATTGCTAGCCCCATTTTATATATAGGCTGTAACTTTATATGTAATGTGATGTTTGAAATATATTAAACAATAAATAAAAATTAAATTCCACAAGAAAACTACTGACTTATAATATAACTTGGTGATCATCAAGAAATAGTTAAATTGTATAAGAAAGGTGATGAATTATGTATAGAATATGGCTACACTTAAGAGTGTCGATTAGCCCGTATCGAATAGGGTCTAATCAACAAGCGATAATAATCCGCGCAATACATACTATAATTGATCTTAGCAAATATATTACATAAACTGAAAGCACTAGTAATAATCCACACAATAAATGTCACAATTTAGCACAAAATCATATGGTAGTAACTGTAATTCACACAACATATATTTTAATTCCAGTCGTAATGATGTATTAGCTAAGGCTAATATGAACAAAGCTGAATATAAAAGTTCAAATGACAACTGGAAAGGCAAAACCAAACTGATTCTGCATCCTTCATTTGATCATTTCAATTGCTAAAACATACTTTGGACTGCAGAAAATCACTCCAATATCGTTTGCCAATTTCTTAGATACACAATATTTTCTACTGAGCTGTCGAAAAGGATTCCGGCATTTTAAGCAAATAACTGACCAAAGCAGACTTATCAACAGCATTTTACGGCGTAAGAAGAAAATGGCAGTCAATCGTACTATCATACACCATCACAAAACATAATTTCAAGGAACTTTAGGCACACAGTGAAGCATTTTGCGGAAAGTATAAAGGTGGGAATACGGACCTTAAAAGGCATTATTTTGATCTACAAGACGGTAATGTGAGGCCTCCACATGCAGCCGCGATTATGAAATATAGAAGCAGAACAATCAAACACGTAAGCAGAGCCCTGTGGACATAAAAGCATATAAATTTAGCGTTTGGTAGTCACAAACCGAAGGCGTAAAAACTAAGGTATCAGCTATAGGCCTATGATACTGCAGATTCTCGTGAGTTGTTTGGCTATAAAACTAGGGAAGAATCGGTGTCTATGAGTTACTTACGCTCCAGAAGATTTTATATACTATCGATATGGATTTAAACTCTTTAAATATGGTCATAATGCCATTTAGAAAAGAGAATCATATTGGCACAAACGGTTTAAAAACCGAATACAAACCAGAACATCTAAAGCATCCAAACAGAAACCAAAAAATGTGCATGCATATAGTAAATTTATATAGGAAAATATCTAATTTATATCTTTTTTATGTATCTACCTATGTACTAATAAATTTAAGTTTATTAGAATGTTTTTCTTTTGTTCCACATTAAAATTATAAAATGTCGTGAATGATAATTAAAATTGTAAAACAATTAATTGAAAATAGAAGCATAATAAACTAGAACTGAACATATCTGCCTTTCAAGGCAAGATGTCACTTCAGACTGTTCATAAGATCGATCATATCATATGCTTGGTGATCTGCTTCGAGATAGAAATAAGCATATGTAATACTCACAGGAGCTTAGCATTTTTCATCCACAGAGCTCGACGGAGGCGTTTTGATTGTTTTCTGAAGTGAAACGCACTGTCTTGCATGGTTGAGGTCTTGTCAACAAGAAGCTCAATTCTGTCTCCTCTCTCTAGTATCTTGTCAATGTTATCCACCATTATTGTCCGTACCTGCATCCCACATTTCAAATATTATTTTAAAGTGTGATTAACCCGAGAAAAGTCGCAGGAAACACCATATAAAAGCTCTCTGTATTCATAAAACCACAGTATCATTACTATCAAGATCTTTCTGTAGTTAAAGATATCTCTAGATATTGAACTTTTCCGTAAAAGACGAGGTCTCATATTAAGATTTATTAGGAAATAGACCAATGATAGGCCAATTAAGTCACTAGTGTGTGGCTATTAAAATAGAATCCATCCATAATAGATCCGTGCTGTTCTATTTTCTGGAAAAGACGGGAAAGCATTCAGATTGATCCAAAAGAGTATCAAGTTTGATGCTTTGCAACCATAAACCCCCCAAATCAACAACTTCACACCAATTAGTTCTTTAATTGTATGATAATAGAACTATTCGAAAATTATCCAATCATCACCCTCTACTTAACTTCAAGTATATACATTTATCCTCAAAAATAACACACCCATCGCTTATAGTCTTAAACCTAATTATCACTTTTACACTATGGGTGTGTTTGTTTGAAGGATTTTGGTGAATTTCCACTATTCATCCAATTTTTTCCCCCAAAAAACATCAAATCAAACACCTATTTTTCATTTTTTATATTATACTAAAAATCAATTTTACATTCAAAACATCACATCAAACTCTATTTATATCACATCATACAACTATTCAAATTCAAAATTTTTACTATTCAAATCCCAACTCAAAATCCAAACCCCCAAACAAACACACCCATATGTCACATTGTCCAATTTGATTATTATATACGTGTATGTTTGGTTTATGTGATGAGATAATTTTGTAATGGATACGATGAATAATCCATTAATTTGACCGGCTTAAGTCTAGCTTCTATCCATTAAAGAAGCATGTTATTAGGCTGAATAATAATTTATCCAATGCCCATATTATTATATAAAATATAAAGGATGTATGATAACTGCCACTAAGACACTTTCAACAATATGCTGCAGTTTCACAGTAAGTAATCGGCAGAAAAAAAATTCTCCATCCATATTCATAAACTGACTATAGAACATATAACAAGAAGAAAGAGAGAAATTCAATGCCTCCATGAATACACAATTCAACTATTCAAGAATTTCCATTTCCGGAAACCAATACCAATTAATAGCAGGCAACCTTTTTTGAGGTATAAAAAAAGTAAAAACAGGCAGAAAAGTAAACTAAAACTTGCCTCATTGACCTCTCCTCTAACACGGTTGAGCGTATCGGCATTAGGATTACTGGAGAAGAACTCCATTTGTTGATGCAATACTCTAGAGAATTCATCATTCATAGCATAAGCAGGCGCATAAGCAGCCACTCGTCCATAGTTTTTCATGAATCTCATCTGAATATCCTCCAAATACGAGAAAGGAATTCTTCCTGAATCAAAAATTGACAAAAATACCAACAATATATTAGAAAATGGTTATATGATTACATGTGCATACAGCTTACATAACATTCTTCTCAAAATTTCCTGAGAAAAATCCCATAAGTACAATTTCGCAAGATCTCAAGAAATTGTATCCAAACTATTCAGACATTGAGTAAAGAGAAATAGCAAAAGTAACGATTCCTAGAAGCAAGAGATGAAACCCCGTACTCTGCTAGCTTCAACTTATATGAACTATTTGTATCATCCTAATTCAAGCATGCGCTTCTTTATTTGATAGACAATATCTTAAAATACTCAAAAATTATTTCATAGGAATCCTCGAGATTCTGTCTCGTCAAAGGAAGTACATCCCAGTTCAACTAATGGCTATATATACATCAAAGGAATTCTTCCCTATTCAATAAATTCAATAGAATTCTCAGCAATGACATTATATAAGAACAAAAACAAGATATTTACAAATATCAAATCTGTTCATGCTAATGCATTCATACAGGCACAACTCAACAAAACCACAAGAGCCACTATATGATACATCAAAATATTCTCTAAGATAGTTTAAACCTAAGTAGAGCCTCTTAGGAATTATTTGAATTAGGATGAACTAAATATAAGATTAGCATGTGTAATCTCGCAATAAAATCTAATAAGAACACATACATAATCAAGACTGTGTCATTCTCAATTCTCAAAACCCTGACCATAATTAGATACATATATGCCAACAAAAATTAGGAAAAAGAAACTTATGTAAAGAAATCAATGCTTATCACTTGTAAAAACTGCATCTAACAATTGAAAAATACATGTTAATCAGCACATATTAACCTAAGTCAACGTAATAAACCCTAAATCACAACAATTGAACATTTTCTAAGAAATTCAACCACGAAATTTGCACTCGCTTTCGGATAGAGGCTTACTTCCGAAGGTGTCGTTGGCCATACAGAGGAAGACGAGGCCATCGGCGCGGAGGATATGAAAAATGAACCGATCTTGAGAAAAGCACAGACGCGATTCCGGCGAATCAGTCTCGGACAGCTTCTCGAGTATCCTCCGCACCACCGCTCCGGTATTCCCCGTCACGGCGCTGAACTCCGACAGCACCGTCGTCCCACGCGCCACCACGCCGTACAGAATCGCCATCACAAAATCCTTGCGCTGATGTTAACCGAAAATTTCACAGAATTGATAAGGATTTCATGCGAGCGGTGGAGTCGGGCTGAAGATCGAGTCTCTGGACTGGGTAAGCAAACGAGGGAGGTGAGAGAGGTTTCGCAATCGAGGTTTCGATAAGGTGACCGCCTGAGGGAAAACGCCATCTGACAGACAAATCATATCCGTCCATTTTACGTACGGATCGTCAGAGATGGCTCACTTCAGCCGTCAGATCTCTACCTCATCATCACCGATGTTGTTAAAAAAAACTATAGATAGTGTTATTGCTGATTTTAAAATTCCTTTTTACTATTTAATTGTTTTTTTTCCAAATATTAAATAAAAATATTTTATTTTTTTTTATCGTCGAAAATTTTATATATTTATTTATTTATGAAATGTAATGTGATGTTTATTTTCTTCATAAAAAAGAAATAATTACAAAATTATTTATTGAAAAAATAAATTTATTTTTAAGATAAATGAAATATTAGATTAAAATTAATTTTATATTTAAAATATTATATTAATATTTATAAATTATTTAATTTAAAATTTCAAATCCAAAATTCAATCCTCAAACAAACACACCTATAAAGTAAAAAAGTTTGTCACTATACATTATCATGTTAAAACAATATCGGAAAAATTATATAATACTCAACTTGTTTTTTATTATATTAATTATTTAAAATATTTGATCTTATTTATTTCTATAAACATATCTATTTACAATCAGCATCACTAGTTTGTTGAAATAATCAATTGTAATATATATTGTATGAACTATTATTATTCACTGTCAAATTATATTTTACATTATTATTATAATAATATACTGAATTGTCTATGTGTGATGTGTTAACTTATGATAAATGTTGAGATCAACAATAATATACACCTATGATGATTAATTTAATAAAAGATATATAATGTTCCCCGTGAATGACGTGATGGTGTGAGAATAAACTTGAAGGCTTTTTCACAAGACTGATTTTCGTTAACAACACCACAATTATTCTAATAATATAAACAATATTTTCTCTATTATAATTAAAAACATAAAAAAAAATAAAAAAAAAAATCCACTTTTTATGTGTTTGTCTAAAAGAAAATTAGATATTTTTTTTTAAAAAAAATATGGATGTCCTTTTTTCCAAAAATTACATTTTCTCAAAAAATATATATATATATTTTAAAAATAATATGTTACACAGTTATTATTTTTATATTAAATAATTTTTTCAAATTATTTAACTAAACAAGCACATTATATAACTTTTTACTCTTTATTTATTTTTAATTGAAAATTAATACATACTATTATACTCCATCCGTCATTCAAATATATGCTCATTTTTCTTTTTCGGTGCCATCGAAAAATATTCTCATTTTCTTTTTAAGTAAAAAATAATTCAACTTTTGTACTGTTTTTTCTTATAAAGAAAAAATTAATAATTATTACTAATTTTTATTAAAATTCATGTCCAGTCAAATGAACATATATTTGCATAACGAAATTAAAAATTGATGTCCAAATCAAATGAGATTACACTCAATACCGTTATGGCCTGCAAACTACCAGCCGGCCAATTATAAGTAAATACAAAAATTTAAATAAAATATAATTATAAGTATATTATTAAAAATATTATTATATTAAAATAATTAAATAATTTATTTAAATTTTTAAAAATAATAAATTTTAAAATTTTAAAAATAAATAGAATGTATAATTATATTAGAAAAACAAATTATATAAGATAAATTAAAATAAAAAAAATATAGTGATTTTATATGGGACGAAAAAAATAATTATTATTAATATATATTATATTTATATTTAAAATATAGACCAAGTCTTAAAGAGAAGACTGTGGCGTCCACATGTTGACCTGATCTATTTGCACTTTCAAAATGTCAAACCATCACCCTTTTACTTTCGAGTGTTTGTTTGAGAATTTGTATTTTGAGTTGCGATTTAAATAGTATAAATTTTGAATTTGAATAATTATATGATGTGATATAAATAGGTGCTGATGTAATATTTTAAAGATAAAATTGATTTTTAATATAATATAAAAAATAAAAAATATATATTTGATTCGATGTTTTTTTAAAAAAAAATTGAATGAATAGTATATTTTGAGGAAAATTTCCCAAACAAGCACACCCTATATTAGTTGTGTGTCCAATATAAAATGTTTTTTTTTTCCTTTTTATTTTCATTTGTGTTATTATCTATTTTTTATAAATATATAATATAATTATATATTTTTATCTCATTTTAAATTTTTTAATTTTAATTAAATTATTTAATTATCTTAATATTGATCTATAATTATTTTTATTATACAATAATTATTTTTACTAATACACTTTTTAAGTACTTACTGATTATATTTTATTTAAATTTTTGTATTTCTCGTATTGTTGACAAAATATATGAGATGAAAGAGTACTTATTTAGTTTGTAGTTTTTATTATTATTATTGTTATTATTATATTGAATTTAACTTGTAATCAAATTTAATATTTTTGCATTCTAATTTTGTAAAATTTTTGGAGTTGGGCGGATGCTAGGCCAACTTTCGAGTATGAATAATCCAGTGCTATACTATCCAAAAGTGAATAGATGTTAAATGAGTTAGATAGACTTTTCATATTAATAATGTGAAATTTTTTTTTCAGGACTCTTTTTAAATACCTTTATAGTTAAACGTGCTTGACGCCAGACTTTACGTAGCTTGAGGGCAGAGTATTTTATTTGTTAGTGAAAGTGTATAAAATATTTTGACAATTTTATCATATAATTTTTTGTATAAAGTAATTGTATATGTAATGATATATTTGTATTTTAATATATACATTCCATTTGAGAAGCATATACAACCGTACTAATAAGTACAACTTAGAATTTTTCCACAATATTTATGAATAATAATAATTACAACTTTTATTGCATAAATTAAAAGTCAACCACATATCCATATTAAAATAATAATAATAATAAAAACAAAACAAAAGAAAAAAAAAAAAAAAAAAAAGCAGCATTTTCTTAAATATAACTCACAATAGATCCATAATGAAAAGTCAAGCACGATCATGTCAAATTCCATACAATTAGTAAGGTAATATTGAATAACTAATGATTTGAAATTAATTTAAAATTGAACTTCGATTAAAATTTGGGAAAAAATTAATTTTGGTCTCAATATAATCAAATTTTATCAATTTTAGTCTCAATATAAAAAAACTCACCAATTTTAGTCCAAATATAAACAATTTCAATCAATTTTAGTCATATTATAAACAATTTCAATAAATTTTGGTCATACCGTTAAAAAACTAACGAAAATTGCTGACGTGGATACGACGGAGGCGACGTGGCAGTTGACCTAGAAAGTACACGGCCGCCATGTACAATTATATACGGCCATGTTGTTACATGGCTATGTATATTTTAGTGTATAATTATACATGATCACGTTGTTACACGGCCATGTACATTTCTATTTTAGTTTAAAATTTTATTTTTTTGTTATATATATTTTTTTAAAAAATTATTTTGAATTTAAAATAATTGATATAGTTAAAATGGACAAAATCAATAGTAATTATAATATAATTAAAATTTTAGACCGGAATATAAATGTACACGGCCATGTAGAATTATATATGGCCGTGTAACAATATGGTTATGTAACAACATACCCGTGTATAATTGTACATGGCTGTATAACAACATGACCATGTATAATTATACACTTAAATTATTAATATTTTTAGTATAATATATTACTCCCTCCGTCCCGGTCAAGATGATCCATATACTTAAAGGGCACTGTATTTTAGGTAGTGTGAATTAGTAAGTTATTAATAATAAATTATTATATTATTTTATATTTTTATACGAGTAGTATTGTTGGTATTTTAAATATTTTTATCATTATAAATCAATAAAATATATACAATATGAATCTCATTTTGTAGATAATAAAATTTTATACAATATAAATAAATAAAATATTAATTTATTTATTTATAATTAACTTAAAACTAATTTTATTAAAAAGAAAATTTTTTTAATATAAATAATAATATTTATTTATTGAGAAAAAAATAGAAATAAAAAAGTTTTAAGTGAATCCTACATCTAAGAGGTTATAAATTTAATTAAATTGATTTATATTTGTTAAATATATTTAAAATAAATAAATTTATTAAAAATAAAAATGAATCGTCTTTAATTGAAGGGATAAAAAAAAAATAATCATTTGTCATGGAACAAATGAAGTATTTTCTTATAAAATTATAGTATATAAATAACAATTTAAAGTTAATCTAAAATATAAACAAACCTAATATAAAATACTTCCTCCTTCTTCGATCCACATAATTTGTTCTTATTTTTTATTTGTATCTGTTTAGTATAATTTATTATTTTTTCTAAAAATCATAATTATATATTTTAATTATATTTTAAATTTTATAATTATTTTTATTAATATATTTTTAGATTGCTTATTAATTTTATTTTACATAAATTACCGATATTACATTGACCGAGTGACTGAGGGAGTAGAATTTAACATCGGACAATCCATATTGACTCTTTCGTCGTTACCTAACCAAACTCGTTTTACCTGTGAGAGCTGACAGGTGTGGTGTACCTTTTTGATTCCGATACTCTTCGTCTCTCCACGGGTAATCGGCACCGTTATTTTGTGTGAGCCCCACATCAATCTGACGGTGCAGATTTCTCAGGACCTCAGATCCCTGGACCGTTGCCAGAAACACAAGACCACTTCCTCTTTTGCTTGATGCCGCGTATGAATTTCCTGCCAGCATATCTGTGGCAAAATTTTCCACTTTTACACGGAAACTCCCCAAATGGGTCCCACTACTTTCCAAAGTCCTGGGACTCGGGCACCAGATGATCTGCATAAGGAGTTGGTGTTCAGGTCCCTGGAACTTCGAAGATTATATACATTTCAAGTGTGTGAGCTGTGTGTGTCTGTACGGACTGTATCTATAATTCTATATATATATATGTTAATGAGAGCTTAAGGTAGCAAGCAAAGCAGAGCAACAATGGAGGAAGAAATAGCAGCAGGATTTCGTTTCTACCCTACAGAAGAAGAACTGATAAGCTTCTACCTCAACAACAAGCTCCAAAACAACAATACAAAGATTAATCGAGTAATTCCTCTCATCAACATTTATCAATTCGATCCGTGGCACCTACCGAGTACGCCTTCGACGCAAAAATCAACTCTAGATTTGGATTAATTAGGTTATAATGAATGTGGATTTTGATTATTTCTTAGTAACTTACAGAACACTGCGGGGAATTCTGCCATGGAGATACCGAGCAGTGGTTTTTCTTCGTGCCTCAGCAGGAAAGGCAAGCGCGGGGAGGAAAGCCGAGCAGAACTACGGTTACCGGTTACTGGAAAGCCACCGGCTCGCTCAGCCACGTCTACTCCTCCGACGGTACGGTCATCGGAGTTAAGAAAACAATGGTGTTTTACAAAGGAAAAGCCCCAGCGGGATCTAAAACCAAATGGAAAATGAACGAATACAGAGCAATTAAATTGGATGAAGAAACTTCCATTCCTAAGGTATGTATATTCAGAAAATTTCAAATTACCTGTCTGGCAATTATTTGAGTGAGCTCTACAACTCTGAAATCCTCGCAGTTGAGAGAAGAAGTGACCGTTTGCAGAATCTACGTAGTGTCGGGGAGCTCGCGCGCCTTCGATCGGCGACCGGTTCGCGTCTGCGCCGCCATGGATGATCATGAAACAGTAGCACTTCAGATAAACGGAAAAAACCGTACCGTTTCAGAGAAGGACGAAACACCGGCGGCGAAGTTGCCGGAGAGAAGCAGCTCTTCAGGAACTTCATCCTCGGGAGGAAATTGCAGCACGGAAGAGGAAACGATGATGATCGACGATGAATGGATGAGGAAATTGATCGAACCTATCGATGAAGAAGCTTCGTTGTTGCAGTGACGGACGGCGGTTACGAGTACGAACAATCTGATCACGCCGATTTGAAGGTAATTTGAAACCTTAATAAAAGCGGGTTTTCAAATTAAAATCGTGTTTCTCGATGAAAAATAGCGCTAGTTGACGAATAGCGACTTTAGTTTTAACTTTTTAGCTGTAACTTGTAACATAGAAAATCAAAACGGTACTATCACCGTGTCACGCTTTACAGTTTATGCTTTTAGGTGATGTATGTACACACACGGTGTGTTCTTTGAACTTCTTTTTTTATTAATTTTTTATTTTTTACAATTCAATTATTTATAAAATTAAATAATTTTGTATTTGTGTTGTCTTTTAATGAATACCAAATGATTATTGAATTTGTTCTTTATATTTTTAGTTAAAAAAATAAATGTTTACAATATTTTTACAAAAAAAAAAGTGTTTGTTTGATTTTGATTTAAGTCAAAGTCAATACTATGGGAAAATATATTATTCACTTTGTCAGTGAGATTATGATTCTGGCCTCTGGATTTTGAATAGTTATATTCAACATAATAAATATCATTTTCTAATGTAGTAATTGTACTACCTATCTAACATAATAAATATCATTATAATTTATAATATATTATACAAATGTCATTATTTTATATTAAACAATACTAATAGGGATATTTTTGTCTTTTTCACTACAACTCATTATAATACTAATATATCTCGTCAACTAAACTCAAAATAAGTAATTCTCTAATAGATATTTCATTAATAAAAATAAAAATAAAAAATCATTTTTTGCCGGGATCGATCTTAGTAAAAAACCTAAGTATGCAAAATAAACACTCTTTATTCATCATTCATTCTACACATAAAAAAACAACAAATTGTTCAATCATGCAGGGCATACAAATAATATTATTATATGCGTCGTAGATAACAAGTACATATATAATAAGTAAGTTCTAAGGAATGCCAATGATGGGGAAAAAGGGCACGTAATAGCTAGAAGGTGCAAGTCCCCATTGTCTAGGCAAAGGCAAATAAACCGTTTTCGACGAGTCATATGATCCCTCTTTATTACCGCCGTTGCCATTGCTGTCGCCGTTCATCTCTTTCTTGTCTCCACATTTTCCCTCCGTAGGACACGACTTGTAGAATGGAATAGCCTCCGGAATAATTTTTGTTGTTGTTGCTGTTAATTTTTCCGACTTTGCAACTTGAAACGACGCATCATTCTTCCTCGTACCGACATAGTAGAGTTGTTCGGGGCCTCCCATGATTTTCGCCATACACTCCCCCTTGTCTAAACCAACCTCAGTTTCGAATGCGCCGTCTACTTGTGTATACGCCACTGTGCCAGCCTTTTTCGTCTGCTCGCATTTTACAAGGACTTGAACTCCTGTAGGAAGGGAATTAATAATGGTCTATTTGTTTGTAGGTTTAGATCGAGCTTCACACTATTCATTATTATTGTAAAAACTATTTGAACAAATGTATTTTCACTTTGGGGGGGTGTTTGGCAAATAATTTTTTTAAGAGCTTTTAGCTTATTGAACAGCTTTTAGTTATTTGACCAGTCAAAAAGCTAATTTAGGTGTTTGGTAAATTAGCTTTTTGGACCTAAAAAGCTAAAAAGCTAACTTACCCAACTTTTTCAAATAGCTTTTTCTGTAAAATTTTTTTTATTTCTTATATGTCCTTAAAAATTTATTATGCATTTTACACAAATAAATATATTTTTGATTATATTAGAATATTTTATTATAATATAGTTTTACTTTTATAAATTTTTAATAATTAATTTTTATATAAAATTTATTTTAATGGTAAAATATATAAATTTATTAAAATCAATATAAAATATAAATATTAATAATTTATTTTTATATTAAAATTACATTATATAAATTTTATACTAAAAATAAATTAAATAAATTAAATTTATTGAAAATTATAAGTAGAATGAACTAATCGATAACCAACATAATAAATATATACACGAAAAATTTATTATTTTATATTTTACATCATTTTCAATAGAAAAAACTATTTATATATTTTAATAAAAATATATTATTTTTTTAAATCTAACTCTAATAAAAATAAATACTTTTATAACACTTTTACAATTTTCAATAACTAATAACAAAAAATTCTAAACATTCTATACTCAAAAGAACATAATTGAATATATCATAAACAAAAATAAAATAGAAATGTCCTCAATTGTCATTTTACCAAACATTTTAATACAAACAGCTAATCATATCAGCTAGTCAAACCAGCTAATTGAATCGGCTAACAGCTAACGGCTATCAGCTAATTACCAAACACGCCCTTAGTATTAAGTTAATAATTAATTTTATATTCAAAACATTATATCAACATCTATTTATATCATATCGTATAATTATTTTAATTTAAAATTTTTACTATTCAAATCCTAAATACAAAATCCAAACCCTCAAAAGAACATACATAACAATACATTTCATTTTTATTTATAACATTACATATATTTTATTCAAATATCATATACTCATTTATAATCATATCAAATAATTATTACAATTCAAAATTTTACTATTTCAAAACACTACATTTATTTATGTAGAACTTACTACACAAATACAAGGCAAAACCAAGGCTTACAAAATCTACACTCGCTATTTTTTTTACTAGTTATTGTTCATGATTTTTATTTCACATCTAACTACTTACTAAAGACATCGTATCAATTCTCCCATATTTCATCATTCTTTATTACTTAATTATTAAAAACTCAAAACTCAAAATACCCATAAAATTCAAACTCTACAAACAAACAATACCCAAACTTACGGGTGTGTTCTTTCACAATTCTCGTAAAATACATTTTTACCACAAAATTAATATATTACACACACTCATATTTTTATATTATTTATACAATTCTCTATATTTCACATAAAAAATATCTTTTTAAACAATTTTACAAAATAAATACAATCTTCGTATTGGTTTGAATAATATGATTTTGCGATTCTATATATAAACAAACTAAAAAAATCAAAATTATACAAGAAAAAGTTACAACATGTCCATAAAAATTAACGGTAAACCTGAGAGATCATAACCGTGAGGGCAATCAAGGCAAGTAACAAATCCCTTGACAACAACACGGTGACTTGCAAGGCCCTCGGCTTGCACAACAGCCAAGACATAAAACAAGACAACCGCGACACGGATTAACATCATCCTCGCCATCGAAAAATAACAATTTGGGCCGCAAAATGGTTGATATATAAACATAAAGGTAAGGTAGGAGTAAATGAATGGCATGAACAAGTTGTTGGTGCTAATAAAGGACAACCAAGTCCCTTTCGATGAGTTCATTCTAACACATGTTAAAAATTTCGGCAAATGACTTGTCCAATATGGCACTTTACTATAAGAAGTGATTGAGGTGGATCGAAAGGGAAAGAGAAACAAATGTTTCGGTGCTTTAGACACTCGGCCATATGGATCTATGTAAGTTCTTAGAGTGTATTTGTTTGTGGGCTTTTTATTATTATTTTTTTAAAAAAATAATCTTTTAAAAATATCAAACGAAAGATATATTTTTTATTTTCATATTATATCAAAGATTAATTCTATATTCAAATTATTAATTTAATATTTATTTATATCGTACGAAATAATTATTTTAATTTAAAAATTTACTATCAGTTAAAATTCAACCCCCACAAACAAATACATTTAAGCTTAACTTTTCTCGATATATAGGCTCTCCTCAAAGCATGAAGGCCAAAAATATCTAGAAGTTACGCGATTGGACAATGTATCTACATCCAACGAGCTATTGTAATGTCGTCTTATCAGTTAAAACTTTCTTACCCAACCCGCTTATTAGACAATGAATCCGAGAATGCTCGATCGATTTGTTAAAGTACCAATTCATTGCTATGTTGTAAGGCAATGGAGAGATTGCTTAGAGAGAACAATGGCTAAGTTCAAAATGGATTTTACAAGCATATAATCTATTATGGCAAAATAAACACTAAGGTTGTGTTCTTTTGTGAGTTTTAACATAAATTTTTATTATTTAAATTCTTTTTTTTCCTCCAAAAATATCAAATCAAATAATTATTTTTTTATATTATACTACAAATTTATTTTATATTCAAAACATCGCATCAACTTTTATTTATATCACATCAAACAACTATTCAAATTTAATTTTTTACTATTCAAAAATCTAAACCCAAAAACTAAAACTCACAGACAAACACAGCCTAATTTTCCGTTTTTTTATCAAATCATTTTTTTCCCATAAGAGAATTATATATTATTTTTTCATATTTTTTGCGGAACTTATACATCATAAAATAATAGAAAATAACTTAAAAGTTAAGCATTAAATATATATTTTTTTTATTTAGAAATATCAAATATCCAAAAATTAATTTTTAATTTTAACAAAAAAACTTGCATACAACATTGTGACGACAGCAACAAAGGACGAAGTAGGGGTTGAATTTTGAAACTTGTAAGGGAGCAGGCACAACTCGCACATGTGTCAGAAGAGTTGAAAATTGAAGTCGAAAATTGAAAGAAATATATAATTAAAATTTTACACAATTATATAAATATATAATATATTACTCCCTTCGTCCCACATAATTTGTCTCTATTTTTTATTTTCGTCCGTCCCACATAATTTGTCCTTTTTTTTTGAAAAATTAATTATACACTTTAATCATATTTTAAAATTTAAAATTTAATTTTTTTAAATTTTAATTAAACTATTTAGTTATCTTAATTTTAATTTATAATTATTTTTACTAATATATTTCTTAATTGCTTATTAATTATATTTTACCTAAATTCTCGTGTTTACAATAATACACCCATATTACATGGGACGGAGGGAGTATTAATTTGGACATATTTGAGTTTCACTCTATGGCTGGTTGGAGAGTTTTTTATTTTGAATAGTAAAAATTTTGAATTGAAATAGTGGTATGATGTGGTATAAACAGGTGTTGATGTGATATTTTAAATATAAAATTAATTTTTAGTATAATATAAAAAATAAAAAAATAAGTATTTGATTTGATATTTTTGTGAAAAAAAAAAAAAAAAGGATAAATAGTAGATTTTTGGTAAAATCTTCCAAACAAACAGGACCGTGATCTTTCCTCTAAATCTTCTCTTTCGTCTCCGTCTCCATCGCCATCGTCACACCATCTATTGCTATTGGAGAGTTCAAATTGATTGTAGAATTTTATGACAATTTATTATATTGATTAATATATTTTTAAACTATTAATTTGTGTATCTTTTTAGTAAATAAATATTTTTTGAATAAGTAATAATTTTCTCTTATATTTGCCACTTAAAATTTCTATTTTACCAAATAAAATAATTTTTTCAAAATAGTAATTTTATTTTTTATTTTTTTTCTCTACAATTTTCTTCCTTCATTATAATTTCATTCTCACCAAATGCACAATAAATTCTTAGTTTAAATTCCGAAATTGGTTAGTTGTATGAATATATGTGGTAATGTAGGAGTACCTCCTACAACGGTGAAACTGAACATAGGATTAACCCAAACTATAAACACACACACATAATTATTTAATTAAATAATAAATTTTTAAAAATAAATAAAATAAATGTAGGCACCCAACTAACTTCAACACTATTTAAATTTGGTTTTAATACAAACATTAATTCCATCAACTCTTATTATAACATGGACACTTCTTCCATCATCATCATCATCCAGCTGTCACCATGCTCAGCTTTTAAAAGCCATTCATTATTATGCTTTCTTTAACTTAATTTTGTTTAGAAAATAAATTTTAATACTGCTATTCCCTCCTGTTCGTAAAAAGAGCCCTGTTTGTTTTTACACATTAATTTTTTAATATTAATATTATATTCCCTCTATCCATAAATTAATATCAACTTTTTTATTTGGGACGTTCAACAACTATTGTCTTTTTTTTTTTTAACACAAATTTTACATTTTTACCCTTAATTCATTTATTACTTTTAATATCTACCATACACTTAAGGGCAGATTTGTCCATTCATAACAAAAAAACAATCACTTAAAAAAACCGTACAAATATACTTTAGGACAATATAAATTAGACGGATGAAATATTAGTTTTTAATGAAAAAGACAAAAATGCTTCTATTAGTCTGGTGTGTTATAAAAGTGAGGATATTTGTGTAATATATTGTAAATTGTAAAGGTATTTGTTATGTTACGTAGGTAATACAGTTACTAAATTAGGAAATAATACCCTTATTTTGGAATGGACAAAAATAGAAGATAACATCCTTCTTACGGGACTGACGGAGTATTACATTCCAAAACTTTTGTTTATAAATAGTACCTTCGTCCCATAAAACTGGTAATATTTAGTTTTTGCACGTAGCCTTTTAAATATTAGTATTATATTGGTTTATATTGAAAATGACAAAAATGCCCTGAAGTTGTGTGATATAAAAATAATGACATTTGCGTAATATATTAAAAATTTTAAGAGTATTAATTATGTTAGATAGATAGTACAATTACTAAATTAATAGATGAGACCCTTGTTTGGGACAGATAAAAATAAAAAATAGTATCCTTGTTATATAAGGGATGGAGTAGTTTTTCTTCTTTTAAAGTTTTTAAAAAGGAGAATGAAAAAACACACTAAAGTAAAATAAACTTAAAACAAGCAAATGTTTTGGGATTCCGAATATTTTGTTTGTACACAAAAAAATACTATGTAATTTTTCATTAATAATAGAAATTTTTTGTACACCCTTTAATTTACATTATTCAACATTGTATTTATTTATAATTATATCTCATTTACTTGTACATTTAATTTATAAAAAAATTTATCCACCCCATTAACTCTCACTCAGAGATTTGTCTTTTCTCCCACATAGAAAAGAATCACATTAAAAAGAAGAGTAAGTTTAGTTGTTATCGCATTCTATGATTCTTGAAAAAAAAAAAAAAAATTGTTTTCTAACAAAATATCGGATCAAATATTATTTAAATACAAAATTTAAAAACAGACCGATATTCCGGTCAAGTAAGTTTAGTTGTTATCTATCCAACTTCATCCCATACTACTTTTACGAAGGGAAACAACAACTATCACTTTAGAGAAGTGCCCATTCTCCAGCCAATATCACACTAAAGATATCTATGCTCTTTATTAATGTAGCCTTAAAGTTAGTTAGGCAAAACAATCAATTTTCCTAATACTTGTTTCTTAAGGATTTTTTTTTCCACTCGAAAAACAATGGTTAATAGATCGGAAAGAAGTTAATTGGCGCAATAGAAGTTGCGAAAAAAGTAGATCCTATGCCGAATGAATTATTGATACCAAAGAAAGGCCATTAATTCGACTCACATTTACGGTGTGCTAAAATATTATCATATATTGTCAGTTTATATGTTACATTTGTATTATACTAACATATACCTTATATTGTTTATTTATACTTCATATGTTGTTGGACTATAATTCATATGCTATCAATACCTAGTGATTAATCTCTTTCAACATCGGAATCACCATTGACGACTAAACTAAGCAAACTAGCGAAAAATGGTTATCTACGACATGAAATAGGATGTAAAAGGAGGCGGTGATCAAGAAGTACAATGAATCAATTTAACCAAGCCAAACAACGATTTCTTTTTCCTTTTCTTTTTGCCCTCAAAATGGTACCCTTATGTTTTCAACGACTTTGCTTTCAAAGAATTCATCAAAAAATTTATACTAACTCAAAATACTTCCAAAACGTATCTAAACACAATTATACGTACTGAACTTCTCTACTTGAATCTAGCTCAAGAATTTCACTAATACTCAATTTGATTTTTACCTCCAAGATCACCATTTGAGATCCTTATTTGAAGAAAAACTTCCTAAAGCATTGATTGGGCTATTGTTTTCGCATTTATCTCGAAGCTAAAGCAGCCAAACTATACAGCTCTGATAATGTACCCAATCTTTCCAAAAATAGTCTAACAAGGAGCATCAATGCGAAATCTTAACTTCAAGATTATTCAAAATCTTGTTCTTCATGAACTAAATGTATGTCTGTAGTTAATGTTTTTGACATTTCATTTTGCATATAATAATCAAGACTCCTTTCAGAAATAAGGCTAAAAAAAGTACGAATCTAATTCACTTACCGGTGATTTTCGCTTGCCAATGTATATATATGTCGCCGTGGTCTTGTTGAATTTCCGCATTCTGTGCAATTACAGAAGAACTGCAACTAACAATCTGGCATTCAACTGTTAGGACAAAGATACCAAAACTTATATAGCAACCTATCCAAATTATCAATTACTGACATTATGAAGAATGAAGATCACAAATGTTCTTAACTCCAACATAAGTAACTTGATAAGTTTTTTATTATCAGATTTTTCAGATACCCTGCTCTGTTACATGTTGAGTACTTAAATGTGTTATTACCATATCTAATGCCACTCTCGAGGCAAGAATGGAAGCCAAAGGATGGAAATGTCCCGACTATCTTATTTTATGTTCAGAAGGGTATTAATTAAAGTGGCCTAACTCATTCGATCCAAGATCTTAGAATAGATTTACGCCCCAAAAATAATAGCACTCCTGACATGCCTAACATCATAACGATGCTGACAACAAACCTAATCTAGACGGAAATCATATATATCATAAGTCAACAACACATAGTTATAATAACATAATACAAATTAATCACATAGAAATTAACACAACATAACAATAGTCTATATAGCCCATAATATCATTAATCTCAATATATGAGATATGTTCATGAAACACAAGTATAAAGTATAACTCTCAACACATACTTTCAATTAATACTAAACATAATTGAATTCAGCACATGTGCACCAGGTCGTATGACAATAATCCATACATATAACAATAGTTCATACAATACATATTTCAACACGCGAAATATATTAGCAAATACTTCCTCCGTCTCATTTTAAAAGTATCTCTTTCCTTAGAAAAAATAATCGTACACTAACTAATGAAATTCTATTATTTTCTTAATTTATTTAAAAACTCCAAAAGGCCCTTTCAAAAGAGACGGAGGAGTAATTGTCAAAGCATGTGCTGTATCTCTCTCTATCTTCTATGATGATTAGGACTAATCAACACTCTAACCCTTCCAATTAAGTATATGCAGCAAATAATTGAGAAATCTCATAGCAAACCATAAAGAAAATTAGCAACGCCATTAGAGAGAATCACTAAAAAGAATAGTTAAGCAAACATATAAATATGTAAAGATGCTTCACAGCAATGACCACAAGAACTGCATATTTCACTGGACACACAACAAAGGCAGTATATGCAGTAACCGACCCGACCCGACCCGGGAAAAGAGGGTTTGAATCCTTATCCAAAGAAATCTTGAACACCTTTTCCGGCGAAAATACCGTCGGAGATTTCGGCCAGGACGGCGTTTACCGTCAATAGAACTACGCTGGAGCCGGCGATAACAGCCAGGACTACACCCGTCGTCCCGACTACCTTCCCCAGCGCCGGCCACTCAATTTCCCGAATTTCCTCACCAACACCGCCGAGAAGCCCCTCCGCTTCCTCCTTCACCGCCGCCGGTTTCTTCATTTCATCCTCCGCTGGGGCCGCTTCCTCACTGCTGCTGTTCCCACTATTTTCCTCTTCTCCGCCTGATTTCGATTTGGGGATAATACGAGCGGACTTGAGGCGGTACCGGAATGCAATTTTCGAGAAATTAGGGGAGGAAACGGAGATAGATGGTGGCGGCGGTGTTGCAGCGGAGACGGTGGGGAGGGAGACGGCGGCGGGGAATTGCCGTTGAGGCGAGAAGGTGAGTGCCATTTTTGTAAAGTATTTCTGTATAAAATTATAATTTAATTAATTTATATTACATAGACGTGAGTGATTGTAAATAAATAAAATAGTTTAAATACTACTGCTAGTTAAAATAATTCTGCACTAGTAGTAGCAAATAATAAAATTTTCACCGCTTATCTCAGACTCAGACTCAGACTCATGAACTTAGCCGATGCAAAACCATGCGATAGCACCCAATTTTTCAGATTTATAAACACATTGCATTTCTTTATATATTCTTTTCAAACATTTATAATTCAATAATAATTTTTTTTTTAATTAAAAAATCCAGCACAATTCCAAGATACAATACAAATATTGATTGTACATAGTAACATAACATATTTTAATATTATCAATACAATTTTTAATACCTATGATATATTTTTTGGAAAAAAATTAATACCATCTCCTAGTAATATTTTACTTTTGGCATGTAAATTTTTAAATATTAATATTATATTGATTTATAATAAAATACATATTAGAAGTTGCAAGAGTATTAATTATATTAGTAATACAATAATATTATGTTTTGAAACGGATAAATATGAAAAATGACGCAGGGAGTACATTATATATACTCATCTATAATATTGATATAATTGTCTAATATAAAAAATTGTACCAAGAATATATAATATGTAAAATTAATATTTAAATCTTTATATATATATATATATATATAAATTTTTAAAATAAAGACAAAAATTAAAATATAAGTTGGTTATAAATTCTAGGTTTATATACATATGGTCGTGGACTGGCCTGGCATAAAAAACGGGTCGGTCCGAATTGACATCCTAGTTAGGCACACTTAACATGATCTTAGAAACAGCTGTTCTCAGCATCAAAATAATTTCACTGTCAACTGCCTAATGCAATGTCACTCTCTTCTATTGCTAACGTGAACTCACTAAAAGGAATATTACCTGGGCAACGCAGAGATACAAATATGTAGGACCAAGTTTCCTAACTTTGATTATTATGAAGAAATTTCACCAGACAAAAGAAAGGCAGTGCCAAATGCTACAGAGACGTACAATTTACTAGTGACCGACAATAGATATCAGAAGCTGGCAATTTATTTGTCGATCAAAGTTGTTGGCACCATACGCCTCAGAATCAGAAGCGCACGTACATGGTGAAATAGCAGAGAATACAGTTTGAAAACACATGAGAATGAGTCCTCGCAACATACAACAGTCTAAAAATAGGGGCGAATTCGACATAATTAGGCAGTCGTAACAATTAAACAAATGAAAGCCGAGGACCCAAAAGATCGCAACACTGCTGCTATTACAAGCAGTCGTATAAAACTTCCCAATCATGTTGGAATCATCTGCATAACAAGTATTGCCTAAACAGTTTTGTAATTTCCAAACTTGACTCATTTTATATAGAGGAACAGGACAAAGTGTCGCATAAAGAAGAACTACTCTTGCGATACTTTTGGACATTTAAACAAATGCCTCCGTATATACATATCCATTTCTAAATTTATAAACTTTGTCAACCAAATCATTTATTACAACTTACACATACTAATCTTAACATCCAAAGATATCTGAACAAAACATCAATTTTATGCATTCAAAATATTTCAAATCCAAAACATGTCAAAGCACAGCCACAACTATCCCTTATACAATATCAAATCTACTCGTATAACTTCTCGCATCATTCAAACTTATATAACTTTTTGATACAAAGATTATAATCAGACTAAAATGGCTCAAGTACCATTTATATCTTGTCCCTCTGAATAAAATCCAAACGAGAACTTATAATCCAGGGTGATATATTTCAGTTACTATACAGCTACAACCCAAAAAAACAGCAACAAATCTCTAAAAACACACTCCTCGCACTGACCAAGATGCAACTTCAGAGATCTTTCTAGAGACGGCATATTTAGCTTAAACTGGGTAAGTATACAACACATTCTTGCCAAGTCAAGTAATTTATTAAGTGGAGTGTGAGGCCGGAGCATGATGAGGCACACGGTTAAACTTACTTGAAACATGTATGTATCAAAATGAATACAATGATCAATCACAGGTACCGAGAGGCATATCAATATCACAAGCTGACAAGATCATCATCATCGTTATTATTGATTTCTTCAATTTAATGCTGAAATGCAAACCCTTCACAAATCAAGATAAACTTTCACAGAGGAACTTGGGAAACAAAATATGAAACTTGATTATTATTAATTCTTGCCTCTTGGGTATTCCTTTTCCTTTTTACCAAGAACAGTATCAAAAGCTATAACTTTTTGCCTTTGATGACCAGAAATACACCAAAACAAAAATCCCCAGACACTAATTCCAATTTCTACCGACTGACTGACAAACTTGTCAAAGAGATTTGGACATTTAAAGTAGCACAATCAAAATTAAGAAAAACCTTACAATTTATAGGAAGTACTGACATGGAACTTATCACATGGATATTCATGCATACCTTCCATATAAGTAATGAATATTTATCTAAACAGCTTTTCATCACCTCAACACTTGAATCTTACAATTATATCAATGATCCAAAATTGGAAAATAATTCATTTAAAGAAAATTTCACTACTTTCCTCTTCTTTTCTTCATAGGCCTCAATCAGGTGCATTATTAATCACTAAGTTCCATATCTATTCCTGACCAATTAAAACAAAAGGACATAGATAGCACAATAGTACCTAGTTAGGCAAACTGCCCCAATAAACTCATAAGTAAGTATTTATCTACCAAATTACTTTTTCCCCTGTTAGTTAGTTCCAAGAGTGAAATCAGAATCTTTCGACAGCTGTAAGTGTTCCCAATAATTTGGCATTTTTCCCATATTTTCATTCTTATCCCATTAATCCAAGCTTGAGACTCCTAATTCACATTCTGGAAAACAAAACAAACATCTTCTTGTTCTTGGAATTAGAATGACAGAGCAGAATTATTCAAGGCTAAGCAGGGATTCCATAGCCATAGCATAGAAAGAACTCAAGGCAAAATTGCTCACACAACATATATATGAAGTAGAAAAAGAATATGAGCAAATATATGGCAAATTAGCTATTATTTCAAGAGAAGTGCTTATGTACAACTTTAACTTGACCCTACTTATATGTACACAAATTGAAATGACCAATATGAACTAAAGCCATAGAGAATAACCAATTAACCAATCAATCAATAAAGCCAGTCTTTCGCCAAATGGCGTTGCGCACCTGCCGGAGATCCCTACCTTTTAACGTCCGGCCGGCTCCCTCCAGCACCGACGAAGCGAGCATCGGCGAATGCCTCGCCGCCACCACCTCGTGTGGTGGCATAATCATGCCGTTGCCGCTGTCCTCCTCATCCTCTTCTTCCCAGACGACTTCTTCTAATTCCCTCACCTTCCTCTGCAATGCCTTCGGAACCACCGGAACGCTCACCGGCGCCGACTGATGTCGAAGTCTCACCCTATCCTCTTGCGGCGGCGGCGGTGGCGGCCTCGGAATCATTATTCTAGATGATGCGGCGGGAGTCGGAGATAATGAAGAGGAAAGAGACGACAAGGCGGAGGCTCTACGGTTAAACACAGGTCGTGCATCGTATTCTGATCGAGGAACGGATCCGGTCTTCGAATTGCCGTTTAGAGCCGCTAATATGCCGTAATCGTTTCCGCCGGCGCTCCGCGCCGAGATCTGAGACGGATTCACTCGCCGTCGAGTCGGCGACGGCGACAAACTCCCCGACGGCGTGCTGAAAATATCGTCCTCAGAGAGTTCGAGCGGCGGCGCCTGCAAGGAGCTCGATTCCTCGTATCGCGTCCCGAGGAACCTATCGACGGCCGACGGAGGTGTGCGGTGGTTGTTAAAACGGGCGGCGGCTCCGCCGTCGAGTCGTTCCATTGCGGCGGTTTGCGGGTTGCGAATGGCGGCGGGTGTGTAAATGGCGAAGGTATGTATAGTGATGCTCCAGCGGGGTAGGAATCTGGTGTGGCAGGCCTTACGGTGGACCTTTTACAGATCTCCACGTGGAGAGATCTCATACGTGGATCAGAAGAAAGGAATAAATTAAATTGCTGACATGTACGGTGGATATTCGTTCGCGCAGGTAGACTGCGTCGCAGGCGAAAGAATGGGAAGAGTCGGCCATTCGGCGAGGGCCAAAGATTCATCCATTTGATAATTTCCATAAATAAATAATTAAAATGTTTAGTAAGAATTAATCTAATTCATTTTAATTTGAAATAATTATTAGAATCAATTTTTTTTAAAAAGGCATATTTTATACGGGGATAAGAATATATGTGGGCGGAGAATCGTGACGGTTGATTCTGTATTGGACGGCCGGGATTGTTCGGAGATTGCTAAGTCAGCTAAAAGTTGTTCTTTGACGTAATCAAATATGTGGAAGCAATTATCAACTTATATGATTTTATTTATTTATTTATTTTTATTAAAAATATATTATTCCAATAAAGTCGGATATTAAATAAAAATTTTAATTTAAACCTTATCACTAGAACATCCCACACAACTCATTTAAATTTAATTTGCCTAAAAGTTTTAACATTATCAAATTTACATTATTATAGTAATAAATTTTGAACTATATCCATTCTAGATAAGTTAGTTGGCGAGCTTATTCAACTAAAATAAAATAAAATAAAAATAAAAAAGACCTTCTTATGATGTGTTTGGTTTGGTATGGATTTTGATTTTTACACTTTCCTTTTATCTAAATTAAGTAATTAAATATGAGAAATAAATATATTTTTATTTGAAAGCTTAATATTGTGTTAAGTGATGATCTATATTGGGGCTTGAGGTCAACTGACCCTTCAAATTCTTCCTAATTTTTTTTAAGTGTAATTTTTTTTTTTAATTTTTTATTTTGTAATCAGATTTGCTCCCTTCAATTTGGAATTAATACTCTACATAAACTTTCATATTATTATTATAATTTATAAATATATTATATAAAAAGCAAATATTTTATTTTAAATATTGCTTCCGTTCATTTTTTTCTTCTTCACAACCATATTTTTTTTTGTACACACATAAACAGTCGTTCAAATAAAAAATAGGCTCGAAATAAGTTGAAATAAAAAATAAACGGTAAAAAATGAAACAAATGAACATAACAATTTTGCCCCCAGAGCCACAAAGCTGATTCCGTCATTGATTATGTTCACTAGTTAATAGGTAGAAATTTTTACTGTTCATAAAAAAATTTTAAAAATCGAATTATTTTATATATTTTATACTATCTTCGTTTCATAAGAAGAATACTGTTGATTTTTTTTGTGTTAATATTTGAATATTTAATGATTATATTAGTAAGCAGAACAACTCAAGAAAAAATACAAAATATTTCTATTAATGTCTTGAAATACAAATAATGTTTTTCCTAAATAAGTTATAGAAATATAAAAATATTTTTAATACTAAAAATAATGACGCAAAAAAAATATAAGATCAAATATATTTTTCATATCACAACACACAAGCCATCACTTCAAATAACCAACTTTTTAATTAAATGGCCGTGCAAACGTTTTTTCCGACCACGCTTATTACAAAAACAAGTTACAATTATTCTCATCTGGAAAACTTACACACTCGCTTATTCCGAAGAACAGTCGCAGATTTCCATTGAACCCCACCCCACCCCACCCCATACCTAACACCTGAGTCCAGCTTTGAGCTTCTGGATAGTCCGGACATCGGTTTTAAACGACAGGGCCAAAACGGTGTCGTCAATAGAAGAATTGAACAACCCACTCGGCAACGAAACCGTGCCGGGATTGGCGCTCCCGAACGCCGAAATGGCGAGCGCCGGAACTTTAGCGTTAGCATTGTACTGAAAGTGCACCAACCCCTTAGGAAAAACAAAAACGTCTCCCTGTTGTAATGTCTGAATGTACAACTTGTTCTTTGAGTCGACAAATCCGACCTCTAGCGACCCCCGGGCCACGAAGAGCAATTCCGCGGCCCGCGGGTGCGTGTGCACCGGGTTCACCGTGCCCCCCGGGTATAATAGGACCGCGTACGACACGCTTTGCCCATCTAGGGCCGGGAATTGTTCTAGGCTAGCCTTGACAACCTATATTATATATACATATAAAAAAATTGTGATGAATATTAATGATTTTTTGAAAAGATAAAATATATTATATATACATATATTGAAGAATCGTGTCGGATAAAAATTAGTTGGACGGAGGAATATGTAATAATCTTGCATAAGAAATTAAGAACCTTAAAGTTGGGCGGGAGCGGGGCGGAGACGAGGGCGCGCATGCCGGTGAAGGTGAAGAAGTTTCCGTCGACATGCGGGGAGTTCGGTGGGACTATAAAATCGGTGAGGATGTCCGGGTCACCGGAATGAGACATGTGGATTATGGCGAGTAAGGTTAGGACAAATACGAGGGATTTTGCGCAATCGAGCTTCATCGTCGTGGTTGTTGTTGTCGTCGTCCGATGTTGTTAGTAGGGTTGTTGTAGAAGATAAAGAGGGAGGGATTTATATATATGTGTGTTGGGGGAACAGTAAGCTAAAGACAGCGTAATTGGGAGTTACAATGTGGGTTGCTCTTTGTTATTACAGCCTCGATCGGATCGGATGGGCGTTCGATCGGACGGCTGAGGATGTCTTTAATTACTTTGTCCTCTCATCTCTCTAGTAAGTGTTTGTTCGACTTTTTTTTTTTTTTTTTTAATTGTAATTTAAAATTGATTTGAAATGAAGCATTAGATTTGAATTTTTGTTTAAATACTATTTTGATGTAATGTTCTGCGAGAAAAATAGTTTTTGATTTGAATATTTGTTTAAATAATATTTATATGTGATGTTTTGCAAGAGAAATAGTTTTTTTTCTGTCATTCGTAAAGTTTATTTCTGTTCATCTCATATAATTTATTCTTTCACTTTTTAAAAATATAATTATAAATTTTAATTATATTTTAAATTTATAATTTATAATTTTTTAATTTTAATTAAACTAATTAATTATTTTAATATTAATCTATATTGTCATGTCTACTGTAAGGTTGATACTTTTAGAGTGTGTTTGTTTGGGGATTGAATTTTAAATACACTATCATCCATTTTTTTCCCTTAAAAATATCAAATTAAACATCTATTTTTCATTTTTTATATTATACTAAAAATTAATTTTACATTCAAAACATCACGTCAGCTCCTATTTATATCTCATCATACAACTATTCAAATTTAAAATTTTTACTATTTAAATCTTAACTCAAAATCCAAACCCCAAACAAACACACCATTAGTGAAAAAAAAGGGAGTAATACATTTTTATTGAAAACGGTATTAAATCACTAATATTGATTTTTTATAATATAGGAATTCGGAGTCGCTACTCATCAAGTTCGTTGGGATTTTAGTTTGAAATAGTAAAAAGTAAACTCTGACTTTGAACCAAAAAATTGTGAATTTAAATGATTATGATATTATATAAAAATATATATTGTTACCATATTTAAAATATAACATTAATTTTAATAAAATATAAAAAAATTATATTACATTTGTTTTTTCATATAAATTTTTAAATATTAATATTATATTAGTTAATTGTAAAAATATATATATATACCTATTAGTACGATGTAATATAAAAGTAATGATATTTGTATAATATATTAAAAATTGTAATGATATACCTTTATTTTGGGACAGACAAAAATAAAAAATAATATTTGTTATTAGAAGAATGAGGAAGTATAAGTGTGTTTGTTTGAAGGATTTTGGTGCACTTCTACTATTCATAAAAAAAAATTTCCCCCAAAAACATCAAATCAAACATTTATTTTTTATTTTTTATATTATGCTAAGAATCAATTTTATATTCAAAATATCACATCAATCCATATTTATTTCACATCATCATACGACTATTCCAATTCAAAATTTTTACTCCGAACAAACACACCTCTATCTTAAACAAAAAAATATTTATAAACAGTGAAAATCTACACAAAAACCCAAAACAAACACACCCATGTGGCCATATGTGTTTGGCTGTGGATCCTACTATTTATACCTTTTCTTTCCATAATATTTTTTGTAAAATAATACCGTTTGTTACATAACTCTAAAATTTGACATTGGCATTAATAATAACAAATCAATAGGAAGAATAAGAATATGAATAATTCTAACTCATTATTCTTTCTTATTACATTCCACTGCAATGTGTCTAGATTCCTTGTAAGTCTGCAATAATAATAATATTAATAAATTATTCAAGAATGGGATTTTGAAAAGTTACAAATAATAAAAAATTAGTATTTTATGTAATATTTTTTAAAATTTTTAAAAAATACTAAAATTTTCAAAATTATTGTACAAACAAAGCCTATATCTTTCGCAACTGTTCATCAAAATTTGTACTACTTCTCAACACAAATTGAACCAAAACATTCAAACATCATTGAGCATACATATGAAAGAATCACAAAATTAATGTATATAAATCAAAAGAATTATATCAAAGAAACACAAAACAACATTTGTTTGATCAATGTAATGATCTTCACCTAGAATGGCAATAAATTGACACTTCGGCATCGCCTCCGGATCTGCCCTTCCTTGCCGGTAAGAACTCCGACAGCGCCCAACTTGACCATGGCCTCCCCGAACTTTTTGCCAAAGTCGGAGCTACTTGCAATGGTTTCCACGGTTGACTTTGATAGCGGGTCGAGCGCCAAATTTTGATCGATAGGAAGAACTCCCCTCTTTGCGACTATTTGATTGTAATAAGACTCGTCAACTGTATTGAAGCTTGTACTGTCTTGATCGAGGTTTGCGGTGTTGTCAAAAGTAGCCTTTTGCGGACATCTTGCCCTAAGTTGTGTAAGAAGGATAGGGTCCATGTTTGGATCGGGCTTACCCGTGCTTGAGAAGTTGTAGAGACGATCCATGAAGAACGAGCAATGAGCAATTCCGACTGTATGACCACCTAAGCAAAAACAAAAATTAGAATTTTTTTTTACTATATCATTCTCACGATTATATATATATATATATATTCTCACAAAATCTTTCATTTAAATTACTATTCAAATTCAAAATCAAAACTAAAAATAAAAATTAAGAAGTACTCCCTCCGTCTCACATACCATGTTCACGTTGCTGTTTCTGTCTGTCCCACGTAACATGTCACTTTCTTTTTTTGGAAAATGATTACACACTTTAATCTCATTTTAAACTTTTTAATTTTATTTTTTTTAAATTTTAATTAAACTAATTAGTTATCTTAATCTTAATTTATAATTATTTATATTATCGGATAATTATTTTCACTAATATATTCTTAATTATCTACTAATTACACCCCTCCTAAAATATCGTGTCTACAGTGTAGCAGGTATGTGGGACGGAGGGAGTATTTGTTAGTAGTAACAAAAAATAAAATGCAAATAATTATATATATATTGTTAGAAAACAAAAATACTACTATTTCTATTCTATTATTTTGTTTGTTTGCCCACATTTTTTTTCTTTTTCCAATATATATATATATATATATATTGTTTTTTTCACAAAAATCAACATTTAATATAAAATATTATTGTTATATTACCCATACGATTTTTTATGCCTCATATATATATATATATCTTCAAATTAAAACACTAAACAAACAATTTTGATATCATGAATTTTTTATGCTTGTGGTATAAAATTTGATATAAATATGCACTTTGTACTTATTTCTTGCATAAAATATTTTTATAAATTATACTTAGAATAGTAAAAATTAAATATTATGCTTAAATATAAATATATATATATATATACAAAACTTTCGGAATATCATAAATTAGAAAGAATAGTAAAAATATTTGAGGCAATATTATATATTTACCAAGGAGATAAATCGCGGTGGTTGCATCGATTTTATTTTTACTAAAGAGCTTGAGGCAATCTGAAACCGATATTGTAGGACCCGGAAGATTCACATTCTTAGCAAGGGAGGTTGTCCCGTCCCTCCTTCCCGTTTGCACACTATATTTTTCTCCTCCACTCTGTACGAACATAAAAAAAGCAATTCGATTTTATTTGACTTTACAGTAGTCTTAGTAGAATCAAACTCGAGCTTATACAATGCAATTATTATTATTACACCCTCCGTCCCGGTTACCTTGTCAAGATTACTGTAAATACGGAAATTTAGAAAAAAATATAATTAATAAATAATTAAAATATGTATTTGTGAAAACAATTATTCTATAATAAAAATTATTATAGATTAAAATAACTAATTGATCTAAATAAAATTAAAAAAATTTACTATGAGATTAAGATATGCAATCATTTTTCAAATAAAAAAAAGTGACGTAAATGTGAGACGGACAGACAATATGAACTCGATAGGTGGAACGAAGAGAGTATTATTCTTAAGTTGAGCTTAACTTGTCGAACATTACAAAGCTCGAATTGATTTCACCCTTAGCAACGAAAAAAATAAAAAATAAAAATTGAAATGATTAACGACTTACCAAAGCAACGGCATCTCTTGTTGCCATAACAATGATATCGGCACAAGACACCACGCCGGGGCAGATTTCCTCGACCTTGGCTTTTGCGGCGTCGATAAGTTCATAACCCCTAACACTCAAATTAGGCCCGGCCTTTTTCTCGCTGTTTTCCCCATCCAACAAAATCGATGCGTCGCATCCCTATATTGCAAAGGCATACAAAAATAAAATAAATAATAAATAAGACAGTTAAATTTACACCAATAATTGCTTTGTTTACTTTGAGAATGATTTTACAGTCTTTTAAAAATATATTATTTCATTTCACAAACTTCATCATGTCATTTTTATTTATAATTTATATAATTCTCATTTAATTATCAATTTACTCAAGTTTTATTTTTTTCAACAAAATTTTATCTTATATTTCACTAAACACCCAGTAAAACCAAGTATATTTTAGGTTGCATGTGGTTGGAAGATTTTGTAAATATTTTGCCATTTACTAATTAAAAATATCAAATCAAATATTTTTTATAATCTACTAAAAAAAATCTTGCACAAACCAAATTACCAATATAATATCTTATTAGTCAGTTAAAATTATATCATTATTTTTTTTTAGATGTCCTTCTAATTTATTTATAGTAAATAATTTTACTATTCATATTTTAACACATAATTAATAATCACTATTTTTTCTATTTACTCAATCACATTTTAACAATTTCTTTAATTAATGGTTCATTATACTCTCAATTTACTTTTTATTTATTTTACTTTAACATTAAATTATTTTTTTAGTCTAGCATTTGATATGCATTATCATTACAGAACTTTAAATAAACTTTGTATACAAATTGTCTCGCAACTAAATTTTTTCACATAAGTAGTCATTTGTCACTTGAATTGCCATATTGTCGCTATGTAGGCTAGCTTATGCTAATTTGGTGCCGACGTTGTTGATTTGTCAGCACCATATGGATCACAAGTAGATTATTATTTTTTTAAATATATATATATATACACTTAAATTATTTAGAAAAAAAAAAGAAAAAAATTTCACTTGTAGTCAGTGTGAGCCTACGTACTCAATGACAATATGGTGATTTTAGTGATGAATGACTATTTGCACGAAAAAAATAATAATAAAAAAATAATTGCAAAATAGAATTCTAAAATAATAATATAAGTCAGATGCAGAACTAAAAAAAACAGTTTATCGTTGAAATTAAAAATTGTTCTCTTACGTCGACAAAGCAGTCGTGGAACTGCATCCTCAGAAGGGCAGCTGCAATGGCGGAATCATTGTTCTTTTTCCAATCTGCGACGACATTTCCGACGATGGCTTCCACGTCGGCCAATAGGCACTTATTTTTGTAGAACCCGACTTGAAGATCTCTAGCGTCGCCACGGCACTGCCCGGCAAACGTCATTGCCAATGCCAATACGATCAAAGTTCGGATTATCATCGACGACGACGACGACAACATTTTTCGATATCCAAGAAATTGATCAAACTAATTAAGTATCCTTTGATTTATAGATTACGTTGGACGTAAGTATATTTGGATATATATATATATGTATGTATGTATATGTATGTGGAAAATAGGGTTCATCGTGTGCACGATTGATGTTTAGTTGGGAGACATTATTAACGTGCAGAGATGTAATGTAATGAAGAAAATCTTTACCTAACAACGTATCCATTTCAAAATAATATCAACAAAATTTGATTGAGACAAAATAATATTATTGTAACATATATCAATATGCATATATATACCTTATATTATAAATGGCTACATCAAAATTACATAAATACCCCTTCCTTATTATTTATTTTCATCGCTATCTATTGTGCTTGAAAATTACATAAATACCCCTTCCCTTATTATTTATTTTCATCTCTATATAATGTTCTAAAAATTTAATAGATATAATTATTTATTTTATTATAGTGGAGAATTATTTTACCCAACATTATTAAATTTATTAGTTCTATTATATAATGATATCACTGATGTGTTTGTTTTGGGATTTGAATTTTGAGTTGAGATTTGAATAATAAAAATTTTGAATTGAAATAGTTGTATGATGTGATATAAATATGTGTTGACTTAATGTTTTGAATGTAAAATTGATTTTTAGTATAATATAAAAAATAAAAGTTAAGTGTTTGATTTGATATTTTTGGAGAATTTCTTTTTTTTTTTTTTTTTATGAATAATGATTTTAGGGAAAATCTTCCAAACAAACACACTTACATTTATTTTATATAAAATAACTACATTTATTTTTATTAAAATTTATTTATTGTTTATTAGGTATAGGATTTCTATTTTGAAAAAGAAATTAAGAGGAAGAATAGTATTTTGTTTGTTTGTTTGTTTTTATTTTTGTTTTGTGTTTTTTTTTTTTTTTTATTTAACGAAATACAAAATGAAAGTAAGTAATGCCACTTTTTATAGTTCATTTTTATTTCTTTTGCTTTCCACCGTGTGATTATTAAAATAATAGATAATAGAGTAAAAGGAAAAAAAATAATTAGGTTAAATTATATGTAAAGAATAATATACATCTCGAAATACAATTATACTAATAATTTGCGTAAATTCTATATATTCTGAAATTAATCAATATATTTACTTACATTTCATCATACATATAAAATATAGAAAATATTTGTATATATTTTTCCGGAATGTTATGTCTATATTAATGTTTGGATAATATATTTATTTATATTTAATTATTAGTATTCTAAGAAAAATTAATTATATAAGATGCACATTAATATTAATTCTAAATTTTTATTTTCTAAATCTTAGGCGTGTTTACTAATTTTTTTATTAGTAACTATTTTTAATTTTAAAATATAATATTATTTTATTTACAAATTTGAATTTGCGTCTGCGGTAGAAACACCTAGTATATATATGTCTTCTTAATCACTAAATTTCATCTACGTCCTTTGTTAGTATGAGTATAATTACTTATTTTATTATAATTATTTTATTACAATCATAGCTTTTCAGAAATTAATTTTTTGAGTCCAAAAAATTATTTCAAAAAACTAATTCATCAAACACTTAAATTAGCTTTTTGACTGGTCAAACAGCTAAAAAATGTTCAATAAACTAAAAAGTTCTTCAAAAAAGCTATTTGCCAAACACCCACTTACCCTAAACTTAGGCCTAGTCTAAATTAACTTTTGGTTTCTACATTTAAGAAAATAACTTATATTTGGTTTTATTAATATTTGTCCAAAACTAAAAATATTTTCTAAAGGCACGTGTATGTTTGTTTGGGGGTTTGGATTTTGACTTAGAATTTAAATAGTAAAATTTTTGAATTGAAATGATGGTATGATGAGATATAAATGGATATTGATACAATATTTTAAAAATATAAAATTAATTTTTAATATAACATAAAAAATGAAAAATAAGTATTTAATTTGATATTTTAAAAAAAAAAATTGATGAATAGTAAAAATCTAAAAATAAATACCCCAAAAGAATACGGTTCCTTTAAAAAAATTAACAAAAAAATAAAAAATAAGTATTTGATTGACTTTTTTTGAGAAAAAAAAAATGAATAAATAATAGATTTTTGGCAAAATCCCTCAAACAAACACACCTAATGACTAATATTTTTATTTGAATTATTAATTTTTTTTATTAGTAAATAAAGAATATTCTATCTGTATGCGAGAACGTATACAATTACTTCTCTATTCGTCTTAATTTAAAGTGTATTGTTTTTTATTATTTTTCGTCTCTATTTCACTCAAAAGTATCTATTTCATATTTTGATAAAATTAATTATATATTAATACTAGAATATAATTAACTTTTACGTAAATTACAAATATACAACTACATCCGTCTACCACCAATCTATTCATTTACATTTGGCATAATTGTTTTTAATATTAAAAATATCCTTATATTTTATAGTACATTAGTATTATAAGACATTAATAGAAATATTTTTGTCATTTTTTTTATTTGTAATAAGTTTTGATATAATAATTAATATTAAAAAATTAACATGCAAAAAATAAATAGGTAGATTGGCTGTGGACAGGGTAATATTACACGTGCAATTACTTTATACATAAAATTAAAAAGTAAAATTATTCACTAACCAATAAAATATTATTCCCTCTGTCTTAAAACAATAGTTCTATTTTGTCAATTTCGTCTATCCCAAAACAATAGCCTCGTTTTTATTTTTGTAACAACCTCCATACATTTTACTACAAAACTATCTCAATTTTTTTACAATAATTACATAAAGTAGAAGTATTTTGGTTTTTCAAAAATACTTTTACACCAATTATTAGTATAATACTACTCCTCCCATCCCAAAACTATGGTTTTATTTGGGTTGGACATAAGATTTAAGAAATATTGATATTATATTGATAGTTGGTAAAATGTATGAGTAAAAACCTTTTTTGCCCATGCGAGTGTATTAGTGTAAAAAGTAATGACATTTGTGTAATAATAATAATAAAAAAGTAGGGATAATTTTATGGTGATACGAGTATTTATGAATATGAGACTATTCTTTTGAGACAGACAAAAATGGTAAACAAGACTAATATAATGGAACGGGGGGAGTATTATTTTTTAATTCTCGTGTTAATCCCAAATGTCCCTATTGTTTTGAACGAAGAGAGTATTATTTTTTAATTTGCTACAAAATTAAAAAAACGTAATTCATCAATAACCAACCGAGGGTGTACTAGTTTTTAGTTGCTTAAAATTAAAATAAATATAATTTTATTATTATTTTTTAATATAAATATGATAAATATGTAATAAATAAATGTTTTTATATTGAATAATAAAATCACACTTATTAAAAGGTGAATAGTTAAAGTTAAAATAAAGAGAATTTTATTATTATTTTTTAAAGTAAATATGATAAATATGTAATAAATAAAGATTTTTATATTGAATAATAAAATGACACTTATTAAAAAAAAGAAAAAAAACGCTAACAATGAGACAATATACATTATATATTTATATTTATATATATATACTAGTACTCGTGAAAGCGCGCTACGCCGATCCATTCGTTTGTTTGTTTCATTTTTTTTGTAAGGAAGAAGTTGTTATGTTGTGTATTTTAATCAACGAAAGAAAGATGAGAGAAAGAAATATATATTTTTATATCTGTGCAACCAACCAATTTAAAAAATATATATATTTCTTTGGATATGTTGATGTATTTTTTCAACAAACAAAAAGTAAAATCCGAAAATAGGAAATTATTTTCGAACTTGATATATTGAGCATCTGAGATTAGAAATCTCTAAACACTGTACGGTACAGAAAATTAACTGGAAATTAAAATGCTGAAAATTTAAATGATGATCCCCGAATCACTGAATTTGTCGTCGTTTGAAGTTGATTGAAGATGCCTTCTCCAGAAAAATCCAAATCCTTAAATATTCCTTGAAGAAAACGCTTGGAACCGTCGCCTGGTTGGTTTATAGCAACAACCGCCCACTAAATCCTCTTTTATTGACACGTGTCTTTAACCGTCCCGAAACTGCCTTTCGTTCGACCTGCACGCCTGCTGCTCCGTCTCTTCTCACCCGTCTTCCACTTGTCTGACCTCTGCATCAGTCATTCTTTCGCCCGACCTATGTGTCACCCGACCTGAGTGTCGCCCGACCTGAGTGCATATTCTTTCCTTCTTTGCCCGACTTTCATTCACCCAACTTCCTCTTTCGACCGATTTCCATAGCAGCCAACCTCCATGGCAGCCGACCTCCGTAGCAACCGACCTTGTTATCAGCCGACCTCGAACCACCCAACCGTAGACCAACCGATGGAGAACCAACCGACCTGCCTATCCGACCTGCTGACCAACCGCCCTGCCTATCCGACCTGCTGACCAACCGACCTGCCTATCCGACCTGCTGACCAACTGACTTCCTTTTGACCCTGCTACTATTACCTTATTATTATTATTATTATTATTATTATTATTATTATTATTATTATTATTATTTTTGTACGTAACAGGATAGTTTTTTTTATATTTTATAAAAAAATTATTCTCTACAAAATGATATATATACTGACTTGGTCGGATGACAAAGAGGAGAACGGTCCAGTAGGTAGTCGGTTGGGATAGAAATAGGAGAGAAAGAAATTTAATAAATTATATAAATATATATTTTTTATACCTGTGCAACCATCCAATTTAAAAAAAATATATTTTTTTTGGATAATTTTTTTTTCTATTTTATTAAAAAATTATTCTCTATAAAATGATATATATATTGAATTGGTTGGATGACAAAGAGGAGGAGAACCGTCCAGTAAGTACTCGGCTGAGATAGAAAGAGGAGAGAAAAAAATATAATAAATTATATAAATATTGTTGAGTAAGAAAAAACCAATGTGCAGGGTTATCAAGAATGGGACTAGAAAGTATAAAAAGACTTATGGGTGTGGTCGGGCGAGTGGACCTGATAAACTTTGACAGCAGCCGAACTGTCGAGACAAAAATTGCTGCTGATAGTTGAAAGTATAAAAAGACTTATGGTTTTTCTTGTCAAACTTGGGACTAGAAAAAAGAGATCGTGGTTTAAGGGCTGAGTCCCAGGAATGAGGATAGGTCGGGTGAGGCAAAGGGTCTGGATAAGAATCGGGGTAATTGGATTCCGAATAAGGCCAAAAAAGTTCAGTAAGATACTGAATGTAAGTCTCATAGACAAAAAATTTTGAGTTACTGCGGTCGTCTGAGAGAATAGCCGCAATTACAGGGTCAGAAGGGTGAAGAGTGGAAGAGTTAGGGGTTAGCTGAGCAAGGGCCAACCCAAGAGATCTATGGGCGTTCGGGGTTATGGGCAGCCGACCAAAAAATGCTTTCGGAAAGTAAAGTCTCAACCAAAGCTCAAAAAACCAAAAAGAGCCAGAGGCAGCTGTGTCCGCCCTCTTGGTGTCTAGAAGGCGGCCGCTGACTCTGGATAAGCCCTCATACAAATTGGCCAAAAAGAGGGTCCCTAAAGAAAAGAAGCGACCACTGGCTAGGTGGATGGCTAAGTCTACTTGCGAGGTCAAAATTGATTTGGAGGGAGAAATAATTATATATCTGAAAAAAGGAGTACAGAAGATGGTTCAAAATACAAACAAATATACAAAATGGATTAGATGGAGGAAATTATATACTTGCATAGCCAAAAAAGCAGAAAGGCGGTGTGCTCCAAGGCAGTTACTGTAGAGACCTCTGTACCCTGGAAGCGGAGGACAAAGTTGGTCCAGCTGCGTTCCTTCTCAGGTGTGCGAGCGAGCGACCAGCCTTCATGGTCGGGCGCTGGTTCTTGCCCATCCAGCGACCCAAAGACAGGATCGTCACCAACCACGGGGATGTGGGCGATCATAGCCACATCCATCAGGGTTGGGCCAATTGGGCCAGTTGGGAGAAGGAAAATGCCCAGTTGGGCATTCCAAAAGGCCGCTATAGCTAAAAGGACTTTGTCGTGATGGTACAGGGGCTGAGTGGCGAGGAAGATGGCCTTATCAATCCCTTTCCGTCGCCATTGTTCATAAAAAAACAGGAGATAGCCTAGAATACCAGGAACGAAAGGCATCTTTGGGATCGGTAAGATGTGTTTTGATATGATTGTTAATGCGTTCAGGTTTGAAATCAGGGCTGTTAATGGCTAAGGGGGTTACAGAAAGATGATACTCTTCATTCGAAAAGCATCCTCGGAAGATGTACAATAGGGACGAAGAGTGGGAGTAAGAATAGAAGAAGAAACAAAAGGGATTTCTGGAGCGGAGCCATCAAAAGGTAGAGCTGGGACGTACTGGTTAGCCATGGTTGAAAGGAGCAAAGCGAGAAAGGGAGAAGATAAAGTATTTGATTGCAAAAGGAGGAAAGTAATTAGAAAGCGTAAGGAAGAAGATGAAGACGAAGGGGTTTTAAGTAGGATTTTTCTGCAAAACCCCCTGATTAGACAAACTTAATGATGAACACACTGCCCGATCACATCACATCTCATATTGATCGAGAAGTGACGGCAGGGAAGAGGCAAATTGTTAAATATTTTAGGATTTTTTTGGGCTTGTGGTTAGAATTTAACGAGTTGGGCCCACAAATAAAACCTACGAGAGGAAAGTGGGCTTTTAGGGGCTCATTTAAGAGAAAGGTCTGTTAATCGGTCGCTTGGTTAAGCGACCTGTCAATAAGCCTGCTTGGCCAGTCCTTTGTCAGACAGTAGTTTAGTCGCTTGAAGAGATTGGATGGTGGTCGCTTTATTGGACGACCAATGAATCGTTTGGACGAATGGTTGTTCGGCCGTTTTAAAGGACCGGATGGTGGTCGCCTGATTGGGCGATCAATGAATCGTCTGAACAACTGGTTGTTCAGCCGAGTGAAAGGACTAGATGGTGATCGCTTGATTGGGCGACCAATGAATCGTCTGGACGAATGGTTGTTCGGCCGTTTGAAGGGACCGTACGGTGGTCGCTTGTTTAGGCGACCAATGAATCATTTGGACGAATGGTTGTTCAGCCGATTTCAGGGGATGGATGGTGGACAAATAAAATAATTTATATGTAATAATTAATAATAATTATTTTAAATTTAAAAAATAAAAATATAATTTAATAAATTAAATATATTAAAAATAATTAATAAATACTGTTATAACAATATATTTATATGTATAAAATAAATAATTAAGTTTTAAGGATAAATAAGGAATAATCAAAATTAAAATAAAAAATTAAAATAACCAAATGAGGGGAGGGGAGGGGAGGCGAAGAGAGGGGAAAAAATATTAAAATTGTAATAGTGTGTTTGGTTCATATGGGAGGGAAGGGAGGCAAGACGAGGGAAAATAGTATTTTTGTGGTTGATTAAACAGGGGAGGGAAAAGAAAATATAATTAATAATTTTACTGTTTTACCCTTGTGTTATATAAATAAAAAAATAAAAATATTTAATAAAATTCGATTAATTTATTTATAACATGTGATACAAAACTTATTTGTGTAATATAATAAAAACAATAATTACATTATTACGTATTGAAATAATCAAATACTTTATACATTAGTTATTTATTAAATTTACCAATAAAGATAAACAATAATTTTAGCGTATAAATAATAACATTATAACAAAAATTATATAAACTAATTATATTATAAAAATATTTTATATTTTATAAATTTTTAATATTAATTAAACTATTTAGTTATCTTAATTTTAATCTATAATTATTTTTACTATACAATAATTATTTTTATTGGTACACTTCTTAATTAATTACTAATTATATTTTATCTAAATTCTCGTATTTACAGTAATATAGTCGTATTACATGATACAAAAGAAGTAAAATATTAGTATTGTAGATATAATTATATGCTAATTTATAATTTATTAAAAAATTGTTATAATTAAACTTGATTAAAAAAATCAATTAAAATTATTTCAAAATATATAATATAATTTTAATATTTATTTGATATAATTATTATGTTATAAAATTTTTAATAAAATATTTAAAAAATATAATAGGTAATTAGATAAAATAAAATTTTGATGAAATGTCTCCCCTCCAAATTCCAGCAAAAAAAATTAAAAAAAATTGACTCCCCGTCCCCTTTAAATATTTTTGAACCAAACACAATTTTTTTATAATTCTCTCCTCTTCCCTCCTAAACCCTCAAACCAAACCAAACAGACCCTAAAGAACCCCTCCATTTCGTTCTATACCGCCTCCCCACCACACTGCAAGCTGTCCTGTGCTGGCGGCGGCGCCTTCCCCCTATTCTCATCGGTAACTCATAATTGTTCTCCCTGCTCTTGCTATTGATGTTTGTCATTGACTACTTGTGGTTAATTTCTTCAATTTCGCCTGCTCCAGTTTCGTTTTGCAATTGCTGGTGAATTATAGTCCCTTGTGTTGGGGAAAATGTTTGGGGGTATTATTGGGTTGTGTTCGTGCAGGGAAAACATCAGGAAAAAAAAAAGTAGATTAAATTTTGCCTGTGTTTTTGGCTGTTTGACGTTTGGAAGTTTTCCGATCTGTTCTGTGGGAGCGATGCGATTTATTTTGCAACAGTGGTCTTCTACTTTTGTTTAGGATAATGCGATGCATTTACGCCCAAATAGCAAAACCCGTTGAACCCTAAATCCCTTTTTCGACGTCGTTTCTGCTTCTTACTCCCATCATTTTTATTTTTATTTTGTTTCTGTTTCATTTGTTTCGTTTCTCTCGCGGCTTCCATCTATCGACAGTTTTCATCACCGGCTCTCCTTGTAGAGGGATGTTAGTTTGGCTGTCGGTTCTTCAAAGCCTGGATAAGTTTGCAATGAAGAGAACTCATTTGGTTCTTGTTTGGGTTTGAATAAAAAAAGAAAAGTTCTTCATTCTGTTTAGTTCAGGTATACATATAAGATTGTAACTGAAGAAAATATAAATGGTTCTTGTTCGTATAATGAAAAAAAAAAAAAAGAAAACTGTGAAGGTACACAATTTAGCCCCTGAATTTCTGTACAGTTGCTTTTATCAAATTTGTTGTTCTTTAACTGATGAATTACTCCCTTCGGTCGTCCGATCATCCGGCTATTCTCTCTCATATGCATCTGAAAAGATTTAAAATAGCTATTAGTATATATGTATAGGAAACAATAAAATAATATTAAAATCACTTACATTAGATTTGAAATTGGGGTCGAAGGCCTTTGCGTTCCCTCGTCTCCACATAATCTTTACCTACAAATTAAAAACACTTAAAAATAAATTATTATAAAATATAGCAACAAAATTAATACATGCAAGTCCCGAATCATAAAAGCAAATCTCCTTGTTTCAAACGTATCCTTAATTTTTACTGATGGGATTGACAACCAGCATAAACTGTTTGTGAAAATGCCCCCGAGAAAAGAATATGCTTTTCAAGATTCTACAAAACTCTATCAATCTGGAAAATGATGGATAGGATTGGCCACGTGGTTAATTTTGTCGTATTCACAGGCCAAAGTCATCATCGTCATCGTCCAATAAATTTCAAAAGATTTTCAGTTGACAGTGGATAACCAGAAAAAATACAGTTACAGACAAGATTGTAATTGTGTCTTCATAAAGTCGACGACAGTGTCGGTTAAAGATGAAGAAAGAAGAAGAAAAGAAACAATCACCGTTCCGTCATAGAGTTCGCGCGGCTCAAATTTCCGACGGCGGCGACGGCGACAATGTTGTCCGCTTTCGTCGGAGGCGGCGAGCCGCCAATTTTGGATTCCGATTTTTCCAGAAACGGGGCTTCGGAGGAGGACCCCGTCCCGTCGGATTCTTCTTCGGTGGAAGTCGAGTAGCTGAGATAATCCTTGGCGTCGGGATCCTCCGCCGCAAAAGGCGGCGGCGGTGTGTCGTCGTTCGATTCCGAGGCGGCGTTCCCGTCCAGCTCGCCGATGCTCGGGTGCCCATTGTCGTCGGACGGCTCCATGTTGGGAACCGAAGCTTGTTCCAAAACGGGATCCTGTCGCTCTCGGAGAGTTTTCTCGATCAAAGTCTTGAGGAAGTTCATCACTTGCACGGCGTACATCAGCGCTGTCAACGGATCGTCCATCTGCCGATTAAAAAAAAAACGAACGACGAATCGTGTTAGCTCTAGAGTTTCGTCGTAAAGGCGCGCGACGAGGAGTAGAGTCACCTGTGTCATGTTGGGGGCGAAAACCATGGCGATGTTGCGCGAGTTCATCTTGTTGTAATGTTCCTCTTGGACGACATCGGCCATTAGATTGACAGCCCAGTCCAAGAGAGCGGCCTCGGTCGCCGGCAGGAGTCGTACGAGAGCGTCGCAGTCGTCTTCCGACTGGCACTGCATCACCTGCTCGGAAGAAAGGGAGTCGAGCACGCCTCTCGGGAGTTCTCGGAACCAAGCCTACATCGATCGAATGATGTCGATAAAACACACACAATGTAACAAAATTGAGAAAATCAAGATAAAAACGCACAAACGAAAGACGATAATTTGGTGACCCAGTTCGGTGAACCTATATTTGGGGGCGACGCCAAGCTAATTTTCGGAGAAAGTACAAGTAACGATCAAAACCCTAGCAGCCAAAAAAAGAACCTATACGGACGAGCCTAAAAATATTTATCGAGGGCTTGTAAAATTAAAAAAAATATAAATATCGAGGACGAACAAATTTGTTGGCATAAATCGAATTTCACAATATTCTATCAATTCTACTTTGCCCTAAAGAATTTACTCAAAGTAATAACGAGCCGCAGAAAAAGATCGAGTATTTACTTACCTTGATCAGCCCGGCCAAGCAATGCACATCTATGCCTTCAGGAACGACGCCTCTGTTTAATTGCTCCCGGACGAACTCATCCTGGCTATTGCCGGCAGTAATTCTGAATATTCCTTCTGCCTGCAATGCGAAAGCATTTGTAACCGAATGTGATAAGAACGAAATCGACCAAATCACTTGTGAATAGTGCGCCAAACGATTTTTTTTTTTCGAGCATCAGAGAAATACAATCGCGCTCACCTGCAGGCCGTCTTGTGAATACAAGTGCCTCTGCAAAAGAAGAAGGATAGTCGGAATGCTATTGCCGCGCGCGTCGTACGACATCTGCATGGATTCTGTGGAGACTCCAAAAACAGTGGCACTGTCGACGGATTGCCAGAAGAAAATACATATTTAGCGTAAAAAAAAGTTAGAATTTTGGTGGACGGATTTCGGTTAAGCTCCTTGGCAATAACCTAAGTTAATTAAGCTAATGGATAAAAGTTTCATTAGGACAAGATAAAGATATCGACGCATAAAGAAGAGTAACATATGTCGGAAGAAATCTTAGCAAGAACTTGTTTAATATTAAACCATTAACTAAAATGAGGATCCATTAGATTAGTTCGAATCTGTTCCTTAGTGATCAATCCAAAACGAGCATTAGTTCATTAAAACAATCTTTGCCTAAAATCCTTCCTCCGAATCTCCAAGTACAAAGAGAGCAGAGCATCGACGACACCATGTATTGAAGCAAAAAAGTTCTATTAATCGAAAATCAAAATGGACTAAATTAATTCCAAACCCCGTCACATATGCTTGAATTAGAACAGTTCTACTTAGTGAAAATAAAACAAACATTGGAAAATCATATTTTTAAGATCTCGTTTTAATCTTGTACCGTTGATTGATTTTGTTTTCATTTCAAAAATATCGATTCAAACACTTATTTTAATGGACATTAGAATCACCAACAACTTGAAATAAATCCCCAAAAGCAATCTAGCATTGGAAACATTGTGTTTTTAAGGTCTCGTTTCGATCTTGCATTGTTCATCAAATTTTTTCCATTAAGAAACGTCAAATCGAACACCTATTTTAATGAACATAAAGAAACAACTCTGAAGCTACAAAACCCCAAATGTAAGAAATCAAACAAACAAGGAAACCACATAAAGGAAACCCCAAGAACACCTCAAAGAAGGACGATGTTCTAAGGTCTTGCATTGTTCATAGAAAACGATCAAATCCAATTTCAATTCAAAATCTCGATTAAACCCTAGATGCCAATTTGCATCAATTAGCAAATTCTTCACTCCATTTAACCCAATTCACAACAAATTAAACAACAAACACTCAAGAACAAACAAACAAACAAGAACATAATCGAATGAGAGAATTAGGAGAATTAAATCGAATCAAATTAAGAAAAGCATAATCTGTAACATTACCTAGCACTGGGAGGTCTTCTCGGAACCTCAGGCTCAAACTCGACTGGCAATCCCAAAAACCCATCGAACCTATCAAAGGTCACGTGATTCACGTGCTGCACATCGGTAGGCCATCCAATTTCCATAGCCCCGGCGGCGGCGGCGGAGAAAGCGTCGGAACCGTCGCTGGCCTTACAAGCGGAGGACCAAAAGGTCTTCCTAAAGAGAGTGAGCAAAAGTGCGAGAAGCGAGAGCTGATCCCGACTTCTCCTGTCGCTCTCCCTTTTCTCTTCCTCCCTAACCCTATCGTCATCATCATCGTCGTCGTTGTCTTCGGCCACGTCACCGTACGACTGAGTCGAGTGGAACAACGTGGCATTGTGGGTGGGGGAAGATGACGAAGAGTGGGAATGGAGCACCTCTGTCATTTCTTTTCTTTATTTTTCTTCCCCCAAATTGAAATTGAACGAATCAATGGAATCGAATCGAATTGGGGGTTTCTTTTTGAATTTTTTATTGATTCTTGGTTTTGGGGGATTGGGGGAGGAAATGAAATCTGAAAATTGAAATTGTGAATAGGATGAGTGGAGGAGGAAACAGGACGACGTGGGGATCATGAATGAATGAAGTAAAGAGTGGTAGGAACAACTCCAGTGACTTGATTATTCAGAGATTTATTTATTGTTATTAATTGTGGTGGCTGGATTTGCAGATATTATCTATCATCATTATATATATGAATTTGCGTGGGGAAGTGCAGGGAAGGGAAAGGTATCTGTGAACAAAAGACAGAGAGAGAGAGAGAGAGAGAGGGGGGGGGGGGGGGGGGGGGGGGTGGTTATCATATGGGTTTTTGCATTAAATGATCATTTTTGTGAGTTGAATCTCGTTAAGAATTGGTTATTGGGGGAATAGTACGGTTGGCAATAATTAATCCGAACTTGTTCTGAAATAGTTGGATTTGGGTTGAAATTTTCGACCAAATTAATAAACTCAATTAATAATTTGGTCAAATTCGTTTAAATCATTTAATTAAATGGGTCAAATTAAGATTTACATTTTCGATTTGAAAATAACAAATCTAACATGTTTAATTAATATTATTTTAAATTTAAATATATTTTTTAAATTTTATCAATACAATTCAATATTTATGGCTAATTTTATAAAAATAAACAATAAAAAATAAAAGATTGTGTTGTGTACTATTATGTAATGTTTTGTTAATTCAATTCTTGAATATTGATTTCATGATATGAATAAATAATCTTTTACTTTAATATGTATATATATTATGCATTTGAAAAATTTTGTTAGTATAAATTGTAATTTTAAATTAAAATTTAAAAATTTTAGATTTAAACCGATTATATGAGTCAGGTTCAGGTTGACTTGATTAATAAAAAATCATGTTAAGGTTGCAAATATCAACCCATTTAATTAAATAGATCAGGTCAAGGGTTTTGTAACCCATTTAAACTGACCCGATTCCGACCCCGACCCGACCCGATTCGTTTGTCAGCCCTAGTGAATTGCTCCAATGGTCCCGGTAGATCTCCGATTCATTTTTTTGTGGTTTGGATCTGATACCAATTAGGCATTGTATTGTATATCCTAATTTTTGAAAAAATAATTATATACTTTAATATATATTACAGAGTTAATTATTTTTTATTTATACAATATTAGAGTATATATATGAGACATCAAAAAGGAAAAATATAGTACAATATATGGGATGGAGAAATTAGTTACTACAAAACTTACAAATAAAATTTTAGAATAATGCGAATTTTATACAAATATCTAAACATAAAATAAGAAACATTTCAGCCTCCAATTCTAGGGATACCAATGGTTGGTCCAACCGGACCCTACACTTTATCAAAATACCTATTACTGGACATATGATCCAATTCGGGGTTATACTGGATCTGATCGGAATTATATTCGATGAGATGTGATGAATTTGTTAAATTCACTTTTTTTCTTTTTCTTTTTTTTTTTTAAAAAAAAATTTAATTTAAAATAAATTCGAATTTAGACTCGAATATGACATATATTAAAATGTATATTTCATCGTTCTTACTCCAAAGTATCAATTTGAGTAAAAGTAATTATTCATCAATACCAAAATATTATTAACTTTTACCGCAATTACAAACATACCAACACAATTATTTTTTACACAAAATTAAAATTAAGAATATCATAATCTCTTACGCTCTCAGTAATTAATAAAATACTACAATATTATTTTTTAATTTATTACAAAACTCCAAAAACTCATTTGAACCGGGAAAGAAAAAGTATTTTTTTATTAAAAATACTATAATAAAATAATAACAAATTAAACTCAAAAAATCATTTTAATTTATTAAAAATTATATATATAATTGATATATTATTAATATATTCCTTCCGTCCCACATTAGAAGTCTTGGTTACTGTAGACACAAAAATTTAGAATAAGTATAATTAGTATATAATTAATAATATATCAGTAAAAATAATTAACATATAATATAAATTGTTATAGATTAAAATAATTAATTAGTTTAATTGAAATTAAAAAAAATTAAATTAAATTAAAAAAATGCGTAGTCATTTTAAAAAAAAAAGTGACATGAGATGTGAGACGAACATAATCAACCACGTAAACTAAGAGAGTATTAATTAAATCCTACTCTAATACTCCCTACCAAGAATATTCTTGCACTAAAAAAACCCACAAAAACGAATCAAGAAGCAGTAGGCGCATAGGATAATATAATATATTTTCATCATATTTTTATTATTTGATATTATTTATTTTTTAAAAAATATCATATCAAATATATATTTTTTTTACAAGACATCAATTCAAAATATTAAATTCTTTTTTTTCAAACTTTCAAATTTTCAAAAACTTCCAAAGTCAAGGTGTAATAAATTTGATGGGCTATAATATAGACAGGGTTGAATTTATTGGGTTGTTGCAGTTGGTACTAAGTGTGTGTTTGTTTGGGGATTGAATTTTAAATATACTATATTTTTTTTTTTTCAAAAAGTTCGAATTAAATACTTATATTTTATTTTTTATATTATATTAAAAAACAGTTTTACATTCAAAACACCACATCAACACCTATTTATATCACATCATACAACTATTTAAATTCAAAATTTTTACTAAATAAATTCCAACTCAAAATCTAAACCCTAAAACAAACACAACCTTAAGTGAGCTGATGATAGAGGATTCTCGTGTATTTCAGTTTCTACTAATTTACTATAGGTTTTATGGAATTTTATAGGTTTTCAATAAATTTTAAAAATACTAATACTTTCCTCATCAATCTAATGTCCTACTAATTAGGTTTTCAATAGTAGATTAATAAATAATATTATTTTATTAATTAATAAAAATAGATAAGAGATTTTAGTGTGTTTGACAAACAGTTTTTTCAAGTATTTTTAACTTATTTAATCACTTTTAATTGTTTGAGCAGTCAGAAAACTATTTTAAGTATTTGGTAAATTAGTTTTTTTAAATAGCTTATTATCCTCAAGAAGCTAATTTCTAAAAAATTATATAACCCAACATTTTGGAAAAGTTTTTTAACTTCAATTTTTTATTTATTCCTTATTTGCCTTTAAAATGTTACTCCTTCCGTCTCAAAACTATAGTTTAGGTTATGTTTGACACGAGATTTAAAAAATATTGATATTATATTGATAGTGGGTTTAAAGTACGGGTAAAAGACTTTTTTGCCTATGTGAGTGTATTAGTGTAAAAATTAGTGGCAATTGTGTAATAATAATGAAAAAAGAAAGGGTAATTTTATAATGATATGGTTATTTATGGAAATTAGACTATTGTTTTGGAACGGACAAAAATGGTAAACATGACTATTGTATTGGGACGAAGGAAATATTATATATTAAAATTAAATAATAAAATAGACTAAATTTATTAAAAATCATAAATATAATAAATTAACAAATTAATTAATTATTAATAATAAATATATATACAAAAAATTTATTATTTATTTTTTACATCATTTTTAATAAAAAATATTCATATTTCTTAATATAAACATATACTATTATTTTTCTCACATCTAAAAGTAATAAAAAAATATTTTATAAAACATTCGTAATTTTAAATAACTAATAACAAAAATTTTTAAAACTAAAAAAATACAAAAATTTTTTAAAATTTAAAATATAAATGTTTTCAATTGTCATTTTATATATTACAAAACATTTTAATACAAACAGCTAAATGAATCAGCTAGTCAAACCGGCTAATTGAATCAGCTAGTCAAACCAGCTAATTGAATCAGCTAAACACTAACGGCTAATTGAATCAGCTAACAAGTAAAATGTATCAGCTGACTGTCAAACACATCCTAATTATTTCAACGTGTCAGCTTGTTATATGTTAGCTGATTCAATCAGCTGATTTGACTAACTGATTCGATTAGCGATTTGTATTAAAATATTTGGTAAAATAATTGTTTGATACCAACTGTTTACACGTAAAATAATAATTGATGACATTTTTTTTTCTAATATATTTAATTATGTTATTTTGAGTTTAGAATGTTTGAAATTTTTTATTATTAGTTATTAAAAATTGTAAAAACGTTATAAAATAGTATTTATTTTTATTATAGTTATATTTAAAAAATAATATATTTTATTGAAAAATTATAAATATTTTTTTTATTGAAAATGATGTAAAATATAAAATAATAAATATTTCGTGTATATATTTATTATGTTAAGTGTCGATCAGTTCATTGAAAATATTTACTTAATTTATATTTAGTATAAAATTTATATAATGTAATTTTAATATAAAAATAAATTATTAATATTTATATTTTCTATTTTGTGTTAATATTAATAAATTTATATATTTTATAATTAAAGTAATTTATATATATACATTAATTCTTTTAAATTTATAAAAAATCATAATATAATATAATAAAATATTCTAATATAATTAATAAATAATCAAAATATATTTATTTATGTAAAATGAATAATAATTTTTTAAGGACAAATAAAGAATTAAAAAATTTAAATTGAAAAAATTATTTCAAATAGTTGGGCAAATTAGTTTTTTAAAAATTAATTTTTTTCGATCCAAAAATTATTTCAAAAAATTAATTTACCAAACATCTAAATTAATTGTTTGATTCAATATTTTAGCTTTTTGCCAAACACCTAATATTAATTAATTACATGTGGATAATGATATATTGTATTTTTATATTAACTAGCATTACTATTTAAAATAGATACTTTTGAAATAAAATAAAAAAAAACTTTAAATTAATATTAGGAGAATATATTTATATGATATATTTTATTTTGTCATAGTATTTATTAAGGATAGTATCTAACAAAAAATAATTCTCCCGTCCTACATACTATGTCCACGTTGTCGTTTCTTTCTATCCACAATTCAGGTTATTTTCTTATGATTAATTAATTATTGTAATCTTAATTTATAATTATTTATATTATAAATAATTATTTTTACTAATATATTATTAATTATCTATTAATTATATCATTTCTAAAATATCTTGTCAGAGAAACTGTAGGTGGGACAAAGAGAGTATTAGATAAAATAAAAAAAACCCTCGGTAGAAATTAGGGTTTAAAAAAGAGTGAAAACAATAAGCAAAGCTTATTGACTTCTACAGTAATCTAGACTTCATATACATCCCTCGTCCCGACGCTTCAACGCCTAAAGAACCCCTCCATTCGTTCTATACCGCCTCCCCACACTGCAAGCTGTCCTGTGCTGGCGGCGGCGCCTTTCCCCCTATTCTCATCGGTAAGTCATAATTGTTCTCCTGCTCTTGCTATTGATGTTTGTCATTGACTACTTGTGGTTAATTTCTTCAATTTCGCCTGCTCCAGTTTCGTTTTGCAATTGCTGGTAAAATATAGTCCCTTGTGTTGGGGAAAATGTTTGGGGGTATTTTTGGGTTGTGTTCGTGCAGGGAAAACATCAGGAAAAAAAAGTAGATTAAATTTTGCCTGTGTTTTTGGCTGTTTGACGTTTGGAAGTTTTCCGATCTGTTCTGTGGGAGCGATGCGATTTTTTTTGCAACAGTGGTCTTCTACTTTTGTTTAGGATAATGCGATGCATTTACGCCCAAATAGCAAAACCCGTTGAACCCTAAATCCCTTTAACGCGTCGTTTATGCTTCTTACTCCCATCATTTTTATTTTTATTTTGTTTCTATTTCATTTGTTTTGTTTCGTCTCTCTCTCGGCTTCCATCTATCTTCGTTTCCGACAGTTTTCATCACCGGCTCCCCTTGTAGAGGGATGTTAGTTTGGCTGTCGGTTCTTCAAAGCCTGGATAAGTTTGCAATGAAGAGAACTCATTTGGTTCTTGTTTGGGTTTGAATAAAAAATGAAAAGTTCTTCATTCTGTTTAGTTCAGGTATACATATAAGATTGTAACTGAAGAAAATATAAATGGTTCTTGTTCGTATAATGAAAAAAAAAAAAAGAAAACAGTGAAGGTACACAATTTAGCTCCTGAATTTCTGTACGGTTGCTTTTATCAAATTTGTTGTTCTTTATCATTGGGATTTTCCACTTGAAATGGAATTGCCACTGTCCTTTGGCATCTTTTGGGGCTGTTTCAATGCAGTCGGTCCATGTTCTTGGCTGGGAGTAGGAAAAATGGTCAATGGCAATAGTTGTCATCTTCTGTGCATTCCATATGTAGCTCTTAGTATGTGAATATTCATCTGAGTCATGGTTAGCGTGATTTGCAGCTGATTTTTGCTTCATTCCTGCTGAAATGCGAATTTTAAATGGTACATGTTGAATTAGCTGTTTCTGCCTCTACCAAGCACTGTGTTCTACTTGTGCATGGTTTTTTCTTCCTTTACAACTTTCAGAAATATTAATGCATAATCAAGACATACCTCATGTTGTCTGCCTGTTTATTTTAACTTTTTTGTGTTTTTTATTTATTTTTGTTACTTCTTTTATGATTTCTATTGATTTGATATCACGTGAAGTTTTACAGTTCTGGGTTCTATATTGTATTTACATGCATGCTTCGTCTGAGGTTGCAGAATTTGAATAACATGTTATATGCAGCATTCTTAGTGATTTACTCATGGCTCATGCCTCTTATATTGAACACATTAGGTCTTGCTTTGTGGGTTTCGGTATATTCATTGCTATGGCTGGTAAGGATGGCAAGTCCACTGATGCCAAGACTTCTTCTTCCAGTGAGTGCTGTGAATTATCAATTTTTTTCAAGCATAGACTACTCTAGTTATCTTTGACTGTAATAGTTCTTATGCAAACAAGTACTTATCTAACATCCCATGATTCAATTACAGAGGGAAAGAAGAAGGAAGTCAAAAAGGAGACAGGCCTAGGTCTTTCATATAAGAAAGATGAGAACTTTGGGGATTGGTACTCTGAGGTATGAATACATCACATGCATCTCTCTTTTTATTATCGTATATTACATTCTCAAATAACTTGGGAAGATAGATAATCATATTAGAGAGGCAGCAAACTTAAACATCAAGGCACATATAACCCACGCAACATAGATGTTTTTTTGTATATATCAGTCATATGGTGGCTGAAATAATGCTAGTCATTCGTCTTTTATGGCATGACTATAAACAATTTTAATCTTACACGCTCATATCTTGAGGGTTGGAAGAATTTGTACCTGTAGCAATTTTCAAGAGGCTTCACCAATGTGCTTTTTATTGTGAACAGGTTGTTGTTAGTGGGGAAATGATTGAGTACTATGACATATCTGGCTGTTACATTCTGCGACCATGGGCAATGTCTATTTGGGAGAATATGCAAGTAAGTCTTCTTCTTATCTTCTCTAGAAATTCAATTGACACTGTAGTATTAAGCTTTTACTTATCCACCATTACTATATCTATGAAAGTTGTCTTGCTCGAGCTTTCACTTGCTTTCCTGTAAAATTTAAGTGAAAGTCTTTTTGCATAGTAACTGATGAAAGTTTATCAGAGAAGTAGCTTTTAAGTCATTATGTGATACATGAGAAAGCCTGATAGCTGTTATATTACTCTGGAAAACCTCAGTCATTAATGATTTCCAAAAATTTTATTATTATTATTATTGTAATTATTATTTTAATTGGTTCTTTGTGCTCTGGACAAGATTTTGAAAATTTGAGTTAGTGATTTCAGTTTTATGGCAGTTACATGATCAGTAAATTGTTGTGTTACAGAAAGTATACTTTAAATACATTTTCTCTTTTGTTTGCTTGTCCTTCTTCAAATATTTTCATTTGTTATGCCTTGTGGTTAACTTTGTGGCAATTTAATTTGCAGACCTTCTTTGATGCTGAGATCAAGAAAATGAAAATAAAAAACTGCTACTTTCCCCTGTTTGTATCCTCAAATGTCCTACAGAAGGAGAAAGACCATATAGAGGGGTTTGCGCCCGAGGTAAATACTTTTATTTTTGCTCCTGTTCGGGAACTAGCACTTTTCTTATTCTGATGTATACTTTGAAGTTTGTTGAAAAAGAGTAGCATTGATGTGAAGTTTATATTTATCAAAACAATTTTAGTGAGATCATACATATATATATGTTTTCATTCTCTTCTTTGACTCATGTTTATTATTCGTGCTTGTTTTTGCAACCACTCGACTGGCACTTCAGTTGATGATGTTGCAATCAATTAATACTAACTTTTATCATGACTTCTGGTGCTATTCAGCAGACAACTGAAACACATAATATAGTCTTGTATGCTGATCTTGTGGGCTTGACAGGCATGTCATCAATGTCTAACTGTTAGTTCACCCTTTGAAGGTTGCATGGGTAACAAAATCTGGAGAGTCTGACCTGGAGAATCCTATTGCAATCCGTCCAACTAGTGAAACTGTTATGTATCCATATTTTTCCAAATGGATTAGGGGGCACCGAGACTTGCCTCTGAGGCTTAATCAGTGGTGTAATGTTGTGAGATGGGAATTCAGCAACCCCACCCCATTTATTAGGTACTTATAGTCTCGTCATCTTGAAAAGTTCTTTTCTATTAATTTCTAGACTCTATATCACCCTTCTCCATGTTGGTCAAGCAGATATATATATATATATATATAGAATATTCATGAAATTAGTCTTAATGGTTCAACTTTTTGAAATCGGTATTTGGTGGAAAGAAATAAAGTCGATTGAGAGCCTTGTTCTACTTTGTAGTTGATGTCTAGTGATTTTGCAGGAGTCGTGAATTTCTTTGGCAAGAAGGACATACTGCTTTTGCAACCAAGGAAGAGGCAGACGCTGAGGTATTTTCTTGCTAGCCTATTTATACCCTTTGTATACATGATCATGCACTTCTCTTTCTTTCTTTCTTACCTCTTTTTTATTTTTTTTGGTTGTGTGTGTTTGAAAGCATTATCATAGTACTCAGAATCTGCCATTCAGGATTAAGTTCTGAAAGTTTTTACTGTTTTTATATATGACTGCACTGTTACATCTAGAAATATTTCATTAACAGAGGTGGTGTAGTTCATTGTCGTACTATCAATCATTTTGTCCAATTCTTTTCAGGTGCTTGACATTTTGGAACTCTATAGACGCATATATGAAGAATTCTTGGCTGTTCCAGTTATTAAGGGGAAAAAAAGTGAGCATGAGAAGTTTGCTGGGGGACTGTATACAACCACCGTTGAGGTTACAATACTATTAAATTATACAATATTACTCTTCTGGGATAGTCTGTGCAAACTATCCCTGAAGGGAGCCGTTCTTTGTAATTTATTTATAGAATTGCTCTGTGGCAGGCTTTTGTTCCAAACACCGGGCGTGGTGTGCAAGGTGCAACTTCACATTGTTTGGGTCAGAATTTTGCTAAAATGTTTGAGATAAATTTTGAGAATGAGAAAGGAGAAAGGGCTATGGTCTGGCAGAATTCATGGGCGTATACTACAAGAACGGTGATTACTCTCTTTGTTATTACTCTTTCTAGGCACTCAGGTATCCATGCAAAATAATGTCGTGTGGTTGAAATCAAATACTTTCTGTTTCACCCTTCTCTGATTTAGATTTACATTGTGTCCAAAATATGAATTTTACTGTCCATTTACTCTCCCCAAAACATGGATCCCATGTTTTTTAGGAAAAGGTACTGAAAGGTTAGAAATACTGACCGGGTTTTCTGTGGATATTTATTTAATTATGCATCTGCTGTCAATTTGAACTTAAAATTTATGCGATGGAATTAACATTGAAATCTGGGTTCAATAATACAATGCAGCCTAAAATTTTTGTTTGCTAATTAGGATTGTGCTTCCTCAATTTTTTCTACTGTAACTTTCTCAACACATCCACTATGTTTTCATGTGTATACATTATATTATATATACCTCTCTCCAGTAACTTTGTTTTATTTGGATTTTCATTACCTGTTTGTGACAATATCTTATGTATGTTACTCTATATTAAATTTCTGGCAGATTGGGGTAATGGTGATGGTACATGGGGATGACAAGGGTTTGGTGCTGCCTCCCAAAGTGGCATCTCTGCAAGTAATTGTAATTCCTGTGCCCTATAAAGATGCAGACACTCAGGGGATCTTTGATGCATGCACAGCCACTGTAAACTCCTTGAATGAAGCAGGAATCCGTGCTGACTCAGATTTTAGAGAGAATTATTCCCCGGGATGGAAGTATTCACATTGGGAATTGAAGGGTGTTCCCCTCAGGATTGAAATAGGACCTAAGGACCTGGCCAATAAACAGGTATACAGCTCTGATTCTGCTACATTTTCATTTGCGTTCATGAAGTTTTTGTTCGTCCACTTCTTTGGTATTAAAATTGTCTTTATACTGTGACAAATCTTCTTTTTTTTTTTTGAGCCCACCTGGTCGTCCCCTTGTTAAAATCTCAGGTCCGGACTGTCAGACGTGACAATTCAACTAAAACCGATATTCCCATGGCTGATTTGGTTGAACGTGTGAAAGCTACACTAGATGACATCCACAAGAACCTGTTTGATGTTGCCAAGCAGAGGCGGGATGCCTGCATCCAAATCGTGCATACCTGGGATGAATTTGTTCAAGCTCTAGGCCAAAAGAAAATGATTCTCGCCCCATGGTGTGATGAGGAGGTACCTTAAATAAATATTAATTTCCTTTTGTGAAATTACCTGTTTAAATTTGGTTCCCGTTAGAGTTAGACATAAATTAGGTGTTTACCTACTAGAGGCACATTTTTTAAATTTTCCCTTTTAAAAGCACTAGCAATTTGGTAACATATGAATATGCATTGGAATCACATAATTCTTATATAGTTTATTTTTTTAATAAAGTTGTTTTATGGCTGAAATAATAACTTAATTGTGCCGCAGGAAGTGGAGAAGGATGTGAAAGCCCGAACCAAGGGAGAGATGGGAGCGGCTAAGTCGTTCTGCACGCCCTTCGATCAGCCTGAACTCCCCGAAGGTACATTTCCAGTTTAATTGTTTGATGAATCGTGGCATCGCGCCAACTACTCCCTCCCTCATATAAAAGCATAATTCTTTTGGTAAATCCCGGCAGGTACGCTGTGCTTCGCATCGGGAAAGCCTGCAAAGATGTGGACTTACTGGGGAAGGAGTTACTGATCATATATTATGGTAATCTCTGCACAACTTGGAGATGCTTTACTTTAATTTAATTTGAATTAAATTTCATGATACTTGAAATATATTCTCAGCCTTGTTCCTCACAAAGGGATCTTGAGTTTTGGTTCTTAATGTTGTTATGATTTGTGGATTTTTGACTGTTTACACTTGAATTTATTGATGGTTTTGATTGTTGTGCTGAAAATTTTAGTACAATATTGGTATGAGATTTTGGTTTATTAAAACAAGGTTTTGTTTATGGTTTTAGAGTTTTAGGAAAATTTTGATAATTGTAAATAATAAGTATTTGATATAATGTTTTGTCAGAACTTTTTTTATTTTTATTTTTATTTCAAAAAATATACTACTATTTATGAATAATATAAAAAGCGTGTGAGATTGTATGTAGATAGAGCTCAAAAGTTTGCATATACCCAAAAATCTGTTTGGTAGTCATCCCTAGAGGAATATTCATTACAATTTACATGAATAATTTTAATCATTGGGTTTTATTTTATTTTATTTATCATATCTACTATTTTCACTTCGAAATATCAAAATAAAAGATGCAAACATATTAAACAAACATGACAATAGATTAGATATTCAATACTCCTTTCTACCATATCTCTTAAATAAGTTTTTAATGCAGATATCTTCTTCATTTTGATATGTATTACTCTCTTTCTCCACAAAATGTATAAAAGTATGTATTATAAATAAAAAAAAAAAAATTGTGGACAAATAAAATTATATACATACTATATAATTAAATAATTAAACTTTAACTAAATATATAATTAACAATTCAGTGTCATTCTTTTTTTTTTTTTTCTTAACGAATATAAATATATACACTAATAGTTTTTAATACATATTTATAAATAAGCTAAAATAATAAATAAATCACAACATGTGCACCGATTGAAGTACAATGTTTAATGATAGAGATATGATTAAATTATAAAGACATACATAAAAAATAAATGAAAATATTGTTTTGTATCTTGAATCTGAAGTGGTGGTGTTTTTTTTTCTTTTTTTTTTTTATAATAATATTAGACACTAAAAAATATAGGTAATTTTTTTTTTTTTTTTTTTTTTAAATTATAGTATTTTGTATGAATATATATTGTTTTTTATAATATTAATAAAAAAGCATATGGAAAAAAAATAATTATAGTGGGAGACCAAGAGAAATATTACTTTCAAATTGACATGTAAACTTCAATTTGTTTAGAAAAAATGAATATCTTAATATGAACGTAATTTTTATACTTCTTCCGTCTCATTGGAACGGTGACATTTGTTTTTTCACATAAATTTTTGAATATTAGTATTATATTGGATTGTAGTAATATATTGTAAGTAAATTTTTGAATATTAGTATATGTTTAATTGTAGTAATATATTGTAAGTTGAAAGAGTATTTATTATATTAAGTAGGTAGACGCAAAGTACGGACAAAAATAAAAAAAATGATAACTTTGAATGAGAAGAGAGAGTATTTAAGAATTAAAAAAAACTTTGACCTAAACATACAAAACAAATACACGTTTTAAACATAATCACAATAATAAAAAAGGACACATAATAATAATAAGCGAACAGTATAAAAACGTGACCTAGCGGGAGACTGAGCGAGCGTTTTTTGTACATTTCATCGGCGGGAAAAAAAAAATTGCCATGGCGGAGAAGGGCAAAGAGGTCACCGAGACGGTGGAGATGATGCCACCGGAACCCGAGGGTTTGCCCAAGGCTATCGTGCGCCGGGTGGTCAAGGACAAGCTTTCCGAGATCTCCACCGACTCCGACAACATCTCCCTTCTCGGGGAGTCGCTCCAGGCATTCTCCGAAGGCGCTCGCGTTTTCATTCACTACCTATCCGCCTCGTAAATATCCCTCGCACACGCTTTTCTTCAATTCTAGGATTGTTTTCTCGTTTAATTTGGTTCGCGCTAGGTGCTGGTTGCGCGATTTCTCTGTCTCCCTGTGTTTGATTTTATTTTTCAATGTTCGGAGAGTAGTGGTGAATAACGATTTATTTGTTTTTTGGTTCTGATTTGGATTCGAATCTATTCCTTTCCTAACTAGGGTTTATCCGTGATTTAGGAATTTCCTTGTTACGCAAATGTTCTTGATTTGTAAATTAGGTTTTCTGTGGTTTTTTTATGAAGAATCACGTCGATGATTCTGGAATTTGACATTTATGTTTATGTTCCTGGCTCTTTTCCATCCCTGTTGTTACGTAGAAATTTACTTAGTGATGATAGTGGACTTGAATTTGTGACATACAGTGACAAATTTGGAGTCTCTGTTTTTTAACATTTGATTTTCTTGATCCCTGCAGCGCTAACGAAATATGTAAGGAATCAAATAGGCAAACAATTAATACAGAAGACGTCTTCAAGGCTTTGGAGGAGATTCAGTTTGGAGAGTTCATTGGGCCTCTCAGAGCATCTCTTGAAGGTTTTGCAATTGCACTTGAACTGTTTTTAAGCATTTCCATCTATAATTTAAGCATTCGTCGCCCCGTAGTTCATAATCTAATCCATTTAGTACTAGCTTTTATGTAGTCATCAATTCGGATAAAGTACAAGTGTATGCAATAATTCAGCTGGCATCGTGTGAATGCATAACTAGAAAATTGGATAAGGAGTATTAAAGTCTTGGCAGGGTAAGATATTAACGACAATTTATCTTACCCGACTAATTGAATGCTTACAATTGCTTGCTGTCTTGAAAACCACTTGTAAGTTGCATCGTCAGGACAATAGATTGCTTACTGAAAATGTGAAAGCAGTATCTTGTCATCTTTGCCCGGCTTTCACTTTTCCGCACTTCAAATCATCATTTGGAAAGACTGTTAATTCCTGGATTAGCAATATCGACGAGCGCATTTGAAGCATTAGGTTAAGATTAAAACGTTAGTTTGTGCCGTGCAGCCAAACTCAAAGAGCTACCTGACTTTTTTGGTAAAAAGACATGTGTTCCTTTGGAGTTTGATTGTGTTTTTTTGTTTAAGTTTTCGGTTAAAGTGAGTGTTTTGAACAAAATATTTTGTGAGAGAAAATAGTGTATTTTTTAAGACAATTGCGATGGTTACATGGTAAAAAAATGGAAACTGAACTCCAAAAGAATGTATCCTTACTTTAGTGATAAATTAGGCTCCATTTAGATATGATTTCTGAATATTTTAGGGAATAGTAGAAGTTTAGTATTTGATTTTATATTCTGTGAAAGTAAATATGTATTTGATGTGATTTTATTTTATTTATTTATTTTTAATGTTACCATACATGAATAGTGCAATAAATTAACTTTGCTGTTAGTATTACTTTGGGCTTTCAGAACTGCATTTTCATTATTGCTCGTAGAAATAGTGTACTTTTAAGATAATCGAGATGATTACATAGTAAAAAAAAGTGAAACTAAACTTCAAAAGAACAAAGCATAGTTTAGTGTTAAATTAGGATACGTATAGATATGATTTATGAAAAATTTAGGTAATAATGAAAAGTTACGGTATTTGATTTTATATTTTGTGAGAGTTAATAAGTATTGATATGATTTCTACTTTGGGCTTTCGGAACTGCATTTATTTCCATTATTTCTTGTAGAATAACTTCACCTCTTCTAGGATTGTTTGTAATTTATGAATTTTATGTGATGGTTTTAGTTATATGTTCATATGCATTGCTAGTTTTTATTATAGCAAATTGGGTGTTGGATAAACCTTTTTCCATGGATCCAGAGAGCCATTATATTTTATATATTTATTTATTTATTTTATTAACCATTTTTGTGATGCAGAACTCAGAGGAAAGAAGTCTGGAGCATCAAAGGAAAAGAAAACTAACAAGAAATCAAAGAGGAAAGAATCGACAGCGGAAAGTGATGATCAAGAGAAACGGCACAAAGCTGCCGACGTTGAGGACGACGAGAATTCGTGATGATCTGCATTTTAGCAGGTACATTGTTTTCTTTTATATAAAATATACATGCTTCATAGATCATTCATTATGTGTATGAGAGCATATTAGTAAGTTGTTCAATCCTTTCTTTGGCTTTTGCTCATTGAAAAAAAAAAAAAAAAACATTCAGTGATTAATTTAAATAATAGTTTGATGTGAACATTTTATGAATGAAAAAAAACAGAAAGAAATTAATTGGAGATTTTTGTTGGATCCGATATTTGGTTTTGGACTGAAAAGAAAAAGAGAAAAAAATCATTTTTGGCCCTAATATAATCAAAATTCATCAATTTTGGTCTCAATATAAAATTTGTATTAATTTTGGTCCAAATATAATTAAAATTTATCGTTTTTTATCCCAATATAATCAAAATTCATCATTTTTGGTCACAATATAAATTTTTTTTATCAATTTTAGTCTCAATATAATAAAAACTTATTATTTTTTGTCTCAATATAATCAAATTTTATTTTTTTTGTTCTATTGTCAACAAACCGACGGAAAACCGACGGAAAATATTGACGTGAAAAAAAAATCAAACTTTATATTTATATTCGAAGAAATTGCACAATCTTGCAAGTTCATGTCAGTATTTTCCGTCGGTTTGTTAATAGTGAGATCAAAAAAGATAAAGTTTGATTATATTGGACAAAAAATAATGACTTTTGGTTATATTAGGACTAAAATTGATAAAAAAAACTTATATTGGGACTAAGAATAATGAATTTTAGTTATACTGAGACAAAAAATAATGACTTTTGATTATATTATGACCAAAATTGATAAAAATTTTATATTGGGATCAAAATTGATGAATTTTGATTATATTGGACCAAAAATAATTTTGTCTTGTAATTTTATTTTTAGGGAAAAAAATTGACATTTTACTATTTAAATTAAAAAAGAAAAAAGGTGTTGGAAGTGAGAATTTGAAGGTGATCATTGGCAAATGCCCAAACCCACCGAGATCCCATTTTAGTGGATGACGATCTTCATTTTCACGTTTACTATGCGCGAGTTTGGAATGTTTTGACCATGTTTCAACTATCTCAATTTATATTTAAGTAAATGAATCCAACAAGATACAAAGTACACTTTGGGTTTGTTAGCTGTCTTTTTTTGATAATGTATTGTAAATAATGCTATTTTGTTTTAAATTATTTACTTTGTCAGAGATAAAATATTTAAATAGTAATTGAAATATTTATATGTAAAACTATTTGATGTAATAATATTAAATTAATGTGGATAAATATAAATTTAATATTTAATATGGTCAAAATTATTAAAATAATACATACTCCTTCCATTCTTAGTTCAAATGCTATATTATTCCCTCATCCTTAGTATTATATTTTATTTTTTATTTTGGTTCGCTTTATATATTATATTATTTTTTTAAAAGAAAATTATTTTATATTTTAATCATATTTAAAATTTAAAATTTATAAATATTTATTAAATTGATTAATGATTTTATATTTATTTACTCCAGTATCCTAGTAATGGTACTATCTATATAACATTATAAATATTCTTTCAATTTATAATATATTATACAAATGTCATTACTTTTATATTGTACTAATAAAATTAATTTAGTCTTTTCACTTTTATTCTACTTTATCCTAATATAATACTAATAAATTCTGAAAAAAAAAAAAAACGAAATGAATATATTATATTGTAATTAATTTTCCTACAACAATTGTCCGTATTAGGGATAGGTGACATTAGAGATGGAGGGGTTAATTTTTTATTTTTTTTTGTAAGAGATGTGTTTGAAGATTTTTTAGAAAAGAAACAAATCGTAAATAATGGTACAAATGTTTGCTTTGTTTACACCATACACTATTACTCATTTGATCATATTTATTTTTTAAAAATATAACATCAAATATATATATAATTTTTTATAAAATATCAAATTAAATATTAATTTTTATCGTTTTTAAGTTTTCAAATTTTCAAAAACTTCCAAAAATTCCTATCCAAACAATCCCTTTAATTTTGGAAAGAAACCAAAGAAACCCACGGGTGCTTTCGGTAAAATTTCATTACGCTCGTCGACCTCAACCTTCCCTTAAGCTGTAAGGGAAGTTCATCCACGCGCCGCCGCCGCCGCCGCCGCGTTCCAATAATATATATATGATTCTATCTTCCAGAAAGTCTTCCAATCCTATCGTCATCCACCGCCTTCCCCATTTCTGTCGGTTACCGCCGAATTACGAATTGCCTGCCGCCATTGTTTCCAATGGCATCTTACAAGCCATCCGCTCCGCCCGCACCCGAAGCCGAACCCGATCAGCCACGGGTAGGGTACCCTTACCACCCTCCCCCTCCGACCACCGCCCCCCACTCCTCCTCGCCCTACGCTCCGATTTCCGGCACCTTCGGCACGTATCCACCGCCTCACGGCGGTTACGGGAATTACTATCAACAGGATGTGGTTCACAGCTCGTTTCCGCCGGGGACCCACCCGGATGTGATTCGGAGCTTCCAGATGGTGGACAGGAACCGGAACGGTTATGTCGAGGAAACCGAGCTCCGAGAAGCTCTGACTTGGAATTACAGGGAGTTCAGCCTCCGTACTCTGCGCCTGCTCGTCTTCCTCTTCAGGAATCCCAACCAGTCCTCTGCAACTATCGGTATCATTTCTGATTTGATGAATTAGGGTTTCGCCGTAGAGCTTGCTTGCAAACGTACTTCCACTTTGTTCTTCGTAATTCATGATTTTCGCTCTTACTGTTCTTATTACAATATATAGAGGTTTTGATGCAGATTCACACACGAATAGATACTAGAACGAGAGATTATTTTCAGATAAGAATCGAAGACTTTTTCATTAAGCAAAAACTACCTACAAATTGGAAAAAAATAGATTTGAAATCCTAAAGTTCAAAATAGGTCCAAAATCAGAATAATTACAAGAAAAAAAAAAAGCCCCGGAAAGTAGGAAAATGCTGATTTGATGCACTAAACTCTCCGCCAAAGCTATGACTTTGACTCGGAACATTTTGGATGATGCAAATTTTGTCCAATTTCGAGTACGAACTCAGTGGTAATAAAAAGATAGGTTGTCAAGGTTGGGCAGTAGTTAATTTTTCAAAGTGATAATAGGGTCTTGGAAATAGTAATCTTGTTGTGAGTATTGTCGATCCATGGATATTTGGATGGTACCATGTTTTTATAATTTCTTCTTGTTGATAAAAACTATGAAGGTCCCAAAGAGTTTGCAGAAATATGGAGTTGCCTCGGCCATTGGCGGGTAAGTTAAGGAGCTTATCTTTGAATCATATTCTATGCTTTTCTTCCATTTCTTTGTCTAGAAAATTCGCGATGACTATGAGAAGCAGATTCTGTGAGATATGCTTGTAGTATGCTATGTTTACTTCTATTGATCATATCTTAAAAGGTCGGTGTATTGAACGTCTTGGACCGACAGACATAACACACTGATTCATTGTTTCTAAGTTATTTACATCTAAGTTAAGGAACGTATCACATCTAAGTTATTTTGCTTGCACTGACTTTTTGGAAATAAACACATTTTTTCCCTTAAATATGAATTATGTTAGGTCTTTCGTATTATGTTTGTGGCTGTTTTTCTTTTTTCCTTTTCTTTCTTTCTTGTTTAGGAACATGCTTCAATAGTAAGATAAAAAAATCAAATCATATTACACCTATAGTTTATAACTTATAACTAGCATGTGTTCTTTAAGGTTTGAGTCTGAGTTTTGGGTTTGAGAATAGTAAAATTTTAAATTGATATAGTATTTGATGTGATGTATTGAATGAAAATTTGATTTCCTTTGTAATATATTAAATGAAAATTAGATGTTTGATTTGATGGTTTTGGGGGAAAAAAATTTATGGGACCTAAAAGAAGCATAATCAGTCTTAATATAAAAACTAAATCAATACATTAAATCTGAAGTGAAAGGTCTTAATATCCCATTTTAAAATCATTTCTTCAACAAAAATAAATGAAAAGACTATATGAATATCAATATGGAAAGGAACTAAATAAAAAGCATTAGAGGATGATTACAAGTGGATCGGTTGGTGTATTGTAGTGAAAGTTACTTATATGGAGCATTGTGTCAATTTGGTAAGTATCTAAGAATTAGATCACAATCACATAAGTAAGAAACATAAAATCCATCTAGATATTCATATTTTTTTCCTGGAATTAATCTAGATAGGTTTTTCAAACCTTGGTCTTATTTTTCACAGGCCATTTTTGAAAGATTTGATAGAGACAGAAGTGGGAAAATCGATGCTAGGGAATTGAGAGATGCTCTATACAGTCTTGGATATGCATTGCCACCTTCCGTTTTGCAAGTTCTGATGCTGAGATATGATGATGGCACCGGACGCCGGGTAGAACTAAATTTCGACAGTTTTGTTGAGTAAGTTCCTGCTGTTATAAATTGGCAATATATTTTATTTCGACCCTTCTTATTTTTCTTTTCTTTAATCAGCTGCCTTTTTTTGTGTTTCTTTTATTCAGGTGCGGATTGATTGTAAAGGTACGCAAATATCTTGCTCTTTTCTTGACAATACACATTTATACTTAATTTAATGAAATAATGTAATACTAGTTTATCATTATTATTATTGACTAATAGCATCTATATTATTCCCTCCTTATAAAAGTGTGCTTATAAGTTTTACTCTTAGTATTTTAATATTATTTTTTTACTTTTTTATAATGGTAGAATTTAAATTTTTACTGGGGTTGTTAATGTAATTTTTGGATTGAAATAGAATAAGCTGAAAAAATGTGAGAAGTTTGTAGGTGACAATGGTGTAAATAAATAAAAATAAAATAAAAAATAGTTTAAAAATTTAAGTAAGCATTATGTTTTCTTATACTTTTGATAGACAAACTAAAATGGTAAGATAACTTTTTTTTCTTTTTTTATCATGTGGCCAAATGTAAAAGCAATATTTTTCTATTTTTTGTTCACTTGTATTATTTTTATTCTTTAGTCTTTTCTGATTCCTTATTATGTGCATATATATGTATTATATGAGCATGAGAATTGCTATGAGTCTTTTTTATCCAATTCTAGTTACAGATTGAATGCCAATTGTATTATATGTATCTTGTTATTATGGATGTTCTTATCCAATTGTATTATTAGCCTTTTTCTTCAACTAAGATATGGATTGGATGGTCTTTCAGGGCTTGACAGAAAAATTCAAGGAGAAGGATAAAAGATACACTGGATCTGCTACACTGTCATACGACACGTTCATGTCCATGGTAATTCCTTTCATCGTCTCGGATTAGTTTCTTTTCTGTCGGTCGGATCTACAGATGATATAATGTTTTAGAGTCCTTAAAGGTAAAGGCTTTGCAAAAATGGGAAAATTGCATATGGTTTTTGTGTTGTGTGAATGAATGTTGATTTTGATGTGAATGTTGTTAGCACAGTGAGAGTGTGTTATATTTATTTGTAAATGTGACTTGTGAGCACTACATTGGCATCGGATAACAATTCTATGTATGCTTTTCTCTCATTAATAAACCTCGTACATAAGCCCGATTTGTGTAGATGAAAATGGTTAGGGCTATTCAACATATAAAATTAGACGGACAATAATACTAGGATGTTGAATAACATACAATATATGATTCATACTTTATCGGTACATATTTTATGTGTTGTAAATACAAGTAGTATTCGATATTCATAAAATATTTGATAGTTTAAAAAATACTACGCATTTGATTTAATTCAAGTATTCCATTCGATTTTTTAACAATACCATTCATATATTTGACTCAAAATTCGATTAGTTTGTTCTTATTCAATTCGAATTTTCAAAATAATATTTAGACTACTTGACATTAAAAAAAAACACGAACATCTACTATTTATGAAATTTTTTTCAAATTGACATAAAAGTTGGAACTTACAACAATATAAAATATCTATTTAATTAAACAGCATCCTTAGTTTTGGTTGTAGCTCTATTAAATCCATTAATTCACTTTCATGTAGCAACACTTGATACGTGACCTATTGAATTAGCGTGACATTTAGTTGTCAAATTAAACAGGACTAATTTTATTTATTGCATAATAGACCTATGGATTATCGTCCTTACTTTTGGACAAAAAATAAAATCCTACACAGATTTTAATGTTATATGCAGATGGGAGAGAAAATTTACACAATTAACTATATTTAAGAAAACATCCATAAATAATAAAAGAGGTGAACACAAAAAAGTATGATCAAGAAACTGCCAAGCAAAACATGATAGTTCAGAATGAGTGCAATAACACAAAATTTGAGAACTAACAAATATCAGCAAAAGCCAAACGACAAAATCCGAGAAAATAATTCCTAAATGCTTTAGCTGTCTTACACCTTTCTTCGACCTTGTCATCATCTTAAAAGATGCGCTGCGGCCTTCCCATGGTACTCTTCAAGTATAGGCACCTCACCTGATACACCACAACCACAAAAATTAGCATTTCTCAAAACAACAGTTGAAATAAAGAGTAATAAAACGTCTCGTGTGCCCAATGACGTATCTAAATATACGATAAGGGCAGCTAAAAACTGATTCCCTTACATTCTGCCAATTCTTCTTCAACAATGAAACGAGGAAATTGACACTCATTTGCACATTCTGAAATAATTGCTTCTCTTCCATGTCAAGGTTCCCAACTGCGACCCCCATGCAGAGAACCTTCTTTAATTGGAATTTTACGGTGGCCTTGGTCTCATTCACCTTTGATTCCAGAGATTCCTGGTGGGTCACAAGTGTAGGGAACTTACCTGTGCATCGTACAAGGAATTTTACTTTTAATGCAAGCAAAATGTGAAAAGAAAATTGCTGTCCTCATCCCCTATTTTTAGTATTGTCAAAGCTTGAATCATAATGGTAATGGAAATTGGTACTTGCCTGCCTTGTTTAGACCCGGTCCCAAGAGACGCGGAATCTGCTTGATAACAGCTTCGGAGGCTAAGAAAGCATGGTACTTTTTAGCAAGCTTCTTTACCAGTTTCTTGTTTTTGTTCAGCTTCTTCAAAGCTTCCACGTCCATCGACTCAAGACCTATCTTCTCAGCCTGTAGAAATAATGGTAAAACCAACATATAAGGAAAAAAAAAAAAACTAGAGCTTTACATACAAAAATCCACAATATAAACAAATGTGAAATATATTATAAGCAAGCAATAGAATACCATTATTGTAAGAGATGCAGCTGTGTAGAGTAAAACATAACTTATCAAATAACAGCACAATTCAAAGATGTAAATATCAAGACTAATAGGACATAACAGAGGCTAAAAAAATTACATTAGCATATAAATTTGCAAAATAGATTCTGAACCAAGATAGAGTCACATTAAGAATTATGATTGCATTTCATGAGGAAATCAAGAAAGGCTTATTATTAGCATTTTTAGAGCAAATCCATTCTCAAATTATTTCCCCACAACCATCAATAACCTATAAAATTATTACCATATAGACAAGGATAGATGATCAAATTTTGAAACAAATTAGGGATAATTCATTGTCACGTTTTGTCACCGATGTATATTTACAACAAATCATCTCTCCTCAACAAACACAAGAAAACACCTTGTGGAGAAGAAGTGCAGGAAAAATGATGTAATGAATTAAAATTGGAACAAATTCTACATTGATAATGTAATTTCACCTCTTCGACATGCTGAGCATCACCAAGCATACAGATCTTCATTTTCGGCCTTGGAATATGGGGCAATTTCACAGAGCCACTGAAACGCTTGTCTTTCTGAGGATCATAGTTTTTTAGTCCAATCTGTAACTCTACTGTCTCAGTAAAGTTTCTCTTCTTCTCCTTAGAATCCGAAACAATCACAGAGATTGCTTCCCTCAAGGCGTCACTTTGAAGCTTACTATAAAAATCATTACAACCAGATCCAGTCAGCATATTCTTGTTTTTCGTTAAACAAATTTACAAACCGAAACACAATGAAAAACAGCAAACATTAAACAGTATAATTGAATACATAAAACGAAACTTTTTACAAACAAACAACACAGAATGACGAAACATAATTCGAGCAGAGAACAAATCTGAAACACAATTGATAACGCAACAGAAAGTTTAAAGGCATAAATTAGCGATCCTACCTCATAGTTCAAGATCTGTCGTCTTCCCAAATTCGAATCTGTATCAATCAAAAAATAAAACAAAATAATCAGGCAAAAACGAAAATCAACTTGCTAATAAGCACAAAAGGAATTAATGAGAGGAACCTTAATAAAAACTCCGCATGCAAATACACATATCAAACATAAAGATTCAGAGTTGCAGTTGATGAGAAGGCAATCTCACCTGATGAAACTCTCCCGAGACGGTCGATGAACTGAGAGGGGAGGAAGAAACCCTAAATACTAATCAACCAGAAACCCTAGAAAGAGATAACATTAATCTATTGGGCCTTTAATAAGGCCCATTAGGCTTCCTAATAGTCATATCTCCCTTTGGGCCTTAGCTTCTTGGCCCAAACAATCCATTTACATAAATTATATATTCCATCCGTGTAAAATATGCTTACATTTATTTATTATTTTTTTTGCATGAATATTAAGAAAATATTTGTGTGTTTTTTTAACAAAAAAAAATATACATATTTTTCTAAAAATATTAATTTATCACACATATTCATTATTTTTATATTTTTTACATAAATTTCTCATACATCACATAAAAATACCCATTCAAATTATCTCATAAAACAAACTCATATTTTCCATTTAAATAAAACAAACAATTACTCTCTTCGTCATTCAAATATATTCTTACTTTTCTTTTTTTTTTTGTTGTTATCCAAATTTATTTCCGTTTTCTTTTTTAATAAAAAAAATACCATTTTTCTTTTTAAAAAAAAATAAATTTCTATTATTACATATTTTTCTTAAAAACTCGTGTCCGATCAAATAAACACACAATTAGATGACGAATGGAGTACTAAATTTTTTTTTTTTTTTATGATTACAAATTGAAATCAATATTAGACACTTTACACAATCTTTAATAAAAATATATTTTTTTCTGTTCTCCTATTAATTGTACTTAACATTATAACTATTTTTATATTTATATAGTTTTATGTACAAATAACACACTAATTGAAGTATTTTTTTATTTTTTTTTGTCATTTTTCATTAATTTGTACTACATTTTGATATAATAATTAATATATTAAAAATTAATATGCAATAAGTAGATATGATTCTTAGAGCCGAACGAAAATAATATTTTTTTTTTTCATAAAATATTATATTAAAATACTATTTAAATAAAACTTCAAACCAATATTCTATTTCAAATCAATGTATTCATTTATTTTGATTAAAAATCATAAACAAATGTATGAATAATGGACTCTCATACACAGGAGATATTGCAAAGAAAATAATTATCGAAAAAAAAAAAATAGGATTAACGGTAGATTTGTAATAAAGTCGAGTACGAGTACGTATCAGCTTTCAAAAAGCAACCAACACTAATTAGGGAATGCCATTATTTCTATTATGGGAAAAAGGGGATTTTGCCTTCAATTATATTTTTAAATAAATAACTAAATCATGATATTGACCCATCACCAAATGGGAAAATGCCAAATTAATAATTATTTTTTTTGTTTGGATTTTAATTAATGGCCGTTTACAAGTGGGTTTTGCCATAGGCCATGTATTAATTTAAAATGTAATTGTCGTATAATTGGAATTTTATGATATCTATATTTTATATTATTGGTGTGAGTTTTCTGTCACGCATATATATATATTATATAATCAAATTTTCTTTTGATTTGTTGTGTGACAAAAAAGTGAACCGTTTATTTTTATACGTAAAAAAAAATTGTATATATATATATGTATATCAATCTACTTTTTGTATATAGATTAAAAAAAATGTTAAAAGTATTCTATAAAAAAAATAATTAATTTTGATCTTAATGTATAAAACAAAAATCATCAATTTTAGTCTTAAGGTGTGGTTGTTTTGAAGAAATTCTTTTATGTAAAGTATATAAAATTTTGTACTTAATATAAAAATAATTAATGTATATAGTATATAATTTTTTGGGGAAAATGTTTAAAGATTTTTCTCAAAACAAACAAGCACTTATTAAAAACAAATCAAATCACTTTTGGTTTCTTCGTTAAAAAATTAACGAGAAAAACTGACGTGAATATAGTGACATATGATTTGGATTGAATACGGTCGTATTTCGAATATGATTAGTAATTATTTTTTGTTTCTTCTGTACTTAGTCAAGGCTTGTTTCCGCATCTACTCTCCGCACACGATCAAATTCTCATGATCGTAAGAGCGAACAAGATGGCGGATTTGATTACCACGTAGTTGTCTTGTTCATCATATTCCACAACCAATTTGTCGAGAAAATTGTGGGCCGGGTTGCAAACCACCCTTGTCGAGAACAGTTGCCCGCCCAGCCATGCGTCGCCAGGGGGCTCACTAATTGCTCGACTATCGTGACTTGATCAAGAAAGATTGATTAATTAATTTTTAACGGTAAGAATTATAACCGCTTATTGTATATGAACTTATTTAACGACAAATCCGAACAAAGAGAATTTGTTGAGCGCATCTGGCGACGACATCGGTGTCGGCATAGATAATTATGTTAATTTTATATCTTTTGATCATCTATATGAAAATGATGAACTCTTTGATTGATACGAAGTTAATCATGCACGGACTCAAAATCGTAAAATATAGTTGTATTTGATCCAAATTATATGTCATTTTAGCTTCGCTATGTTTACGTTAGTTTTTTCGTTATTTATTTTTAACAATGAGACAAATAATAATAATAATAATTATTAATAATATGATAACATTCATGAGTTTTTCTTTTTTTTTTTTTTTTTATCATGATAAAAATTAATTAATTTTTGTTTAAATAGAACTATTTTTAAAATTTTCCTAAAAAAATATATTAATTACAATTTTTTTTTAAAAAAAAATTTCTAAAAAAAATATTTTTAACTAAACATATTATATTCATCATGTTAATATTTTAATTTAATGGACTATTTTTACAAATATTTTTACAATAATATCGTGCTGAAAGAAGAATAACGTTTACTTTTTGCAAATAGATTTTTAAATATTAATATTATATTAGTTTATAATAAAAAAATAAAATAAAATAAAAATACTCCTATTAAATTGTATAATATATTAGAAGTTTTAAATGTATTAATTATATTAGATATATAATGCAATTATTAATTAAATTGTATAATGTAAAAATTGTATCTTCTTATGAGATAGTGAAAATATATTAATTTTTAATTACAATAAAGGTAATTATAATTAAAATACTATAATATTCTTGTATATTTTTGTTAATTAATAAAATATTAATTATAATATATATATATATATATATTCAAACTGAAGGCAAAACAAACAGCAGAAAAGGAAAGAGCCAATGAGAAAGCACAGGCGGTGCTGTAACTGTAAGCAACTGAGAGTTGTTGGAGCAGAGACTATAGTAATAGTAGGATCCAACAATGGCTTCCCTTCCCTTCCCTTCCCCAGACCCCACGCAAATTCATCCTTTCGTTCTTTAATTTTCATTCTTTATTGCATTGCATGGCTAATTGGCTCACTTGTCGTTTCCACACCAGCCTCCGCATTCGATCGTGCTCTCTTAATTTCAGTTTTTAATTTTTTTTAACCGAAAGGGCTCTGCTTGCTCGACTGAGAGCTATGAGGACAGACAGACAGGTAGTAGGCGCCATTACTGGACTTCCAATTCTGATTCGAACAATTACTCCTCAAGACAGCGTCAATTAAATGCTGTAAATCCAAAACAGAAGTTTTCTTCATTGAGAAGGATGCTGAAATTAATTAAAAGCTCTCTGTGATGGGATTGGGGATAGGGATAGCGATGGGGACCTCTCACATCAGACCTTACTTTTTTTCTCTCTGCAAATTGTTTGTTACACTTATTTATTTAAATATTCCTTTGTATGAGAAAACGACTGACCACGAATGAATCAATCCTCTTGTGCGATGATGGCTACTGCTGATTTATATTTATTTTTCGTTTTTTTTATATAACACCATTTTTTTGCACATAACCTGTTCGATGTTTTGCCCCAGAGAGGAAGTGGACTCTTTCTTTTTTCTTGTTCTTTTGTTTCTTTCTTGCTGCAAATTAAATTTCTTGTCTGAAAAAGGGGTGAGGATGTTCTGAAACAGGGAAGAAGATTATTTGCATGGCAAGACATTCGATTGGAGAGCCTAATTTATCAGACAACATAGGACAAGAACAACACCATATGCTGCATCACTTTGCCAACACAAGCTTCATGTAAGCCTAATTGATCATCTTCTTTGCCTTTCCAATTTCAAGTTTTATTTAGTAAAAATTGTTTTGTTTTTTATATGAAATTTGAAGAAATCAGGAGGGGTCAGGGTTTGGAGGGCTGGAGGAAGCAATTGTGCTGCAGAATGGAGTTAGGAGGATTCATAAAGATCACGAGGCAAATCAAAGTAAGTGTATGAAATCTGAAATCCCCAATTTGATTACTGAAATGGGGCATTGGGGTTTGAGGTTTGAGGTTTTGAAAATGTCTACAGTAGAGGGTGGGGTGAGTGAGGTGAGGTCCCCTTGCCATTTACGGCACAAAAATCATTCTTGGACAAAGGATTTGAATGGCGTGGGGATTCAAATAAGGCAAAAACCAGAACCTTTGTTTACTGACTCCATAACTGCCACTGCCAATAAGAAATAAAAACAAAAAAAGCAAAACTTACATAGAAAAGGGAATATCAGTTTGCCTCCTCATCTCCCATCCCTTACAAATCTTCTGTACATACATGCGTACATACATATATATATGTATTTCTTCCAATTTTATGCTTAAAGATTCTTCTGGTTCTTTGATTTTCTTGCAGCTTTATTCACCACATCACTCAAGCAAACTGCAGCAACGCTGGAAATGTTCCCTTCTTGGCCTATCAGATTCCCCACAAGAGTATTCTTCTTTTGCTTCATCCCTTTTATAAATTTTATTCATAAATTATAACTCCACACACTACACGCACTTTGCATTTTTTGTTTTTGCTCAAACCTTCTTCATAGTGTTTTAGACATATGCTTCCTTTTCTACTCTTGTATTCTTGGGAATTGTTGAATTTTTTGTTTAAATAATGTTTTTGGGATGAAATGGTGATGAAAGCCTTGTTGACTTTTGGTGGGTTGTGTTTCTTTTTTGTGTTTTGTTTTTTATGTAAATCAATAGAGGAGCTCAAAATCAGGAGAGAGTGGTGATGATGATACTCTTTCAGGATCAGCTGTGAACAACGCCACAATTTCTTCAATAAGCACAGACCCTTCTCCGGACAACCGCCGCCGCCGCCTTCAGCCGCCGGCCATGGATGCCGCCGGTGGACTCGACACCGCCAAGACTGGTGGCTCACAGCAGATTTCATCTACCAAACAAACCCCGGAAAAGGTTTGTCTTTTTCTTATGCATTTTTAGTTTCTGATTTTGGGGAAAGATTAAAAAGGTTGAATCTTTTTAAATTATTTCATTTTTGTTTCTCGCTCTAAAACCCATCTCTCTCTCTCTCTCCCCCTAATCCCAAGAACTGCAACCAGATACGTATCAAAGGGCATGCTTCCATTGCTGATTGACTGAGGATTCTCTGGGGTTTTATTCTGACATGTAATCACTAAAAAGGCAGAATCTTTATAGTAGGAATGATATTTCCTTTATCAACAGTTATTATTTTTAAAAATTTAAAAATATCACCAAACTGGAGTTTAACTCATAGTTCATAATCACTCCTTTTTGTTCTTATTTTCTTCTTTCCAATCCCAAGAACTGCAGTTCTTAATCTTCTTCCTTATTAAATTCTCTTTATGGGAAACAGTAAAACCTAATTTTGAAAAAAATTAATTATATATATACAGTGGGGAAAGTGACGATGGAAAAGATTTATTGCACATTCAACACATCGTCCATTTCTATTCTCAAGAAACAGTGCTCATATCAGCATCAGCACTGGAAAAGACATCTTAAAAGTCTACAGCCTTTGCTAAATCTATTTTTACTTTTACAGCACAGTATCTGATGTTAGAATTCCGCCATTGGTGACACGTTATCTAACTCTAACCTCCTACAGATTTGTTTTATGAATTTAGGTTGTTGGTTTTTGATCAATGAGCTGCAGATTCCTTTGTTTATTCCGCTGCATTTGTTGACTATATAGAACAGATTAAGTCTCAACAAATTATATTTTCTTATCATATAAATATTGAATAATGCAGAGAAGGGGGCCTGGTTCCCATTCAGACAAGGTGCTTGATGCCAAGGTAAACAAAAATAAATAAATGAATAATAAAAAAAACACACATTATTCAAATGCTTGCACAGCTTTCATGATTTTATTTTATTTTTTAATTTTCTAAAGAAAGTCTTTTAATCTTATAGACACAGAGGCGTCTTGCTCAAAATAGAGAAGCAGCAAGGAAGAGCAGGCTAAGAAAAAAGGTCAAATGTCCAAGTTTCCATTTTTAAAATTTTAAATTAATATTTCTATAATTATCATTTATGCCAACAACTATCCAACTTGTTGAATTCAACTCAATCTTGCAATGTATATCCCTTTAAATATTTTATATATATATATATATATATATATATAAAACAATTTATTGCAGGCTTATGTGCAGCAGCTGGAATCAAGCAGAATCAGGCTCTCTCAGCTGGAACAAGACCTTCAGAAAGCAAGATCTCAAGTAAGAAAAAATTTAATTTCTGTATATATAAAATGAATTTAATAAAAGTTACAAATGCCCCTAAAATGGAATAATTAAAAATTTGTTGTCAACAGGGACTTTTCTTGGGAGGAAGTTTGGTTGCAAGTGGAAATCTCAGCTCTGGTAAGATTAACCTCATCACTCCTGTGTGATAGTTCTTTTTAATCTGCCTTTGCCTTTATTTATTTATGTCATTAATTAAATGGACTTTTTTTTATTGTATTTCAGTAAATCTAAGCAAAGACCTACCTCTTAATGTCAAACCATTGACTTTACAGACATGCCTTCAAGATATTTACATTACTAAAATTTGCAAGCATAAGATCTCAAACCTGACCATTTCCTATTTGACCAGAAGGATATCTGCCTCTAGAAGTTACTACTTGGAAAATTTTTACCACTAATTTTTTTTTCAGAGAAAAAAAATCAGTTTGACCATGTTTCCCAATTATTATTATTATTTAATAATTTTATTGAGTTGAATTTTCATGCGTAATTTACTGTTAAAAAAATACTGTATTTTATTGGCGTGCATGGTGAATAGTGGTGATTTCATTTGAAATCAAAACAAAAAAAATATATATAACCTCTACCAATTAATTTCATCCAAAAATCAAAACATAAGCTCGCACAAAGAAAGAGAAAAAACCAACTATTAAGTTTATCTGTTCAGTGTTTTTAATTTGAAGTATTTTTTTTATTGGAAGTATGGGTAATAGTGTCGGTAATATGAAAAAAAAAATATTTTCTCTTGAATATTAACTTTGTGTAAAAAAAATACATATTATATATTGGGAATTGTGTCAGTGAAAAAATGAGTTGTGTAACCAAAGCCATTATATTTTTATCTTGTGAAATTACCTATGTATATAAAGTGCCCTATTTTAAAAATCATTGGACATTTTTGGGTGTCCTTTTCAATATGGGTTTTGAAATATTTTAGTATAGTTTTAAAATAAGGAATAGTTTGTAGTTTATCGACATATTTTTAATTATTTGGCTTGTTTTCAATGTGCAGCAAAGTGGGAACTTTTTTCAGCCCGAAAGTGTCCACAAAATTTTGAATTTTGGCACTAATACTTTGTGGTTCAGCAGAAGAAATATTTTTTTTAGGACATGAATAAATATATGAAAATCATCTAAAGCAAAAGAAGAAAGTAGTGGTTGACGCCCATGTCTTGTCTTTTATACTTTAGTGAATGAAAATAAATGTATTTTTCTCTATAATATTTAGCTAATATATAAAATTAATTATAATTATTTTTTGTAATATAGGTGGTGCAATATTCGACGTTGAATATGCAAGATGGTTAGATGATGACCATAGGCATATGGCTGAGCTTCGAACTGCACTGCAAGCTCATTTAACCGACAGTGATTTAAGACTAATAGTCGATGGTTATATTGCTCATTATGACGAAATTTTTCGCCTTAAAGGAGTTGCTGCGAAATCTGATGTCTTCCATCTCATCACCGGCATGTGGACTTCGCCTGCCGAGCGATGCTTCTTGTGGATAGGTGGCTTTCGTCCTTCTGACCTTATCAAGGTTTGCTCGATTATTTGCAGTTTCTTGTTGTCTTGATTTTGTCACATGCATTACTAATTTGCTGTTTCTTTTTCTATTGGCATGCTTTCAAGCTTCTTTTTGTAAAATTTCGATTGTGGTAGTACTAGGCTATATTTTAACTTTTAGTTTACAAGCATGGATGCAACAATATATAAATACAATACATATGTAAATCTACGATAAAGATAAGAACATTGTATTTTAGTATTTATCTATTCGGTATGAATACAATAGTCAGTTAAGAATTAAGTCAAATCTATTCTTACAGTAATTCTGAATTATACTTCAGATGGTGAAATAATGTGGAAAGGTAATAGCGTTGCTTGGTTTTGTTTGGTGTTTTGTTAATAGTGAAATTTAAATTTAATATACTTGTTTGATGTGATATAAATAGGTGTTTGATATAATGTTTTGAATGCAATATATTAAATATATATATATATATATGAGATTTTTTGAAGAGAAAAAAAAAAAAAGTTAATGCAAATGAATAGTAAAAACAAATGTCTGAAAGTAACCTCTCGACAATACATTCATTGAATTGTTTGATAATCGATTAGTCGAGTCGACCCTTTTGTCAAATCAAGTGGAGCTCGAGAGTGGTTGATGTTGGTCGAAATATTTGTGTCGTGTTTGTTCAGTATTTATACTTGTAAGTATTTTTATTCTGGGTAATATAAAGAATGATATTTTGTGCCTTTTTTGTTGATTTTTACCGTTATATTTATACATCGTATATTATATATTATATATTATATTTCTTAGGTAATATTCTTGTGGAATTGGGTAGCAATAAAAGTACTAAGTGTGCTCACTCTTTCTGGTTCCTTTCGAACAGATGCTGATTACCCAGCTAGACCCCTTAACCGAGCAGCAAATAATGAGCGTTTACAGTCTCCAGCAGTCGTCGCAGCAGGCGGAGGAGGCACTATCTCAGGGGCTCGAACAACTACAGCGATCTTTAATAGATTCAATCGCCAATGGTTCGGTCAGCGACAGCATGCATCACATGGCTACAGCATTAGCCAAACTTTCTGACCTCGAAGGTTTTGTCCAACAGGTAAGTGCTTCTTGTTTCTTCGCACAAAATTTCTAAATTCTTTTATCATTGCTCAACCTTATCGAAAAAGTAAAGATTTTATCTACACTCATCCATTATAGCTACGACCCGCTTTAGTGTCTGTCTCTCCCTTTACAGTTGTGTGTGTGTTTTTTTTAGCTACTTGGAAACTGTTTAACTCACACTTTAGGTTGTGATGATAAGAAATCGAATGGCCGAGAAACAATACATTTTAAAATGAAAAGTCGAGGAACAAGGTATGGATGCGTATCTTTAGTGTCTTTTTCGATGTTACCATCCATTCCCTTCTTTTATGCTGATGTTTCGAGCACAATTTTCCTGTATAGATATATTTATTGTTTGCATATTAGTTAAGGAATTTTTAAGTCCCGTCACAAGGGTATTTTTGTACTTTCTTTCAAAGTTATAATACTCCCTCAGTCTCTTAAAAATATGTGAATTTATCTTTTGCACATAGACTTTTTAATATCAGGATTATATATATAATACAAATAAAGATAACATGACATTTATACCCCTATTAGTAGTGTTTATTAAGTATAGACAATGGTATTTGTGTCATGTATTACAAATTGAGTGTATCTTTTAAAAAATCATACTTTATTTTGATACGGATCAATATGATTTTTTTTTTTTTTAGGGATAGAGTGAGTATATTTTTATTAATATCATAAGAAGGGAGTATATATATATATATTTGTATATATGAATTTTTTAATGATTTTAGGACTTCAACTCATAGTCGATTTCAGGCAACATCGTGTTACTACATGGTTACTATTCTTTTGGCTGCATCAAAAGTTTATTCTTTTTTACAGATATGATAGTGATTTATATTTTGGAATATTCTTCGATGTGGGATAACTTTATACCGAAAGGGATGCTTATTATCATACTTACTCATCAAGGAATAACTTTTTGCACTGTCTTTACATAGTTTTTTCATTCAGGAATGACATGGACATGTATGTCCAATTATGGTTCAAGGGAGAACCCTATCCTACTGTCTGAAAATGCTCTTTTCCTCTCCCGGAAATTTTATCCCGGGTAATATCAAAACATTGTTTTTTTTTACAGAAAAAATAATGTATTTTTACAGGCGGACAACTTAAGACAGCAAACGCTGCATCAGCTGCTCCGGATTCTGACGGTGAGACAAGCGGCGCGCTGCTTCTTGGTCATCGGAGAATACTATGGTCGATTGCGCGCACTAAGTTCCCTTTGGGCTTCCCGGCCGAGAGAGTAAGACTCTATTTACTTGTGTTTTCAATTTTGTTTGCGCATATTAATTTTATTAAATATTATGATTGTGTTCTTTTAATGTTTTTGTCGCCATTTGTGGTAAAATTTAACGTAGGAATATTTTGAGAAATTTATTAAGACATATAGTTAATTGATATTGTTTGCGTTATTTAACGGTAATAAAATTATTATTATTTTTTAAATAATAAAAAAGATATAGGTGAAAAGTCGGCATAATAAACATATTTAGAACATAACATAGATATAAAATTTCATATTATTGAAGGGTCTTTTTTTATTTTATTTTTTATTTTATGATTATGGTGAATAATACTATTTTCTTCAATTCAATCTAATTATGTATTTACTATGCATTACTACAATCGAATTAAGTTAAGTCTAGTATAATAATACTATAATTAAGTATTATTAATCTTTCTCTTATATGTGTTATTGAATAATACTAAAGTATAATTAATGTAAAACTATTTTATCTGTCATTTATTGCTAATTTATCATTAATTTTACTATTTAATTGATGGTATTTTAGACAAAATTAATAATCTCATATAACAATTTATTATTAAAAAAATTGAATTATTTTATCGTATAATTATACTCCATCTTTTCCAATACAATAGTCTTGTTTATTATATTTTCATAAATAACCCTGTAAAACTATTTATATTTTTTCATTATTATTATACAATTGTCACTTTTTAAAACTAATATACTCACAAGAGCAAAAAAAATCAATTATTCTTACTTTTTACCGATTACCAATATAATATCAATATTCCTTAAATTTTGTGACCAGGACAATAAAACTTTATCTTTGGGACGGAGAGAATATAATTTATTAAAATAATACATGTATTATAATCATATCTTACAAAGTAAACACAATCATATTGTGCCATATAGAACATGCTCTGTATGTTTTGATTATGTATGCTAATTGGGTTGCTAATATTGAAATGCAAAATTTATATTTAATTTTTTAAATAAAATATTATATAAAAAGTTATTTTTCATTTAAAATATTATAACATTAAATACTTATAATTAATATATATATATATATTTTTTATTTTGTTTTCAGGATGATGATTGGGGATGAGAATTGTTGCCACAACACAAGTACGGAGTTGCAGATGCTGCAACAATCTTCATCTCACTTCTCTAACTTTTGATCATAACTTAGGTTTATTTTATTTTCCTACTTTTAGGCTTTTTCTCACATACTTTTTGCCTACCCTTTTCTAGAATTACATATATATATATATATGTATGTATGTATGTATTATACGATGGGGTTTTGTAAAAATTATTTTATTAAATATACGATTGCTTTATGTTTCTTGCTAGCTTATTTACGTATTATTATGTTCGAAAGTTTATTCAGTATATATTTAAAGCATGACCGTGGTAGATTTCGACGTTATTTAAAAAAAATTATTATTTGATTTAATATGAATAAATAATAATTTAATTTTTAAAATATATATTTTTTAGTGTAGTAAAAAAAAAAGATAGTTTGATATTCTTGTAAAAAAAAAAAGATAAAATAGCGTAAAATCTCTTTATGATATTCGAAAATTCGAATTGCATTTATATTCAATTTATTTTTAATTAGTACTTTAACAAAACTATTGGAAACAAAAAAAATTTATTTCGGCAATATATTAATTTGAATTTATTTCAATCATTCAAATTTTTAAATGCAACTAATTTTATAAATTTGAGTAATTACAAAATTTTATAATATAAAAATGTATATAATTTTATTATAGTTTATATAAATTATTTTAAAAATAAAATATAATATTACATAATAAATATTATTATATATTATTAGATAATAAAAATATATAAAAATAAATAATTATGTTGAATTTTATAAAAATGATTGTAAAGGTAATAAATAAAAATGGTGATACTGATATTAAAAAAAATAATTTGAATGTTGATGTGAATATTACGTGGAGTAGAGAAATTGAAAAAAATTATATGTATTATATGTGCAAAGATGTTTAGGAAATAAAAAAATTGTGTAGTAACAACATTGACAAATCCAGCCTTGTTTGAAACAAATTAATAGTGAGTTCATTTCATTCACCAAGTTATGCACACAACATATTCACATCTCAATCATCAAATTCTTTTGATGAGTATTAATACAAATGAAATTAAAAAGAAAATAAAGCTATGTCGACGACGATGACGACGGCGGCGACCCAGGTCGATACATCGGAGGATCATCCCCGAGCAAAAGGGACCTCAGGATAGCTTCACACACATCGGCGTCGTAGACAAGAAAATGCCCGCCGTCGGGTACTTCATGGTACCGTATCCACGGCAACTTTTCCGACACAAATCTTTGAAGCTGAACCGGGACGACCTTGTCCTCCCGGCCCTGCCAAATATGCACCGTGCCCCCGTTTTCATTTTCCGGGTACGGGTCGCCCAAATCCATCGGGTTGAAGTCCCATTTACCATACGCCACTATGAAGTCGCGGCGATGGGAGTCGAACACAATTGGATCCCGTATCTTGTTCTAAGGTAAACACAAAAAAGAGAAATTCACGCACAATCAAGGTTCTGCTTACCCAACAACTTTTGAAAGTTTCGAAGGTATTTATGTGATATTAATTTTTGGTAAAATTGCTTATAAATCCTCTGTGGTTTCAAAATTTAACTTAAAATGTTTCTATACTTTAAAAATTATATAGCACAATTTTATACTTTAAAAAAGGTTGTATGAAACCCCACCGTCATGAAACCTCTCTTGTGTGATAAGAAGATGATTTTGTATCTATATTTTTTGCATGTCGGGGGTTTCATGCAACAAATTTTAAAGTATAAGAAGGCGTAATGCAATTTTTAAAATAATGTGGAGATTTACACTGAATTTCCAGACCACATAGGGGTTTTCTGCAACGTTTTTCAAACTACAAAGGGCGTCATTCAATTTTTAAAATAAATGGGGTTTTATACTGAGTTTCGAAACCAAATTGAGTTATGGGCAATTTTGCCTTATTTTTTTTTATACATATTCAATGCTAACTTTTTACTAATATCAATATTTTTTGAAATTTCCAAAACTCTAAAAGTTTCTGTCTACACGGAGCACAATTCATTCGCATCGACGAAAAAATGGTTACCTTGTTCAGAACTTGGAAGCCTGGCGTATACTTCAACACATCCAAGTCCTTCTTGCAAAAGAAAACAGGATTTCGATCGAGGACAGAGGACGATGGGAAGATTTTTTGAGTAAGCCACCAATGCAACAACCGCGGAGTGTAGCGCGCGACGAAAACCGACCATCGGGAAAGCCCTTTTCGGTAGTCGTCCTTTATTAGGTCGTTAGGAAGCGTCGGCCACATATAGTTTATATACGGGACAACAAGCGCCGCGCCGGCAAGCCTAACAACAAAATTACACGATGAGCGGTCAAGAATAATACTCCCCCTATCCCACCTTTTTTGTCCACCATTTCTATTTTCATTTGTTCCACCTTGATTATACACTTTAATAACATTTTAAATTTCATAATTTATAATATTTTTAATTTCAGTTATTTTAATTTTTATTAATACATTTTTTAATTACTTACTAGTTATACTTTACCCAAATTCTTGTATCAACGGAAAAATGGACACAAAATGTGGGACGGAAGGAGTAATTGAATCCAAGTACTAAGAAATTACGAATCGATATTTACCTATTCGGTAGTCTTTGAAGGCAACTCCACACGGGGTAACATCCAATCGACACTCCGAGCACATAAAATTTCGATCCCAACTGCAATTTATCGGCAAGCTCCTCGATGTCGGAGGCTTCGCTTTTAAGCGATCTCTTTGGGTTCGGATCGCTTTTGCCGTATCCGGCTCGATCGAACATAATTAGGCATATCTTCAACTCTTCCAACAATTCCTAACAGCTAAAATACTATCAGCGATCTCAATATCAATTCCAATATATATATATATATATATATCCGAAAAACATAAAAAAATAATTCAAATGTAGACAATCGAACAACAATGCTTCTTTAACGATCTAAACTTCTTCATACACATTATAAACAATATAAGTCAAAAAAATTTACGACCAACACGATCAGAGAAACACATTCATGTATAAAAGAAAGGCTCTTGCTGACTATTTGAAGAAATTTGATTCCAAAGGACCGCGCATTGTTCCCCAAATATAAAACGGCAATAAATTAGTATTCGGACAAAAATCGATCCCTAACGATTTCATGTTAAGACAAAGAGACATTGAGAATACAAACAATCTTCTTGGTCTTAAGAAACTCACTTCAATTTTCGGTGTATGCATTCGTCGAGAATCAATCAAACTGTCTAAAGTCTAACTCAACATCAAACATTCCGAATCAGAAATAAGCACCCGACAAACATATCCTTTCTTACCATATTACTCATTTCAAAATTGCAATCCTGTAATAGTTCGAGCATCAAACTAAGCCAAATTAAGAAACAGAGAATGAACAAATCGAGCAATTGCCAAGCAATATCTCAAAAAAACCAAATCCCTAATCCTAATAAAAAGCCAATTTAAGATTAAATTAATGGTGAAAAGGATAAATGAAAACCCATTTACTTGGGTAGCCATGAAATTCATCTCCTTGGAGCTGCCGAAGCCATGGACGACAATGACTTGAAAATTGGAATTGTTCTTGGGGACTCCTCGCTCAATGTAAGCCAAGTATCTGCCGTCGCTCAGCCGAACCCTAGGCGGATCAAACTCACGAACATTGTCCGAATCAAGACACAAATTAGATTCCCCATTCTCGGGCTGCTGCTTGCCCCCAAATCCAAGACAGCCCATAATCATCCCAACTAGATTCTTAAAGACCATTTCTAACACAAACAAAATTCATTCAGTCAATCAGCTTAATCGAATCAAGCATCGGTACTCGAACGAAATGAAGTGAAGACTTTAGAGAGTAGTTTAATTGGGGGTTCTTACAGATCCTTAAACCCTAGTTTTGCAAGAAGCTCTGCTGCTGCTGCTCCAGATCCTATCTCGGAATTAATTAGCGAGAATCACGCGGTGAATCGACATAATTGGAGGTGCTTCGCTTCGCCACAGTCGGTGAGAGTCAATCAGAGTTGAGATTGGAGAAAGTTGGAGCAGATTCAGAGAGAGAAATGATTAGGGAAGGAGGGAAGGGAAGGGAAGGATCCGATTGTAAATGGAAGATTCTTTTTGGGTGCTTATGGAATTATTATGCTCTATTTGACTAATAGGTAATAAACGTTACTTGTTCAAATTTGGTTATGTTTTAGAGAGAGCTTTGAAGTTTTGTAATTAAAAAAATAAGGGACTTTCTGATTGGGAGTTTGGATTTTGGATTTTGATTTTGAATTTGAATAATAAAAATTTGAATTTAAATAGTGATATGATGTGATATAAATATGTATCGATGTATTGTTTGAATGTAAAATTAATTTTTAGTAGAGTTTTCAATTCGTGTTTCTCGGGTTGTGTTTGTGTCGGATTGAATCATGAGTGTAACAAAAAACTGTCAATTCGAACCCGAAATTTGACCCGAAACTCTAGATCCTAACATGACATTAATTTTTCCGGGTTGTGTTTAGGTTGATAGGATTTAGTTTCAGGTTACCCGAAATCCGAATAAACTCAACATGAAACCGGCCCTAAAACTTTTAAAAAATTAAATTTACTTACAAAAATAATTTTAGGTCAACTCGAACACAACACGGATTTTTTTCATTTCAATTCCGGTCAATCTAGTTTTTTACAAACTCGAAATACCAAAATTTTATGTCGAACGGGTTCAATTTTTTGAGTCGAGTTTAATTTTGACATCCTAAATTTTGAGTATAATATAAAAAATAAAAAATAGATATTTGATTTATATTTTTTTTAAAAAAATTGTTTATGAATAATAAAAAATTATTAAAATCCTTCAAACAACACAACCTATATAAATAAATAAAAATATCTAATATAATATGGTGAATCACATTCTTTTGAAGAGAAAAATGTTTTTCTTTTTGGTGTGTTTGTTTGGAGGTTTGGATTTTGAATTGAGATTTGAATAGTAAAAATTTTGAATTTGAATAGTTGTATAATGCGATATAAATAAGTGTTGATGTGATATTTTGAATGTAAAATTGAATTTTAGTATAATATAAAAAATAAAAAATAGGTGTTTACTTTGATATTTTTTAGAGAAAAAATTAGATGAATAGTATAAATCCAATCCAATCCCAGACAAACACACCCTTAAAATCCCAATGTCTTTACGGTTCATTTGAATAAAGTACATTAGTGGGTCGACTTGATACTATTTTAATTTTCACGAAACATTTATTTTAATTTGATTGGGCAAGCAAACTTATTTTCACTTATTTTTTTTTCAATATTTTAAATAATATTAGATATAATATTATAAAAAAATAAATAAATTTAGGAATATTTTCATTTAAATCTTTTATTACACTCTATTTAACTATATTAATATTTTAAATTTAAATTTAAAATATGGATAAATAAATAATGAATGGATGAAAGAATATTTTTTCAAAGAATATGAGAATTACATAGTAGTAAAAATTCAAAATAATTATTTAAAAAATTTCTAATTAGATCAAATCTCTCTCTTTTTTATTTTTATTTTATATTTCTTTATTATTAAATTCTCTCTTTTTTTTATTTTTTTTTATTATTATTTTTTTAATTTTAATTTTTTTTTTCTAATTGAATATTTTAGTTTTAAGTTTTTTGGTCCGAAAGCCATTAAGGGTGTGCTCGTTAGTAGGATTTTGATAAATCCCTACTATTCATTTAAAAAAATGTCAAAATTAACACTTATTTTTTATTTTTTATATTATATTAAAAATCAATTTTACATTCAAAACATCACATCAACACCTATTTATATCACATCATACAACTATTCAAATTCAAAATTTTTACTATTCAAATCTCAACTCAAAATCCAAACTCCCAAACAAACACACCCTAAAATTCTTTATAAACACTTCATCAGTAATCGATATTATTATTTCTTAAAAAAAAAATTATATTCAAATTAATATTCAAATTAAAAAATTAAATTAAATTTGAAAAGAACACGCGTAGCTTTCATTTCTATCCTATCCATATATGATGCAAAATTTATTTATTTATTATATGAAAAAGTGTACACACTGTTTTCTACTCCTGGAGTAATTGCTGAGAGTCCACATTTCATCTAATTGTTGGATGATCCGGACCCCACAAGATAAGCGGTCGAGATTCATCTGGTGTTCAGATCCCTGGATCTTTCATGAATATTATCTTAGCTGTCGGAGTCTGCATGTAACATGCAGGAGACAGATCAGCACCAACAGCTCTTCTGAAAGAAAATTAAGCAAATGTGTTAAGCTTTTTTTTTTTTTTTCCTTGTCTTTTTATTTAAAAAGTATATTTACAATATAAAAAATAATATCTTATATTATAATCATTTATTTTAATGGTGAATGGAATGTATATTATATATTTTATGTATATATATAAATTTTTAATTTTTATATAATATTAATCGAAATATTGTATTCATTATTTTGAAATTTATTTTATACTATTTAAATTATATTTTTTTCTGTCTCAATTCAATGTTTTTTTTTAATATTAATTTTAATAAAAATGATATTTTTTATTTAGAGAGATGAAATATATATGTTTCATATTCATTACCAAGATGGGGTTCAAATTTATTTTTTTAGCTATCATAAAAATTTCTCCTCTAAAATTTAAAATAATAAATAGAAATCTTATATTATATTTAAATTAATACCTAATTATTAATTATGAAAAATACCTATCGTTCTATTCAAGTTTTCATTATTCTCAGTGCTAATTCATAACTTCAAATTAAATTCTTCTAAAATATATCTTAATTTCATAGATGGAATTACTTGAAGTTACATTTTATTTGTTCAAACTAGACAGCTCGAATGATTTGGTTTTTAATTTGATTGATATAATAATAATAATAATAATAATAATAATAATAATAATAATAATAATAATAATAATAATAATAATAATAATAATAATAATAATGTTGGAACTTTCATTTCTAAGTAAAATTTGATTAAAGAGATCTTTTATTTTTTAAAAATTAAAAACAATATTTTCTATTAAAATACTTAAAAATGGATACTTTAAATTTAATGAAAAGTAATATTATAAAAATGGCATTATAAGTTGGATGATCAAGTGATTTATAAAATAAAGGAGATTTGAAGGCATATATATATAATCTAATGATGGATGAATTAATTAATTAATTAGTCACTATAATTTTGATTAAATTAAGTATTGAGTGCAAACATGAATCAATGCTACTTTACTCATTTATTTCACTTCAAACCTTTGTATTTAAATAAATAAATAAATTAATAATAATATAGCCAAATTTCAAATCCAAGTGATTCCAAATTAATTTCTTAAGAAATGGGAGAATCTTGTACACTTTTTTGACAAGAAGCAAATTTCAAAGTCATGCATCACATATGCCCTAAAAATATTATATATATATATATATATATAGATAATTGCTTTGTAATAATTTTACAATTATATACAATTTCAATAAAAATATTTTTAAGAAAACTAAATATTGTTTCCTATGTGAATGGAAATTCCCCTAAGTTATTTTGGCATATGAACTAATGGTGTCTTAATTTCTGCAGCAAAGACTTTTCAAAAGAAAAAAGACATATTTGAGGAAAAATCAAAATAGGGAAACTCACTCCTTCCATTACGGTGCAAAGGAAAATTAGTGTGGAATCTTTTATTCCAGGAACGTGAGTGATTTACTCAACCGGATAGGGTTGAAGATTGGTAATGTGTGATTTGGAGATCATACTTTAGAAAGAAGAATATTGAGTGAAGCTCTTATCCATCTATCCATATCGATTCCCTTTAGTTTTGAATGAGTTTTTGACAGAAAAATTCGCCGGAGAGGTCGAAGGTGTTCGGAATTAATGGAGTTCCAACCGGAGGGAATGATCAAGCTCTGGAATTCTCTGCTGTGTGGTCGTTGTTAGTACGAGGTTGTAACAACGAGAACCTTAGGAGGTATTTTCCTGGGTTAGCCATGACTAGCATTAGAGTTAAATGAGTTGTGGTTGTTTGTGTCCTTAATCAGCACTGGTTAGTGGAATTCCTCCTGGATTGGTATCCCTAGATTTAGATTGGTTGATAATCGAACCGGGTCAACAAACACCTTGTCTTATTGTTGTTTTATGTTCTGCATTGTTTTTCGTTGTTGAAACGTAGTTATAACTGTCAACCGCCCACGCTTCGGGAGTTGACCCTTTAAAATGTTCGAATGTGTTTTGTTCGATAAATCACTTCTCCAACATCCTAGGTTCACATGTTATAAATAATAATACAAACATATGTAATTGTTAATCGTTTCGCATTTATTTTAATTATTTTCTTCTTAATTTTACTTCAACACTTGGCTTTGTCTCGAGCTTTTGTCATGTGCGAGTTTCGTCTATATACTTTCACACATCGATTATTCTTCTTTTTCATTTGTCAAATATTTGTAAAATGTCTTCTTCTTCCTTCATTTCTTATTTATTTATTTATTTTTAACAATGGAAAAATGCATGTATAGTTTGATAAAAAAAAAAAAAAGTGAAGTATTAGACACAATTCTCTTCGCTATTCAACTTGTCGATCAAGTGGGAGAGTTCAAGAAAATGTTTGGGCTATTCTTTCAGTGTAAGCTTTTTTTTTATTTTTTTTTTATAAACATATAATATTCTCCCATGTAAAGTATGCACAACTATTATTTTAATATAAAATACAACCAAATACAACTATTATTTTGGATATACTGATTTATGCTATTTTTTTCCCAAAAAATAATAATAATAAAAAATCATACCTATTTTCATTTTATGTATTAATTCCTTTTCTATTAGAGATATGTTTTACTATCTTAATTTCAAATTTTTACTATTTCTCAAACATAAAAACAACAAATGCAAATATGCATAATTAGGGTATATTTGGTTTGCAATGATATAGGTCCAAACGTTTTACTATTTTATCTTCACAAATTTCTATAAAATACACTATTTTATTTCTTAAACATTGTCATATTCAAACTATTATTCGAACTAAAATAACAAAAAAAAAAAAAAAAGACAACCTAAAGTAGAAGCAAATTATGAATATTTATTATTATTATTATAAGTTAATAAAATGAAGGTGACTAGGAAGAATGGGATAACCTTAAGACATTTTGACAAAGGAACTATATAAAAGTTATATATATATATATATATATATATATGATGTGATATTTCAATTGGATTCTCTATTTGTTGTTTTTATTATCTTGTTTCTTTTAGTGGAGCATATATATGCATTGGTCTCACTATTTCCATTAACCACATAAGTATTTGTTGCATTTTCTAAAGTAATTAAGAAATCCACAAAATAAATAAATAAATAGATAATAAAAATAAGAGCACCTTCAAAAACCAAAAAGACAAGATAAAGGATTTGTTTGATTTCATTTCAAATTGAGTTTTGGTTTGAACACTATTTTAATAAGAAATATTTCATCCGTCCCAAAATAATAGTCTTGTTTTCATAAATAACCATATCACCATAAAACTATTCATACTTTATTATTATTATTACACAATTGCCACTACTTTTTATATTAATATACTCACAGGGGAAAAAAAGTAATTTATCCTTACTTTTTACCACTTATCAATATAATATTAATATTATTTAAATTTCGTGTCCAACATAATAAGAATATACTTTTAGGACGAAGGGAGTATATTTTTATAAAAAATTATGACGTACAAATTGAATAATATTCCATTTGTCTCAATGGAAAGTATCTATCTTTTTTTTTGTTTGTTTTTTTTATAATATAAATGTATTAATATGATATTTTAAATATAAAAAATAAAATATTTAATATTTGATATTTCAAAGAAAAAAATTAATAAATAATAAAAGTTTTGGTAAAATTTAATAAAAAAACACCAAGATTTTATATTTTCAAAATAAATCAAAATAATAAAACACTTCCAATATGCCAACCTAATAATAATAATAATAATAATAATAATAACAATAAAAGAATTTTTCATATATACTAATTAATTAAAAGCATCCACAAAATGAAGAAGAATTTATAGTGACCTCACATCCAATAAGCTACCTGGAAGAAGGATTGAATACAATAGAATCATATATATATATATATATATAACATACTCACTCCATATGAATGTGTTTCAGTTTGGAAAAATTTGGTTTAGATTTGGTATTAAAATAATATTTTATAGGATATTTTGTAAAAAATATATTTTTTTTCAAAAAATACGAGTCAAAATAATAGAATTTGAAAAAATTAGGGTAAAGAAAGTACTCTTACTTATTTGTAGGTAAATAAAAAAAGATTAACATATTAATTATGTGTATATAGAAATTAAAGTTGCAAGAAATTAGTGAATTAATTAATTAAATGGCATTATATATATGTATATGAAAGGAGGGTCTTTTCTATTTATGGCAAGAATGTCATCAACCCTGCATGTAAACATGCCACCAGCAACCCTTTATATTCTTCTCATATTTTGTAGTCCCTCCGTCCAAGCTAAAAGTATACAATTATTTTTTGTGCGGAGATTAAAAAATAATAATATTTTAATTATAGTAGGTAGGTAAAAGTAGTAAAATGATATTTTTGCCCTTACTTTTTTGGTATAAAAGTAATGATGTGATGTAAAGTAGGGATATTTGTGGAAAAAATGGGGTATTTAATGAAATAATTACTTTGTAGTTGGACGTCTTAAAATAGAAATATGTATACTTTCTATCCGGACGGAGGAAGTATTTTCATTTTTATTTTGTGGAAATAAATTAATAAACTGCTTTTTATATATATATATATATATATTCTCAATGTGGAGTTCCTTTTTTATTTTTATTTTTTAAAATTTCTATTTGTTATTCTTAATTAATTAATTAATTAAATTGTGTAGCTAGGTAGGTAGGTAGGTCACTAACCCAATATAGTAATTCCCCATTTGACACTTTGAGAAAATGTTCCCTAAAACCCCCTGGAATTTCATCACTTTTTATACCTTAAATGCCAAAGCTCAGCCCACATTCACAACCCTTTAATTTTGTTTTAGTTCACTATATATATATATACATATATATATAGCTACCACCTCATGCACCATCTTTTCTTTCTTTTTAATTTATATATAAAGCTGGAATATCCTCCAATTACATGGTGGAAAGTTAACTTATGGAGAGAGAGAGAGAGAGAGAGATGTGATTGTACAATTTATATAATTGTATTTCATGTATATATCTATTGTGTTTATAGCGTATTATCATGTGCTGATAGAATATGTGTCGTATATTGTATTATTATGTACGGTAATTTATACATTGTCTATCTTATATATATATTAGTTCGGTCGGTCAATACATTTATATAGATGATCATTTATTTTTTTTCCCAAAAAAACCATGTATATAATTCAAGAATACTTATACTTCTTCCGTCTCATATCTATATATCCATTTGTTTTTTGTACGGAGTTTTAGAAATATTAGTATTATATTGGGATAAAGTAGAAATAAAGGTAAAAAGACTAAATTAACCATATTCGTATTGTATGATATAAAAGTAATGACATTTGTGTAATATATTGTAAATCGGAAGGGTATTTGTAATGTTAGGTAGATAGTACAATTATTAAAAAAAAAATATTTTGTTATGGGACAAACTAAAATAAAAAAAATGAATAGGAGGAAGAATGAAAAAAATAGATAAAATATTTCATCATCATATTAACATCGAGACAATACTTTGTCTTGTAAAAGGATATTCTATGACACAATTTATTTCAATTTTTTTTTTTTTTTTTCAAAGAATGAAAATAAGTGTAAATCGAACTTCATATCAAATTCAAATTTGATAAATTCGAAGCTATTACTCTTCAAGTGCTGAGTAAACATTCGACCGAACCTAATATATACTATATCCGTCCCTTAATAATCTATCCATTTTTTTATTTTGGTCCGTCCGATAACAAAGTATCTATTTTCATTTTTAGTAATTGTACTATCTACCTAACATTACAAATATCCTTTCAATTTACAATATATTACACAAATGTCATTACCTTTATATTATACAATACTAATATGGTTAATTTAGTCTTTTTACCTTTATTTCTACTTTATCCCAATATAATACTAATATTTCTAAAACTCCGTGCAAAAAGCAAATGAATTTATATAGATATGAAACTGAGGGAGTATATTTTAACAATACAATCTTTCAACTTTCTTTTAACAAAATACGGTACCCCCGGATCAATTTTCATCCCGAAAATTACATCAAACTATCATTTCACTTTTAAAAAAGACACAAAAATATGAAATAACCTCTAGGAAACAAACCCTAATTAATTAGTTTACCTATAGTTAATTACTCAATCAATTAAGCTAAGTTGTGGATCACTTTTGTAAATACTATAGATTAATAAATAAATAAAGGATCAATTGATTGGTCTGAGTATGATGTTGATTGAGGTGTTTAAGTTATTCCATAGTTTGTTCGAGCATGAGTTCGATGTCCAATCACACTTTATTGCAAGTATAATTTCTTGCTTTTTTTTTTTCAAAATGTCCACACACATTCTGTGCTTTCGTTTTTTCCATGACAGATAATGACTTTACCCAATGTACAATTAATAATAATACCCCCAAAAAGGCTTTTTCCCATTAACCAAAAACCCTAATTTATGCAACAATCATTTTATTAACAAATACTATAATCATGGGTTTTTCCCACTATAAATTGCAACCATTTGGTATCCCATTCCCATCAACAAATTAAAAGAAAAGAAAAGAAAAGAAAAAAAACCCATTGGATCTCCTCTCTCTCTACCTCTCTCTCTCTCTCTCTATAATATTTTGGGGGGTTTAATTAATTAATTAAGTCTTGAAAATATATGGCGAAATTGTCATCATCAGATCCTCTGGTGATTGGGAGAGTGGTTGGAGATGTGGTGGATGTGTTCATCCCAAGTGTTAAAATGTCTGTGGTTTACAGCTCCAACAAGCTCGTCTACAATGGCCATGAGTTCTTCCCCTCCACTGTTGTCTCAAAACCTAGGGTTGATGTTCATGGTGGTGACATGAGATCATTTTTCACCCTAGTAAAGAACAACACATTCTCTCAATCTCTCTCTATAATTTTTTTAAATTTGTTGTGATTTTGTTAGTGTGATTTGGCTGTCGCAGATCATGACAGACCCTGATGTTCCTGGCCCAAGTGATCCATATCTCAGGGAGCATTTGCACTGGTAATTGTTAATTAAGTTGAAGAAGACAAAACCCTTATATATATATATATGTATGTATATGTATATACAGTTATGACCTAATTAACTAAAGGAGGTCAAAATAGATACAAGTAGCCATGGGCATTTATAGATAGAATGTGCAGATACATTTTCGAACCTGACATATATACTTATCGAACAAAAAATAAAAAGCCCTTTTAAAGCTAAGAGTTTTATGTTCATTTTTAGCTCTGTCATATCATGTTTATATATATATATATATATATTTCAACAAATTTCGAAAATATAAAACTATACCTATTTTATATATAAAATACCAAATTCAATTACTATTTCACTTAAAAACAATACATACCAAACACACCCTTAATAAATTTTCTTAGCTATCGTTATTATTATTTAATTTGGTGAGGTTTTTGAGAGCTAGGGTTATGATAAGAAACAAATCAATAAACTTTCAAGATTGGATTTTTTAATTAATTTCTGTATCCCCCAAGAACTAGTTGTTACACATTTATGTTGTTGATTGTAGTCTATATATATATATATGTCATATAAAGTTGTGTATTGAAAAAGAGAGCCAGAAGAAGAAGTGAACACTTTACCATTTACACACACACACACACACACACAAAATAAATAAATAAATAAAATTAATTAAGTAATTATCAAACATGTATTTATAAATTGTAATAATAATTAAACCATCACCCGTTAATTTGTTTGTTCAGTGTACTGACCAAAAACATGACTTTCGATTTGACCAGGATTGTCACAGACATCCCAGGCACCACTGATTCCTCCTTTGGTACTTACGTCTTTATCTAATTCATTATCAATTAATTAACCAAAAACAAAAAAAATTATTTGAATTATAATTAGGGTTTTTTTATTTTTTTATTTTTATTTTTGAATTGGCAGGAAGAGAAGTTGTGAGCTATGAGATGCCAAGGCCAAACATAGGAATCCACAGGTATGCATTTCTGCTGTTCAAGCAGAAGAAGAGGGTCCAGGGAGCAATGCTCCCACCGACTTCTCGGGATCGATTTAGCACGAAGAAGTTCGCCGAGGACCACGATTTGGGCCTTCCCGTCGCCGCGGTTTACTTCAATTGCCAGCGCGAAACGGCTGCGAGAAGACGTTGATCGACGACATCGATTAATCGTATTGGATCATGATCTAGAATGGACTATGTTGTTTTTGATGTATTATTAGGGTTTCTAATTTTATGTATGTTGTGGTAAGAATAAAAGATGAAGTATCATTATGGGTGTGGTTTAATTAGTAATTATAAGTAGTCATGGAATGAATTAATTAAGTGTATTGGACATTATATCTCTATGGAATCATGTCTTTCTTGAAATTAATTGTTTCCTAAGTTCTGTTTATTTTGATTTTTTGTTTTCAATGTTTTTTTTTTTCTACAAAATTTTACATCCAACAATTTTTTAATAAAAGTAGTAGTACATTCGGTATGGCAGGTGACCTGAGGCATCGGGTTTAAACCCATAGCCTCACGGTCACAAATCCAACCCCTACACCACCAAGTCATCGCGCACTTGCGAGACTAAATTAACTTTTTACAATATTTTATAGTGGTTATCACTTATAATCACTTATTTCAACTACTCTCCTAGATACACAAATAATACTATACATATATATATATATAATTTCATATTTACAATTATGTATATATATATTTTATTTATTTATATAATTTTATTTTCTACGGGATAACATCCTATAGAATATATTTTATTGAAAAGTATAATTTATAAAACACATTTTAAATACTTTTAGCCAAATATATAATACATTAATTATAACCCAGCATACAACCAAATTAACAACATTTCATTAAATAAAAACCTAACTTCCAACCATAACTCCATTTTATAACCAAACACAACCTTAGCTTGTACATCCACAATATGAAGTATATATCAAATTAACCAATAATAATATTATTATTATTTTTGTATCATGGAAATAATTTATACAGTGACAAATTAACACTAAGAAAAAAATTAGAAAATAAAAAATCAACAACGGCCAATAGTAAATAAAAATAAATACATTAATATTGTAAACAAATCTTTTTCAAGCCAACCAAAAAAATATAATAAAATAAAAAAAACGAATGCATGAATGAATGATGAATACACAATTTTACGAATAAAAATACAACAATTTTTTTTTTAAAATATATATATATATATATAATGTTGAAAAATTTGACCGTTTGAGGCTTAATCCCGCTAGTCACTCGATAAATAAATTGAGTTGGTCCTACTAATTAATTTTTATTTTTGTAAGATCCGGGATATAAATTTATAGTATATAATTCATATTTATATTATATAAAAAAAATTATTCTATTGATTCAAATTGTTCAAAATTCAAAGCCTCAGGCCTATTTTCAAAGAAGAAATATATATATACATATATATATATATATATAAAGTTTAATAATTTCTATAAATCCTAGGATCGACAGCAAAGGTATGTTTGAAAACGAATATGACAATAAGAAAAAGTAGGGTTTCTAAAAAGAAAAGGAAAAGGTGGTGCCTTCTTCAGTTGCAGCTGATAAGAAATAAAATAAAATAAAATAAAATAATAATAAATGAATATATATATATATATATAATTAGTAATGTATGCGTTGCCATTATTTATTTATTTATTTATAATTTAATTAATTTGCAGGCTGTGTATGTCTGATTCAATCAATCAATCCCTCCTCCGATCCATTAACTTATTTGTTTGTTTGTATGGGTTTTTTAAAGCCAAACCAATCTCTATTTCTATTTATTCATATATAACCACCTCGCTTTTCTAATATTTCATTATTATCTCTTGAAAATCTATTTTTTAATAATAATAATAATAATAATAATAATAATAAATTAATAATAATTGATGATTTTTTTTTATTTTATAACGTAAAAATCCGTCACTGTTACCTGAAAGTGTATATTGAGAAAACTTCCGGTAGAACTTAATACCCTGCAAACTAGTTGACGATTATTTATTGTAAGTAGTTTAGTGCCTCCTATATACACAAATTATATTTATATCTAGGGTTTTTTGGCTCGATTATTTTTTTTATACAATTCTCAATATATATAATATAATATATTTTATTAGTTTTTAAAAAAATTAATATTTAATAAAAAAATATTATTTTTTATATTATTTATATAATTTTTTATATTTCGCGAAAAAAAAAAAAAAAATCTTTTCAACCAAAACACTAATCAAACAAAAACCTATTCTTGAACCGCATTCGTGATTGAGAGTTCTATGCATAATGTTGAGATCATTTTCTTTTAATTATTTTTTTTCCTTTTTTTTAAAAAATAATTTTGTGCATGTTTTTATGTAATTTCTAATCTTATTAAAAGTCAAAACGCTAACTTTTATTACGATTTTGAGTAGTAATATTCAATATTAGAATTGTCAAAGTAAATTGAGCGACACTCAAATGACTGATTTGATCAAATTAACATATTAATTCGAAATAATTAACATTTTATTATAAATTTCCCAAATTTTACCCAAGGGTATGTTTCTTTACCCCAATTTTTACTATTTGGACTCTGCATTTTTCGAAAAAAAAAATATATATATTTTTTCTAACAAAACATCCCATCAAACATTATTTTAATACCAAAATTTTACCAAACTTATCAAAATAAACATACCTATAATATAATGTCTATACAATATATTGTACTAACATTTGCTTTGTGAATTATAATATATTCTATTATATTATATTATATAATCGCCTTATTATATTGAAATCAAAATATATTATGCTATATATAAATAAATATAACATGCTATTGAAATAAATGGTAGTTATATATTATATTAAGACATCCTATTAAATATCTGTTACTTTCTATACCAAAGCGGATTTAACTAATTATATATATATAAATATATATTTCTTGTCTACTAAATTTATGTTTTTTTTTTCACAGAATATATATATATATATTTATAGTAACAAATTAATTTTATACACTCTTTAATTTATACATTTTATTTTATTTATTTATACATATACCATCAACATCTACACAGTCAATTTTTTTTAAAAAAAAATTCTTAGCTTATTAACTAATTTATATACTTTTCAAAATATTTTTATTTTATATTACAAGGAACCAATTTAATATTATATTTATTAAAACACATATTCAACTCATATGAATATATTTTTTATTGATAGAGAGAATATATACTTTTAAGATGTAGTCAATCTGTGTCCTCATCGTATTTTATCAACTAACAACTATATATTGTCTTCGTTTATAGAATTTTATAAATTTTTTATTATTTATTATTATTTTTTTTAAAAATATCAAATCAAATATTTATTTTTAAATTTTATATTATATTAAAAATTATTTTTAATTTAAAATATTACATCAATATATATTTATATCAAATTATTCAATTATTCAGATTCCAATTATTGACTATTGAAGTCCCTAACCAAGATCCAAAACCATCAAACAAACACAATAATATCATGTTACCTCAAAAAAAAATTTCAAAATTTTCAAAAATTCTATTCCCTCGGTTCTAGAACTATAGTCTGGATTGTGTTTGGTACAAGATTTAAAAAATATTGATATTATATTTGTAGTGGGTAAAAAAGTACAGTTAAAAGATTTTTTTACCCTTGTGAGTGTATTAGTGTAAAAAGTAGTGACAATTGTGTAATAATATGAAAAAGTAATACTCCCTCCGTCCTATGTAATATGGATGTATTACTGTAGACACGAGAATTTAGATAAAGTATAATTAGTAAATAATTAAAATGTATTAGTAAAAATAATTATTATTTAGTAAAAATAATTATAAATTAAGATTAAGATAAGTAAATAGTTTAATTAAGATTTTAAAAAATTTAAATTTTGAATTTTAAAAATATGATTAAAGTGTATAATTAATTTTCCAAAAAAGAAAAGGACAAATTATGTGGGACGGACGAAAATAAAAAATAGGGACAAATTATGTGGGACGGAGGGAGTAGTAATTTTATAGTGATATTGTTATTTATAGAAATAAGACTATTGTTTTTGGACGGGCAAAAATGATCAACAAGACTATTGTATCGAGATGGACGAAGTATTTAAATTGAGCCTAAATACTGTTGAATTCAATACTCTTTTATGACTAATTCAGGGTGTGTTTGTTTGGGGGACTGGATTAGATTTATACTATTCATTCAATTTTTTTTCCAAAAAATATCAAATCAAACACCTATTTTTCATTTTTTATATTATACTAAAAATCAATTTTACATTCAAAATATCACATCAACATTTATTTATATCACATTATACAACTATTCAAATTCAAAATTTTCGCTATTTAAAAATAAACACGTGTGTGTTTATCTTGGAAAACTAACCAGCCAGTCATCACATGCATTTCTAACCATACTTATTAGCCATTCCCATTACAAAAGCTGAACCCTCTCTCTCTCCCTTCCTCTCTCTCTTCCTCTCTCTCTCTCTCTCTCTCTCTCTCTCTCTCTCTCTCTCTCTATATATATATATATCTTTCTATCTCTCTCTCTATATATATATGGATGTACGTGATTAGCCATTCTCAGTCTCAGCTTTGGAACAAATACAAATGTATCCGTACATATATGATAGTAATAATCAATTAAGAACTAGTCACCCCTCTCCCTCTCTCTCTCTCTCTCTCTATATATATATATATTTGTATATATGTATAGGTGTGCGTTTAACCATTGGTCACTAGCGAGCTACAGAATCGCAAAATGACAAACGTTGAGAAGCAGAAAGCTGGGTTGAATTGAATTACGTACAAAGCATTATACTTAGGGCAGAGGAATATCGTGTACATGTTTAATTTTATTTTATTTTCTTTTACTATACTCCCTCCATCCTGCGTACTATGGTCAGGTTGTCATTTTTATCCGTTCCATATTCAATGTCACTTTTTTGTTTTTAGAAAATGATTATACACTTTAAACTTTTTAATTTAATTTTAATTAAATTAATTAATTATCTTAATCTTAATTTATAATTATTTATATTATAGAATAATTATTTTTACTAATACATTCTTAATTATCTATTAATTACATTTTTCTTAAAATACCGTGTCTATAGTATAGCAGACACGGTATGTGGGACGGAGGAAATAAAAAAGACGTAAATGAATTATTACAATGAAATGACTGATTGGGGTCGTATTATCTTATGTATCTAATTTAATTTCCAGCTATTAATTTAGTCAGTCCCATCCTAAGAATTCATTGTCTAAATTGGAGATTAATTGTGATGAATATATATATATATATATATATATATATATAATGGATAGATAATTAACTATAGGGTTGGTTTGGTTTGATCAATTTGCAAAGAAAGCACAACACATACATTATCTATTTATTTATTTTATTTATTTTTTAATACGTGGAATCCGCGGGTTCTTCATGGCTGTTTTGGATAAACTTTCGATAAACTTAGGTTGCGTTTGTTTGAGAGTTTGAATTTGAATAGTAAAAAAAAAATTAAATCTGAATAATTATATAATATGATATAAATATGTATTGATGTGATATTTTGAATGCAAAATTAATTTTTAGTCTAATATAAAAAATAAAAAATAAGTATTTAATTTGACATTTTTAAGGTAACAATTTGTGAAAATAATATAAATCAACACAAATACTTCAAACAAACACACATACAAGACATATATCTTCTTGTTTCTTTTAAAGTCTCATAATGGTCTTCACTATTCAATTCTACCCTAAGATTCACTATAGGCACAAGAATAGTTTTTTAGGCCATTTCCAACCACCCGTCAAAATTGAGATGGCCTTAGGTAAAAAATTAAAGTTATTATCTTTGTTCGAGGGTGTTTGGATTTTTAATTTGAAATTTGAACGGTAAAAGTTTTGAATTAAAATAATTGTATAATATAATATAAATATATTTTAATATAATATTCTGAATGTAAATATTTGATTTGATATATTTTGAAAAAAAAATTCGATAAATAGTAAAATTCTAGTAAAATCTTATAAAAAAACACAGGGTTTTTAGAAGTTTCGGAAAATTTTGAAAATATTAAAAAAATTGAGGGGGGAGGGGAACACATTTTGTTAAAAATCTAAAATTTTAATATATAATTAATTTTTTATAGTTATAATATATTAAAAAATATTTAAATTAAAATTTTATTCTATAAATTGTATCGGGACAAACACGGTCAATCGCACAAGCCCAGGAACAGCCTGGATTTTCAAATGTACCGGGCTGGCCCGACCCAAAAATTATGACTATTTATATAGATACTTCTTAAACCTTTATTAATATTTATCAAATATATTTTTCTCTTACAAAATATCATTTTAAATACTCAAGTTTTACTATTAATCTTTTTTAAAAAAACGAATTATACTTTTTTCCTTCATTCCAAAGTTGACTATTGATTTTTCCTATTCTAAATATAATTTTGTTTAATTTAATTTCAAACATTTTACTTTAGATTCTGCCCATATCTTCTATTGGGCCGATAATCGGAGAAAGGGCCAGGCCTTCAAAAATATGGGCCTTATTGGAGACTTGAAGTTTGTTTTAGGTTATAATAATCAAATAAAAATTAATAAGGTAAATTGCATAATACCTGTTAAATTTAATAAAAATATATAAAAAAATAAGTATTTTATTTATTGCGTGAAGTCTTATTGTATTAAATTAAATTATACAAAAAACATTTTTTTCGTCTCAAACTGATGTTTGGTTATAAATACTACTAATTATGCAAATTTTATACAAATAAAAGATCATATATTTTAAATAATCTCATTTGAATAAAAATAAATAAATAATTGATCAATACTCAATTCTATAGTTTTTTTTTCTTCGTAAAAAGTAGATAATGATTTGTCTCTAAAAAATCATTAAGGTTGTGTTGTGAGTAGAGCGTCAAATGGGTTGAGCCCGTCGGGTTGGCCCGTCCTGCCTTACTTTTAAGGAGGGTTGAGTTGTGATTTTTTAAGCTCGTTAAAATGCGGGCCTAAATGGGCCAACTTGCATGGACCGCGAGTTGAGGGTGGGTTAGCCCGCAGGTCAAGTAAATATAATAATTAATACTCACTCGTTTAACTAAATGTATTTTTTTTATCATTTTTTACTGTCATATTAAAAAATTACAATAAAACTAATCAAATATTAATATAAGAATATATTTTAATTTTTTAAAAATTACAAACATACCATTATAAATAAGTTAAGAAGAATAAAATAAAATTTATATTATTATTAGCTTAAATAAATTATCAATATTGTCTGCACGTTGTTTTTCTTCTCTAACTATGTTATTCATAATATTGTTATTTGTTTCAATTTTTCATCATTTGTTTTGTTCGTCTTTCATTTTATTATTTTATAATTTTACAAATTCATAAAATTAATTATGATTTATTTTTAAAATGAAGTATTTCTTATTATTAATTTTTTTAAATACACCAATTAATAATATTTAGAATTGAGAATTTTTATATTTGTTATTTATTTTAAATTATTTATTATTTAAATTTTACAATAAAACTATTTTTAGCTATTTTTAAATATTAATTACGAAAATATTTATAAAATTAATATTCTTTTAATATTTTTAAAAAACACGTGGGCTAGCTCGCTTAGCTCGCCGCCTGCCGGTGGGTTGGGTTGGGCTGATAAAATTTTGATCTGTCCCGCCGCGGGTTGGCCCGCAAACAACCCGCTTATTTGCGGGTTATGGTGGGTTGTGAGCCAATCCGCCCCACTAACCCGTTTTGACACGTCTAGTTGTAAGTTTTAAGTTTATTATTCAAATTCTTTCCCTAAAAAAAAATCAAATCAAACGATTAGTTTTCTTTTTTATACTCCATCCGTCCCGCAGGAAGGTTGTCATGGTCTGTTTGCGAATTGATCTTTGAATATTAATTATTAAATCAATACGCAGTAGAAATCAAGAGAAAAAAACAAAATACGTTTATTAGTCTCTTATAATACAAATATAATGATATTTGTCGAGTAAATTATTCAAATATAAGGATATTTTTAATGTTAAGTACAATAACGTAAAAACGAAATGGCAACCTTCTTGCAGGACGGAGGGAGTATTATATTACAAGCTTATTTTAAATTCAAAACATCACATAATATCTATTTATATCACGTCAAACAACTATTCAAATTCAATTTTTTACTATTCATAGATCCAATCCCAAAACTCAAAACCCACAAACAAACACACCCTAAATGGATGATTGATAAATTATTTATTTAATTCAAAAAATATGATTTAAGATATTTTATTATTATTATTTGTTAAATTTGTATAATTAGGTGTGCATTTATAACTAAACACCAACTTTGGTCGAATTTTTTTTTTTATGCTTACTTTAATTTAACACAAGAAAACTTCATGAAATAAATAAAATACTCCCTCCATCAAAGGTTATCATTTTCCATTTTCATCCGTCCCAAGAAAATGTTACTATTTTCTAATTTAGTAATTGTACTACCCATGTAAGATAATAAATACCCTTTCAATTTACACTATATTACACAAATGACACTACTTTTATATTACACAATACTAATAGGGATATTTTTGTCTTTTTCACTACAATCATTATAACGCTGATATTCGAAAATCTACGTACAAAAAATAAACGACAACTTTGCACCGGGACGGAGGGAGTATTAAGTGTTTTGCGTATTTTTACTAAAATACAAAATGTATTATGTAATTTTATCTTAAAACAAATAAATAGTAATGACAAGTCGAAACAAGACGAAGGAAAAGTATTCTTACAATAATGGCATCATAAATACAAACAAAAGGCAGGCAGCCAGCCGGCTTAATTAAGATTAATCAAAAAATTTCCATTTGGATCACACATTACATTACATTAAACTATACATTGTCCATATATATGATCAATCCCTTTCGACGATTATAGTTTTCGCACTCGAGAAAATTAAAATAATGCATCCAAGCCGGCTCATCGAAAGAATCGCGTAAATACGCGCACAAGGCTGTCTATAAATTCCGAAACAAATTGTTACACTTCTTCGAGGCATTCACTCCAACATCGATATGGGATTTGTCACGAAATTTTGCGCTTTGATCTCGTTGCTCGCGATTCTTTCTTTAGCAAATGGACGCGCCTCTTCAGAAGGGCGAAAGGTAAAATAAATTTATTTCTAGTCTCGTATATGACAATTATTATTATTTTAATTTTTTAAAGTAAAATATATATAATTTTATATCTAATTCATAATCGTTAAAAATGTTCAATCGTTCTGAAATATTGTTACATGTACTAACAATCTAACACAACATACCCGAACTAACTACACCACAATTTTTTATATAAAATATTGACTTGGATTTACTTTTATACATTTATTAAAAACATCCTTTTTTATATTTATTTTAAGATTAATATCGTGTAAAAAATATTGTATTAAAGAAATTACTACTTGACTTGGCAATATAAGTGAAAATATTTCAGAATTTAAGGATCTTTTCAGCGACTATCAATTAGATGTATAATTATTTTTATACAAGTTTCACCGAAATAATCAAAATAATAATAAGTGCTACGAAGCATACTTAAAACATAATTATCCCAATAATTTTTAAATATAAAATTTTAAGTAAAATTAATTATAATTTGCTGTAGTTTATTTATTTAAAATGAATAATAGGAATTGATTAAATTTCAGAATTGATTAAAGCTCGGTATAATAATACAATAATTAAGAAGTAATTAATCCTTTATTAATTTCTCTCAAATAATATTGTACTAAGATTATTATTATCCTTAATTTATACTATCATCAAGTAAAGTCAATATGATATTAATTAATCTCGTAATAATATAATTTATTAAAATAAATATATGCATTATAATTTTATCGGTTAAAAATTCTAATGATATACATAACGTTGCAGCATTACATAGTGTACATGGGAAGTCATTCCTTCAAGGACTCAGAATCGGTAGTTACAGCCAACCACAAAATGCTCGACTCAATAATGGATAAAAGGTATATATATACACATATATACACACATTAGCGCGTATACGTATATATTTATGTATAGGATGAATCGATTGCCTAATCGAACTTGATATATATATAAATATTGTACTCAAATTTAATTAAATTAGATACTTAAATTTTTCTTGAGATTCAATCAATTTTGAATCTTGTATGAGTTTGAAATACAAAGAAAATCTACAAAAGTCACGACGTTGTTTTTTTTTTTTTTTTTTCGTATGCTTTGATTTTATTTTTATGCTTTGAATTTAAAACACGATTGTAAAATAATTTTTACATAAAAAAAAGTACCGTAAACTATTATTAAAAATAATATTCATTAAATTCAACACTAAAAGATAAGCAAATACTTATTGAACAGATATAGAGCATATAATAAAAATAGTGAATACAATCTTAATAGTAATTATAAATATATTTAATAATTCTTTAAGGGACTATTATTTTTTGCAAAAATATATATGAAATGGGTACATATGGACTTATATAAAAGTGTAATTTCATGTATTATATGAGGTAATTTGTGTAATGTTTACTTATGTTTTCAAATTTATTGTCTATCCGATAAATATTATATTTAAAATATTATATCAAAAAAATTATTTATATATATTTGTTTGGTAAATTAAAATACGTACAGTGATGAGAGGAAGGAGGATACAACAGTGTACCATTACACAAAAGCCTTTAGAGGCTTCTCTGCTATGCTAACACCAGATCAAGCACAACGCCTCGCAGGTAATTCTAATTTAATATATATAACTTAATAAATGAATACAAATTTAAATTGAACTATGTATTATATATTCATATATATATATATATATATAAACAATGCAGAGAGTGACTCGGTAATATCGATTTTCGAGAGCAAGATGAACCGCGTGCACACAACACGTTCATGGGACTTTTTGGGCATAAACGCTCTGGGAGATTACAATCACCAATTATTAATGTCTCGCTCTTACGATGTTATTGTTGGGGTTATAGATACAGGTACCATATATATAAACACAAACACAAACACAAATACAAACACGAACCCTCAATTATCGATCCATTAGTTTTTATTTTTGATCATTTCGAATAATTGTGCTATAAATTGAAACTTTTAGGAGTTTGGCCGGAATCAAAGAGCTTCGATGATTATGGGTTAGGTCCCGTGCCTTCAAGATTTAAAGGACTATGTTCTACCGGTCAAAATTTCACCTCATCCAATTGCAATAGGTATTTACATACATTATAGGAGTCCCATTCAATTTTGATAATAAACAAAGATTTTGAGAATTTTTTTATTAGTTAAAAATGTTAAATTCATATATGAATTATAGGATAAAAGTGAAATACTTTTATTTTAAAATTTTAAAAATAAGTTTATGTTCAGATATGCACATATGAATTGTACTTGTTGAGTGCATAGACTTGTATGAAATGCAAAGACAGAAGAATTTAACAATAAAGTTTTTACTAAATTACAAGTTTTTATGTGTTGTTTTATGATCTTTCAATTCTAAACTCTTTGCTAATTTGTGAAATTTTAAAATTTTTATAATTTTTTTTATTTACACATTATTGATTAATTTCTTTCTTTTACCATTTTAAATATAATTTATAATATTATTCAAATAAAAAATAACGGCAAAATTATTTAAAACTATTAAAATTATACCATTTAAAAAATTTTGGTCAAATTAAAATTATTAAATTTACTGGGACGAAAAGAATCTTATTAAATATTATTTAGTAATTTAGACTCTATATACACTTAAGGGCGTGTTGGTTTGGGTATTGAATTTTAAATATACTATTTATCTCAATTTTTTCACCCTCAAAACATCAAATCAAGCACCTATTTTTTATTTTTTATATTATACTAAAAATCAATTTTACATTCAAAACATCACATCAACACCTATTTATATCACATTATACAACTATTCAAATTCAAAATTTTTACTATTCAAATCTCAATTCAAAATCAAAATCCTCAAACAAACACACCCTAAGGGATTTGACAGTATTAATCATATACCTTCTTTAAAAAAAAAATATCGTTAAAATACCGAAGTTTTTATTTTTTTTTATATAGTTTTTATTTTTTTTTCAATTCTAAAAAATTTTGTTTAGTATTTTAATTTGAAGTATTTTTTATATAAAATATAAAAAATTACATCAATAATATAAATAATATTTTATATTGAATTTTACATTGAATGTTAATTTTTTACAAAAATAAAATATATATTAACAATTATACCCTTAAAATGTATTCCGCAATGGCAAACAAATCCTCTATTTAAACAAACTGCTGAACTAAACATATTTCTTTGTTAGAATTTGTATGTTAGCAAGTATTCATTTTTATCATCCCTCAAGAACCTCATTTAGTTAAAGTTTTTTTTTTCTTTCTTTTTTTTTTTTTTTGTTTTGTTTCTCTCTATTATATAGGAAGATCATAGGAGCAAGATTTTATTACAAGGGCTTCGAACTAGAAGAAGGGCCACTCGAGGCATTCGGGAAGCCCTTTTTCCGGTCGCCACGGGACGCCGACGGGCATGGCTCGCACACGGCATCCACCATTGCCGGCGCCGAGGTTCCCAACGCCGCCCTATACGACGGCATAGCCAACGGGACGGCAAGAGGAGGCGCGCCGTGGGCTCGCCTCGCAATCTACAAGGCATGTTGGTTCGGCTTCTGTGAAGATGCCGACCTTCTTTCTGCCATGGATGACGCCATCGACGACGGCGTCGATGTCATCTCAATGTCTTTGGGGCCCGGCCCGCCGCAGCCAAGCTACTTTGACAGCGTGACGAGCATCGGAAGCTTCCACGCGTTTCAAAGGGGAGTTTTGGTCTCGGCATCCGCCGGGAATAGCTTCGATCCCGGAACGGTTACGAATGCCGCGCCGTGGGTGCTCACCGTCGCGGCGAGCACCATGGATCGTGACATCCCAGCCGATATATATCTCATAAACGCGCCCCCGATTAGGGTACGTGATTATCTCGATTTTAATTTATTTTTTTTATCCACGTGGTCCTAAAAATTTATGATATACGACTCTGGAGCAAATTATATCGAACTATATATATACTCTCTCGTCCAACCAAAATAATTTTATTTTACATTTTGGATGAAGTTGTCTTATTTATACTATCTCCGTCAGGTTTTAAGAGTCCGATTTACTTTTTGCGTGTTGATATTTGAATATTAATTATTATATGAAAATGTAGTACAAATCAATGGAAAAAATAAAATATTTCTATTAGTGTCTTATAATAACATTTGTGCAAAAAATTATACAAATATAAGTTTATTTTCAATGTTAAAGTACAATGATGCAAAAGATAAATGAGACCCTTAGAGCCGAACGGAGAGAGTATAATTTATCTTAAATTTTTTGTCTGAGATAATTTTTCAAGATAAATTGACAATTTTGGGTCATGCTAATTAGGGTTTTAGCATCAACTCGTACCCGATGAGCGGGTATAACGGATTAATAGCCGGAAGTGCAGCGGCAGCCGCCGGAGTTCCATCGGAAAATGCCAGGTATATACGTATACATACTTTTATTTATAGGTTATTTATCTACATGTCAAATTACTTTAAGATGCAACGCTTATAATGTTGATTGGGTAAAATCAACATTCTAATCACAAAGCAGTTACCAACCGATAGTATATTGTACTATATAAATAGGTTTGTTGCACTTAAATCAATAATATCTTGTATTATATATAATTATATATTATTTGTACCTGTATATATATTGTATTATCATGTAACATGTACTGTCTTTTGATTAAATATGCAGATTGGGTCAAATCACCATCATGCTAATTTGACTTAGTCTAACAAGGAAACAAAATCCTATATATATATATATATACACAAGTAAGCAAATTGTTATAATTTTTTTTAATACTTCCACAGTTTTTGCGAGATGAATACATTGGATCCGAGTTTAACCAAGGGGAAGATCGTTGTGTGCACTCTCAGAAGCATTTTTGATGATCGGACATCAAAATCGGTTGCCATAAAGGAAGGCGGCGGTGTTGGGATAATTCTCATTGATCCGTTGGCCCCAGACATCGGGTTTCAGTTCGTGCTTCCGGGCACATTGATAGGCCTACAAGAAGCCGAGCAACTCGAAAGATACATGGCCTCGTACACGTAAGAATTAAGTATATAGCATATATACATGAAAATATATACACATTTTTTGTCAATATCATTTTAGTTTTTTAAATGAATTTTATACGACTTGAAAGACCGCAACTCTAGCGAGGCTAGGTAAGCTCATGTGTGCGACGCAAGTCCAATGTCATTGTACTTTTTTTACAACAATTAATCAAATATAGGATTATTTTAACACAATATTCATTTAAAGGACCAAAATAATACTATTTTCATCTACTTTATACATATGACTGCCTCATCTAAATAGTCGCTTTCTATTTATAGTTTATGTGATCTCCACTGAATTATTAATTTACTTTCACTTTTTACTTTCACTTTTACTTCTATTCACTTGAATTATTAATTTACTATTCACTTTTACTTCAGAATTTTTCATCTTATTAAAATTAAAAAAGTGATATGGTTTGTTTACTTGATATATATAGATATGCATTTGTGTTGTTTTTCAAATGATTATTAAATATAAATCTTACTTCTTCTGTGCAACTAGAAAGTATATATATTTCTATTTTGGATATTCAATTACAAAGTAAATATTTTATTAAATACCTCACTTTTTTCACAAATACCCTTACTTTACATCGCATCGTTACTTTTATGCCAAAAGGTAAAAGCAAAAATATCATTACACTACTTTTAAATACTCACTATAATTAAAATACTATTATTTTTTAAATACTGTGTCAAAAGTAAATGTTTACTTTGTATGTGGACGGAGAAAGTATTATTAACAAAAGTGTGTTGAATGTGGTATTTGTTCGAGAATTTTTTTAAAAAATTACTTAGGGTGTGTTCGGTTGAGAGATTTAGACAAAATCTCACTATTCATCCAAAAATTTTCCCCCAAAAACATCAAATCAAACACCTATTTTTTATTTTTTATATTATACTAAAAATCAATTTTACATTCAAAACATCACATCATCACCTATTTATATCACATCATACAACTATTCAAATTCAAAATTTTTACTATTCAAATCCCAACTCAAAATCCAAACCCCCAAACAAACACACCCTTAATAAATAATTATATATATATTAAAACAAAAAATCAATGAGTAATCGCCCTTACAGTATCAATTTTTTTTGTTTTTTTGCAGCAACCCTTATGGTAGAATATCTCTAACAAGAACAATTTCAAACGTCAAACCCGCGCCACAAATGGCGATGTTTTCGTCCATGGGGCCGAATGCCGTCAGCCCTGATGTGATCAAAGTACGTACACGCATTATTTGAATTCAGACAATCAACAAATATACATTATGCGTGATGATCGACGATTATTTAAACTTATTACGCGATTTTGTTGTAGCCGGATGTAACTGCTCCGGGAGTGAATGTTCTTGCGGCATGGTCTCCGGTAGCAGTCGATGATACTGCCGGAAGACCCCTCGACTATAACATTATTTCCGGAACATCCATGTCGTGTCCACACGTCTCGGCGCTCGCAGCCATTGTTAAGTCGTATCATCCTTCGTGGAGCCCCTCGGCTATCAAGTCCGCCATTATGACAACGGGTAATTACTAAGGCTCTTTTTATTTATTATATAAATTTTTATGATTCTTTATAAAAATAAAAAATATATTTTTTTTTTATGTAAAATATCACGTAAAAATTATTATTTCAATCAAAATACAAAATCAAATTTCAAGTAAAAAAACCTTACGTGTTTCTCTTTTGATGTGTCAATTTAGTCAGGCACTATTCATTACTATTTTTATTTCCTTGCAAAACATAATAAACACTTATGTGTATATAACATTATTATAAAAAAATAGTAAACTGATTTTTTTTGTCTAATGATTGACCCTTTATCATTTTAATTTTATAATTGAAGTCGATCCTAAACTAGTTCCGTAAGTAAATGTTTTTTGTAATTTTAGTCATTTGGTACTGGAGATGCCTACATAGCTCACCGGACGGACACGTGGATTTTTTTAAAAATTATTAATTTTCAAATTTTTAATTTTTACAAAAAGACAAAATAAATAAATTAAAGTTTAAATAAAATAAAATAAATTCATGTGTCCGCCGGCTAGTCACGCGAGTGCCACGTAGGCATCTCCAATGCCGAAGAACTAAAAGTGCAAAAATCTTCTATTTACGAGACTAGTTTGCGACACTCTGACTTACTAAACAATCAGTTTACTATAAAAAAAAATTAAATTTTTATTAAAAATATCATTTCAAATATTTATTTGCATTATCAAACATTTTCAATTTAATCTGGTAAAGATTTTCAATCCTCAAACTCTACAATATTTGAATTAGGAGTTTAGAAATAGTAAGAATTTGAATTAAAATATTTATATGATATATTGTATAGAAAAATATGTAACACAAACATATATACATACACTACAAAAAAAAAAATAGTATAATAGTAACGGAATTTCGTCTCTAAAGTTCACGTAGTTAACACAATTCCTTCTCTAATTCCGTCTTTAATGTAGTTAGTAACGGAAAAAGTGAATTTAGGAATGAAAAAACTTTGTTACAAAATTGATATTTTCTTATTGTGATATACCACAGCAAAAATTCAAGACAATACAAGAAGCTCCATTACAAGACATCCGAACAACACAAGAACGACCCCTTTCGACTACGGATCCGGGCAAATCGATGCGTCCGCAGCCGTCGATCCAGGGCTTGTCTACGACTTCAATACCGAAGACATCATCGATTTCCTATGCAGCAGCGGCGCCACCCCTGAAAAGCTCAAAAACCTCACCGGCGAAACAACCTACTGCAAGAATTCGACAACCACGGCCACCTACAACCTTAACTACCCGTCCATCGGAGTTTCAAGCCTCAATGGAACCTTGTCGGTGGTAAGAACAGTAACGTATGTCGGAAAAGGGAGTGCTGTGTACAAGGCGACGATTGAGGCGCCGGAAGGCGTGTACGTGACCGTGACGCCGAACGAGCTTCGATTCGACATGGAAGGGGAGAAGATGAGTTACAGAGTTGATTTCAAAGCTTATAAAAAGAGAAGTGATGGAGATGATGATCAGTTTGTGTTTGGAGCATTGACATGGAGTGATGGAATTCATGTTGTGAGAAGCCCTATTGGTCTTAACATAGTTTGATCTATTTAGGGTTTGTTTTATAGGTTTTTTTTTTACTTGAAAATCTGCAAGCGGTCTTGAGTAATTTTCGACTAAACTATCAGTTCGATCGAATCATTTTGAAATTGGTTTCTGGATTCATTTTACATTCTTGAATTATATCAAATGTTTTTTTGAAAACTACACTCCTTTTGTGATTTTATGTTCAAGAATTAGATAAGCTAACAACCTACTAGAAAATTAAGAGCGATTTGAAAATTCGATTCCAACTCAGCACAAAAATATTTTGCTCGGCATAAATATGGGCCCAAAAATTTTGGGCAATATCAGGCCTGACCCGATTTATTAAAATTAAATATCTTTTAAATTAAGTAATTTTATAAATATATTACTCCCTCCGTCCCAGATACCGTGTCTGCTGCACTGTAAACACGGTATTTTAGGAGGGATGTAATTAGTAGATAATTAAGAATGTATTAATTAAAATAATTATCCTATAATATAAATAATTATAAATAAGATTAATACAACTAATTAGTTTAATTAAAATTAAAAAAATAAAATAAAATTTAAAATTTAAAATTTAAAATAAATTAAAGTGTGTAATCATTTTCCAAAAAAAGAAAGAGACATGGTACGTGGGACTGACAGAAACGGCAACGTGTACATGGTATCTAGGACTGAGGGAGTAATAAATAAATTTACATTAAAATTGAAGGTGTATCCTAGTTGCTAAGTTTTTGTTCCGGCCCGTTTCAAAATCAGGTTGGGCTTAAACATCACATATTTAGAATCGGACCGGGCTGGCCCGGTACAAAGATTTTGAGCTGACCCGATTTTCCATCTCTAGAGAATAATTAATAATTGTTGCATATTTAAATTTTGGGACAATTTAATATCATGGATAACAATTTGGGGTACCTGCAAACTAGGCCCGACATGTAAGTCACATTAGGTTAATTAAATTTATTCTTATTTTTTCATTTTTATTACACAATTGTCACTACTTTTTACACTAATACACTTACAAGGGTAAAAAAAGTCTTTTATCTGTATTTTTTACCAATTACCAATATAATATCAATATTTCTTAAATCTCGTGTTCAACTCAATTAAAATTATAATTGTGGGGGGAGAGAGTATTAAAGTTACTATTGATATGTGTCTATTCATACTTTGTGTTTTTGTCGAATTATATTTCTATTGTCACATTAGGTTAATTAATTAATGTTCTCTCATAAGTGGAACAACTGACTTTTACTTCATATTAAAATAGGTTGCGATAAAATATATTTAGGAGTAATATATTCGTATTTAAGAGATTTGTAGGATTTTTACATTATTGAGATGATTTGTGCGTCATTATAAATATGTACAAATTTTATGATTGAAATAGAAAATTTTAATTTCATATTCTGAGACACAAGGTCATTGGTGGACATTTGAATAATAATAAAAAATTAAATATTTGATAAGATATTTTATTAAAGAAAATAAATATTTTATTTAATAATTTTTAATTGTATAGTAGATTAAAACTACCTCCGTCGCACGTACTGTATCTGCTACACCGTAGACACGGTATTTTAGGAAAAGTGTAATTAGTAGATAATTAAGAATTTATTATTGAAATTAATTATTCTATAATATAAATAATTATAAATTAAGATTAAGATAACTAATTAGTTTAATTAAAATTTAAAAAAATAAAATTTAAAAGTTTAAAATGAGATTAAAGTGTATAATCATTTTCCAAAAAATGAAAGTGACATGGTATCTGGGACCGACAGAAACAACAACATAGACATGGTATGTAAGACGGAGGGAGTAGTATAAAAACAGATTTTAGGTATATTTAAACAAAATCTTCATCTCTCAAGTTATCATTAATTTCAAAGAGAGGCAGAATTAGAATTTAATAAAATGGGGGGCAAAACTTTTATATGATATAAATAAATGTTGGTACAATGTTTTAAATATTAAATTGATTTTGAATATTTTGAAAGATGTTTTTTTTTTTTTTTCTTTGTTTGGAAGTTTTTTACAGTACAATAGCACTTTTTTTTATATAAAATTATATACTTATTTATATATAAATTACTTACATTTAATAATTATTATATTTTTAATTTTTAAAAAAGTGCTATTATTAATTACTTGAAAATGAAATAAAATATTATCAAATAAGTACAGGTTACCTAATTCATTTAATAATTTGAATATGAATATGCTTCCTGTGAGTATCAGAAGGATACTATATGAGTGTAATACTTGTCTTATATTATTAATTTTTTTTTTTTTTATAAATATTAAGGTTGCGTTTAGATTTGTTTGAAAGTGTTTTTCTAATTTTAAATTAGTTTGAAAATAATAAAAATTGAATAGGAAATATGTATTAATTGGTGAAAACTTTTTTTTTTTTTTTGTTTATTATTTAAGTTTGAGGTATGTTTTAATATGAGTTATGAAAAATTGTATCATATCAAAAATACCTTTTTTATAAATTTTTAATATTAATTAAATCCTAGAGATGACGAAATTTGAAATTATGGCATCATAGTTACAGGTTCATTCTCATACCACCGTATTATTATTATTATTATTATTATTATTATTATTATTATTTATGGTTGTATTTGCTTTGAAGTTTTTATCATTTTTAATGACTACTATTACGCATAATTTTTAATAGATACTGCCGATAAAATTAGTATATTTGAGTCGAGCACGGAGATTTAAAAAATAAAAAGATTATTATAACTAATAAAAACAAAAAAGTAATTGATGATATTTTTGAAATTTTAATTAAAAATTAAGAAAATGAAAAGAAAAAATATAATAAATGAAGTGATATTTAGTGTTGGGGATTTCCGTTTGCGAATAAATAATTAATAGTTTGTTTCCTTATTAGTTTAAATTTTTTAGTGAGACGATTATTGGGCGTCCTGTTTCTATTTGCAACATATGCATTGCAAATTTAACATACTCTCACTTTAACAGTTAAATATTAATTTTTTATTTTTTTAAAATTAGTGATCGGGCACTTTGAATTGATGGACCGAAAAAAATATTAAAAATACATATTATGAGAGTAAAATTTATTTATTCTTAATTATATTAGATTACTTTTACATAGTAATCCGTATTTATTTATGTGCATTATGGATCTCTTCCTCATTAAATAATACTTCTTCCGTCAAATTACAAAGTATATATATTTCTATTTTTTTACGTCCAATTACAAAGTAATTATTTTATTAAATGCTCTATTTTTTTTCTATAAATACTTTTACTTTACATCACATCATTACTTTTATACCAAAAAGTAAGGGCAAAAATATTATTACACTACTTTTACCTATTTACTATAATTAAAATATTATTATTTCTTAAATTCTGCATTGTAAATGTATACTTCTTGCTTGGACGAAGGGAGTAATTAATTACACATTATCAAGATAAACTGGGCTCTTTTTCTTTTTTTTTTTTTTTTTTTTTTTTTTTTTTTTTGTCGTTGTAGTGGCACAACTAACACTGCTGTAAATTGTAATTACGATATAAATTTGATGGAAACATCAAACAGAAACTCTTATCCCACATTTTAAAAAATTAGATATGTCTATTTTTTACAAATTAAATTAAAAGGTGTATTTATATTGTACAAAAATTAAAATATTATCATATTGTAAGGACTCATACAATCTGTATAGAAATATATATTTTGATTTTATTTGAAATGATGAAATGTTATATTAACATTACGAAGTTATCACTTATTAAATTAGGAAATGTGTACATTATTTGTAAAGATCCTAAATATAATATATATATATATATATTTATTATGAGTGAAGAAATATATTATTAGTCATTGGTTGATATATTTTTTTTTGTATATATTATATATATTGAACGGTAAATTTGATGTATTTGATACTTTCAGAAGTTGAAAAGCACATGTGGAGAATAAAATAAACATCGAGTTAAGTGTTGAGGTCGGATAATGGTGGCGAGTACGAGTTGGATGAGTTCAAGGAGTACTGCGTTGAAAATGTCATCCGAATGAAAAATGCAATACCTGAAACACCGTAGCAAAATGGTGTAGCTGAAAGGATGAATTAGACACTGAATGAGAGGGCTAGATGCATGCATTTAAAGTGTGATTTGTCAAAGATGTTTTGGGTTGATGCGACCAACAACACGGCATTCCTGATCAATAGAGGTTCATCGACGCCGTTGGATAATGAGATTCCATATGAGGCGTAGAGTGGTAAAACAATAAACCTCTCATTTTTTGTATTTTTAGTTGCACTGCATATGACAAGGTTGATGCTGAGATGAAACTAGATGTGAAATCGGTGGACTGCACGTTTATCAGCTATGGTGGTGATGAGTTTAAGTATCGACTTTGGGATAAAAGTAATCGCGAAATCATTCATGCTCAAGATGATATCTTTGAGAAATGAATCTCGTATAAGAACAAGTCAAGTGACAAAGACCGAACAAACTCGAAGATAGTTGAGTTGGATATTTCCAATCCGAGCATGAGCAACCAATCTCAGGATGATCGGAGTGCGGTTGATGCGGAGGTCGAGCAGCCTAACCTTATTGAAATCCAAACATAAGTTGATGTGAAATCGGTGGATTGCACGTTTATCGGCTATGATGGTGATGAGTTTGAGTATCGATTTTGAATAAAAATAATCTGCATAAAAAATTAGGAGATAGTTGTGTTAGATATTTCCAATATGGAAAGGCCAAATGAGATAAACACGAAACTAAACTTGCCCTTAAAGGACGACAAATGGGGGACGGTGGACTTGAACTCAAGACCTAAGGCTTTAATACCATGTTAGATGAAGTAAACGACTATCTCACCTAAAAGCTTAAGTTATTAGAGATACACATCATTTATTTATTTATTTATCTACAAATAGGAGTTATATTACCATTGAAGTAAAATGTATAAGTGGAAGATGCAATCAGTTTTAAAGTGGAAGAATATTGGAATTGAAGTTTAATTATATCCTAAAATCTAAATAAATATGATATAGATATTATTGGTATGGTCATGTGTGGGCCTAGGATTTGTTAGAATATAAATATACATGTATTTTCACTTTTAGGTAGTGCAATTACATATTTTTGGCTTAGTAGCATTCCAATCATTCTTATCAAACTGAGTTACTAAATTTGTGTATTCTTGTTTGGTCTTCTTGATTTCCTGATTTTCGCAATATTAACAAGTTCGAGTCGAGCTCGAACAATTGATACTCGAGCTCGTTCGACTCGTTTAACATCTCTAAGGTCACATTTATTAAGAATAGAATTAATATTGTGTTTGAACTGCTGAAAATAATAAAAAATTAATACGTTTTGAGTTAATGGAAATAATAGATTTTTAATGTTGCATTTTAAATAAAAATTAAATATTTATGTAAAATTTTTAAAATAAAAATTTGATTAATAGTATAAGGCTTCGTTTGTACAAATAGGGGTGAGCATTTGGATTTTTGGTTCGGATTTTGTCAAATCCGAACCGATCCGAAAATTCAAAATTTTTGAAAAAACCAATCCGAACCGAACCAAAATAACCGAAATCCGAAATCCGTAATCCGAACTAAAAAATTCAAACCAAACCGAAAAATCTGAAATTCTAAATATATTTTTTTTAATTTTTAATTTTTTTTAAATTTTTTTATTATTTTATAATATTAAATATATATACTATATAAAAATTAAATATATTAAAATATAATTAATAAATTTGAGTTTTTTATATTAAAATATAATATTTTCTAATAAAATATTAAATATGTATAATAAAAAAATATATTAAAATGTTATATTTCGGATTTCGAATTGGTTCGGATTTTAAGTATACCGATCCAATCCGATCCGAAATCTGAAATTTTGTTAAAAATTCAATCCGATCCAATTCGAAAATCCGAAAAATCTAAACCAAATTTTAAATTTCGATTTGATTCGGATTGAATTTTCAAATTTCGCATATTTTGCTCACCCATATACAAATACTTTAGAAAGTCTTGTGTTCATTATTTATTAATAATAGTTTTAAGTAATACTAGTATATTATATTAAATTTTAGATTTTTATTGTTTTAATAAATAAAGAAAAATTCAATTTGTAAAATATCTATTTAATCATTAGTCAATTTGCAATCCACCAAAAGAAATCTACTAATAGTTTCGTGTACACAAACTGTATACAATTTTTATTTGTTTATTTATTTATTTAGGTGATATGATCATCAATTTAAATTATTTATTAATTTGTTGGCTACCCTCGTAGAGACAGTCATCCCCACATCAACTAATGCATAAATTTAATATATTTATATTTTATAACTTTATATATTGAATGTGGTTGTATTCTTTTGTAACATATTTTTTTATTCTTTTTTATTGTCTTACTCAATAATATTATTTTTTATTATAGTTAATGTAATTATACTATAATATTAAAATACATTGATTTTTATATAAATTATAAAGCTATAGTTACATATAATTAATCAAAATAATTTTACATACTTCTATTAATTAATGGTAAAATATCATTATTTTTAATTTATTATAAAAATAAAATATAGTACATTAAAGTGTGATGAAGAAAATTATATATGTAGTTTATTAATATACATTATGCTGAGATATTTGTTTATTAACATGTATTGTATTCAAATCAATTGTAGTATATATTAAATAAATTATTAGTATATACTATCTTCGTCCACTTACAATGTTTACGTATTTTTATTTTGGGACGTTCAATTATAAAGTTAATATTTCATTAAATACCCTACTTTTTTCCACAAAATCTTTACTTTACATCACATCATTACTTTTACATAAAAAAATAAAGACAAAAATGTCATTACACTACTTTTAACTATTCACTATAATTAAAATACTATTATTTTTTAAATACTGTGTCAAAAATAAATGTAAACATTATAAATGGCCGGAAAACATAATATTGTCATTAAGAAGAAATCCCTAACTTGTAATTGATGTGGAATTTAATTTTTGATAAGTTCCCGTAATTGTTGGGCTTTTATTTATTTATCTATTTATTTATTAAAGAGTGGTCCTCTCAATATGAATATTTTCTTCACATTTATTACATATACATATTTGCATATACATACACTAATTGAGCCTCCATTATATATATATATATATATATACATATGTATGTATATATAGTATTAGTATCTCCCATTTCATTCTTCATTAGTCTCTCTCCTCTTTCTCTCTCTAGAAATCAATCAGTAGAAGATAATAATAATAATAATATTATTATTATTGTGGAATATGGAGTTGGGGAGCATCCTTCAGTTCTTGGAAAACAAATCCATTCTTGTCACTGGTGCCACTGGCTATCTTGCAAAGAGTAATCCCTCTCTCTCTCTCTCTCTAAAATTTTAATAAATTATTTTTTATTATATTTAAAAGTTTTATGTAAAAATTTAATCTTTTTATTTAAACTATTGCATTCAATATATTACTTCGTATCTCCGCCTCTAAAGATTATATTTATCTGTTGCGCTATTATACTTAATATTACGAGACACTAGTAAAAGTATTTTTTGACATTTTTATTGATTTATACTACGCTTTGATATAATAATTAATATTCAAATATTAATACGCAGAAAATAAATGTAACCTTAGAGCTAGACGAAGTGAGTATTATTTGATGCTATTTTTTTTATTATTGTACTGTAGATAAATAATAAAAATTTTGAATTGAGATTTCAATAGTAAAAATTTTGAATTTGAATAGTTGTATGATGTGATATAAATAGGTGTTGACGTGATGTTTTGAATGTAAAATTGATTTTTAGTATAATATAAAAAATAAAAAATAGGTGTTTGATTTGATATTTTTTGGGAGAAAAAATAGAATGAACAGTGGATTTAAAATCCAATCTCCCAAACAAACACACCCTAAAAGTAATTTTTAATGTAGATATTCATAGTTTTTTTAATTAGTTTTTTTCTTTTTCAATATATTTTTTGAGTTTTTTTTAAACCATGAATCTACATTGGATGGTTTCGCAGTATTCGTCGAGAAAATACTAAGAGTGCAACCGCAAGTAAAAAGGTTGTATCTTCTTCTAAGGGCTTCCGATTCGATATCTGCTTTGCAACGCTTCAACACTGAGGTGCGATTCAATTTTTTACTATTTTCAAAAATTATAATTTAAAAAAAATAATAATAATAATAAAATAAATTTGAGTCCTATTTTTATTTTCCACTTTTATTCAAGCACACACTTTCACCTCTTACTTAAACGTTCAAAATTGTTTTCATATTATTCATTAATATTGAAAAAAAAAAATCACATTAAATATTTAATATTTACCTAAGATATTAATTTTTTTGGCACTCCTTAACTTTTTTCTAGAAAAAAATAATCTAAAAAAATGTAATATCAAATAATTATTTCATTTCTTCTGATAAAAGATTAAATTAAATACCTTTTTTCTTTACTGTTTTTTAAAAAAAAAATTAAAACTCCAAAAATTTATGTGTAATCGTAACTTTGATTTCATTTTAGATTGATGTTTTGAAATTTTTATAGTTTTGCATAATTTTGGAAAATAGTAAAAAGGTTATTAGATATTTAATGCGATGTCATATAAAAAAATATATATATATTGAATAGTATCAAAATTTCAGAATTATTATTTCCGTAAACATAAATGTTTTATACTATTAGTATAAAATTTATAATGTTTTATTTAATGTGATGTCATATAAAAAATATATATATTGAATAGTATCAAAATTTTCAGAATTATTATTTCCGTAAGCATAAATGTTATATATATATATATATATAATTTATATTTAATGGGCATATATGCATGCAGGTGTTAGGGAAAGATCTGTTTAGGGTGGTGAAAGAGAAGTATGGTGAGAATTTTGATGACCTAATTTCAGACAAAATTAGGGTTTTGTGTGGAGACATAAGCCTTGACGACAACTTGGGATTAAAATTTGAAGATTATAATTATTGGTTGGAAGAAATCGATGTTGTGGTTAATTTAGCTGCAACTACCAAATTTGACGAGAGGTCAGTATATATATAAAAGACAACCATTGAATATATATATATATATATATTTCTTTCGATTCGCTAAATTGATTTTCACTATTTTTTGTGTTAATTTACTTTATTAGTTATTATGATTTCCACGTTATCGTTTCTGTCTGTCCCATATTTCATGTCAGCTTTTTTTTTTGAAAATAATTATACACTTTAATCTCATTTTAAACTTTTTAATTTAATTTTTTTAATTTTAATTAAACTAATTAGTTATTTTAATCTTAATCTATAATTATTTATATTATAGGATAATTATTTTCACTAATACATTATTAATTATCTACTAATTATACTTATTCTAAATTCATGCGTCTGAACCCAGACATCCAATGTGAGACGGAGGGATTATTAATTTTAGCTAAGTCAATTATTCAACATTTTCTACAATAATTATCACTACCTTTATTATCTTCTCTATTTTAATTTTATTTAATTATTACCTAAATTTTAAAAAATATAGTTAACTATTTTTTTACTTTTTCTTATTTTTTCAATAAAATATTTATTTTTCTTCATTTTTCGGGTCAACTTCAAATGTGCTAATTTTTGCGGACGGAGAGAGTGATATATTTTTAGATAATACTTCCTCTTATGTGAATTTGTTTAGGTATCAAATTTAAAAATTAATAATTTTTTAACATTAAAATATGATAGATAAAGAGTAAAGAATAGGTATTATGAAAATAATTATTAAAAAAATAATAAAAACGTGATGGGCTTATTGACAAATTAATTATTAGTAGCTAATGTATAGGTTATAAATTTTGTAGTAGATAGAGTTATTTATTATAAATAAATTATGCATAAATTTAACATATAACCCAAAATAATAATAATAATAATATAATTATCCCGAATAAAAAAACTATTTTAGTATTGTAGGATAGCATTTTTTCAATATTGTTTTGATACATTAATATTTATTATTTAGTGTTGTACTAGCACACGTGTGACGTGTCAATATTATGACAAATAACCTTTTTAGCGAGTACAGATTAGATGTAAAACTATCTCTATACGTACTTTACTAAAGGACAAAAACAATAAAAAACAATAAAAAGGGCTACATAAATGACCAAAATTATATTTATTCCAATATTTTTCAAAATATAATTTTTTTATTTATAATTTTATATTTCTATATTGTTCTAAATAAATATAATATACATTCAAAATTTTTATTTTTCATAAAATAAATTTGTGTTAATCATGTATATATCATATAAAATCTATTCTCTATAAAATAACATATATATATATATATAAGCATGATGTAATCGATTTACAATTCTTACTAAACTTAAATATACATTTTAAATTTATTTTAAATCACATATATTATATCACATCTCAAAACTCATTCATTACATCTTAAAAAGTTTCAAATAACAAAACTCTCCAAAATTAAAAAAATATTATTATTATTATTATTATTCCTCGTTTGTTTGGTTTTAATTTGGTGCAAGCATTAATTAATTAATTAATTAATTGTTTGAATAATTATGGGTGCAGATATGATGTTGCATTTGGAATAAATACAGTGGGGGCTCAGAATGTATTAAATTTCTCCAGAAAGTGCAGAAATCTACAGCTGCTTCTTCATGTATCCACAGGTAAGTAATTAATAATGATAATAATAATTTAAAAATTATTTATTTATTTACTTATAAATTAATTACACACATAACACACACAAATTTACAATATATATTATTATTATTATTATTATTATTATTATTATTATTATTATTATTATTTATCTCTTACAATTTATGTTGTAATAAAACGGGACTGCAAATAAAAATTTAAAAAAAAAAAACTTTATTTAGTTCAATATAACCAATATAATTAGGGTGTGTTTGTTTGGGGTTTAGATTTTGAGTTGGGATTTGAATAGTAAAAATTTTGAATTTGAATAGTTGTATAATGGGATATAAATAGGTGTCCAAAAGTATTGAGCGTTGTTTTATAAAGTGGAGAGAGTAATATTTTGAATGAGAATTTGTTAAATATATAATATTTTAAAAAAAGAAAAAAAAAACAACTATTTAGTTTGCACTCCAAATTTTTGTTTTTTTCTATTTAGATTATATAATTTCCAAAAAAAATAATAATATTAAATTATTATCTTACTTTAAAAAATCATGTATCCGAGTCTTATATCTTGTCATCTTTAGTAAAAAGTTGTCTACGGACAATGTTCGTATAGTGTAAATTCAAGTTATACGCTAAGGGTTTGTTGAAAGATTATGAAATACTTTTTCCGTTCCTTAACAATTTATCCATTTTTTTATTTTAGTTTGTCCCATAACAAAATGTTCATTTTTAGTAATTGTACTATCTACCTAACATTACAAATATCCTTCCAATTTACAATATATTACACAAATATCAATATCTTTATATCATATAATACTAATAGGGGTAATTTAGTCTTTTTATTTTTATTTCTACTTTATCTCAATATAATACTAATATTTTTAAAACTTTCTGCAAAATACAAATTGATATATAGATTTGGAACGAAGGGAGTATACAATTATTTTTATATCAATTTAAGCTCTGATATCATAGTAAATGAGCATTTCACGTAATAACTTAATTTTTTAGATAAAATAGTCGTTTCATACATTTTATAAAATATCATATTAAAATCTTATTTAAACAAAATTCAAACACAAACTGACCAAAGGATCTCATATGTTGTGTTCTTTTGAAGGATTTACCACATATTTTTATTATTCAAATTTTTTTTTCTTAAAAAATATCAAATCACACAATTATTTTTATTTTTGTATATTATACTACAAAATTATTTTACATTCAAAATATCACATTAATATTTATTTATATCAAATCAAACAACTATTCAAATTCAACTTTTTTACTATTAAAAAATTCAAATAAAAAACCCAAACTATTTTATTCAAACTATTATTTTCTTTATTAGAAATATTATATAAAATATTTATTTTGTATTCATAACATAACATTACATTCAACATATATATTTACATTACATAAATTAAATATCTATATTCATTTAATTTTTTATTATCCAAAAACTTCAAAATATTTGCAAAATACTTATGTGACATTCATCAAGATTCAAATAAATCTTTAGTCAATTTTTTAAAATGTATTATTGTTCATAGGATGTGACTTTTATCGTACGAATCATATTCTTGCATTTATTTCTTACAAAGATTTTAGGTGAGGTATTGACTTATATCATAAAATTAAATATGTTGATGGGCTCCAATAAAAAAACAAAAATGTGTTAATGGGACAATTATTTAAATTAAATATGTTAATGGGACAATTAAGTGTATTTTTTTTATTATTTTAGTTTGAAATCTTTTTTATGTGAGTTTTTAAAATTAATATAAAAAAAATAATATTTTTATTGACTGTTATTTTTATTTTATTTTTTGAAAGAATAGACTATATATTTTATATATTGAAAATCGTATCAAGTAAGAAATTAGTTGGACAAATAAATCCTATATTTAATTTTTAAACTTAGAGGAAAAGATGAAAATGAAGTTGCATTAATAAGAAAAAATTCTTGTAAAAAAAATTGGTTGATAATATTGAGTAGTTGGTAAGTAGTTAATTACTTTCATTATTATTGATTCGACCAAATGAAAATGAAAGGTTGTGTTTTAGTGTTTAAGGAAGTTTTGTATTTTGTTGTTAACAATAGGGAACTATGAAAGTTTATTAAAATATTTTTTATATATATTTTTATTTGAACTATGGTATTGATAATTATTTAGTGCATGGAAAACAAATATTAATAAAAAAAATTATTTAAAAGTTGATAAAAAGAAAAAAAAAATAGTAGGATATTACTTTGAAAAATTGCCTTGGCATATGCTTTTGAAAATATTTTTGAATGTTAGATTTATTTGAATATAATAAAAAATAAATAAAAATAAATATTGCAACATATTTTTAAAAACTTTTTATCATATTTTTCAAAAAAAAGAATTAATATATTACCAAAACTATAAGAAAATATCAATTTTGTAACAAGGGTTTTTAGTTCCTAAATGTATTTTTTCTGTTACTAATGATACTAGAGACAGAATTAGTAATGAAATTACGTTAGCTACGTGAATTTTAGGAACGGAATTCCGTTACAAATATACTATTTTTTTTATAGTGCAACACTAATTATTTTTATATTACCTACAAAAGTTTCTTTCAATAAAATATTTTTTTTTCTTAATTTTCGTGTTGAACCCAAATGGACTAATTTTAATGGACGAAGAGAGTATGTTTCTCATTAACCTCAAGATGAATGTAATTTTAAGACAATTCTTCCTCAAAATAAACATTCAATTCATACTTGTGGGTAATATGATGTCTGTATACATGATTCAGCTTATGTATCCGGTGAGAAAAAAGGGCTGATTTTAGAAACTCCATACAAGATGGGAGAAACCCTAAATGGCGAATCCGGCGGCCTCATTGACATCGAGACAGAGAAGCGGCTGATCAACGACACTTTGAAACATCTAACGGCGCAACCTAATTCTTCCGATGGCGACATTAAATCAGCCATGAAAGACTTGGGGATTCAAAGGTACCTATGTAATAAACTCGAATCACTAAAATTCTATGGGTTTGTTCACTTAACATTTTTGGATGAAACAATTCTCTATAAATATTATTAGAAAAGATATATATATATATAATATATACATATGTCAACACAATATATATTCTATTCGCTCACAAAAAGTCAACATATTATTTTTTATATTATCAATACAATTTTCTATGTCTAATATAATAATGATACAGAGCTAGAAAGTACGGATGGCCAAATACGTATGTGTTCACAAAAGCAATGGCGGAGATGATTATGGAGAGCTCCAAAGACGACAATAACAACATTCCTATTGTAATAATCCGTCCTACCATTGTCACGAGTACTTTTAAAGAGCCTTTTCCGGGATGGGTCGAAGGAGTCAGGTATTAATATCAATTCACCGACATAATTATTAATGTAATTGAAATATTTTCGCTCTGTTTACATAAACATATTTTAAAAAAATTTGGCTTTATTCAACAACATCAACTTAAAAACATCTTTCACATAAAATATTGAATAATTAACTTTTTATTAATTCACAATAATAATAAGTTGTTTGATATAGGGGTTTTTGGCAAACAATTTTTTGAAGAGTTTTTAGTTTATTTAGCAGCTTTAAATTAGCTTTTTGAAATAGTTTATTGGTCTAAAAAGCTAATTTCTGAAAAATTATATAACCTAGCATGAGTTTTTTTATTTTAATTTTTGTATTCCTTATTTGTTCTTAAAATGTTACTATTTATTTCACATACATATAAATATATTTTCTACTGAAATAATTATAAATTAGTATTTATTAAATTATAATTTTATTTTTATAAAATTAAATTACTTAATTATTTTTATATAATTAATTTTATTTGTAAACTATATATATTTATTAAAATAAAATATAAATATTATTAATTTATTTTTATATTAAAATTAAATAAAATAGAATAAATTTATTAAAAATACAAATATAATAAATTAATTAATAATTAATATAATAAATATATTTACAAAGATTTTACTATTTTATATTTTACATCATTTTTAATAAAAATATTTATATTCCTTAATAAAAATATGTATTATTTTTCTCACATCTAAAATTAATAAAAAAAATATTTTATAACACATTCGTAATTACAAATAACTAATAACAAAATTTTTTAAAATTTTAAAACTAAAAAAACACAATTAATAAATTTTAAAATTTAAAATATAAATGTTTTCAATTGTCATTTTACATATAAATAGATATCAAACAGTTATTTTACCAAACATTTCAATACAAGCACAGCTAAAAGTTATCAACTGATTGTCAAACACACCCATGATAGAAATATACAGAGTAAACTATTTAGTTAGTCTCGTATATTACTTCTTTTATCATTTTAGAATTTTAAATGGACTATGAAAATAATTTTGCAAGTAAAATATTTTCGTTAAAATGATCCACCAGTGCTGGATTTGCCACGCCGGCCCGTCGTAGCTGACGTGGTGCTAATGCGGCTGACATGTTATCGCCACATCAGCGACACATTGATTTTTTTTTTAAAAAAAATCTTTTAAAGTCAACATCACCATTTTAAATTTAAAAAATAAAAATAAAAATGCATGTGTCAATTACGTTGCGTCAATATGGTGATGATATGTCAATCGCGTCAACGCCGCATTAGCAACAGAGAGCTAGCGTGGCGAATCTAGCAATGGTGGACCATTTTGGCGTACGTGATTATTTTCAGACATGATCTATTTAAAATTTTAAAATGATAAAAAGAGTTGAATACTAGACTAAAAAAAATAATTTATCCAAATATATGATAGTTTGAATGTAAAATGTTTGATCATTTGATTTGGTTTTTTTATTTTTTGAAATTTTTTATGAATAGTAAATACCTAAATAAAAACCTACAAACAAACTGAATAATTTTAGAAATTCTTATTTAAACTTTAATTAATTTCACTATATATATATATATATATATTTATATTAATCTATTTATTTGTTTGTTTGTAGAACTATAGATAGCTTAGCTCTTGGATATGGTAAAGGAAGATTAACATGTTTTCTTGGAGACCCTAAGACAACTATTGATTTGGTAAGTTAATTATTTACATATGGTTTTCATTACCTAAATATTCTTGTAATTAAGGATGAAATAAATAAATATATATATATATAAATGTGTATATTTGGTGAAGATACCGGCGGATATGGTGGTTAATTCTATGATAGTAGCGATGGTGGCGCATGTAAGAAATCCGGGGGCCGGAGAAAACAATATTTACCATGTGGGATCTTCGGTGTCGAATCCAGTGGAATTCACGTGGCTTCAAAATTACGCTCAACGGTACTTCAAGGAGCATCCTTGGATCGACAAAGAAGGAAAACCGGTGATCGTAGGCGAAGTTACTGTGCTTAGTACAATGGAGAGTTTTCAGAGATATATCACTCTTCGTTACTTACTTCCATTGAAGGTATCGCGTGTTTTTTTTTTTTTTTTGTATCTTTTTATTTTTATATTTTAATCTTTTTTACTTTTTTTTCGTTCTTTATTTATAGATATATTTACTTTTGCAAGTTTATTAAAGAATAAAAGTATTTTAATTGACTTTGTTTTGTCTGAATCATTTTAATAAAATTTATAATAAATTAATAAATAATAGTATTATATTGGTAAGTAGATTAAGATAGAAATATAGTAATTAATATTGTTGGATTTATGTTTAGTGTAATGGTATTTTAGTAAATATATGTAATAATTAGGATAAATTAATAATTTGGTGAAGACTATGAATTAGAAATAAAAATAGACTATTTGGGTAGGACAATTCTAATAGTAGATTATTTAAGTGCTATACTATATTTGATAAACAGTACTCCCTCCGTCTTAAAATTATACTCTTAATTAGATTAGGCACGGAATTTAAGGAATATTGATATTATATTGGTAGTTGGTAAAAAATATGGATAAAAGATTTTTTTGCCTTTATGGGTGTATTAGTGTAAAAAGTAGTGGCAATTGTGTAATAAAAATAAAAAAGTATGGGTAGTTTTACGGTCATATGGTTATTTATAGAAATAAGTATATTGTTTTGAGACGGACAAAAATAGTAAACAAGACTATTTTAATTGTAATTCACACATCTAACAAAAACTAAATACTCTTTAATTGTAATTCACACATCTAACAAAAATGTGTGACAAAAGAGATATTTTGATACTTTCGTATGAAATGATATAATATTTTATTAAAATTGTGAACACCCTAAATAGTAAAATGTACCTATTTGTAAGTTATTTTTTTAAGTGAAATAATTGTTTAGTATAATGTTTTGTATAAAAAACAATATATATTTATCACAGACGGTAAAAAAAAAAAAAATCTAAGGGTTTCAGCTCGTATATTTTTATTTGATTTAACTTTTTTTTTTCTTTTTTGTATAGGGACTAGAGATAGCAAACACGTTGTGCTGCAACTACTTCGAGCGACTCTACCTCAACCTCTGCCGGAAGATCGACTTTATAATGCGATTAGTCGATCTTTATCACCCCTATTTGTTCTTCAGAGGATTGTAAGTATATATATATATATATATGTGTGTATATTTATTTATTTATGTATAATTATTTTGTGCAGCTACGATGATATGAACACAGAAAGGCTAAGAAGGGCTGCTGGCGATGAGAATGGAATGTTTAGTTTCGATCCCAAGGCTATTAATTGGGAAGATTACTTCATGACCACACACATTCCTGGCCTCGTTAAGTACGTTTTTAATTAATTATTTATTTATTTTTATTAAAAAATCCTATTATCAATGTTATAATTAATTAATATGCAATTATAATTTATATATATATGTGAGATTTCAAGTGTGGTTGAAAGATTGAAATTATTTGCAGACACTAATGTATAATTAATTGATGCACGAATTTTATTTGATCGAATTTTGATCACGTATTTCATTTTATTTTATTTTATATAATTTTTTTTTATTAATTGATGCACGAATTTTACTTGATTGACTTCTGATCATGTATTTCATTTTATTTTATTTTATTTTATTTTATATAATTTTTTTTATATATATAATGTAGGAACTCGAAATCGTTAGTTTCTAACCTAGTAGCCTCGATTATGCTATTAAATATTAAATATATATAGATATATTTGAGGTGGCTTACATATATTGCATAAAATATAAGCAACCAACATACTTTTTTGTTTATACAATACTTCCCAAATTTAGACACTATTAATTTTTTTTAAATCATATTAAATATATAATTTTTTTTTTTTACAAAATATTACATTAAATACTAATTTTACTAAACTTCTTAACTTTTTTAAAACTCCTAAAAATATCTTGTCTAAATGGACCTTTTTCTTTACTGTACAATTTTTACAATTTTATTTATTTACTTGTAACTTTCAATGAAATTAAAACTATTCAATTATTTTATTTTTCTAAGTCATCAAATTTAACTGTATATTTTCACCTAATCATTATTCTATCAAAATAGAAAAACATAAGACCTATACATAATACATATGTAACACGGGTAAACAAACAAGATGAAAAAAAAAAAAAAAAAAAAAAAAAAAAAACTTAATAAAAAGGGTAAACAATGGCATATAGTACAAAATTGCGTCGAAAATGATTAATTCAGAAATAACCATTTTTATAAATAAATTCCTTTTATGATGATAAAGAAAAACAATAATTTATAATTTCAAAATACTCAATAAAGAGAACCAACCTGTGTAAAATTCTTAGTACCATATGATGATGTTGCTAAGGATGATTGTCTGAGATATCTTCGGTTTCCGGTGGCGCTCGGGTCGCGCATAACCAGGTTCTTGAACACTCGTCGCTAGCTTCCCCAGCTGCTACGGGTACATGCCACGAACCCTTCTCGGATTCCTGAAACATATTGAAGCATCTCGGCATGAAAATGTCGACAAGATGAACTAACAAACCATTAGTGATCGATCCATGTATATTGAGTATCAAAATATTCGAGCCTAAGAGACCGAAAATGGAAACCTACATACAGCAGTTTTTTACACATGGAGCCGATAACATACCTCATATGAAGGCACCGATTACATGCATAGGTTTATTAACAAAATTCTAGGGTGCGTTTCTTTATCCCAATTTTCTCAAAACTTTACTATTTCGACTCCGCGTTTCTTCAAACATAAATGCATTTTTTCTTCATCAGACATTATTTAAATACAAAATTTAAATCAAAATATTCCAAACCAAACCCAAAGAAAGAGGTGTTTTTCTTCAAACAAAAATTTTCCAAACTTTACTGTTTGGACTCTGAACATTATTTTAATACCAAAACTAAACCAATTTTTTTCAAACCAAACCCAAATAAACACACTATTGATTATTACGGCGTAGTTGATTACCTGAATGATGACCGAGTATGAAGGCGGCATCATAAGTTTAAGTGCACCTTTGACGAACGTGTATCTAACCTGAAACATAGAAGGTGGGTTGCGTAACAAACATTAATCAATTATGCAATTCTTCAAAAAACATTTTTGCTCTCTATTACAAATGTGCGAAATTCAATTAGACCGTAGCAAAGTGGAAACAAGGTTGTATTTGTTTTGTGATATGATTCGAAGAAATATTTTTTTACGCAAGGTATAAAGAATTGTGTATATAAATATAAAAATAATAAATGAGTGTAATATATTAATTTTTGAGAAAACATGTTGGCTTATTTTACAAAAAGAACACAGTTGGTACATTATCATATAATAGCTAGTATGATCTATAAACTCCTCAGGCTCAATAATGATTTCAAGATCCATCCAAATGGCAATCCGTCCTTAATTAAATCAACTAATTCAACAAACGGCAAAAAGTGAGGAAAATCACATATAATACAGAATGCTTACGACGATGGAAACATCAGTAAGAAACCAAGAAATGGAACAGAATATATCTAAAATCCTAACCTGGTGTCTTTCTTTCCATCTGAAGAAAAAATTGCTGCCGAGCAGCTCAAAAATATGATCCCTCATTTCGTCGTTTGTAACTAACAAGCCCTTGAGTTTCACAGCAGCATAAAGCCAATACCTGAATTATAAAATATAATATCATAAATTTGTTATCCCAAAACATTTATATGAGGTCACGAAGTTTCATATTGATATTCCACTTCACTCAGCTATGTCATGTATTTCAAGTGCAAGACTATATATATGGAAACAAAAAAATAAGTTCAACCTAAATGTGAGGGAGTGGTAAAGGAATAAAAAGAAAATAATGCATTTTCCTTTGACACGAGATTATTATTAAATGAGTAAAAACCAAAACATGCATAAAATAAGCCCTTTGAAGATTAAAGTTCTACCAGTCATCATTTGATCCGTAAGGTGTTCCATATAGTGCTCCGCGATCCATCCATTCCTTGATTAGCTCTCTTTTAGAAGCATCCTCGAGAAGTGAGCGCACACGCTTACTATGCAAAACAATAAGCGGCCATTTCTTACTCTTGTCATGCACTTCCTTCACAACAGCATCAAGCTGCTCTATAAAAATATAGAAAGAAGGAAAAAAAAAATGAGCTATGGCCATCATTTCATTTCTAATTCACACACACAAAAAAAGGAAGATACACCAAATTCAAAAATACAACCTGTGAGATGCTGAAACTGCCCTCTGCGAAATTCTGCTGGTATAGACCAATATTTGCTCCATCTATCACTGTTTCATAGTCCGAATGTTGCTCCAGCCATTCCTTCACGTTCATATTGGAAAACGTTTATGCAAACATATTTGATAAATTATCATATCTATAGTTGTCAATCATGGATCGGTCAAGTTTAAAAATGCTATAGCGGGATAACTGGAGGACCACTGTTCAAAGATTTAAGAATATACATATAAAAATTATTATACATGCAAATTTACAATAAAAGTGCATACGAAGAATCTATAGATTAATCTCATGATTAACATTTAAACTTATAAAATTGCAATATATATAATCATAATTGCAAAATCTGATAAATAATCTTCATCTTCATTTTCATTCATTGTATGTTTGTCGCATTGCACAATGTTCATTCCCTAAAGTAGCTATAGTATACTATGATATAATAGTATAAAATCTACATTAACCAAATAACAAATACAATATGATATGTAAAATATAAACCTACTTATTATAAAGATTATAATATACTACATTATTCAATTTGAAAAACACTTCACTATGCTACTATTGCATAAAAGCAGCATCGCAAAAACAGTGGTGCCCCATTCCGCTATTAGCACACTATATTAACAACTCATATCATATAATTTGTCAGTAAAGACAATATACGAATAATACACAAGTTTCAGTTACAAACAACGCAGTCAAAAGTTATGCACCGTAAAGGATGAAGAATCAGAGCATCATTAATTGGGTATGTAACCAAAACTAGTAAATTCTTACCTCAAATTCCTTAAAATTGGATTTGACTTCTCTTTCCATCGCTAGAGAAGCAACGGACTGAGCAAACTTCTCTGTCTCAGATCTATCAGTATCGACACAAACCAACTGCTCGTGACATGAACAACACCTTCCATCTGGGGAGATACTTGTTCTACGGACGATCCATTCACCGTCCCCAATCCAACCGAGTCCATGCCATCCACCTCCATTTCTCGTAATGACGTCCTTGATTAGATTTGGTTCCACAATCAAGCCCACTTCAGATGCCTTTTTCCCTCTAAACCAACTCTCTATTATTGCCACAGTTGACTCACTTATCCCTCTTAGATTTGCTCTAAGTTTATGCAAATATTCATAAACTCTTTGCTCCTTACCTGCCTCGACACTTACCTTCAGAAACAGAAATGTATCATCAATACCATGTATGCACATAAGAAACAATTTGGATGTGTTTACTTGTGCGATTTTGGTTTTTGTTTTGGTTTTGAATAGTAAAATTTTGAATTGAAATAATTGTTTGATGTGATATAAATATGTATTGATGTGATGTTTTGACTGTAAAATTTAATTTTAGTATAATATAATAAATAAAAAATAAGTGTTTGATTTGATGTTTTTTTTTAGAAAAAAAAAATGGAATAGTAAAACGAAAAAACAAATCTTACAAATAAGCACACCCAATTTTGTTTTGGAGATTTTAGAAGATTTTTACTATTCTCAAAAAAACAATTTACCTTCAAAATATCTATCACATCAAACAAATATCTTTTATTTTCTATATTATACTAAAATTTATTTTACATTCAAAACATCACACTTAATACATGTTCATATCAGGTCAAACACCTATTTTTAAATTTTTTATATTATATTAAAAAGTAATTTTACATTCAAAACATTATATCAACACTTATTTATATTACATTAAATAAGTATTTTCATTCAAAATTTTCTTATTCAAAATCCAAACTCCCCAAACAAACACACCCAAAGTTTTTCAGTCCACCAAAAACCTATTTCCAACTGGAAGCAATCTTGATTTTTCTATATCAAATAATTTTCATTTCAAAGACTTGGCTCTGTTCATGTGACAATTTTGAAAATTTTGTAACTATTCGTCTAAGAGTAACTTTTTCCAAAACATAACATCAAATACACTTTTATCTCTCAAAAAGTCACAAAAATCTAATTTTTTTTCTATTCCCAAATTTTTTTTCAAAACTTCAAAACATAAGAGTCTTAATTCTCTGTAAAATTATATACTTCGCCATCGTTTTAACACCTTCATTGATATTCTGACACAATTAGGGTTTACAAATACCCTTTGCAATCACTATTTTCTATGCATGTTCAGGTAATTCTTTTTCAGTAGGGCCCTAGAACGTTCAACAAATAATTCAATTGCAAGAATGCTAGCAGCGAAAATTAGCATGGCTTCTACAAACAAAAGCAAATAATCAATGCTAAAGCAATTCACACTATCTGAACCAAACCTCTCACCTTCAACAGCGCCGCAAGCTCAGATTCTTCCAATCGAAGCCCTAAGGACTCAACATACGCCTCCACTTCATACGCCTCATCCGCCGCTCCACCGTCACAAAAGCAAATCAAGGCAGGAACAAAGGTCCTCAGCTTCGGCGCAACGCCGTGGTCCTTCACGCTCTTGGCGAGCTCAAACGCGTACGCGCCGTCGCCTTTGGCCGCCGCCAGCCGCGCAACAGCAGTGAGCGTCGCCTCATTCGGCTTGAAATTCTCAGTGCTGTGGCGCTGGAACAGCTTGAATCCGAGATCGATGGCGGATTCTCTGGTTTGGGGATCCGATAGGGAGTTGGAGCATATGTATAGGAAGGAGTTGAGATTGTTGAGGGTGAGGATCGGAGAGGCGGCGGATTCGTATAGGGATATGGCAGAGGAGAGATCCTTGGTTTTGGAGCAATGATCGAGTGTAGAACGGAATTGCGCTTCGGGAGTGAGCTTCTGCCTCTTCCGGCGGCCGTTGCGGTGGTCCATGGCGGCGCTAGATTGAATTGAACGGCGTAGAAAACCTACTCTTTAGACTCTGTCTTCAATCCAAATCTCCGCCGGTAGAGTAAATTACCAAAATAGCCCTAGCCAAGGCCCAACAAGACATTTAATAGGCCCATTTCGAAAAACCAAAGGGCCCAACTAGTATTTGTTCATATTCCATAACATATACTCTTTCTTGTCAACCAAATCTATAATAATTTTTCATTTTTTTATCAAAAAAATATATTTCCTTCATCCCTCGATAATCTATCCGTTTTTTCATTTTTGTCAGTTTCAAGTATTCATTTCTTTTAATAATTGTACTATCTACCTAACATTACAAATACTCTTTCAATTTACAATATATTACACAAATATCATTACTTTTATATCATACAATAGTAATAAGGTTAGTTTGATTTTTATACTTGTATTTATACTATATCATAATATAATACTAAAACTTCATAAAAAAATAAATTGATAGATAGATATAAGACAGAGAGAATATATATATTCATGGACAAACAAACATATATCTGGTGGATAGTAAAAGTATTATTTTTCTTAAAAACAATAATATATATATTAAACATCAAAAATATAATATTCACATATTTAGTATTTCAAATCAGGATCAACAACGTTATAAATTTAACATAATTTTCAATAAAAATATATTTATTTTTTTTTCATAAAATATCATATCAAAATATTATTTAAATAAAAATTATAATCAACATCATATTTTAAATCAATTTCAACCTACTATCAAACAAACCAAAATACGCGAAAAACAAATACTCCAAAATTTTCTAAACATCACGGGTGTGTTTGTTTAGTGAATTATTTGAAAAGATATTTTTTTAAGTAGAGTATAAAAAATTGAGTAAGTAATATAAAAATAATGGATGTGTGTAATATATAATTTTTTTGGAAAATATATTTTTTAGAATTTGTGGAAGAACATACCCTTAAAGAATATTGTATTTGTATTTCTTTAAAAATTCTTTCTAGTTTTTTTAATTGTTTGGACTCCTTATTTTTCAAATATATATATATAATCATATTAAACATAATTTAGTGATGTAGTTGTGTTTGTTTGGGATTTTAAATTTTTTATTTGGATTTAAATAGTAAAATTTTGAATTTGAATAATTGTTTGGTGTTATATAAATAGGTGTTAACATTATATTTTAAATATAAAATTAATTTTTAGTATAATATTAAAAATAAATATTTGATTTAAATATTTTTAGAAGGAGAAGTTTGATGAACAATAAAAAAATCAAAATCAATATTTATTTATATTACATTAAATACTATTTTAATTTTTATAAAAAAAAAAATTTAAAATAAAATTAAAAAAATAAAAAATAAAAATGCATGGGCATGTATGCATGTGGACTTCATCCTACCTAAAAAAAACACTTTTGCCCACCTTAACTACTAATTACTAAAAATAAAATAAAAAATAAAAAAGATATATATATATATATAATATAAAAATATAATTATTTAGTTATCTTACTTCCCATTTAAAACGTGCCCAACATTTTTGAAGCAAGTACGTGACATATGCGATATTTTGTAAAATAAAATTTATATATTTTATGCAAAATGGAAGTACAAAACGTTTTTAATTTGTATATTAATTATTTATCATTTTATAATCAACATATTTAATTTAATAAATGTAATCTCTATACCATGATAGAATTCATCTACATTTCACGTAACATTACATACAATGCAATTTAAGATTAGTTATTTATTATATATAAAATAATATTCTTCAATTAAGAAGACAATATTATGTAATTTAGGATTTTTTTAACTTTTTATTATTATTTAAAATCTATTTATTAGAAAATAAATCAAAATACGAATAAGCACGCCGAACAACGTAACAATGCATAATTAGTTCGTCAGGAAACCGGAGAAGATGAGACAATAGAAGATGACATGTGTGAATATATTGTCACGGTCTATTTTTTTTATTTTATTCTAAAGATTTATTTGATTAATCAATTTATAAGATTTTTAATAAATATATATATATACGAAATACTTATAATATAATATCAAATTCTATTTAAATAAAATTCAAATGAAAAACTATAAATCAAACGCAAATAAAACAAACTCTAAGTATTTTTTATTTTTTTTTATCTTTTTACTATTTAGTTCTCACATTTTCAATAAATACTTTCTTTATTTCATAAAATTAAATTTCAATGCTACAAAAAAAAATCAAAAATATTTTATTAAAGTAAATATATTTTATTGAAAATTTAATTTTTTTTTCAAAATATATAGGTATGAATATTTTGGAGAGTTTAAATTTAGTTTTTTTTATTTAAACATTAGTTATTTGATGTCATATTTTATTAAAGAACTTCTATATTTGTATAGTAAAAATATTTAAAATCCAATTTTACAAGAACGAAGCATTCTAATATTGTGACTATTTGAGTTTTGAATTTTTTATTTTTTATTTGAATTTTTGAATTTAATATTTTTTAAATAAAAATATTTTATTTAACATTGTAACATGCATCCTTTTCAGGGTAACATTTATATGTCAGCATCATCTCTACTCCAACAAAATACAATCCAAAATGTCACTGTTGGTTTTTATCAATTCTTGCCATGCCCTCATTTAAAACGTGCAAAATGTGTTATTTAAATATATATATATATATATGTATATATAGAGAGAGAGCGATTGGTGGATAATAATAGTTGCATTAATTGAAATAATATAAAAATATAGAGTAGGATCGGGTGCTAATTTATTAATTTCAGCACTGTACTGAATGAAATAAATATAAATTAATAATTTATTTAATTTAAGGGATCAACATGATTTTAACATCCATCCCCCACATAAAAATATATTATCTCCGTCGAACTGGAAAGTATACATATTTATTTTATGACGTCAAATTACAAAGTAAATATTTCATTAAATACTTCGCTTTTTTTTTCACAAATACCATTACTTTCCATCACATCATTACTTTTACACCAAAAAACGATGGCAAAAATGTCATTTTACTACTTTTAACTACTCACTATAATTAAAAATATTATTACCCCCTCTGTCCCACATACCATGTCCACATTGTTGTTTCTGTCCGTCCCACATACCATGTCCACATTGTTGTTTCTGTCCGTCCCACGTACCATGTCACTTTCCTTTTTTTTTTAAATGATTACACAATTTAATCTCATTTTAAACTTTTTAATTTTATTTTTTTAAAATTTTAATTAAACTAATTAGTTATCTTAATATTAATTTATAATTATTTATATTGTCGGATAATTATTTTCACTAATATATTCTTAATTATCTACTAATTACACCCCTCCTAAAATACCGTGTCTACAGTGTAGCAGACACGGTATGTGAGACGGAGGAAATATTTCTTAAACACCGCGCCAAAAATAAATGTTTACTTTGTGTGTGGACGGCGGGAGTATATATTATACTTCATCCGTTAATTTATTTTTACTTTGTCATATTATTAATTTTAGTAAAATCAATAAATTAATATTTAATTATTGCGCTTCAATACTTATTTACAATAAATATCATTATCTTTATTACAATAAATATCATTATCTTTATTACAATATTTTTTCATTTACTTTAATTTTTAATTAAATTTTCAAAAATATCTCAATTATATTTTTATTTTATTACTTTTTTCAATAAAATATTCATTTTTAATGATATATATATATAATATCATTATTTATAATACTTTCATAATTTTTAGTATCCAATATAAATATTAAACAAACACATTATATAGATGTGTTTTATTAGACTTAATTTCAATTTTTTTAAATGTAGTGCAGTTCTTATATTTTTGTTAACAAAAATAGTGATATATCATCGCATAAAATATTATATTAAAATAAAATTTAAATTTAAATCCACAAACACGTATAAACAAGTGCAAATAGAGCACACCCTATTAATGGGAAATAATACCATATTTTGTAAAGACAAATAGTGTACATTATTGAGAATTGTGACTAAAATTGATTATTTAAATACATTTTTATCAAAAATTATAAAATTGTACATTAAAAATAAAATAAAATAAAAGTTAATGCAAAAAGAACAAACCATTATAGTAAAAATTTTGAATTTGAATAATTATATGATGTGATATAAATAGGTGTTGATGTGATGTTTTGAATGTAAAATTGATTTTTAATATAATATAAAAAAATAAAAAATAGAAGTTTGATTTAATATTTTTAGAAAAAAAAAAATGAGATAAATAGTGGATTGAAAATCCAATCCCCAAACAAACACACCCTAAATATAAAGTTAATGATGGGTGGGTGCTTTACTTGCCTTTCATTTAAAGCTGGTGCAAAAATATTATTATTAATTTTCTTAATTTAATTTAGTATAAACATTTTAAATAAATGTAGTATTATAAAAGTATGCCCTATAATTTATTTTGGGTGCGCTTGATAATTAACTGAAACTAATTCAATTAACTGTTATCTGTTAGCTGATTCAATTAGCAGTTTGTATTAAAGTGTTTAGTAAAACAACAGTTTGACACTAGCTGTTTATACATAAAATGACTATTAAAGACATTGATATGTTATTTTTTAAAATATTTTATTTTATTCATTTTTGTTTGAAATTTATGAGAATTTTTTTTATTAATTATTAAAAATTATAAAAAAAATTATAAAATTTTTATTTTTATTTTTATTATTTAGATTTGAAAAAATTATTTTTACTAAAAAATAAATTTTTTTATTGAGATTATGTAAAATACAAAATAATAAAACTTTCATATATATATATTTATTATGTTAATTATTGTTTTAATATATATAAATGAATTAATAATCTTTGTTTTTTTATTTAATTTAGTTTTAAAAATTTATATATTTTACAAATAAAATAATTTATTCGTAATAATTAATAATAGTAATTATTTTAAATTTACAAAAATTAAATATAATTTAATAAATTAAATATATTAAAAATAA